CCACACTGTGACTAGTGCATTATCGTTCCGAGTCGAGTACAGAAGAGGATCCGGTGGCACAGCGATGTTTCAAAGACAAGTGCGATTTCAAATCGATTTATCCGATGTAACGAACACGAACCCACCGAGGGATTATTTGTTCGCCATAATATTCACGCTGCATTCCGGTGAGTATATACGTCATATACCGGGCTTTTGGTTCTAAAATGACAATATATATTATAATAAACTGCAACATAAATAGTTAATAATGTATAAAGTTTTATTTGTAATATAAAATCGAACGTTTAGTATTTTTAAAGAAGTCAAAAGTGGTGAATATAGCATGCGTATAAAAGGGGGCATAATTACAATGAACACATTTCAATGGCACGTGAAAAATCACTAAATTTATATAATTTTAATATCCATTCGCTCCCCATGCACACTACAATAAGCGCTGAATATAATTGTGATTTCTGTTTCATGCGAATTAAATATTTATGATAATAGTATACTTTGATAAAAAAAAATTAGTGTTTGATATAAAACCAAACATTTTATACCATTAAAATTTGACAAAATTATTTTATATATTTTTTTGTTAATAAAAGTTTGTGTTTGACGAAAATTGATAATTTGTATAGTTTATACAAGTATATTATCTAATCTCTTTGGCAAATCGCTAAAATTATTATAATCGTTATTCTCATTAAATAGTTAATAACGAATAATAAACAGATGACCATTATCACTAATCAAGAACTATCCTATAAGGCACCTACTATAAGGTACCGCCCCAGTCAGATTTCCTTTTAGAAAAGTCCTTTCACTGTACATTCATGATAATTTGATAAAATGTTTCATTACCTTGCCCAACAACTTTTATTTTATCTGGATAACAGCCATGCTATGCTGCCCCGATAACATTCAATATGATATTGTCATTCGATACAGTCATATAATTTATTGTATACTATTGATTTGCGCAATAATCAGACAATTTTTTTAAAAATTGAAAATATCAGTAAAGTATTTTATAATAAATTCAATAATTTAGTATCCAATAAATAAACATGATAATTATTTTTTTCTATTGACTAAAAAATATAAATTTTAGTTAGTTAAGTGAACATTTTTTTCTTTGTTATACGAAACAAACATTTTAAATTTAAAACTAATCAAATTCATCAATTAATGAGCAAAGGTATACATGATGCAATTACAAAAGAAAGTGCACCGTAAAAAAGTTTGATTGTAGAAATGTTGTCATTTTAAGTAGTACAAAATGTTATGACAGTTTTTCATGTTACAATAAGAAAAACTATTTCCCTCAGTTTTTTTTTTTTTTAAATGACAATTTTCGTATTGTCAAATAATTATAATTTAAATAATAATAAAATTATAATATTTTTTAATAATAATAATTCATTGATACAACTAAATATTACCTATTTTATATACAGTGAAAACTGTTTCTAACGAAACTTGGTTTTTTTTTATGAAAAACTCTATGTAATGTACAAATTACTCAATAATGATTGATTTGTTTTTTAACCCATACATTAGTTCATTAACCTTCTTCATTGCGAAAACTCTCTAAGTATAACAAAAGAAATTTCTTGGTCCTTTAAGATTCGTTATAAAGAGTTGTCACTGTACTGTCTTTAGTCTATAAAATATAAATATATATATATATATTTTCCCACGAATACGTATATCAACATCAACTAAAACCGCGTTGTGTATGTCAACATTGACCAAAATCCTGAAGTAAATGTCAACATTCACTATTAAATGTTTACATTTTTTTAATTATTCAACATTCACTGGGTGATTGTCAGCATTCACCAATTGTGGACATTCACAGTAACATGTAAGAGTATATATATACAATATGTATACTCTTTTTTTTTTTTTTTTTTTTACAGCAATTCAAACAATGAATAATAAAATTCTTTAATGTTTTATGGTTACGAAATTCGTATCCATCTACACAAAATAAATTTTTTTTTCGCTTAAAATCTCCGATACCATTTTATTTATAAGATTTAAAATTTCGACGACGTTTACGCAAACGCGCGATCGAATACTATGCGAATTATAAAAGTACAGCGTTATAAATTATAACTCATAATAATACGAACGAACTACGAATAAACAGGCGACACACATACTAAAAGTATAATCTATACAAAATAATGATTTGTATAAAACTGGGATATAGCCGTAAAGTATAATATATGTATACGAATTATAATTTGCAGGTAGAACGGACACAATGCGTGTAGTCGCTTATCGAATTTCTTATTTTGGGGCGAAATTCGTATGCAGCCAAAATAATATATACTGTTGGTTTTTTAACATTTTCACTGTGTGCTCACAGGTAACATAAGACGTTTCCGGAGAGTCTGCGAACATATTCAAACGCAAATGTGCTCAAGGAAACCGCCGTCATCGCCCCGAGCGACTAGGAAATTCAACGCGGACTTATCGGAAAGTTCGAGTTGTGGATCGGACACTTCAGACCGGCTGTCGCCTTACATTAATTTAAGAACTGTGAGTAGTTGACGATAACACGAACGACACGTTTTACGTAATTAAAATCAATGGTATTATCATGTAAATACGTTATGACTACCGCTTATAAAAAAATAATTATGGCTGATTGTTCGTATTTTAACATTTCAGATAAATCATATTTTTGGTAACCCCCCCCCCCTCGTCATCGTGATTTTAGATTCTAAGTTAAATTGACTGGTTTTACTATAATATGTTAATTATTATTTTAGTTTCTGAGCGTGAGTGTTTATTTTTCTAACTTTAAACAATTTTTAGAACAAAAATTTTCAATCAAAAAACCACAAGACATCTTTTTTGTTAAATTCTTAATCTAGTTGGTGTTTAAAAAATGGTTTTTTGATTGTTTTGTTTAGTGTTTAGGGTTTCTTACTAATTGAGCAAAACCGGGAAAAAACGTAGAAAAAACGGGACAGTATACGGAAATAATGGTTTCATTAATTTTAATTTTGATAAAAATGTTAATAGAGAATTAAATTTTTAATAGTAGACTTGTACTTGGGTTTTCTAGACGTGGTATTTTTTTTTGAATATTCTGAAAACATGATTGAGCTTTTATATGCATTTTATGTGTGCGAGTTTTTTAGTAGTTTTTATTTTTAAGTACTAGGTGAATGAAATTATTTGACAAAACCGGAATGCGTCAAAATTTAACACGAGTTTCAATAGAAGTTGTACTTATTAGTTAAAACATATGTTAAGCGTTATGTAGTAGTTTTTTTTTTTCATAATCGTTTTAAGATCACAGTTCGATAAAAATTAGAAATATAGGACAAGTGGTATTTTTAAACATACATGTATATAACTAAACTTCAACTCATATTTCGTTAATGGTTTATCGTTGCTTACAGATATAAATTAAATAATTGTAGGTTACACCATTGCTGGTCTATAAATAACTTATCTATACCAAGAATTTCTCTCAAATAAAAATCGAAAACCATTCTGAGCAGATTCGGTTAATATAGTGTTGTTTTGTCAACAATACATAGGTATGTCATATTATGATAAAATAATTACGTATGCATTATGTATTTTTTTTAATAATACCTATTTGTTTAATATTGTACCAATTTTCCTGTTTTTCCATTTATTGGAAAAACTCAATCAAAAAACTATCTCCCTTATGTACATCCCCAGTCAGATTTTTTTTTAGAAAAAATGCTATCATTGTATATCGGAGCAAAATTGCTAGTAGAAAAGTTGTCTACAGAAAAAAAAAACAAATAAAAAAATTAGCATTATTGTGAAGCCAATACATTCCTCGGTCCAATCAGAATCTAAAACACATCATAGTAAAATTAATAAACCAATTGCTATGCTCAAAATCCTAAACATGTCATGCACAGGCCCATTAATATAAAATATAATACTTATTGAACCATTTTTTATAAGACTTGTTAATCCCTATCTGTTCGCTATTCCCACTCACTCTACTTCCCATAGTCACATAACATGTAACTATGTACATACTAAGTATAGTATAAAATTTTTATCAATCCAATATAAATCTTTCAAGGTGATTACAAATTTACAAACATCTATTTTTTGATGATAAACCGTAGAGCTCCTTAGAGTACTCTATGGTGCTATTAAAGATAATTCCATATCAACTAATCCCTTATGTAATACTATATGTACCTCAGTGACGTATCCAAAGGAGAACGCGCTCCGATTTACCCTTAAACCGTTTGTTTTGTTAGGTATTTTATAATTATAAAATTATAAGTTCCTCGTTTCTCCCACCACGAAATTTTGTTCTGGCTATGGTATAATGATACACCTACACGGTGTACTGTATTTATATAGATCGGTGGGCGTGTTCCAGGTTGGTTCGGACAGAGATGACAAGAACAAGAGACTGATCAATCCGGAGGTGCACGGCAGCGGCGGCAAATCGGGTGGCGGAGGCGGCGGTTACTGCATCGCGAACATCCGACAAAGGCGACGAAGTTCCAGTTTAGCCGCGAACAACAACTCCTTCAACGGCGGCAGTAATAATATCGGCCACGGAAACTTGCCGGGGTCCGGGGCAGCGGCGGGAGCGGTGGCAATGTCAGCCGGAGGGAGCGGTCGCAACGAAGTCGTGAAGCCCCCGAGGTCCAACAGCGAAACAAAACCAGTCGACGGGAGTTTCATATCCGTTTCGGGTTCCATGTCATGAGAATTTAAAAAAACTGCATGTAAATAGTATATACCTACTGCATAATACTGTATACACAAATACGACACGCCGAAAATAGACGATTATTTTTTTATTTTAGCTATTAATATTATTACTTGGATATTTATATAGTGTAATAGATCATGTTTAGTATACTAGGTACCGGAAGGTTGACGATTTAAAAAACTATAACAATTCCTATATTTGAAATGATATATATTATAACTATTACGTAGGTTACCTTATAAGTTTTGCAACACAAAAATTCAATGTAACATCAATCATTAAAAATGGTTTTATTGTTTTTCAAAATATTCTCCACGGATATCAATACACTTTTGCATGCGTTTGAACCAATTTTCGAACCACTTCTTTCACTCCAATTACCAGATACCTTCGAAACATGCATTTTGAACGCATCAACTGCTTCTTCGGGCGTCGGAAAACGTTTACCACGCAATTTTTTTTTTTTATTTTTCTGAATAAAAAGAAGACATTGGGTATCAAATCCGGGCTATATGGCGGATAACCCATCAATTCGATGTTTTGGCTGGTAAGATAGGCGGTTGTTTGAGCTGGTTTGTGAGAACTTGCATTGTCATGGTGAAGAATGATCCGTCTTTGGCGGTTTTTTTTTCTTATTTCTCCGAAGACTTTTGGCAAGCAAAAATGTTTGTAAACCTTTCAGAATTAATCGTCCTACGTTGTTCTAACACTGCAGTTACCACATGTCTAGTTATACCGAAAAAACAGGCGACCATTTGGTTCAAAGAGCTTCGAACGGAAACAAATTTTATTGAATTTGGCTCACCTTGAAAGACCCAAAAAGTCGATTGCCATTTATTTTCCGGATCATACGCATAAATCCATGATTAGTCACAATTGTATAGACGTCTTTTGAAGTGCCATGACTGTATTTTTCCAAATGTCTGTGCACCAATCTACACGAACATTTTTTTTGAGCTAGTATCAAATTGTGTGGTATCCAACGTGAACACATTTTTTTAACTACCAAATGTCTATGCAATTTTGAATGAACACTAGTAGAACTCATGCCTAGAAATGCTTCAATTTCATGATAAGTCACATGACGGTCTAGTTTTATCATATCGCGTACAGCTTTGATGTTTTCTGGCAAAACCACCGATTTTGGACTACCTTCACGAAATTCATCCCTGAGCGAACGACGACCACGACTAAATTTAGGAAATCAGCGAAAAACTGTGGCCCGGTGTGGCGCTTCATCACCAAAAGTCGATGGTCACAAATTGATGGATACACTGTTGTTGGGTTTAATCCACACTGAAGGTCGTAGTAAATTATTGCACGAAAATGTTCACGATTCAATTCCATTTTTCGGCCGTTATACATTTTATTATGAAGTCGCTAAAAACCACACTAATTACTTGTATCACAAAACGATCAGATAACATTTATTGTTATAATGTCAATTATCATGTTCTATTATAAGATTTTACGTAGTATCCCAGGTGTAATCTTATCGCAAAACTTAAAAGACAACCTACGTATTATTTATCTAGTTATTATTTGGCAATTGTATAAAAAAAAGACGTATCTACAAGAACAGCAATAAAATGAAATCTATTTTACCCGAAATCTTCATAGATATTCATGCTGCAAGATCACATGAAAAAGAATGAACATCCAGTATAATTACTTCCTCTGTACTATACAGTAATTCTAGTAATAATTTCCGGTTATTTCATTGGGAAATGATGACAAGTAATAGACAATAATATCGTTACCTAAGTTTCCTTACCTAATTGGAAATAATCATAATTTCTAAACTGTCAAATTCTCTGGCAACAATACTGTAATCTTATATGATTTTACAAACGGCCGAGTCCGAAATATTTCGATTTAAATCATAATAATTTGGTAGTCATTATACCAATAAGAGTTTTTAGTACTAAATAAAATTCGTTTTCCATCTGCCATTCGGGTAAAAATTAGCTGCAGGTATCCCACGATTCCCCTGTACCGCCGGGGATAAATAATATTACCAACCCATTAATATAATATTTTTTTTACGATTTCGTAATTTTTTTCATTTCGGTCAGTATCATTGAGACCTCCCAAGACCCAAGACTTGGATTATTATTTATTTTTTTTTTTTCTATTATTATTTAAAATGCTTTGTGCACAAACAATAATATTTTAGGAACTATATTGTAGATATTTTCATTTACTTTCTAGATGATGTTTTAAACAATTATCGATGTGATTCCTATTTAATTTTACCATTATGTATATTATTAATACATTTTTTTTTTTTATTATTTTCATGAAAACGAACACGAGTGTTCAAAACGTGTTTACCCTGACCGTTGGTGTTTTCAAATTTGTTTAATGGATATTACTGATCCAAATTTTAAAACGTCCTGCCCGCCCATACATGTGTATATATATTTTCTAAAACAATTAAAATAATTAATTGTAAATTATTTTGTGTGATTATTATAACATTATGTGATGCATAGATAATTATTAATATTGTTGTTTCGTAATTGTTAAAATGTTGAGTTTTAAAAATACCACGTTATCAGTGTACAACGGAAATTTCGTCGCTATATTGTTTACAGAATCTTCCAAGTTAAATGTTACGTTTCCTAAGAACAGTCAGTATATGTGTACGGACTGATTAACATTCTCACGCTCTCGGAACTGTAACATAAACTTAACTTTGAAAGACTCTGTATAATATTATTTAATATTCCGATTAAATATTTTTATTTTCATTCAATGAACTTTTTATAACATAATAGGAGTATATAATATTATGTATAGTAATCTTTATTTTTACATTAAAAATAATTTTATTTTTGAAGTCTGTAAAACGGGTGCAAAAATAATTTCACTCGGACGACACTTTCCCTGCAATTTTGCTTTCGTACATAATCTTATATATTTAGGTATAAAAAAAATCCGATGCCGCAATAATAATAATAATAGCGAACTTGGTACAAATCAGGTCTACGGTATTCGCCTTTTATTTTTATTAAATTTATTTTTCTTTTCTGCATGTCAGCTGTTTACGTTTGAAAAAACGAATTTTGTTCGGTATAGAGTCGCGTAAGAAATCGTGACGATAATTCAGTAATGTAAAATAATTATAAAACATATTATTGTATAAAAAAAAAACTTAATCGATAAAATGAAGAAAAAAACAAACTTTATAATATGTATATAGATATTGTTTGTATTTAAATTGATCATAGAGTGTAATATAACGCGTAAATCGTAAAAATATTGAAGACATATAAATAATGTATGTATTGATATATTATAATCATTGTGAAATCTTGAAATTTGTTAAGAAAAAAATGACTCTTTAACGTCATTTTAGAGACAAAATAGTCAATAGGTATGAAATTAATTCGGCGTTAATCTATAGATATTGTCTATAAATATATAAAAAAATGAATGCGTCGCCTGGAGTATTATGAAATGTGTATTGTATAACCGGTTTCGGATTAAAAATTCATCGTCATGTAAAATCACTAATTCAAAAAGTAAAACGCCACTGAATATGAAAATATAAATGAAGGAATGCATAGCGACAAAATTATAAAATTGGTCGTTTTACATAGAAATAATATATTTAAAAAAAAAAATTTTGTCTATAGTTTTGTATATTTATACTTTTATCCCTATAATCTTTCGAAAAAGGAACTTACATTATATAATTGAAACATAACGATCAAGTTAGGATTTACAAGAACTACAACAACATTGACTTTTATACACGAATATAATAATAATATATATTTATATTATACACCTATGTTTTTCCTACGATCTGTTTCTTCTGTTTATCTTAATCTGTATTATTTAGTATTTATAAACTATTTTTGTTTTGTAGTGGGTAAGTAAGTAAAACACATGAACCAAAAAAAAAAAACAAAAAAAAAAAAAAAAATGTAAAAGACCTGCTATTATTAATTTTAACTTTTAAATCATAATTATATAATATTATAAATAAAACATTTTTCAAATGTATATAAAGGTTATATTTTTCTTTCTCACTTATTTTAATATTATAAAAAATGTGTATGCATGTATGTATGTTTGTACCTATGTATTTATAATATTATGTGATTTCTCATCAGGATATTTTGTACACCCATAATAATATAATATTTGTTTACGGAAAAAAAAAAAAAAAAAAATGTCTATCAACAACAATATTATTAATATTCCAGCCGTTATTATATTCTTATATGTACCGAAATATTATAATAATATAATATCACATAATCATTATATATTATAACATAGATATTACGAGTTATATTTTTAGCGAGCTGATATACAAAGTCCATACGACCGAATTTGAAAAATTATATTATTATCTATAACATTTTTTTCTTTCTAAATGTTTCAGCGAGTGCCTTAACAGAAATAATAATTTGTAATAAAGTATTATAATATCATTATATAGTTCGGTACGGATGTATGTAAGTTAATAATCGAAGCTATAAATTGTATTATAATTTTAGTAAACCGATTTTCTAGCGTGCGAACCGGAATAATATCCTTGTTTGTTTAATAGGTAATAATTATTTATTAACAATATTAATTAATATGTATGAATTTTGTCAGTTACCCATATTATAATAATAATTATAACGTGTAACATTTGGCCAACGTCCATTTTTTTAGTTATTTAAACTACATTATATTATATTCGTGTTTACAATAAGATGCTAATAATAATGAAAATAATATCACGGTTTTTATTATGCAAATACGGTTGTAACAAAACTAAACAAATATTAAACTTGTTAATTTAAAATTTAGTTACGTGTGTATGGGTTTTGTTATTCAATGTTATACTTCGTTGTATCGTTAACTAGTTTATTGCAGCTATCTCCATGCCTCTTTGTTGCGCCTAAATTTTTTTAGATCCTTATATTTTGGGTCCTTCATTATTACTCGAACTATAATTCATACTCAAGTATATACAGGGCGTCACACGAAGATATATCAAATGCAGATGCGTGTACAAGAGGGGGGAGGGGATTAGGGGTTTAAACCCTTACCTCCCGAAATTTCATGGAAATTATGATGAAAGTAGATTTTTAATTGAGTCTCAAAATTGGTTTCTGTCAATGAGGAAGATAAATACGATTTTGGTTTTATTTTTATTTTATTACTTGATAGTAGTAGGTATTCTATTGTTATTATCGTTCAATGATATGAATCACGTTACCATTTAGACTGTAGGTGTTCATTAAAACAATAGTAAAATTTAGTAACAGGTACCTAAAAGGCTAAAAATCTGTACTAGAATAATGGGGACGAGTGCAACCACTGTCATATGTAATTTAATGTAAATCTGTAAGCAACGGTTAACCATTGATAATGAAAAAACGATTCTGAGCGAAGTTCGGTTGATAATATTGCCCTTTAACATCAAAATATGTCATATTAACGTAAAATAATTACATATGCATTATATATTTTCTTTAATATCTATCATGGAGGACTCATGGCATATTCTTTTATACTGTCCACTACATGCCAAGCTACAATCGCAACTTACTGATGCCCTGTACGCCTCGGGGGTCCGGGGGGGGGNGGGGGGGGGGGGGGGGGGGGGGCTGTAGAGTGCCGCAAACTTGGTGGAATCTTATGTACATGTGGTTTAGACTATTATTATTATGCCAGTGATGATATCTTGAATTTATAGAAATAAGCGAGTTTTGGTTTTTAAAATTGAGTGGAGTATTTAGTTGAATATTAGACCAACTTTAATAATTTAAATGTAACAAGACTATTTAACAAATATAATAATTTTTTCTATTGAACAGTTTTATTTAGTTATTTTTTTTTTAATAATTACTGGAGCTATGCACTATATTTTTTATATTTTATATTTTATTCTATTACTTTACAATTAAAAATTTAGATATTTATTAATAAAATGTATTCAACAACTAAAGATAGCTTTTTTACAAATCATTTTTTAAAAAAAATATTTGTATTTAAAACTATCAATTAGGGTTCTATCATTTATTTTTAAACAATTTTTAATGTTTGTTAATAATCAAATTTATTTCTTGCTAGTTTTACTGGCGATAAATTGTATTGAACTAATGATAAATGATGTGAATTTTATCAGATTCATAGGTTAAATTAAAAAGATAAGAATATTATCAAATTATATAATATTCTATAGAAAATCAATTTCACCATTTGAAAAAAAAAAAATGCAATATTTCATAAAACTTTAAAAATGATCAACCTGAACCAAGGTAAAAGTTGTTGATATAATTTTTTTAAAATTCGGATTTACTAAATGGCTTTTTCAATTTATTTATTATTTTTTAAATACAATTTTTAATTTTGTTTTCCTAAACATTAAAATTTAAAACAAAATATTCCAAAAGGTAATATTAATTTTTTTTTAAAAAAAAAAGACTTAAAAATATTCAAGAAAAAAAAAGTTTAATATTTATTAAATAATCCTGTTACACCCAATACAATAAATTCAAAGCATTTGATTTGAATCTACAATAATAGTATTTTATTACTATTTATTTTTACACAGTATATAGTATCAATAGCATGTACATATACATATTTTAAATTAATTGTTGAATATTGTAATATACATTATAATGAATGGCACACATCACATTATTTATAATAATATAAGTATTATAATGCAAAAAAAAAGATGTTATGGGTTGAGTTGCTCAGTGGAAGCGTCAGATTTTCTTCGAGATAAACTTCGCTGAAGAGAGATCGGAGTTAACCATTCCTTTGGCAGACAACGTTGGAAAAAAGGAATACACGAGCTGACATAAGCCAACCTATTTATCCAACTTGGTATATCTTGCCCACATAATATCTAAATAAAAATAAATTAAATAAATAATATTACTTATTTTATGAAACAGTACTATAATTTTATAATATTGTTTATAATATTAAATATTATAAGTAATAATTTATTATCGACATTATCAAATAAAAAGTTATAATGTTAGACTATAATGTCTTAAAAAGTATACAGAGTGTAAACTTCAAACTGGATTGTATCAGAATTCAGGATCATCTTAAAGAATATCTTTATATACATATATGCATAGTTAATAAAATGTCAGATATACTTCCTATGTGGGTGGGGCCACTGCTGTAAGTTGGAAAGGTAGTAGAGGGAAAATTAAATGTATATCTGTAAATGAAAAGCGATTCTGAATGGAGTTCAGTTAATAATGTCGCTTTGTCAACAATATATATACCTCATATTATGGTAAAATAATTGCATAATAACATAATATGCATTATATATTTTCTTTAATAATATCTATTTAATATTATACCTATATTTCTACAATTTTCCAGATTTCTCATGTTTTTTTCCGATTTATTATGAAAACACTCTAGTAGATTTTCTTTTGGAAAAAATACTATCAATGATGTTTCTTTTTTTTTTTATCTAATGATCATGATAATGATAAAAAAAAAATAATAATATATGCAAAGGGGGTAACATTATCTCTATAATACAGATATACATATATTTAGTTATACAAAAATGTGAATTTTAAGAAAATTAATAATAATAATTTTTTTAAAGTAACATATACATACAGTAGAACCTTGATTATTCTAACCTCTATTATAAAAACCATCTATCAATTCATGTATGTGAGATTTAAATGCTCAAAAGCGCATATCAGTGATTCATCAAATGAAAATTGATCAGTTTGTCAAAAAAAAAAATTATACATACATTATAAAATCTATAACATTTAATAATATTTTTATATTCATAATAAGTAATAACATAATAATTATGTGTAATAATAAGTATAATAGGTCAATAATATGTAATAATAATTCTGCATTCATTATACAAAATACAAAGAATATCTTTTTTTAAATTTCTATTATCCAAACTCGGTGTAGTCCCAATTAATTCCCATAATTAAGGTTCTACTATAGAAGCTTTTAGTGCAAAAGAAAAATTTTAATAACTTAATGGCAGCCCTCTAATTAAATATAATATTATATGACATAATTACTTCCTTCATAATGACTCATCCTCATACACACACATTAGAAAACAATACTACCAATGACTAAGTGACAATTGTATGTCTACCACTTGCATATATACATAAATACATACATACATACTACTGTTTCAATATGTTAGATGCTATTATACATAGTGATTAGAATAATATAAGGTGTCACTAGTAAGAGACAAGTTAAATATTTTAAGAATTTACTTTTGTCAATGATCCAGAAAAATGGTTACAATTTTTATTCATCAAATGATATCGATCTCCTTGAAAATCTTTACCGAGTTCTGTCAATATTCTTTTCACATCACTCACAGTGAAGTCAGTGTTTCCAATATATATAGATTCTCTAAATTTTAAAAAAAAAACAGTATTAATATTTTATACAGCAATTTAAATTTATGAAATTCTTTATGATATTAAATATTCATTTTTATTTTGAATTCGTTAAATTTGTATTACAACTTGAAGTTAATGACAATAGTTTTTTTTTTTAATAATAGATATTATCTGCAATTCACAGAATTAACTTAATAATTGTATATTTTTGATGAATTTAATATTAAAAAACCAGAAATAAATAAGTATCCTTAACACAAAATATTTAACTCCAAAATTATAAGTTAAATAAATACAAAAGTAGATCAAAGCAGATAAGTTCACAAATTAAATATTTTATTATTCAATCAGGTTTGAGCTTAATAGAAGTATTTTAAAACTAAACTGAACTTGAAAATGTGAACATATTTTTTAATTGAATGAAAAGTAAAATAGTAGAGTATGTTTATTTAATTGTTTAATAATTAATTATATTTTAATTGCTATTTTTTTATTTATATATTATAAATTGCACTTTATAATTCATTGTTTTATTATTATTTTTTTTTAATCAAATTCAAGTCACAAAATAATTATTGTATGTGCTAATTTATTTGGACAGTATGGTAATGTATACCTAATATATATAATATTTTATTATATTATTTTTTTTTCCAATCAATAAATACCTATAAAATTGTATTATTTATTCAACAGTTTTAAAATTTTAAGTATTTTTGAGTTTTTGAGACATTAAAGAATATAATATTGTGGTTGTATTTTTATTTATTTCCAAAAAATATGTTATCTATTTATTTATTTGATACAATTTAAGAGCAAATTAAGGAACATATTAAAATACTCGAACAGCAGATAATAGATAATATTTACATTGCATATACATGTGGTTCAACCATTTTCAGGTAATAGATTCACAGGGTATAGATGATATAAAAAACTTTGAAAATTAGATAGCAAATATTTCATATTTTAAGTATTATTAATATAATTTAAGTTTTGTAGAAGAGTTTAGCATAAATAATATCTAAAACAAGTTTTAATGTATACTTTTGAATGAACAAAAAATAAATTATTGCACAACAAAAATGTTAAATAAATCTATTTTTGTACCTGTATCTATAGTGATTTCCTAGTTCATAAACATCTTTTGGCATCATATCAAAAATTCCAGAATCAGGTCTATCATGGCCTCCATATCCATATTCTAAAATAAAAAAAGTTTTTTATCAATAACAAGATAGGTACTTTAAGGTATTTTAAACATGCAACATATCAATTTTATGGTTAAGTTATGCATACAGTCAAATTCTGATTGTTGGAACTTTTAAGTATAATTAAGGACAATATTTTTGAAAACATAAAATTTATAATTACAACATTTAAAGAGTATCTGTAGAGATACCAAATTTGGTTTTTTAAATGAAAACCTACATTTTTTAATACAAATTGTGAATCAAGTAATTTTTCTAAAAATATTGATATATTGTAATCAAAATTTGCATGAAAAATGTTAGAATTGTTTTACTTTAAATATTAAGAATAATAGTTTATTAAATACATTGTAAATGGGTATGGTTTTATAATTTTTACTAAGTATAGGAAAAATGTAAAATATTTGTTAATAGTTACTATTTATTCAAGTATATATAGACAATTTTTTAAAATACTGATTGCTAAAATAATATTTGTTACCTTGTCCATACACTTCAACTCCGGAATGATAAACGCCAAGTCCCATATGTGTTGTGTACTCATTGATCCAATACTTAAAAATAAAATAATTACTGATTAATATAAAATATTTAAAATGTTTGTAAACACTGTTCTACAAAATATTATTTAATACCTATTAGTTATAGGTTTTGAAATAATAACACAGATTTAAAAGTATTATCTTCTGTTGATAGTATATTTCTCTCTAAAACATCAGTCTTAATAACATCATGGAGGTAAATCAGAAGGCAAAAGTCAAATTTTTGTACACTAGATTTCTGACTTCTAATACTTCTCTATACTTACAAATTAATACAATACATTTTCTATGTAGGTTTTTCTTGTATATTTCCCTGCATTTTCTTATCATTTCATAAAATGTATATAATCGCTCATATACATTTTTAATACTTCTTTAGTACATTTATACAATATACACAAAACTACCTTTTTACAACTGTACATTTTCCAATTTTATTCTGACATATCAATATTTTGTAAAAAAAAATACACAAATAAATATCAATATAAAATAGTTGGAAGTCTTGTTGCCAAATTAAATATTTTGGTACCAATGGCTTAGTAACCACCAATCAAGAATGAATAAAACTTTATGAAAAATATAAAATGTTTAAATTATAAATAATGTCAAATGTTGAGTTTAATGTGTTATATACATTTTTTGGAAAAAAAAATAGATCTATTGGAATCTATAAAAAAATATGAGGGATTTGATATGAAGTCATTTAAGAAAATACAAATTATACTGCTCAACTTAAGACAATTTTTTGAAAATGCACTATTGTGCACTTATAGTGTACATAATTCATTATGTACACCCATTATATCAATTACCTCCTAAAATTCTTGTTTAATTATGTTTAAAACAAAATTAATTGATAATTTAAATTTGTATTATATTATAACATTATATTTTTGGTTTATTCATTGTGGTATTCTCTTAATTAAACTAAAGACTTAAGTAAAATATTTTGTACAAACAGTGAAAAATACTTATGAAGTAATAATAAATGAATAATCCAATATCAAACATAAATAATTTTGATAAATGGCTCCCAAAATGTTGAACATGAAATAGTAGTTGAGAATAGTGTGTTTATTTTTGAGTGAATAGAGAAAATCTGTTTTTGGTGAGAAGCATACTACCCTAGAATTGTGCCAACTCAACATTAGTGATTGAAGAAACTGACCAAGTTTATATAAAAAATTTGACTTCATTATTGATAATGATTTTAGATGTTTTTGTGAAGATATAAGTAATTATTGTGTTGAGTTAAAATATGATAATCTTTCATTATATAATTGAAAAATTTATAATCTATACATAATTTGCACAATAAGTAAATGTGAGGAAGGAACAAATTAATTTTTATTTGACGACATGAAAAGGGAAGCTTTCCAATGATAGAACCTAACATACTTTATAACATATTAGCATAAAAGGTTTATACACCAATTGAGTTTAAAGTGGAGCACTGGATTTTCAGAGAGAGTTTTACATGAGAGCGAAGAAATTAATTAAAGGGTTTGGGTGTGTTACTAATTTAGAATGGAATCTCGAGTAATGTTTGGTAGCTAGTTGACTGACTGTTTCAATAATTTATTATTTAACCTCATCTCTCAATTACATATATTTATATGTGTGGTTTAATCTCTATAAAATCTAAACAAACCTAATAATGGTTTTGCTTTATTCATGAATAAAGCGAAGCCAATTAATATTTTTAAATCATTTTAAATTGTATGATATATAACATTAATGTAAGTGTTGATGATAAATTGTAAACTTAAAATTGCATAAATTATTGTGCATTAGAATATTGCTAATGAATGAATTACATACCTAATTAAATTCAGGGTTTTGAACATTAATTTAAAACCCGAATACATTTGTATTCATATTCATTAAATCTAAAATTGAATGCAATTACATTCAAATTTATTTTATTCAAAGAAAAGGCATTCTCAATCAAAAAAAAATATATATATATATACATTGACAACCACATTAATAAAAAAAAAATGTATTAGGAAATTAATATTACCTACATACTACCTAAATTAAATTGTATTATTTAACATAAAAATATACTATATATCTATAAATAAACATACATTTAAACAATAAACTAGTGTTTGGAATGATTGCAATAGTACATTCAATTTGCATTCACATACATTATTAAAATGAATGCCTTCTCGATTATAATTCACCTTAAATTTACTGTGTATACATTTAATGCATTTTTTAAACCCTAATTATATTATATAAGGTGAAGTCGCTACTCATGACCAGTATCCGTGCTATGAATCTATGAGCTACACATTTTGTTTTTATTTTTATAGTGTAATTTGATGAGCCATATGGTTATTGTTGTAGTAATCTATATTAATTAATTTAATGGGCAATATCAATTAATACAAAAACAATGAACAATACAGATGGTCAGATGGAAAAATGCAATTTTAAAATACTAATAAAAATGTGTCATTCCATAATGTTTTTAAGACTGAAATTCAAACTAAGTTTGGTAAACTTATAATGTATTTATGGTTTAGTTTTGATTTTTTTTTCAATAGCCATAAACAGAAAAAATGAAATATTAAAAGAATCAAATGTTTAAGATTGCCATAGGAGATGATTCCTAATATAATATCATAAAAAATATATTTTTTAGTAGTTTACCAAGTTATTCAGTAATAAATCACATCACAAATAAAATACGAACACAATATTTTCAGATCTTACAGTATAAAATTAAAATATACTACCAGCTCCAGAATTAATTTGATGGCTAATTGGTTAGAAATCAGTATTCCTTAAGTATGTTATGATTAGTAATCTGATTACTAACTGAATTGCAGATTATTCATCTACAAATGAAGAAACTTTTTCACTAAATGGGTAGTACCGAAATGTCCCATCCAACTGTATCCATTCTTAATGATATCACATTAGCCATCAGATTAAAAACTGGCGATATATATTACCTAAAATGTAAATATGAATGTTAACTAAAACTTACGACTATTAAAATCAATGATAATAATAGTAATGATAACAATAATAATGTTTTAATGATAAAACAAATTTAATCAACTCACATTTATTTAAAGAAGGAAGAATTTTTTTTCAGTTATTACAATACAACATTCATCTTAAAAAATAATATAATATTATAAAAGATAAACAGCAAAATGATTAGTAATTATTATACTTACATATATTTTATTTCTAATGATCTTTGAAATATTTGAAATAATTGGTAAACATTTGCAAATAATAAGAAAATTATTTTAAAGAAACCTAGCTACTTTTTAAAAATGTCGATTAATAAATAATTTTAACATTTAATAAAATATTGTTGGTCATGTCTACTAAAATGTAATAATGGATGAAGTTCTCTTTGAATTTTTTTTTTTTTTAATTTTTTGGGATATCCCTAAATTTGATTAATAAATTCAATTTTTAATGAATTTATAATTTCCAAATTAAACTGGCATCCATACAACTATACAGATATATTTTGGGTAAATTACAGTGAATTAATTGTAACAGTTACCTACTTAATACTTTGTAGTGTTAACTGTATACTACAGTTAAAAAATATGTATTGGTAACAAAATTTTTTGTCAAATTCAGACATATATTTATTAGGGGTTTAAATACACGCTAACACAATATTAACCGATACACAATTACCTATTTACTTAGCACACCTGGGGAAAAACGTTAAATCGGGCATTTGAAATTGTACCTAGATACACCTAAGTATTTAGTTGGGCCACCATCTGCGCAATTATTGTTATACCCAATTAAAACAGTACAAGTGTAATGAATTAAATGAATTAAATTTCCAAATACAATTCGATTTCCAAATATACTAAGCTATTGTTATTTTTTATTAAATTTTCCTACCTACGCTAATGGTACCTAGGTATTGTCACTGTTTATCGTACACCTATGTATTCGTTAAACACATAACATCCACCGCACATTTAACCCAATCAATTAGGTGCCTACTCATAGAATAGAAACACAGACAGTAAACTTACCATGTCGTAGACGTGAACGAGCACTGGTTCTCGGGCCATAATAATATTAGATATTATTATCAAACCGTTGACAGGTTCCCATAAAACGAGACAGCAACACGGCAGTAGTGGATTCGACTGGAAAAAACTGATTGATTTAAATTTTTAACAATAAACTTCCCATAAGTGGCATGAACATGAAAAACAAATTTATATCAAATTTTTGGTATTTTTATTGGCTAGGGTAACTGTATTGATAACTGTCTGTCAGAACTCGGAACTAAATAGGCAGGTAATGTAGTACCACGGCAACAACGGACCGGAACTCCGGACAGACGGATAGGTACACCGAAGATCCACGGAGCCTAAACGTTTTATCAGTTTAAAAAAAAAACCTTAAGAATTAAATGGCAAAAAAAAAACACACACAAAAGTGCGGCGCTCGATATAAATATGATTAATTATTGCAAAGGAAAACAAATAATAAAAAGGCAAAACTAGTACGACGGCGGAGTTACCTGGTTTTTTTATAGGCATTCACTTTTATTATTTTTACGTATTCGTCTTGCTCGCCGGCGGTGGCTGTTGTCGGCACGGTCTGTGCACAACGGCGACGGCGTACGACTCCGAACGCAATTGTATTATTAGTGTTGTTTTGTTGCCGTCGGCCGTCGCGCGTCGCTTTACCGTAGACGCCGGTGGTGTCTGTGAATGCTGGGTACAGCGATTACTATGGTGCGCGTACTCTGCCACCACACTGTCCACTGGCACCCGCGTACGCTGCACAGTGCAGTGTGCACATACACACACACACACACACACACGAGAGACGGCACACGGCGGCGGCGGACAGTGTGTTGACGCCTAAACGAGGCCAACGGAATCGATTATGCTCACCGCGTTTCAGTATGCGGGAGACGAACGTGTAATATTACCACGATGTTATTATTATTCGTGTATTATTATTCCACGCGCGAAATATTATTATTATTATTAAAAAAACGTAGGTACCACGAAAAAATGTACCAATAATAATTGATTATATGTACCAAAGTACGATGATAATAATATCATTGTATCGCCCGGTACCCACCGTGTATATACTGTTGGCGCGCGCGCGTGCGTGTGCGAGTCGCGAGAGCTGTTGCGCGTGTGTACACTACAATATTTTGTTGGAAAGGAACGTTTTTATTCGGCCGATGGTTTTCGTTTTGTGCTGTTGTCGTTGTCCGCACCGCACATAATTAGACGGGGAAGAATAAGGGGAGCGCGTACGAACCGGGAAATTGTTCTGGGCTGGAACCGTATTCCGGACGAAATACTTCTTTGGAATGTAAAATCGCCGAACGTAATAATCCCGGCGAATGCCAAACACTCGTCATTGGTTTCTAAAATATTCTTGTTACGCCCGTAAAGTAGACGTTTTCACAAATTGCGTTTTTCTCCTTCGGGACCTACCCGACGGGGTTTCTTATAGAAAGAAAAAAATCGAGGTGGGTGGTTTCGACTGAAATTCTGATATGATGAGCTCGCGAGACAATCGAGTAAAAATGGCCACATCAATATTGTCAACGCGTCATATTGGGAACCATTGGTTTTTACCAAATTTCCCCTTTTTTACAATCAGGATTTTTGCGTTTCGTGAATTTACGTTTCATTATTATACTTTCCCGACTTCTACAGCCCTCCGGAATACGAGTTCCATTTCTATCCGCCGGAGGTCATCACTGGGCCGAATTCACTGAGTTTTTTACAAGTCATTTTGTCAGTTCACAGGAGAATAATGATTTGTACGTTTTTTTGGGGAAATACTCATCTTGCATTTCAAAAATCGCAATAGATATTGAATATGATATTAATTATTTGGTACACACTATATAATATTACATAATTACTTATAAGTGTGATACCTAAACTTTAGGTACCTATACACCCAGGTCTTGTTGGAAAATGCCGAATTTTCTTGGGCCGAATACGCGAAAAGAAATAGGTACTTACTTAATATCTAAAAGAAATGTCTTCGTTCTTGTATTATTTTGGCCGTAAACGGTACCTATAGTTAGTTATAGTTTTAACATTATTATTACTAGGCGTACGGCGTACTAAGTAACACACATTAGTTAATTATTAATTGTCTGAAATAAATAAAACGGCCATACTGAAACACAGTACATTTTTATGTACTCTTTGCGTATGTTTCTGAACTAGGGAGGGGGGCTAGAGCCCCAGCTGTTTTATCTTAATGAACGAGAAACGTCTGTCTCTGGCATTATCAACCTTGCATCCACTCTTTCACGTAAGACAAGTGCTATTGATTAAAAATTGTCAACAACAGCCTCACAGTTTTTAAAATTGCACACCCATTTAGTATCGCTGATTGCGGTGAGAGTAATAAATTTTCATCAATAATTTTTGTTTCATGTATATCAATTTTTAATTATTAACTGTGGGTTGTAAAATATGTACGCATAACGATTCTAGTGCGTTGAATTGGTACAGACGTCTATGTAAAAACTAAAATTAATACTCATATCTGCTTTATAGATTTAAATATACATTCAATTAAATCTCAAATAACTATCTGAATTAACTAACCTTTACTTGTTTACACATATAGTGGAACCTTGATAAGTCGAAATAATATTTTTCGACTTATCGAGGTTTAGATTTGTTAAGGTTTTCGAGTCATTAGTTTTAGGGGAAAAAAATTGTTACTGGAGTTTTTAAAACGTATGTACGTATTATAGTTTTCAATAATTATATAGTATGTAATATATAAATATAATTACAGTGTGTACTGTGCATTGTTATTATTATTATTTAAAATTGCATTACTAAAAAATGATGATAAAAATACGATTAAATAATTAATAATTTAATAAAAAAAGTCAGGTACCCTTTTTGGGAGACTGGAGGGATAGGCCGCCGCAGTTACGCCTCTATACATAAAGTCTGTAGAAACATCGTTTTAAATAATAGTAGAATTTAATTTATGCATAGGGTGAACAGTTGAGAGGAATTGACATAGCTAAAGATGGATGAGGTTCAATAGTAGACAAAATTAGATAAAATATACTGAGCTGGTTTGGGTTAGGTTATATTAGATATCTCCTCCAGGCTCATGTCATGAGGAGAGAAAAATCAGAAACAGTAAGAATCGTAATAAAAATAAACATAGGAAAGAAAAAGCGGAAGAGGAAAACCGAAAAGGAGATGGTTAGATGCAATTGAGAATGATAGAAGGACGGCTGATATATGTGGGGAATCGTGTCAAGTGGAAGTTTGGGACGAGGGTGGCTGATATCCCGAATAGTTGGGACAAAAATAAAGGAGTAGACGATTTTTATAATAGAAGTAATGCACGCTTACGTGAATATTATTAACAACCCATATACGCATATCAACGTCGTAGACAGGGAAGGAACTGAGGGATCGTCCTCCCCCCCCCCCGAAATCTTTTTTTTTCCGTATTGCTGTAATGCAGTTACATAAATTCGTTATATTAATAAAATGTATTATTTATTATTATTAATAATAATACATAATTATAAATTTAATTATCATTAATTATAATTACTATTTTAAGTATTATAAAATATATTGTTTTATACCTAAGAAGCAGCTGTACAGTGTACACCGAAACGATTGCCATAATGAATTTAAAAATTAATGATTTAAAACGCCTGAAGACCTACATTCCAAAATTTTCTGTTTCTAGATATTGGGAAAAATTTATGAGTGACCATTTTGCTAGCAGCTTAAATAATAAACTTAAATAAATAGTAAAATAATATTATGTTTCCAAATTGCTTAAAAGAATAAAAGATTTTTCGTTGCAAACAAAAAAAAAACATGTTTTAATCTTTCTATATTTTAAATGCATTTAAAAAGGTTATTTTCTAAAAAGGGACGTGTCCAACAATGTTGGTTGCCATTAATGCGCTTACTGCGTTTATGTTAATTTTTAGAAATTATTGAGATGATTAATTTTAAAGAAAAAGGATAATGATGTAGTTTATTCATTTTTACGCCTAGCTCCTTTTCAGTCTTGCCTAGACAGTTTGTGCCAGTTTTTTAGTTTTAGGGACATGTCCCTTTACTGCAATTAGTGATTCATATATTCTCTTACAAAGCTAAAAACTTTGTTTTAATTTTACGTTGTAAAACTATATGGAATGGAGGGGGGGGGGTATAAATAAAAAAATGATAAGGGAATAAGGAAGTCATAAAATAACAGTTGATAAGTATTCTAGCTTAACAAGAATTATATTAAAAAATTAAGTGTCCCCTCACAAAAAAAAAATTCTAACTACGATAATGACTTATATACTAGTATTATTTAAATAAAATAGGTATATTGAAATAGTATTATTAATCGAAGATTTTGTATACTTATCCACTTGCCCGCGTACGTACTTATCTCCGGACCGCCCGGCAGATGTCGTCGTGATCGTTTCTGGCGTTTTCTGCTCGGCCGCCGTTCCGTGACTGTGTCCCGGCGCGGTGGCGGCTCGTCGTCTACCAAAACGGATGTACCTACGGTGCGCGGGGCCGACGACACTACCGAAACTCCTCGTCTCTTTCGGTCCGATCGCCGAACGCCGCAATATAATAATAATTTAATTCTTTTCATTATTATTACGCGACATGATTATATTACTATAATATTACAACAATATAATCAGTAGGTCGTAGGCGGGAGGAATAAAAAAAAAATAATCCGCTATTCAATGCTTATAATACAACGCCTATAAATTAAATAATAATAAAATGTAACCGCTGCACGTTGCATTTCTAACAATAATATTATCGAAACCGGAATTATATTCAGATATTTTAAGGCGGGGAGGGTGATTGGTGTATCAACTCCCTCTCTTCAGGGTTTTCGTTGTACGTACCTACTCTATATTGACCAAACTGTAGGCCATTTAATATTATTTTTAAGTTCAGCTCTGCCAATATTCCCCTCCAAAATAAAATGCCCGGTCTAATATTTAGTGTGGCGGTACGGCACTCGAGCGTGTTAATAATGAACCAACACTCTCCTCCAACCTAAACTTAAAAGTGGAATACCTCGTCAACAGATCAACGAAAATCAAAAATGTCAACACTAAAATTTATTTCAACTAATACTCAATCTATTTATGGACTTTTTAATATAAGTTATCGTTTGAAAATCAAAATTAGGTAATTGTTTTACCCCTAAAAATAAGGGTAACAAAAAATAACAACACAAATATAAAATTGTGGAGCAGCTTGTTTATTAAAATATTTTAGAAATCAAATTCCGGAAAAAGTAAATACTTTCCGAGATAACTAGTGTACTCACTTAAATTAATCAACTGGTATAACAAAAAAAAAAAAAAATAGTAATAATAATAATAATAATATTAAATTAAGGTCAATAGCCTGTCACCTCTCCCCTTCCTTCTTGGTGCGCTTCTCTTAGATCCCCCTTTTAGAAATTATGAATAGGCCACTGTGGCATATTACAGTTCATAAATACCTAGTGCATCAATGCATACATTTTATAGTTAAAAAAAAAACGTTAAAGGAGCGCGTAAAATATTAGAAAATATTTTGTCGGAACCGTATTTTTTCGGAAAAATATTTTGTAAGAATCATATTTTAGGTTCTGAGTGAAGCTAAGAGCTAATAGTTTTACAAAGATGTTTATTTTTTTTTCTGTGATATAATATATGTCCATTGCCCATCATAAATGTAGTTAGGTACTACTTTGAATATAAATTGTATAAACAAAATAAAAAAAGTTGTTTTTCAAATCTGTAGTTTTTACTATCGTGTTGTAATGCTCTAATAAAATCATATATTTATATTTTGAACACGCATAATATAACTTTACTAATATTTAATTCGTATTTAAATAATATCAAAATTTAAATAAATTTTTTGGCGGCGTGCTACTGCACAACACACTATATGTAGTGTGTCACGACATACGAGTTGAGAACCACAACTCTATTCAATTAAACCATGAACATTGTGTTTACAGTATTTTGTAGTATTGTTTATTAATAAATAAAATATTAGTACATAATTTAAAAAACTTTAAATGGTATGAAGTGTATTGTACTTGCGGGTCGACCGGGGAGGTGTAATTCTATACTAGACACTAGAACCACCGTCAAAAAAAATTTAATCTCAAGTCGCCTACTCTACGTGATAAGGTGTATCTGCAGGATTTAAAAATTTCTCATAATATGTTAACCTTTGTGTTATAGGAAATTGTCAAAGCCTACGGATTGTTACAATTATATATTATACGAACAACTTTTGATAAATTTAAAATTTGTATTGAGTATTATCGCATAAGGAAGTATTGTAAATATAAATTCCTTACTGCTGTTGGTTAAAGAAAAAAAAAAATTGTAAATTCCTATAGCTCCTACACGTATTTACGAATCGATTGTTACTCGGCACACGTAATTACTAATACGACATAGTATACACACACGAACCATGAATGATATTATAATCGTTTATAATTTTGTTTTAAAATTCTTTATAGTTGTATGTATAATATGTATATATTTTATACCTTTATATATGTAATACAATATATGTACATATTATATTAACTTGACCTTAACATAATGTAATATTGCAAGATAAATGATAATACACAATATTATATATTGATAATTTATAAACAATCATAATATATAACTACAGTTTTATTCAATATCAATTTTAATAGGATGTAAATGTCAGAAAGATAACGTGTATGGCTATTAATTTATTATGTCTAGTTTTAATAATAGGTAAATTATTAAATAATACAAAATGCTATAATAAATAACTTCACTTCCGATTTATCATTATTTTTAATAACTGTTAGTACAATTAATATACCTAATAATAGAAAATTGTTTAATTTGATTTTAGTAACCATCATTGGCAATATCGACCAAAATTTACTACTATAAATGGGCATTTCAAGAGAACTTATATATTTTATATAATAATAAACCTGTTATTTAAGAAAAAGCATTAACAACAAAGCTCTACCCTAAAATAAAAGCTGTCCTAGAATAATGGGGACGGTTGCAGCCACCGTTATAAGAAATTCAATGTAAGTATATCTGTAAGCAACAATTAACCATTGATAACGAAAAATCGATTCTGAGCGGAGTTCGGATGATAGTATTGCTTTATCAATAATTATTATTATAACACATTATGTCATATTATGGTAAAATAATTACATATGCATTATATATTTTCATTAATATTATTCCTATTTTTCCGTTTTTCCAAAGTTTTCTTGGCTTTTCCCATTTGTAGGGAAAACTCTTAGAAAAATCGAAAAAATACCTTCTAAAGTACCACCATAGTCAGATTTTCTTTCAGAAAAAGTGCTAAACTTGTAAATCGGAGTCAATTTTTTGATAGAAAAAAAAAACATCATTGTAAAACTTTTATATATTTCTCGCTTCACCCAAAATCTAAAATGTATCAAATTAAAATCTCTATCTAAAAATAATTTGCATAATAATATTTTCTGGATACACCGTGGTAGATTTTAGTTTTTCTTAAATTAATCTTTCATAGAATATATTTGGTCCCATCTTATATATAAGTCATCATATATATTTTTCAATTCAAGTAAATATTAAATTTTGAAAATTACCAAATGGTGTGATTGCTAAGTAGCTAAATTACTATGTAACCTAACCTAAAAATAGCGTTCTAATATCTCAACTCTTTTAATAAGTCTTATAATTATAATGACATGCCATTCCGCTAAAGAAAAAGGATATTCAATTTTTAGTAAGTATAACATGTGTTTTTCTTTCGTATCGTTCAATTTCTCGGTTATCTAAAAAGCCATGACTGCTGCCGCTTTGTCATTTGCCAGGTGTAAGTGATTTTTATAACAAGTGGTTTCTATTAGACGAAATCATAGTAGATGGTCCATTATCTATGTTTCACCGTATTTGCAGTTAGTAGTTTCTTCTTCTCTTAATATGTTCCATTTCTTAAGTATTGTTTAACATCGTTCAACTCCTGTTCTTAAGCAATTTAATCCCTTCCATTCCCCCCATTTTCAGTAATTGTCTTTAGGTAGCTGTTCTTTAATATCCTTTGTGGTTTTCTGTTATCTTTTTAGATTCTGAGTGGAACGAGGAATGCATAAATTTTTACAATGATGTTTATTTATTATTAATATTATTATTATTATTTTTTATTATAACTTTTCTACCAGGAATTTTGCTTTGATTTTCAAGTATAGCGCTTTTTCTAAAAAAAAATCTGATTGGGTGATACTTTAAGAAGGTCGTTTTTTGATATTCCCAGGAGTTTTCTCAAAAATGGGAAAAATCAGGAAAAAATAGGAAAACCGGGAAAATGTACGAAATTTATTATTTTCAAATCGTAAATATCAAAACATGTATAACCTAACTCCGCTCAGAATCGTTTTTTGTGAAAAATGATTAATCATTACGTATAAATATACATTAAATTTCCCCTCTACCTTCCCAACTTCTCACCCATAACAATGGCCCACCCATCGTGCGAAGTATATTCATTTCTTTTTCCGTCTGTATTTTTTTGTTTTTTTTGATAGGTTCTTTATCGGTTGAACCGTGATAAGGATACTTATCTTAGACTTAAGTCATATCATAGGTGGGCTCTTTCCATGTAAAGGGTGACGTGTATCGCTTAGTTGTTTGTTAAGTGAGTAGGTAAGAGTGTAATGGGTGTAAAGGGTGGGTTGGTGGTTAATAGGAAAATAATTAAACATTAGTACTTGCGTTTAATATTAATTTAGTAAAAATAGATTAAAATATTGGTAATGTTGGGATATATTGGTGGTTGTGCAAAGTATACTGATTGCTGTGTATTGAGTAGATATTACATAACCTTATAGATTACTTCCGGATTATTTTAAGTTCGTTTAGTCACCTATAGTAAATCAATAAATATTTTTATACATTTTAATATTGCATACCTGTATTCTTTGTAATCACAAATTGCATAATCGCGCAGTATGTAGATATAGGTGAGTTATAATTTGATATCAAATTTTAAAGAATTGAAAAGAAATTGACCTTGCTTGTTGATTTTGTAAAAAATTAGTATAAATAATATAATAACAAATATTTGTTAATATACTGTAATAATATTGATATTTAATAGCTCATCGGTGTTCTAAATATTGCGCGTTTGTATGAGTCAATATTACTGACGTTTAATATTACATTTTTTTTTATCACCCCCACTTTATTATATTATTAGATTATTTATATACACACGTATATTATTATACGAAATATCTATTATACATTTTCATTTGTTCACAGATAAAATATTTTATATTAAATTTTCGTTTATTTCTACAGTTTCACAATTAATGCTAAGCACGACAGACGGTCATCATGTTATCAAAAAGTTATTTTAACACGCGTACCTAGTTAAATATTATTATTGCCTATACATAGGTCGCTTTATAAAAAATTACCTACATTCGTGCGTAATAATATTACAGTTATAGTCAAATGCGTCGAATTATTATTAAAATACTCACCGATAACGATATTAGATAGGTATAGGTCGCGATTTTCTATAATAATAAAAAATAAAATTGATTACTTACCTACTAACAGTTTCAATCGAAATAATATAATAAAACTTTTTAAACGTGTTCTATTAAAATTTTTAATTATATTGGTACCCATATTAGAAGAAAAAAATGAAGACGATTTTAGTGATACTTCTATCGGTTTTTATCGATTACTCATATTTGACCAGTGAGTTCAATATAACAAAATTAATAATATAAATAATTAAATGTATAAGTTAGATAGATTATTATTAATAAAAAAGTTTTGTTTTTATAAAATTGTCATGTTTAATAGGAAGCATAGACACAACTTTAAACTATTGCTGTGACATCGGAAACATATGGAACGTGGAAAACAAATCTTGCAACATCACCCTGTCGTTCCCTTTGCCAAACGTCGCCACTGAACACAATTCGATATGTTTGACCACGGTAGGAGCGTGTTGTTTGCGTTCATTGAGGTATGTTTTTATTATAAGCTTCTCTTTCTTTTTCTTCTTTTGTAATATACACGACCGTTATAATAAAAATCTAACCGTCAAACATATTGTTTTCTATTATCACACCATTCTGTGCACCGCAATTTGAAAAATGTTCAACGGTTTTACAGCATATCATTTATGTTCACCTTATCTTTCCATCATCTCATATGTGGGAGTCCCAAGATTATTTTTCTTCTTGAAAAATAATAAAACTTACTCTAGAGCTGCTACTTTCCTTTAAGCATTATGATCAATCCGCTATTACCGACTTTTTTTAACTTTTATGATTATATATCTGACATCAGCTGAGTTCTTTGGGTTTTCGAATTCTTCATTCTCTTTCTCCGGCAGTATTTTCATCCTTGTTTTTTTAATTATAACAACTTTTTAATCCAGCCAACTAGTCGAAAAGTCATAAAAAAGTTAGATTCGCAAAACTTGTAGGGAAACGTCGTAACTTTTGATTTACTTTTTTCCATCACTAACTTGTAAATTTACAATTAATTTTAAATTACCCATCTATAATTCTAAACTACTCGAGTCAACGTATATTTATTTACGAGAGTCAACCATTTTAATAATTTTGATTTTATTTCATTATTTTAATATTTTATATTTGAAAAACTTAGTTTTTCTTTCATTATAATTTATAAATGTATACTTTATACCCATCTACCAAAAAAAAAAAAACAAGTCACTGTAACTTACTCTAGCTACAGTTGCTATAAAAAATACTATGTTGCTATAAAAAATCGATAGGGACTCTCAGTTGATAAAGAATAAATATTATTTTCGAAATAAAATATAATAAAAAGTAAAGAGTAATAGCTATATTTGTTGTTAAACTATATAGAGAAACGCGATGTAACGAGGGTAAGCAGGTCGGGTTAAATAATGGAATATGCAATGTAAAAGGCCAACCGGGAAAAAATCAGGTAGATTTTATGGTACGTATATAATATTACTATATTATACTTATTAATTAGTTATTAGTTGATGTATTGTTTTTTGACATCATTTTTGTTTTCAAATTTGTATACGCTAATCAGTATAACTTATTACATAAGTAGGTACCTATGAGGTGTACATAAATTATATAAAGTACGTGTGGTGAAATCAAAAAATGTTATAAATAACAAGTTTTAATATTTTTTCATACTGCTGCTGCTTCAATACTTTAAAAAATCATTATAATGTACTATATTATTTTTTTAACTATGTAAATTAGCTTTTCATCGTATAGGTTATTATATAATTTATAGTGTACTTATGGATATTAAAAATACTAGCATTTGTTTGTATAAAACGACTAATACACACGAGTACGTACTCGTGTGTATAAATGCAAAACAATTGTTTTGTAATATTTATTACTCGTGGTAATAATATGAAATTACCTAAAACACCAGCTATTTAGATGAATATTATGAGAACAAAATATCTCGACATAATATTTTTAATTACCTAATTGTATACATACGCCATCAAATTCCAATGTATAAATGCATAATACCTATATTAAAAATAAATTCAATTACCAAAAAAAAGCTCTAAGAATGAAAACATAGTGAAAAATAATTGTTCACATCCAGTAACACAAATTCAAATAAATTTGCAATTAGAATTTAATAAATTTAATTAATCAAACGATTATGTAATTATTGTAATTGTTTACTACATATGACTAAATTGTATTAATACGAGTATAGATGTGTTGTGAAATATGTAAAATTGGAATTGCTGTCGCCTTAACGAAAACGAACTGTCAATCGATTCCATTTTTTTACAATCATCAATGGGGCACAGTGTACCAGTCGTGTTGTAATTCTGAAGCTAGTAACAAAGAAAAACTAATTGCGATCTGTAAGTTAAATAGTATTTCTAATAGAAGAGGTGAAACGAAATATTATGAGAAAGTATATACCTCCCGCGATCTCATTTTCCTTCAATAATTATAATATTAATGTATCTTATATTATCTATATATTCATAACAAAAATTATGTAAATAATAATAATTGTTAAACAATTAGCCTTATCCTCTCTCATGATCAATTAATTTGACCACCGCTGATTTCTATATTCTATTTCTTCGTTATCCTTTATTTAATACCTATACAAGTATTAAAATATATCATATAAATTAAGATTTTTTTTTCGTTTTCTCAGGGTTATCCGGGCCACTAGGACTACTCATCCCGTCACACGTCCAATTCTTCAATATTCTTTCCGTCAGTTACTCTTAATTTTTAGTCTGATCCTCTATTTAGACATTTCATATCACTCCTGTTCATTGTATCTTTCCATTTCAAATGAGGTTTCCGAGGAGTCTCTTTCCTTTCTGGGTTTGCCACGCATAAAAGTGTTGTCTGACATATTTTAATTACGATTGTATCCAACATAATATGATTTTCTCTTTCTAGAAGAGTCCCTCTAGCTCGTTGTTCTTCCTTATTCTCCATTCACCGTGGTCCTATTCTCTTGAACTGATCCGAATATTTCCCTTCATGCAACAAATAAATTTTCTTTTTATCCAATTTCTTTAATAGTCATCGGCACAAACACACCCGAAGGGGGGGGCCAGGGGAGCCATAGCACCGCTATTTTTATAACTTTAAAAATTAGGGTTACAAAAATAAAGAAAACGTAACAATTAAGAATACATAATTTTAAAAAGTTTTTATAAAAGTCATTTATTTGAAAAAATATGTATTTCACGGAAAATTTGACTGTAACATGAAATTTGTAAGATCCTGTACATAATTTTTAAAATTTTTTTGATTATAGATAAAAATCCTTGTATCGATGGAACGCATGATTGCAAAGTCACCGAAAAATGTATAACTACACCAAACGGATTTGAATGCCAGTCTCAACAATCGCCGTCGCCGCTGTTGATGTTTCCCAAGAATGTTATATTAAATAAAAACAAACAAAATTGTAGTATAGGATATGAATTCGATTCGTTTGAAAAACAGTGTAAAGGTCGGTGTAACTTTGATTATTCGTATTTTAGATTTGGAGCCTAGCAATGAATGTATTGATTTTACAATGATGTTCGTTTATTTTTATTTATAAGAAACTTTTCTACCAGAAATCTTTATCCAATGTATCAAGTATAGCACTTTTTCTGAAGGGAAATTGTACCTACCTGATGCTTAGGAAAGTCATTTTTTGATTGTCCAATCGGTTTTCAAAATAATTGCACAATACCGGAGAAAAAACGTAGGAAAACGGTAAAATGTATGCTTTTATTATTTTAGATTCTGAATAGAGCGAAGAAGTTTATGGTTTTGCAAAGATGTTTATTATTATTGCGTTTTTTTTCTTCATTGCGCTCCAATTTCTAATGATAACAACGTTTCTAAAAGGAAATCCGACTGGGGGGATACTTTAGAGAGATCATTTTTCGATTTTATCAGGAATTTTTCCAGCAAATGTGAAAAACTGGAAAAAAAACCACGGGAAAACCGAGAAAAACATAGGAAAACCGGGGAAATCGGTACAACATTAAAAAAATATTATTAAAGAAAATATATAAAGCCTATTTAATTATTTTACTATAATATGGTATATATATATTGTTTACAATGCATCACTATCAAATCCACTCAGAATCGTTTTTTTTATAAGCAATGGTTTTTTGTTGCTTACAGGTATACATTAAATTACCAACAACAGTAGCTGCATCCGTTCCCATTATTCTAGGACGTCTTTTTAATTTTTTTTTTTTTGTGTCGTAGTTAAAAATATTCGTAGATTTGACATTTTGACAAATAACTCATATTTGCCTTTTCTAGACGCGGTAAATGGTAGTTTTTTAATTTTAAGTTTTAGTTTGGTAATTGGTAGGTACACAGTACACAGCTGTAGGAAAATTTTTCGACTCAACTAAAAGGCATACAAATTTAACAGAAAGTCCATTATAAGTCGTACTTAATTGTAAAAAAAAAAAAAAAACGGACCCGACCGTCTCGCCACTGTACCGACTCGGCGGCTTGCCGACTCCGCCGCACCGTCTGGCCGACGTACTATCACGCCGCCGCCTCACTCGTGTTCAATTCACCACTTTATATGTACAGTATACACACTATATTGCGAGATTATTCTTTTTCGTTTAAAACCTTTAACCATAACTCAGTTGTTTTTCAAGGCACATTGGTAAGATCTTCATTAGTATATATTAGGCTGGTTCTTATTTATGAACTTTGAAAATTTCAATGGGCTACCCCGCCATTTTGATCGTTATTATAAAAAAAATTTTTAATAGAATTTGGTTTTGATAACTCACTCCTTTCACGTGTCGCAAGGTGGTTGAAAAATGACCAAATTGCGTAGTTTTATGGTTTTTTGAGTTTAAGTGAAAAACTATTGCATTTATCGTAAAACTGTTCATTAACTTTTAAATAGATCTTTAATTGCCTATAAACAATCTTTTAAACATTTGTCGATAAAATCGTTATTATCCAAGGAAATTCATATTATTCACAGATTTAAATAATATACGCATATTGCACATATCTATATACTCTCTTCGAATAATCTTAATTTATAATAATTGTTATTTTTCAATTTAATTAAAATTAATTTTTATTTTTTAGATTGCATATTGTTTTAAATCTTTTAAATTACTCTGTTTCACGTTTTTACGGCTATTTAGTGTTTTATGTTTTAAACTTCACTGTTTCAGCTTTTTATTTGAATGACTGTTGCTTTATTTCTCTCTCAAAATGAGTAACAATAATTTACTCGTTTTCATTTGATATTTGTATACAATATTAGGTGTAGGTGTTATAATCAATCAAGGCTTGGTTAGTGTGACCAGATCCGATTTAGACAGAACGGTACCCACTTTTTAAGGAACACCCCGTTAAATTTTTAAGTCTTGTCGAGACGATAAAATGTACCGATTTTCATTAAACATTACACTTTTATTCCGATTCCATAATTATTGCAAATAGTATCATTAGTGTGGCGGTACGACGCGCGGCGTGTTAATAATGCATCACTTCTCTCCTTCAACTTAAAATTAAAAGTAGTATATCTCGTAAACGACTTCACGAAAATCAAAAATTTCAACACTAAAATTTATTTCAATTAATATTCAATCTATTTATGGGCTTTTTAATATAGATTTCCATTTAAAAATCAAAAGTAAGTAGTGGTTTCATCCCTAAAAATAATGATGACAACAAATAACACGAATATAAAATTGTGAAGTAGCTCGTTTCTTAAGTGTTCTAGAAAACAGATTTCGGAAAAAGTTAATACTTTCTGAGATAATGAGTGTACACATTTAAATGAATCACTTGGTAATGTGCTCGACGATATATATAAAGAACTTCCCTTCGACCTTTTTCACTAATAAGTACGAACTATATAGTCAATATTACAGAATCATTTACAGCATGTTTTTCACATAACTTGCAAAAAGCACCATAACGTTGAACATCAAAATAAAGCCATGGAAAATCATTTTCCCAATTTTTATTAAAAAAAACCTTTTTTCTTTACTTTTTTTGAAGAGGTAGTCGTAGGCGATGATAAGCAATCTACCTAAATCCGTGTCATGATGAGAATCTTGGGACTTTGAAGTTTTTTGTAAAAAATAATCTGTTATGGTTCTTTTAGACATTTTTGTTACGAAACAACACATAGGTACAAATGATAAAGCAGAACTGATTAAACTTATTATTTGATTTCCACGTATCGTGACAATAGAAACGTAGTTCTAGATTATATCATAATCCAGTCGTCATCATAAATTGTAATTCGTAATTATTATTTTTCGTTATCTTATAAATACTATAATTTTGGAAAAGTCAGACTGAAATAGTACCTAAACGGGCTATACGGTATAAAAACATTGATAAAAATTAATTATATTTTATTGAACACCATAGTAGGTGAGGTAATCGTAACAACATTATACATTTGCTCCCATTTGCCCCTCAAAAATTGAAAAATAACACAAAAAATCTTAAATACTTCAATTATGCATAAAATATCAATATAAAATTTCATATTTGGAGTCCCTGGCGCATAAAATTAATATAAGTTCACTTTGCTATTTTTATCTGTATCCTATAATAATTAGTAAATGCTTTAAAATCCGAGCCGTGGTTATACCTGTAACATAAGTTTACTATTTGGTATTTATTAGTTGACTTCAATGATGTATTTAATATAATAACATAACTATTTCGTATAAGTTCACACACACACACATACACACACACACACACACACACGCACAGATATTATGCACACATGTAGTGTTAGTAAGATATTTCATTTTTGATTGTATAATATTCGCCTTCTTCCCCGTAATATAAATTTGAATCCGCCCCTGTAACATCTACTTTTAAAGTACTTAGGCATTCATTTATAGAAAACTAACTTTTGCATACGTGTGTGAGAGAGACACAAAATTAATCCCTCTGGAATTTGTTTTCGCGCATCTATGTCACTGCCATTCAATAGTTTACTATTACTTATACGTTTTTTTCACCTGTCCGAGTTTTTTTTCGAACACTAAAACCATGTTTTTGTCCACGCCGTCACCGTGACTAAAATTTGGAGCTCCCCATCATCGATCACCGACGACGACGCGTTCACTTCCACAATAGTTTCGTTTTCTCTCCTTCATTTACCTTTAATCCCATTTACGATTTTTTCTCCACCAACACGTTATCACTTTACATCCTTCATCATCACGTCGTTTCTTCATCAATCAATGCCCTCGTATAATATCCCCCCTTATTTTGTAGTATTAATATCCACTAGCCAATTTTCACACCGAATATTTCTGCATGTTATATTATAATGCAGGGTGTCCTACAGTATTATCCAAATACTAATAACTGTCCATACATATATTTATTTTTGTTTCAATCGGATTTCGTGTCAGGAAAAATTAAAGCCGATATAACTAAGAAACTATTATTTGGATATGAAGGTATGAATGGTATGATGATTATGATACGTTCAAATTTTTAGAATAATATATTTTGAAAAAATAAAATAATTTTTTTTAGTAATTAAGGGGTGAAAATAAAAAAATAGCATTTTTTTCTACATTTGTATCTCCCGACACAAAATCCGATTGAAAAAAAAATGAACATTGACAGTTATTAGTATAATAACTTATTAACATTCAGATAACAATGTAGGACAACTTGTATATTTGCACTTTTCATTCAAATGGTATTAGTTATTACAGATTCGACCGCAATTTTATGTTAGATTTTTCACAATTTTGAAATTATTGTTAGTAAAAATATACATGTCTTTAATTTTTGAGACATTTTATAGACAATAAAAATTTCAATGATAATAATAAAGACAAAAAATATAAAATTTAAAACAAATATACACTCAAATAAATTTATTTGGCTCATTTTTTTCTTTTATAGATATCAACGAATGTATAAAACGGCCGTGTGATATAAATGAACTATGTGAAAATACAAATGGAAGTTTTAAATGTCATTGCAAAAATGGGTTTCAATTGGACCAAGTAACTAATGCTTGCACAGGTAATAAGTTAGTTACAGGTAAAAAGAAGTAGGTTTTTGACGTTTTCGGGTTATAATATTATGCTTAAAACACACGACTTCACAATAATTTTTAACCGAATAACAATAAAAACCTAAATATCGTACACTTTGTCGTATTTTTTACGTTTTTTCTGGGTTTTCGTAATTATAAGGAAAAATATACGGGGAATAAAATAACGATTTGCTTTTTTACAAACTAGACAAAATTTTCTTTCAGAAAATATGCTTTTCTTGAAATTTGGATAAATATTTCTGGTAGAAAAATATGACTTTACAAATTTTATATAATGAAATCGTTGCGCTGTAATTTTTCCAAAATTATTGTGAAAACTACTTTGGATACAAAAAAACGGCTTTCTTAAATATATTAAAAGGAAAAATATCGTTTTTTTCTCATTTTTTTATTTGAGCAATATTTCTGGTAGAAAATTTAGTTTGAAAAAATTAAAAACAATGAATTCAGTAATGCCAAGCATTAAATATTTGCCGTTTTATGATTTTCTTTCCGGTTTTTCACAATTATTTCGAAAACCCTATGGAAAATTAAAAAAATGGTTTGTTTAATGCACTAACTAGACAAAACATTGGAGCAATATTTCTGGTAGAAAAGTTATTTACATGTAGAAAATTAACAAAAACACATATTATAGTAGAACCATTGTAAAAATTATCATATAGTAGAATCTATAATAAATATTATTTATTATGTAGGTAAAAAGTTAGTTTGTAGTGGGTACCTAGCGTTATTAGTGTTTTCGAAAATTAGTTATTTCTGAATTATTTAATTATATTTAAAAATTTGTATGGGGGTGTGGAAGACAATGTCCCCCCCACGGGTTGGGTTGTGTTTAATAATTGAAAGGGACACTAATGTGTTATGTTTCCCCTTTTGTTTTTTCAACTCTAGCACTGCATCTAAGTAAACCAATCGGAAGGCTGAAGACGAGTGTATTAAGTACTTATATATTAAATTATGAAATTATAAAATTATTAAACATTTAAAGCTAAAGTATAATAAAATGAATAGGGTTTGTTTCATATTTATCTAATTTGAAGATCGATAGCTTAGGCAAATATTGGTATTAATCTTAATTTATTTATTATAATTACGTTCGAATATTTAATAATTCTATAATTTCATAATATATATATACATATATATATAATCATGTATACAATTTATCATTATTTCTAAAATATTATTAGTACCTATCTAGTAAATTAGTGTTATATTATTTTAGTAAAACAAAAAATATGTAGGCCATTGTATGTACTAAAACGATATGCCTATACCTATAGGATAAATCTCCAATAACTGTATATATGTTACAGTTAAAATCCGAAATCTGTCAAAATTAGTTTTAACTACAGATTTAAATAAGTCAGTAAAAACTAGTTTTTACTGAAACGTATATATTCCAACCTGCACTACCTAAAACGTATGTAATTACATGTAATCTATAAATATTACTTCATAAATTCGACTGGCCGGCTATCAATTCAATTAAAATAACTTTAACCAGTCGTCCATCAGATCACTTTTAGATATGATAACTTATTATAAACGATTATACCTAATAGATAATAATAATAATTCGGCTGCTGTAGCTTTGGTCTCCGTATTTTCAGTTTTGCCAGTTCGTTAGTCTTCGTTGTAGTTGTTGTGCCTACGTGTGTGTTTGTCACCCGCAACTAGTTTAAGCTATCAAAATAAAAATTAAATAATTTTACTAGATAGTTCTAGTTTTTACCAATATATTTCAGACTCAAGTAGTTCGAATTAAACAAAAATAAGTCAAATATAGTTTTACCAGTAAAGTTCTTAGTTAAAACTAGTTTTGACAGATTTCGGGTTTTAACTGTAATATATATATATATATATATATTGTATATGAAACATACAAAATAAAAAAAAAAATTGGTAGGTACACATTTAGATAAAAGTCCTACTTTAATATCTAATTGACGGCTCGGCACCAGAGGATCACGTATCAACCAAAAATGGATTTTTTTTTTTTTTTTTAACACATATTAAGCTATATTTTTAAACAATTTCTATTAATCAATCTCCAGAAAAAAATGCATTTGGTTTACACATTCCTCTGGTTTCAAGCCTACAATAAAACGCAAATTATACCTATGTGTACGTATAAAAATATTATCTTATATATTTAATATGTGTACCATTTCACATTTCAGATATAAACGAATGTCAATTGAACACACACACGTGCCAAGAGTTTCAGCGGTGTGATAACACAATCGGTTCGTATCAATGTGTCCGAATCACCGGATGCGGAACCGGGTACACGCTTGACGTCGAATCCGCTTTATGCATAGGTCAGAATAAAATCATTGTGAATTATTATACGATTAAAGCTGTCCTACAAAAATATATTATATTATGTAGGTGCCTTTTGTAGAAATCACAGGACAACGTCATTTGTATTAGTCAATATTATAGGCATGTGACATCGTTTTCAAATCGGATTTCCGTGCAATGCGTAGTTTGTGTTCCAATTTCCGAGACACAATTAATGCATATTGCATATACTACTGTTATCTATTTCAATATTTATTTCCGTTTTGCCAGACACAAACGACAAAATATTCTAATATTATCATCAATGTTGGTAATTTAAATCGGTGCGCTGCGCCGCACCGGCAGTAACGTGGCCAAATAAAAAAAAATCTATTGCTGCGCGATAATTTCGTCCGTCAAACCAATCAACCAATTAATTATTATAATTTTTCTATTTTTTTAGATTCTGATTAGAGCTAGTTATGTAATGGTTTTATTATGGTGTGTTTTTTTTATTAAATTTGTAACGTAGTGAGTATTTTTTGATTTTCTAATCAAAGCGGTTTTCATAATTATTGAGAAAATACGAGAATAAATGTAGGAAAAACGGGACAAACCGTAAATATTACGGCCTTTCAAAATAACCGAACTCCCCTCAGAATCGTTTTTCTCCTCTAACAAATTTCTCCTCTACCTTTCTAACTTCTCACCTCCAACAGTGATCCAGCCATTGTGCGAAATATGTCGTCTATTTTTGTATCCGTAAGCAATTTTTCGGCCAGAAAACTTACTCTAATCGAAAAATGTTAAAAGACCCTTTAGTTGCATTTTGAATCTAGTTGGTTAGAAAATTAAGTCATTTTTTAATTTCTATTTTAGTTTTCCTAATAATTGATCAAAATCGGGAAAAACCGAAAAAAGAATAGGAAAGTTTATGAAAATGTCAGTTAAAAATATTTGTTGAAACTTGACATATTGAGAGGTACTTTGTATATACTAGGTACTTTATGGAAGTAAATTGTAATTGTCCCATTTTTAATGTATTATTTTAAATTTCGTGTTTCTGTTGTAGTTTAGTTTAAAATATTCGTACTCGGAATTTTGACAAAAATTTATATTTGCTTTTTCTAGATGTGGTAAAATTTGTATAAACTTTGGCGAGTTTTAAGATATTTATAGGTATTTTATGTTTGCAAATTTTTTACGTAGTTTTTATTTGGTAGATATTGTGTAGATATAATTATTTGACCAAATAAAAATATTTGACAATTTAACTGGAGATTCATTGTAAGTTGTACTTAATGGTAAAACAAAAGTATAAGTGTAATGAAGTAATTTTTTTTTTAATGGTTTTAAGATCAAATTTTGATAAAAATCTTAAATATGATGGCTTTTCAAATCATGTACAAACGAACTTCGTTTAGAATCGTTTTTCGTAGGCCATGATTTTTTGTTGCTTATATATTTAAATTAAATAACTTATATTTATCCTATCTTCCGAATTTTCCTCCTACAGCAGTAGCACACCCGTTAACAGTATCAGTTCTCTTCTTAGTGGTTGTCAACAACTTTTCTACGAAAAATGTTGCTCCTGTCAAAAAATGACAAAAAACTTTTTATTTAATTTTGGGTACATTTGGTTCAACTAGTCGGTCATTTTATGATTTTTCAAGAGTTTTTAAATGAGTTGGAAAAACCCGAAAAACAACGTGTAGGAAACATGGATAGATATTTACAGCGTTAACGATTTCATTCCCAATTTCAAAAGAGTAACATCTACTCTTCTTTTTTAAAAGAAAATTTTTCTAGTTAGTGTGTAAGACTGAGTTCTTTTTCTATGTAATCAATCATTAAATTTATATTTTGATATTTTATTATTTTTTAAACTATTTTGTTATACTGAGTAATAATATGATAATAATAATTTTGAGTGAAAAAGTTTTTATTTTTACGAAGATGTGTTTTTTTTCTCGGTTAGCAAAATGTCCCAAATTGTTTCTATTGTCGTATTTTACTTCATACAGAATTACACTCCACTAGAAATGGAATTCATCCATTGCTACTCTAGTGGTGGACTAAACTCAAAATGAAGAGGATACATGCGAATATCACGTCCTCGAGTACCTAGAGTAAAAAATGTGTTTTTCTCTATAATCCGGTTGTTTACAGATGACGACGAATGTCTGTTGAAGACGGATACTTGCGGCGCTTTGGGTCCGGACTGGGTATGTAGAAATACACAAGGTTCATTCCGATGCGAGAAGAAACGGTGTCTGGGACAAAATTGCCGAGTCCAAAGCGGAAATAATATTTACAACAATATAAACGTCACTCAAGTGGCCACGAAATGTTTACGAGGCTTCAAAACGGACAACTACAACAAATGCATAGGTATATAATATTGATCACGTCAGTTATACCTAATATCCGATGGTTAAAGAGAAAAAACTTAGAAAATACTAATTTTAATAATTCGATGACAATAATTTATTTATTTTTTTTTCTGTTTTTCCTTCCATAATACTTCATATATAGACATCAACGAATGCCTCGTGTCTAATAGATGTCTGAAAAATGAAATATGCGTCAACACGAACGGAAGTTACTACTGTTTGCCCAAGTCGAGAATTACCGCACTATGAAAGAGAACCTAGCGGTACCGCTGGAAAATAAAATACTTAACTACTCGTACTTACATCTACATAAGTTTCACTAAAGTTATTATCAAATAATTAACACAATAAAAATGTGTGTACCTATAATTATTGTGTATATATATATATATTGTTTATAATATATAACATATAGTATATTCTACGTTTAACTGCAAGAATTGTTTATTTGAGAACTTCAAAACCGTGATAATCACTCGAAATTCGAACTTATAATATATTTTAGAAAACAATGTCATCATACAATTTTTCATTTTCCGAAAAAAGTCTACCTATTCCACGCATAAATGGAAAATCTAACGAGTATTTACTATACTAATATATGGTAATAAATTAAACTAACAAATAAAGCAAGATTTCTGGTAGAATTTTTGTACACAGTATAAATAAATAAATAATAAATAAACATCTTTGTAAAACTAATACATTCTTCTCTACACTCAGAATCTAAAATTCTACATTACATTGAATTTTTTTTTTAGCCGCAAAGTACGACTTATAATAATAATCCTCTTGTTAAATTGTCAACCATTTCTATTATTTGGTCTAACAATTTTATCCACATAATACGTACCGAATAAATATTACGTAGAAAACTCGTAAAATTAATATGTTTATAAATAGCCCAAAAATGGCTCAAATATCTTGAAAATGTTATCACAATTTATACTCTCGAAAGACAATACGATTGCGGCCGTTTTATCTTTTTACCTACAAAATAACCGTCCGTGACAAGCCACCGTGGCTTGTACGTTGCTCCCGTCATGGAATTTTTTGTTGACATTTTACCGAACCATTTTAATAATACTTGGTTTTAAGTGCCTATGCATTTTAAAGTGCATTACTATTCAGATTTCAAAAAATGTATTTTTTCTTTATTCAATTACAGTTTGTTTCTGAAAAACTTAATTTGAAATAGTATTATTGTACATCGATCGCTTATAAATTCATTAATGCGCTCTTTTTCTGGAAATATGTATGTGATAAAAAAATAATAACGTCGTATTTTTATTAGTAGAGAGCGCCACCAGTTATTATTGTTATGCCCGCTGCATTATATTACTATTATACACATAATACGGACGGCCACTTACGATATTTGTTTTTCCTTTGTGATTTTCAATCTGCTAAAGTGACAATCAAAATTTAATGATTTTGTCATTTAGGGGAATAAAGATAATTTTTAAGAATAATTATCGTTTACATAATCTTTTTTTATAATTATAAAGACATAATATGATATATAGAGCGATTTAAGCATACTCACCTCATTTGTATAATTAAATTATACATAAATTAAAATTCTGATTTTTGAAATTTCAAAGTACAGTAAACGACGATATTTTCACATACTTAAATTTGTTACAACACAAAAAGTATCCTGTGGCGATGATAACTTTGGTTTTTCATATAAGAACCTACATATTTTGACGCAAATTATCAATTAGATGATTTTTTTAAAAATGTTGACGTTCATGTATTGTAAACGAAAATTTAAAGAAAAGTTTCTGAGTTATTCTGCTTTAAATTAACTAAGGATAATATGATTTTTTGAAGATTGGACACTAAATATTTCATGTGTATCTATAGATAATTTCTTATTTTTAATCTTGTATTTATTATCATTAGTATTTAAAGCAGAATAACTCGGACATTTTACATCCAAATTTCAATTAAATCGTAAAACGTTTTGTAAACAAAAAATAAGTTGTTGAATATAATTAGTCTAAAATTTTATATGAACCAATTTTTAATCTCTCGTATACTCAAAATTGTTTCTTAAACGTATACGGTAACAATACACAAAACTAGATCGAGATCTTCAGTTATTGATATTTTAACATCAACAACTTTACTCAAGAACTCGGTAGCTGGTTTTACTGACCGGACGGCCAAAAGAATGTTACTCTTTGTGCGCCGCGGCTTTCTAACACAAATTCCCTTATCCCAGCTCTTGGTAGTTCTATATTTCAACTACTACTCGTAGGTGTCAAATCGTCCGATAAGTGCTATAGAACGCTAAGTATCCTCGAGAAACCGTGTTTATACTTAAACACAAACGAGTCTCCCAAAATATAAAACAACTTTTTATTCGTTCTCCGAGCCTTCCACACTAAGTTCCGGAGAACAGTGATTTTTACAATAATATTTGAATAATCTTTTTAAATAATTTGTATAAAAAGAATACATATCACCACGCGACAGTAGCGCGCCGCCCCTGGCGACCGCGGGACACATTTTTGTGAGTAGACGTACCTATAGTATTATATTTTAATATAACAATAATAATGCCGGTGACTGTGACGATCGTGTAAAACAATGTTATAATCATATGCTAAAATATTTTATTATTATTATTATTATTGGTTGCTGGATATACTACAATACGTCAACATTTTCAGACAAATTATCTGATTGACAATTTGCATTAAAACATATAAGTCCTCATAAGAAAAACCAATGTTGGTTTCACCACAGCATACTCTTTAAGTATTAGGAAGAATTTTAAGTATTCAAAAATATTGTCTTTTCTGACACTTAAAAATCTGAATTAGAATGTATGAATAATTTAACCATAAAAATGGGATAAACACTGAACATTTTTAAAAAATCACCCTGTATATTGTTATAAATGTTTAAGAAAAATGACTTAATGGGGGTATATATTCTCCTCGTCCTCCTCTCTTTTGACCCCTGACCTCTTGGCCTACTTATTGATTACCTACTGGGATTTTCTATGCCCGTTAATGATTTAATATTTTTAATACATTTGTATTATAATTTACAGACATTTTTAGAATTTTAAAACTGATTATCAACCGATTAGGAGTACACTACGCAGAGTAGGTAGGTTAACCTACTCAGTTAATATTAATGCCCAATTGGTATTCGAAAATCGTGACATTATTATATGTTATTCATAAATAATTCAAATCCCGTCGCCAAATTTGCAATATTAATGCGTCTTAGCACACATTAAAATATTAAACTGCCCTGCCCGGAGTTGTCCGGACTACTTCTTTTGCTGGATCAAATATTTTAGTATACAAATTAGTAGGTATAGTATAAAAATATAGCTGTAATGTGGGAGAAAAAAAATTTAGAAGTCTTGATTTTATGGGTTACCTGAACGTTTGGTTGGATTTGATTTGTTTTCGGGAATCTCTTCAGTAAATATGTACCTACTGTCTGTTATCAATAATTTTCAACTTGAAATCTAGCTCCAATCGTTAAATTTAGGAGTAGTTTCTGGTAGAGAATTTTGTTCTATTTTTGTTTTGGAGGAAATGATAATTTTTTTAAAATACTTACTCAGATTTTTAAGTGTAGCATCTTTTCTAAAATGAAATCGGTTTGGGGAGGTATTTAAACGAGGTCATTTTTCGATTTTCCCAATAACTTTCCAGGCAAATATGAAAAACCGGGAAAAAAATATAGGAAAACCAGGAAAAACGTAGGAAAACTGGGGAAATTGGTACAATATTAAACAAACATTAGTCAAATATAGAAAAAAATATTATTAAATACAGAAATTCTATTTAATTATTTTACTTAAGTATGAGATTTATATTGCTGATAAAGCATTACTATCAAGCGTTACTACTCTGCTCAGAATCGTTTTTTCGTAAACACTGCTATATTGTTGCTTATAGGTTAGGTTACATTAAAATACCTGTACAAGTGGCTGCACCCGTTTCCATTATTCTAGGACATTTTTTTTAATAAATGAAACCGAGGAAAACTTGAAAAAAACATGAATTAATGATATAATCGTTTTTTGTTAGTCATGATTCTATCGTTGCGTAGATAGTACACACTAAACTATAATATTTTGTATTCAATTCTGGGTCTGGAACAGTGGCGTAAATAGGATCTTACTTTGGGTGATGATGTGTATATTTGTTTGAAATATCAAAAAAAAGTTACAGGTAATACACATATTATCTATACATATATATATAAATGAATCCATATTTCCCTTGGTCATCTCATCGCGTGAGAACGGCTTGACTGATTTTGCTGATTTTTTTTTGTTGTTGTTGTATTCGTAATTGTGCAGGTAAGGTTTTTATAAAAGACAATTTCTAAAAAGTCAACTGAATAAGTAAAAAAATTGCAAAAACTTATTAATGATACCTGGGATTTGAAATCGATACCGTTGCACTAACATTATAAACGTTTTTTTTTTCAATTATCTTTATTTTCTCTATGGTAGACGTAGTCTTTGTATACTCTATGGCATATATAGTCTTTATGTACTCTATGGGCAGACCTATCGTCTAATTGACGAGCTTTATTTTCATTTCTTCATATCTTTGTATATGATGAATAGGATAAATGTTGTTTAACAGCTGCATCGGTCGGCATCTTTCGAAAAAGTTCATTTATTAATTTTCTAATACACAGTCTATTCGATTTGAACGTATATACAGTTTGGAATTTGTTGAGTACAATTTTAAGAAGTTAATTTACGTCTTATATTAAAAGTTTAATTTAATATCGATTTTCGGTAAAAATTTTAGAGGAACTTAAAAGTCCCCCCCATATTAATTGCTCTAACTTGTTAAATTTAATTTCCTAACACTAAAAAATTGATTCATACAAAATAATTTCTTTTAAATTAAATTGTACGTATTATAAAAAAAAAAATTACTTTTTATTAATCATTTTTGTGGTGTTATAAAATCGTATTTATTAATTGAATCCGTTAGAGGGGGGAGGGGAATATTAAACCTCTTATATTATTTTTGCGTTTCTCTATATTATTTAGATGATTTTATCAAGACTTTTTGACGTTTTCAAGTGTTTTTTTGTGGATTTTAATAACATATAAATCCGGTCTATAAATTATGATAATCGAGTTATTAATTTTGTATTAATATAAACTATCGGCAAATGCGTACATAAAGATATAAAAGGAACGTCGTGTCATCTGTAAATGACGATTATAATACAGTACACGCACTCTCCCTTACTACTGAGCGTCTCTACTCCTCGATAGGTTAGGTTAGACTTCATTTTCTTTGGAATTTTCTCCTTCCCCAAAATTCGATGTTTAGATATTTTTGGTATGAAAACCATGAAAAAATATCACAACAGAACACTTTTAATCCGCCGATAGTGGACTATCCATTTTCCACTTATTTGTTTTCATTCAATACAGACACGGTCAATACCAAAAATGAATATGAATAAAACAAATAATAACAAATTGGCACGAGCAACGATGGGCGGAACAGCTAGTACTAAATATAAACGAATAAATATTCATAATATGGCATGTTTCACACTTGATATTTTGAATTTCGTATTGCGTGTAACAAATCATTGCCAATAATAGAAAAAAAGGCTGGGTTCTAGAATTCTATGGGGGATAATGTGTAACCTACATTACCCCTCTTGAAAATGACACTCGTGTGGAACCGAATTTTATAATAATAACTTATTATGGATAACAATCACTAATATTATTTAAATATTGAATTACATTTTTAACTCTCTTAATAATATGTAACGTCTCGTACGTATATAGTACTACAATTTGCGGGCTGTCACTTTGTTTACGCTTTTTAGCTAAAATTAATTTTTTTTAAAAAAACAAAAAATTACGCGATAATTAGTGTAGGTAGTCAAATTAAAACGTAAACATATTTATACTTCTGTAGAGAAAACACCACGGTAGGTAAGTATAGATAAAGTAAATTAGTCGAAATTTAATATTATAATTTTTACCAAATTAACTACAGTCACATCTGTTTTATCTTTTATTATTATAATTATTAATTAATATGAAAGTTTTTGAAAAATTGAAATCTTCTTTCATTTGGTTTAGAGAGTGAAACATTAGCATAATCAGCGCGCAACATGATACAGTACTTAGTGTTGGTTTTTAAATCTTAGATATACATAGATACTATATCTACTGTTTTATAGTCGTATACATTTGAAAATTTCGCTTCAAACTATTTCTATATTAGTATTTTTATTTGTTTTAAAGTGATTCTATATAAACACTATATTCGATTATTTCAAAAAAAGAAGTTTCGAAGTAGTTATTTACAGTCACTTTACGGTAAATTCTTTTAAATTACTTCTAAACTTTGCGGGTAATAAACGTACAAATATAGCATACAAAAGTAATTCGGTCGAATTCTCTAATACTCAGAAATCAGAATCATATAACCCATGCAAATGCCATTATGTTTTCTTTGAAATTACAAATAAAACTATTTATTGTTACTTATTACATCGTCAATGTGGGGATTTAGTAACGGTGGAGGAGTATCCCCCTAAAATTATCGAAATAAAAAAACCCATCGAGTTTCGCATAACGTTTTTAATTTTTTCTTTTTCACACCATTCACTTCTAAAGTTTCATCAATTAAAGTTGTTATTCGGGGAACACAAGATAGCGGCTTCTCGTACTTGTAGCGACACTGATCCCAAGCAACAGTAGTTGTATGTGATCGGTCCGTCGTTATTTTACGAAGTACAAGTTTTTACAAATTTAAATAAAATTGTATATTTTGGTTAAAACCACAGTTTAAGATCTTGTACCGGGGTTAAAACCAACAAAATACATATCATATAGCCTATATGATACCTACCTAGTGCCTATGTAATATAAACCACGGTCTTAGAATATAGGTATCAGTGATAGAACCTGATAAACTTTAACGTGGTAAATGGATTATCTTTTGCATGATATTCTACTCTGGAATTATAAATGTCAATAAATCACCAATTAATTTTCTGTTTTAATTTTTAAATATTATACGAAAACTTGGATCAAGAGGGAGGGGGGGGGTCATTGACTATACTAACTATACATAAATACTCATATTATAGTAATTGTTTTCTAAGTCATTGAGGTGTTGGGGTGGGGTTGATTTTCCAACCTGCTCCTCTACGCACGTCATTCAAAGTACAACTTTGACTGTTCTGTATAACTTACTGTATGTATCTTAAAGGTGTACGCTATTATTTTAATAACCGTTTTTCCTATATATACTGAACAGTTATTAAAGCAATATAAATGTATTTTAAATTAAAAGGAAATTAAGAAATTCATCCCCGTTATCCTTGGCTGAGCTGACTGAAGCGCCTAACACCGGAAACGCTATGCTGTACACATACTCTTTCCAATGGTTAGGTATTCGGAGCCTATCTCTCTCTCACTCTATCTTTCTCTTAAAGTCTTATCATAACAATAAATTATTTATTTTATCCATAGTACGTGAATGTTTGTTAATACAGTTAGGAACATTCTACATCTACATATAAGTAATTATTATACCGAGTGATTAATTTACCACGAATCAGCGATTATTTAAAGTAAATTTTATTACGGCTATTATATTTTGCCTACAGGGAAATCGTTGATTTCAGCGATAAAAGAATCATCAGGTATAAAATATTCTATACAACTTTGCATAGTTTTGTGGTTTTTACGAGTTTCGTCAAAACTTGAATTCGAAACGCTTATAATGAAAAATCCTGATATTGCAGATGGGTATGACACTATTTGAGGGGAGAAGTTGGATGAAAGTATATTAAGAATAATTTAATTATACCTGTTCGAAGCAATAAAACATTGTTAACGATTTTAAGCAGAATATTTTTTGTAGTATTTGTTCCATGTTTGCCAAGGTAACTCAAAAATCAACGAGAGTAATACAAATAATTGCCAGTTTTTCCTAATTATTATAAAACTATACAAATAAAATTAAAAGTGACGTCATAGGATAATGAGGACGGGTGCAGCTACTTTTGTAAGTAATTTAATGACTTGTAAGCAATGATAAACCATTGCTAACGAAAAAATTATTCTGAGTGGGGTTCAGTTGATAGTGTTGCTTTGTCAACAATATATTATAGGTTATACTGTGGTAAAATAATTAAATAGGCATTACATATTATTTTCTTTAATAAAGTCTGTTTAATATACTGATTCTTCCGTTTTTCCAATTTTTTCCTTGGTTTTTCACATTTACTGGGAAAATTCTTGAGAAAACCTTAAAATAGCACCTTAAAAGTACCACCCCAGTAAAATTTCCATTTAGAAAAATTGCTATCGTTATAAATTGGAACTAAATTGCTGGTAGACAAGTTGTCCACAGAAAATAAAATAAAATAAACACCTTTGTAAAATCATATGCTTCTTTGCACCACTCAGAATTTTTCCAGAACTTTTTCTCGTAACTTAACTGAAATATTCTAAACATACCCTACTTATAGTTTCAAGATCAAATACTTAAATAAGTACTCATACAGTAAATTTTACTTCTAAGCCAATTCGGGAAGTGGTTATAATCCCAATCCTCCATCTTCCCTTGTGCACACCACTATTTTTTATACAGTAATTAAATTCAAGTACAATTTGTTGCCGTATAGAACAAAAAAAGGTTTGGAAATGACAAGATTATTACATGGCAGGGTACGTAAATACTTTTGTTAAATGAGTTTTAAAATATTGTTCCTAAATTTATATTATTCGTACAAAAACTGCAACACTAGTACATCATTATATTTTCAGAAATCTTTTAGTCGGACGAAAACCGGTGAATTGATATTCCAGGGGAAAAAAGAAATGGTATAGTTTAAATATTACAAGTAAACGTGTAACCATAAAATATAAAAATATGAAATTGTGTAGTTTTTTCTAGGTATTTAAATTGAGCATTCTAATGAAAGAAATACTGAAGTTAAAAACGGTGTTGGATGAATTTGAAAAAGACCACTGCCGAATCAATCTGACCCGAGAAATATTCAACTCAATTAACTTCGTAAGTGTGGAACGTGGGAGAAATGTTTTCTTTTTTATGCAAAATTTATACCTCAAAAATTAGTCAATATTGATAGATTGATACATTAGGTATGTATAAATATATTTTATCATACTAATTTATTATAACTATAGGATGCCAAGGAAAATATCGGAGATAACGCGAAGAAACAATTGATCGAGCAATTGGATGAACAATACAACATAAAAAATAAATTTGAGTTAATTTGATGAAATACGTATTGATTTTTTTTTACATAGGCACCTAATTATATATATTTTATTTAAAGTTATCAAATGTTAGAAGTATTTAAGTATCAAGTGAAATTAGACACAGTGAACAAAGAATGTGGTATCAATAATTGACGACTAGAAAAAACAATTTAATTTTGACGAATTTGACAGTTAGAGAAAACAGAATCAGTAAGTCGTATAAATATATAAAACTAAAAAATGTAATTTTATTCGTATATTGTAAATGATGATTCAGTATTAACTTATCTTTAGTTTGTTTATGGTGAATCTGACAAGAAAAAGAGCCTGAAGAGGCTCAAAATCGTTTGAATGGTTTGAAATCGGTTGTTGATATTCAAATGAACGAGCTGAATGAAAAAAATAAACAGATTGTTAAAATAAAATAAAAGTGATTTATATTTTTGAATTAACATATTATTCGTTTATTGGTTAATTACATGAGCACTATTCACGAAAAAGAATATCAAATAATCCGAGCTAAGAACCTATGCAAAGAAAAGGCAAAGTTGATTAAAGAATTCGAAATTGAATTTAAATGTGTTAAAGTCTGTGCAATGACCATCGGATGTACCTATATTTGAATTTATCAAATAGACGTCATTATTATTTTTTATTTTTACTTTAGGAATATTTTAATTATATATAATAGTGGATTGGATGACGTTAAACACCTGCCTACCGTGTTACAAACGGTTCAAGGACAATTGGCCGCCCAGAAAAAATTAAAAGTAGCTGTGGAAAAAAATATTGAAACTCTCAGTAAAAAATTAAAAACACTAGTACAAATTAATTAAACAATTGAATTATTATTTATTTTAGCTTTAACTTAATAATTAAATATTCCTACACAAAGCAGTAGGTATAGAATAGGGCGGGAGAAGTAGATATCCTCCCTCAATATAGTCATATTGCTAATAAAACTTATTTTAATATTAAATAATAATGATATTTTTGTTTTTCATTGTTTCAAACGTTATCTAATTTTATCACAGATTAAAATAGATTGTGAACAGGGGTGGCTTCAAAGGAAGCCTAAGGACCGTGTTCCCCACTCGAGTTCGTATTTTTTACGTGTTCTTCAAAAAAGAACCATCGTTGTTAACAATTTGGAAGTTCATATTCGATAACGTTTTAGCAGATTGTATATTATTTATAGTCATTAGCAATGTTTGATTTTATGAAGTTTTAATTTGGTTTTATGCAGTTTAAATTAATTTAGACCAGCAAAAATGCTTAAAAATTTAAAATTTCACTATAAGTTATAGGGGTACCTTAGAGGTAAAAATGATGAGATGAAACAATTTTTTATTTGTAAGCATTTAAAATTCAAATTTTTATGAAAATCGAAAAAATCGTGGTATTTCAACTCATTTTTAACCCAACTTTTCTAAGAATCGTTTTTCATTAGCAATAGTTATAAATGTATAAATTGAATTACCCTATACATTTTTTACTTTACCAACTTTTTACCACTATAATAGTAGTTCACCCATTAGCTGTAAAAACTTTTTAGATTCTGAGCGAAACGGAGAATGTATTGGTATTTGCTTTCACTAGATACGATATGCTAAGTATATCTTCACATCTATACTGCACATCTGTATTGGTTAAAAACTAAGATTATTTGATTTATAATTTTAGTATGAACTCGGGGCCACTGGTTTTAACAGTTATGCATTTTTTTGTGTATCTAAACCACTTAAATCAGAAATCTTATTTCAATTAAAAACATAATAGACATTATCTTGAAGAATTTTTGATCTAGTAAGTACTGATGATTTCTGAATTATCTTGTCAAAAGTAGAAGGAGTTCAATTATAATAATCACCTCAGAATTTTCATTGGCAATAGTTTATCGTTGCGTAAAGATGAAATTAAATTATTCTTGGTATCTTCCACTCCATCATCTATAAACATCCATCTTAAAATAGTGCTATATATTAGCATTTTTTTTTCGATTTTTCAATTGTTTCCACCTAACCGCTGCACCCCGTACAATGAAATTAAATAGTTTTTTTATAATACGTACAAAATTTTAAAATACAATTATTTTAAAAAATAACTTTGTGTTAATTATTTTTATACTGTTAGAAATTTTATTTTATAAGTTAGAGTTATTAAAAGAGGGCCTTTAAACCTCTATAATACATCATTTTTTCTTTAATAAATACTTTATTTTTAGATTTTAAGTACGTCAAGTCCCGAGTCCTAATGTAACGTAACAATATACACGTTGTTTTAATGGTTTCATATAAATATTTAAACCTGTATAATATTATATACATAAAATTATAAATTAAATGCGTCGAACTACCTGTTACTGTATAAACATTTAATTTACGACTATAATACTAATAATATACTAGATAGGTGTGTGCAAACTACAAATATTAAGTATTTATGTGTGCCAATGATATTATGATTATTAACAGGTCACTGGTGTCTATATATCGGTTGGAAATGCGACACGCTCGATAGGTTTTGACCCGCACGACGAATGACACGTCGATATTATTTAGACGGGAGAGGGCTAGCAAAACTTGCCTGGAAAGGCCGGTGGCGTAATTACAGGGTGACAAAGAGGGCCAATGACCTGGAGTACTAGACAATTAGTATATTTATTTATGTATACTAGCTTCCCAAATTTCCACTTACAACAATAGCACCCATCAGCTAGCTGCAGTATCTTTATTTTTTTGTTGCATATTTTACATATTTTTCCCATTTTCAACAAAATTAGAGAAAAATAGAGATGATGCCGCAAGGCTTTCTCTACATCTAAATTATCGTTCTCTGGTATATAAAAAGAAAAAAAAAGAACATTAAACCAAATAACTTAATTTTTCTCGTATATTTAATTGTCTTAATTTATTCAAAATATCTTTTCCCCTTTTATATTAACAAATCCCAGGACTTCGGCCCCCGGGCTTCGGTTCTGGGTTGGTGACCTTGTAACAAACACAAAATTAAAAACCAAATTTTGAAAATGATTTTTTAAGATTGGTGGCCGTCACATGTCGATCATGGCCTATGTAAAAGTACACTAGATTGGGTCGGCGGAACGTCACACCCTGCCTAATCAAAACCTAATGCCCTATCCTCTAGACCAGTGTTTCCCAACATATAGGTAGCCAAATATTTTTGATGAGTCGTGATGAAAGAAAATTATTTTGATTATAATATAATAAACAGTGTGTATAGAAATATTAGTAAGAGAGCGGCAAATAAACTAAAAATAATACTAGCTTCATATAATTATTTAGAGATGCATTGTCGAGATTAACGAAAACATAATAAAACAACAACTATTATTAAAAAGATTAAACTCAAAACTAATCATTATTTTTTCTATTCAGTAACGAAAGTATACAGACTTTCAAAATAAAGTTATATTGTCTGTAGTTATAATATATTATTTTAACGGAAGTATTCATGAAAATGTCGTGTACTATAGTAGTTTAAGAACAACAACTGGTGCAGATATTTATAACTCATTGGAATATGTTTTTTTTTCAAAACAATATTCAGTGAACAAACTGTGTAGTGACAAACTACTGATAGTGCGGCATTGATGACGGGTAAACATGTTGATGCCGTATGACGTATTAAAGAAGTAGTAGCAAATGCTAAATTAACACATTTTATGCTTCATAGAGGAGCACTTGTGATAAAAAAAAAAATGTCTACTGAATTAAATGACGTTCTTAATGTAGCTATTTTGATTATAAATATCAGTATTTATGTAATTTTGACATACTTGATTTTATTTTTATTTTTTTTAATAGGAGGTCGCATGCCCAAAACAGAGTAAATGTGTGGATCACCATAATGAAAAGGTTGAAAATAGGTTGAAAAATTGATTTTATGACTATATAAATTATTGAGTCAATTTCAGAATATTATAATATAGGTACTTACACAATGACATCTCGAAATTACGGACTTTTTGGGAGCAGGAACCTTAATCTCCTCTGAATAGTGGACACCAGTGCCAGAGGGCTGGCGGAGAGGGTGGTGGGGGAGGCGTACCCCCTCCCCTATTTTTTGTTTAGGGGGCGCAGTACTGCGCCCTTTGTGAATGTCAGCGTAAGTCATAAATTTCCGATTGGGATATAATCGAATATTATTTTTTTTTTTAAGAATCTAGAATTGTATTAAAATATAAACGAATTACTAAAATACTTTTCTTTAAATACATTACAAAACTGATAATAGGTATATTATTATATTATTATAAAATGTTGTAAACATTTTATTACTACCTAAAGAGTGATAGATTCCCTGTAAGACACATAGAATTAAATAGAAAAAATTACTTTCTAGGATAATGGGGACGAAAGCAACCACTGCATAATTTAATGTATATCTGTAAGCAACGATAAATCATTGCTTACGGAAAAACGATTCTGAGCGGAGTTCAGTTTATAGTGATACTTTGTTAACAATATATATGTAATTTTATAGTAAAATAATTAAATACGTTTTGTATATTTTCTTTAATAATATTTATTTTATGCTGTACAGATTTTCCGAGTTTTTCAATTTTGATGAGAAAACTCCTGAGAAAATCGAAAAATGACATTATTAAAGTACCTCTCCACATTGATTTCCTTTCGGAAAAGGTGCTACACTTAGAAATCTGAGTAATTCTTCTGGTAGAAAAGTTGTGCATAAATAAAAAAGTAAACGTTTTTGTAAAACTATAAGCTTCTTCGATCCACTCAGAATCTAAAAATAATATAATACAAGTATACTTCTAAAAAGTTGCTTTTATTATTTTTCTTTAATTTCAAAGAATTTCAATATTTTGATAGATTATGATAATGTTTTACAAAAATTCGATTATACAGATACATACATCATGGTGATTAAATACATAAATAAATAGATTTATTATTCATCCAGCCGTATTCATTACAAAGAGAAGTCGGATTTTCTGTCGGCTGGTTCCTGCCTGTTCTTTTTTTTCTTTTGTTTGATTGACCAATTTTTCTGGATGTCCGTTACCATCAGAAGGACCAATGACGTCCTCAGCGGATAATCGTGTTTTCTACAAGAAATTTTGCTTACGTCATTACTATAGTTTCATTATTTTCAATTTTGGTTTTTTATTGTAACCTGGGTGAAAGTTATCATAGACAGCTAAAATATTTACAGAATACTTATATTAGCCTTTTCTAGACATAGTAAAAATATATAAAACATTTTTTCTGATTTTTGAACTATTAATTGGTCTTTAAAATTTTAGTAATTTATTTAGTTTTTATTTAGTTTTACGTAGATAAAATTCCTGGCCGAATAGTACGTAATACTTGAACATTTAATACGAGGTTTATTATAAATTGTACTTTTTGAAACAAAATAAAGTTGAGCTTAATATAGTAGTTTTTTTTTACAAGCTTTTTAATTCAAAATATTGACGAAAATCGTAAAAATTACGATAGGTATTTCAAAATCTGTACAACTGACTTCGCTCAGAACCTTTTTTTGTTGAAAATGGTTTATCGTTGCGTACAAATATAAAATAAATAACTCCATGTATCCCACCTTCTCAATTTTCCACCTATAGCAGTGGCACACCCATCTTTCAGTATTTATCATTACTTATCATTGTATTTACACGATTTATACTAAATATATGTATAATAACACTATCACAACAGTGATGTCGGGGTGGTCGGAGGTGGAGGAGTATATAATAATATTTATTCTATATATTATAGTATAGCTGTTATTTACACACACACACACACACACGTATATTTATATTTTTTATACAATTTTTATACTTATACATCGGAATGAACTCGCCACGACAAAAAAAAATTCAAAGTGCATTGACCACCACGCCGTATTTATTGTATTTATGTGTGTGTGTGTGTGTGTGTATAGTGTACTCTACATCGACGTCGGCGTCGTCGTTCAGCGACTTCTTCCCGCGGGGCATACCTGTTGTTGCTGCTGTCCTCGCTCTCCCCCCGCCAAGAACGAAAACATACACAATATAATATAATAATAATAATAATGATAATACCAACAGCAGAGGTACCGCTGCCGTCGCCACCACAGAGTTAACCAGTAACCGTCTTTTTACAAGACTGGCGTCACCGTGGTCTTGGTCGACGTCGTCGTGCGTATAACAGCCGGATATTTTCAAATAGGTACCTACGATCCGTTTCGTAATTTGTTTCTTTTTTTTTTTTGGTCTATCCCAATTATAATATAATATATACTTAATAATATTATAAGGAACCCCCTTTTGAAAAACAAGATAAAAAAAAAAAAATCACATAATCATTTCGTAGACGATATATCGTACCTATACTCACCTCTATACTGGTCGACATGAGGCTGAATATAATTAGATAACAATAGATTATTATTGTTCTCTATTTATCTTTCTACACGAGGCCATAAACGAAGAAGAAAATTTTTACGATCCAACTATCCGTTACTTCACGATACAGTGAACTGTCAGAGTTTTCCGCGAAGTATTCAAAATGACCAAACCTGCACAATATTATTCAAACGTAAGTTATTATTATTAATATTTTATTACAAATTTACAATAATTATTATTTTAAATCGTGCGGTGCTATTTTTCTAAAACCGATCAATACTTTGATGTTTTGAACGAAATTCATTTTAGTATTTTGAAATGTTATGGCATTTTCCACAGTAAATTGCATGATAAGAAACATTTTTAGTCTCGTCGAAATTATGACTTATGGTAGGTAACAATCAAGGCTCGGAACTTAAGCCCTAAGAAGTACTCAAATATGCACAAAAAGCATAATATGCAGTAAAAATTTGAAAAATATGCAGTTCATTGAATGAAAACATAAATTTAACAAACGTTTTTTTTAAAATTAGGATTACTTATAAGAGAGAAAAAATAAGAGATTATTATGACAGTACAATAAAGATTATATTATTATTGTCAAGTGCATTGAGATCAATAAACAAAGTAGCTGTTGATGAATTAATATTGTCAAATAATTTAAAATATAGACTTTTGGTTATAAATATACGCATACTATATTGGTAAATTATTAATATTAGCTTTGCATTAATTGCTATGGCCGCGAAAAACCAAAACAACTCGGTGTGATTTTTTTTATAATTATATTTTTTCTATGAGATCATATTTTCGGGGACCACATTTTTCTTCTAACGTATTGGCTCCGGATAAAGTCTGACTAATGGGTATACGTATTATTTTATATAGTATACGTTTCACAACATCTGTTTCGACAAGTGTCAATCTCCGTAATAACAATGATATTGTATTATATCTATAGTTCATAGATATACTACACAAATCATAATATTTATATTGAAATATACGAGTGTATATTTTTTAACTCTGCCTATATTTACGGAACATATCACAATAATAATAATAATCATGATAAAAAAAAAAAAGTTTATTCTTTCGAAACGCGTACATAGGTACCCATTGCTTAATCCATTGATTTTAATCGTTTGGATCCGATAAGAAATACGCATACACACAGTTACAAACACAATAGGTATCGGCATACCTACTTAGGTGCCCCTGCGAATGATTTACTTTATATAGTACCTATAGGCTATAATCTACGTAGGTAGGTACATAATATCTACCCGTCTATATATTTTCTTTAGGTATTTGATATTTCTTTCTTTTTCTTTTTTTTTTTTTCAACTGAAACTATAAATTATTTTTACACGGCATTCCGTATAGTACCTATTCCACGTAATATTATGTGAACTATAATATCGTACTCTATAATATCGCATAATTTTCATTATTGAAAAAGAAAATAATTGTATATAATTTATACTATTATATTATAGGTAAGTATACACATACACGATCCTGTACCTATAATATAGATATTGCAATAATTATTAAACTTTGGGCTATTGATGCAAAATGTATTTTGTTAGGTTACCTATTGAGTGGGTAACCTAATTTCTGATTTTATTTGGTTATGTTTTGACTAATCGAAAAACAACACTGCAACACCGACAACAATAACAATACAAACTATTTTTCTCACGTTTTCGGTATCAACCTATTTTACACTGTTATTTTTCCCAGATGACAAATAGATTTATGTTATTATGTTAAATGTATAGGTATTTGAGTAGGTATATTATATTTAAATTCGATTGGTATGATCACGACTGGATTTACTTACAAACCAAATAAGCATTGATTACGGTCCAAAAACGGCTTAGATTTATAAAAAAAAAATACATAACAGCAGTTTTATATTATATTAACAGCAGGTCGTTGATCATTCGTTCGACAGTCAGGGCAGTTTATCATCCTTTAGTATAATAGTCACCTAATACATGCTATCTATAAAATAAATGTGCCTATTTCTATTTTTCATTTAATTTTTTCAATTTGTTCAATATCACATGATTATTATTGGTAGTTATTATATTTAGTAAAACCATTGAGTATAGAATAGTAAAATGTATGAACCATTGGTATATTTTTAATTTGTTCCCTCCCCATCTCCCAGTAACGGAACAAGTTTCTAGAAAATCGAATAGATACACCGCAAGTATTTTTATATGTAAGATATTATTAATTCAATATTTTGTATACATAAATATTAGACCTATCTTAGTTATTTATTTACGTCCCAAAAAGTAGGTACTTAATCTAATACTAAATAAACATTAAATAATTAGTTATATCAGCTATGTAAATAATATTTCGAGACGACAATATAGAGTTATAGCAAATTTTTTTTTTTTTTTTCGTGATAGTGTCCAAGACCATGCATCGATGTCATACAAAATCCATAATCATATTATTAAATAAAGATATTTAATAATATATATTAATATGTAGGTATTCTCAGGTATATACCTATAATATTTGTAAAGTAGTTACAAAATTCAGGGTTATTTTAGGTTGAAATTCTTAAAAACAAAACGTAAAAAAAAAAAAGGTCAAACTTAGATATACTTACTTATTATAAATTATAACGCGGTAATTATCGTAATATTATAATTATAATTTCTGATGGGAAACAAATGGCTAACGGTTCTCATGGTTTCTTCGCTATACTCATAATATTATGAAGATAACGTAGATATTGTTTCAAAACGTATATACCTACTTCAATTATTCACGTGTACCTGTTAAAACAATGTTATTTTTAATTTTTTTGTTAATATATTTTAATTCTAAAGTATAATAAATTATTACTCTTTTCGTGGCTCATTATAATATTAACTATATTTTAAAACAAATAGCTAATATTAATATAAAATATTTTCTAAAATAAATAGCTTAAAAGGTACATAGGGATGAAACCTGAGGTAAAACGAGACACTTTATTTTTAATTTATTATACTAGGATACAGTGTTTTAAATATTAAAGGAAAACGAATGATCCTAAAATTTAAAATATCGCACTATATAGTATTAAAATAGTATTATTGTAATAAATAAAAAAATGATATTAAAAGAAAAACTCGTCATACTCCACATGATTTGTCTCATAACGTTCCCCCTCCCCAGGGCGTACTTACGCAAGATGAGAGTGTCATATCCCCGCTTTGGCCTTTTTTATTTATCTACTAATATATTGAGATTCTCCCCCTACATATCCCCGTCTATTGATCTTTCCCATATGAAAATCCTAAACACATCACTGCTCCTCCCCCCCCAAAAACTACAATGAGTAATGACGTTCAATTGAACTTATACTATTAAATACTTAATCAATATTTAATAATATTACACAAAACTCAATTGCTGAAGTCAAAGTGTATGAATATACTGGAACAGTATTTGATAAGAATTAATTAATTATTCTAATCTTAAAATAGGGAAGAAACTTTAATAAAATGATCCGCTGTGATGAGAAGAAAAATCAAAAACACTGATATTGTTTCATCATTATGTTATTGAAATCTTATCAAAAATTATCTGACTTACGTTCATACAATTTTCGAAAGGTTTTATTTATATTATCAACACTGATTAGTGGTTAGGGAGGAATCAAGTAGCCCCGTTTTACCTTTAGTATTCGTCTTGCTCCAGGTTCCCCCGTATACAAAATTGTATTTTTGATTATGTTTATTCTTTAGCATGAAATAATAAAAAACAAAAAATTAACCACATATATTTCGATTTACAATAAAAATTTAATTTAATCAAGTCTAAGTTTTATAATTTTTTTTTATTTCGAAGTATAATAACGGGTTTAACACCGAGATAAACAGAAAAAAAACTATTTTACGTTGACCTTCGGGATCACGTGAGATTTATAAATCCTTCGACATGACTTGTTCGTCTGTTCGTGAATACATATTACCTACCTACCTACCTACCTACCTACCACATAAGTAGGTACCTATGTGATATCTTTCAAACCTTTGTAATGTTCGTTAGTTATTTATTATTTTATTTATTTCTCTTTACCATAATTATTATTAAAAAATAATGAAAAAACCAGCGAACTTGTGAAAAACAAACGATTTACCAACTATTTAGGTTTTGTTTCCGTAAGTTTTAGATTTTTCAGAACAGCGCTTTTGTATATATTTTTAATAAAATAACTCTTATTGACGTTCACCTATTGACGTTTATTTACACCTTTCCAAAAATATATAGACGTAAATCCTATTGGAGCAAAAGATGTATAGAATATCAAAAGGGTGATAGTCGAAATCAATATCTCCAAAACATTTTTTTGTTGGCACATTGAACAGTCAATATTTGGCCAAGTTATAATAGGCATTTTCATTTCCCCTCCGCTGTTTTATCTTAACCTATAATAGAGTTATGTAAAGGGCAAAAGAAGTATAAAAATGAGAAAAAGAAACATAGCACTTCTTTAAATCGCAGGGAGCCCACGTAACATAATATAATTCTTCGATCCCACGAAAGAACGATTTAAATCAATTGTTGTATAGTTTTTGAAACAAAAAAAAAATTTTAAAGGGTTTAATTTTATAGGTTGCTATTTGAAAATCCAAAGTAGGTAACAGTTTTAATCCCAAAAAATAGTGCTGATACTGGGGATGGGTGCAGCCACTGTTGTAGGTGAGTAGTTAGGAAAGTAGGAAACATAAGGTTATTTCATTTATATCTGTAATCAACGATAAACCATTGCTGACGAAAGACGATTCCGAACGCAATTCAGTAATACATAATTTGAAGTACCGTTATTTTTTTTGTTATTTTCGTTTATACTTGATTATAAAACGCTTATTAAAAAAAAAAAAAGTCGTCCGATGATTTTGGAAATTTTAACCACGTTTAGGTAAGTCCAATATAAGTATTATTACCAAGTTTGTTTCAAGTCTCTACGTGTATTTATAACCGAATTAAAATAAAAAAAACTCCCAAAAATTAAAATTCCTTAAAAGTTCAAAAGTGGCTCAAAAGTTTTGGCGATGATTTTTAATTTATATCATTTTTTGAAAAAATTAGTCTTTCATGGACAGTTTTACTGTAAAATGAAATCTGGAAGACTGTGCATATTACATTATTATAATATATAAACGAGTATCAATAAAATGCAGATGTATAATTTCGTATCGCTTAACTGTGTGCGCCGTTTCGTCTTTGATTTAAGATTACGAGTATATCGAATTTATATCGGAAAAAAAAAACAACCATTAATGTTATTATAAGTTACAATAATGACCAGCAAACGTGTATAATCTAACCGTATACAGACGGCTCTCTATGTATAGCTAATACAAATTGTACAGGTACGTCTCGCTATATTATTATTTAATTACAGATATATATATATATATAGGTATACGTACACATGCTATTCATTGGCCGACTGCGGGGCAGAAACTAACGTTACGGCGTAGGCATTATTAGGTTATATTGACCGCTGACACTTACCGTTATATAATAATAAACTATCCCAATGTGAGTATCTCGGCGAAAGATATTATTTGTATGTGCTTATTCTTTCTGGAATATTTTTAATGTTACATCAGGTTAAAAACATGGCTAAGAAGTCAAATGTCCCAGCAAAGACATACAGGTTTGGCTTTAATGAGTATTCATAGACATATACAAACTGATGTTATAAAAGTAACAAAGAGATTCCAAAAACCAACAGAATATAGGATTTTGTTATTTAAATGTTTAATATTGTAATTTGTTTTTTTATATATATATATATATATATATTTAGATATGTAGTATGTCAAAAGTTGAATAAAGTTAGTTTATTTTAGATATTTTTTACGATAATTATTAATAATAATTTATTATTATTGTAGAAATGTGTATGTAATTTTCAAAGTGGGTAGAAATCAATTATTTAAGTTGTGAGCAAGCGAAACGATCGAAAAATTTTGAACTGTCGATCTATTTATAATCTGTAACACTATTCTTTATAAACATATGCTTTTATAACTAATAAATTATAAGTATGATTAAAGTTCGAATTTCGACCCCCACCCCTGGAAGATAAGCTGAAAACGCCCTTGTAACGTTATAATTTTATTTCATTATAACGATTCAAGTAAACTTTTTCGGAAGAGGGGAGGGGGAAAGGCAATTAAATATAATACAAATCAAGTTAAAATAAACCCATTATCTGCGACCGTGCAAAGTTCTCGTTTTATAAACGTATTTGGAACAATAAACTATATAATTGAATTTTGTGGAATATAGGAATATTATAATTTCGTATATACATAAGTACGATTTTGAAAGAATTTTCCGACTTAGTATATTATTATGTTTGTGTATATAAACCTAAATAAATGTTATAGGTAGGTATTTTAATTTGTAAACAGTTGACAAAATTTAAATTATATTTATATTTTATTATCTATTTATTTTAAATTCTGAGTGGTGCGGAAAAGCGTATGGTTTTAAAAAGGTGTTTATTTTATTTCTTTTTATCTATGCCCAACTTTTCCATCATAAATCTTGCTCCAATAAGTGTAGTAACTTTTATAAAAATAAATCGAACTAGGGAAGTACTTTAAGAAGGTAAATTTTCGATTTCTCTAAAATAAATGATTTTCACAAAATTCAAGATAGCCATATTAGAAATATACCTTAAAACAAAATGTTTGTGTTACAAATATTTGCTTATGAAGAATCGTTAAATTTCTACCATTTTTAAAGTTTAAGATAATTTATATTGTTTTCATTGGTTACTAAGTAATATTATATTAGATATTATATATTACATATCGATACGGGTTTTTCCCCAGCGATGGTACTTTATTTAAAACACTTTTTTAAATTTTTAACCAAAAGTACTTTTTAAAAAATATATTTTTTTTTCCTTCAATATTATTCTCATTGTATAACTTTGTACGATTTAAAGATGCAGATTTTACATCCATTGATACTTTATTCAAAAAAATGTAAAAAACAGAAAATAGTGTACCATTAAAAACAGATGTTTAATTAGATTTAAAATGCATTATACATTTTAAATAAAAAGGCTATGGAAGGTGAAATCTAATCCTCTCATCCCCCCCCCACCATTGCAGTCTTAAGATTTATAGATTGCGATTTTAATAGGTTAAAATTTGACCTCCAAACTACTGCACAAGCACATAATTTAAATTTTATATATAACTACGTTAATTAACTATTGCTACAATATAATATTATAATAAACAATAAAGGTATTTATATATAATTTATTCTATTCGTTTAAACTAGATCATTAAAATGCAGTAATTATTATAATTATCATTATAAAATGTATAAAACGACGTTCAACGCAACATTGTTTGATCGTAAGTAACCGTGATCCGTGTATAAGTATTTACATTTTTGTGTAAACTCTTACTTATATTATCACATTACATTCTTTACGATCTGCGGTAGATTTATTTAATAGAATACATTAAAACTATCTTACAATATAACTACATAACTTTAAATAAATTTTGTTTATGTTTTGTACCCACACACGTATAATAATGTAAAATATGCGTAGAAATAATGTTAAAACGTATGTTCAAAAGTGACTTAAACGCTTGTAGGTACACTTCTACATTTTATACGACTTGAATAAAGTAAAATGATACATTTTTATTAAAATATTTCGTTGTATATATTTTTATTCGCTATTCGAAAAATGCAACAAAAAAAAAAAAAAAAATAAATAAATAAGAATTCTAATTAAGAAACTCGATTAAACATTTTAGATTCTGAGTGAAGCGAAGAATATTATGGTTTTACAAAGATGTTTATTTTTTAATTTTTTTTTCTGTGAACAACTTTTTTACCAGAAATTTTGCTTCAATTTACGATGATAGCACTATTCCTGAAAGGTAATCTCACTGGGAAGGTACTTTAGGAGAGTTACTTTTCGATTTTCTCATCAAATGTGAAAAATCGAAAAACATAGGGAAGACGTGAAAATCGGTACATTAAACAAATATTATTAAATCAAAGAAAATATAAAATACCTATTTAATTATTTTACTAAAATATGATATATATATATTGTTGACAAAGCATCACTATCAACTAAACTGCGCTTAGAATCGTTTTTCGTAAGCAATGTTTTATCGTTGCTTACAGGTGTACATTAAATTACTTATAACAGTGGCTGCACATCCGACCCCATTATCCTAGGACAGTTTATTTTAAACTGTTTTTACTGAATTTTAATTTCAATTGCAATTAAAAATTGCATTATAATTTCTAACTGTATACGATTTTTCGTGATTTTTAAGAATAAGTCAAAATCTAAACATTAAACGATTAAAAAAATTATATTTCCTTAAGAATAATAATACTTGTATAGAATTTTCGAACATTTTTACCATGACAAATATATCCATATCTGAAAAGAATTCAAACCAATAATGTTTGGTTTAAATTGAACGGGTATTTACTGGAATTTGTTCTCATTGAATACAAAATAAAAATAATAAAATCAATCGATCTCGACAAAAACTGGCGGCGGCGCGCGGTTTTATGAAAAAATATTCAACTGCAGTTTTCATTTGGTTTCCTCCGTTATCAGGAAAAAGTCAAAAGTAAAATAATAGGAATTTAAAAAAAGATTTGATATACTGAGGATGGGTGCGGCCACTATTGTAGGTCGGTAGTGAGAAAGGTAGGATATATAAAGATATTTAATTTATACCTGTAACAATAAATCATTGATAACGAAAAACGATTCGGAGTGAAATTTGGTTTTATATGTTTTGAAGGGCTGTAATATTTACGATTTCCGTCAAAATTTGATTTAAAAAAAAAAAAAAATACTGCATTAACCTAATTTTTTTTTTACCACACAAGACTTATAAAGGACCTTCTATCGAATTTTTAAGCATTTTTGTTGAGTCTAACCGTTTGTCAACAGAGTACCTATTAAATAAAAAAAACTCGTTAAATTAAAATGTCCATTAAATAGCTCAACATTTTGAAAAAAACAAAATTTAATATAATAAATTAATTATTTTCATAAATGTCTCCGTTCTTTCTACGTGTATTTAGTTTTGCTCAATTATTAAAAAAACCAAAAAAAAAGATCTCTTGATGTTTGATCTCTATTTGAACATTATTTTTGGTAGAAAACATAAGTCGTGTAAATTTAAAATAATGAAATCGTTATGCCGTAATTTTTTAAAAAAAATTGTGTATTTCGTTATTTTTGATTTTTGCCAGTTAATAAGATAAATACTTTAAGCATCAAAAATCGACTTCCTCTGTCAGTGGTAAAATCATAGTAAAACCAATAGATCTCTAACTACGTTCCGAATCTAAAATATCCTCAACGCGTATCAACTATGTTATCTGTAATTTGTAAGTTTTTTTATTGAAACATTTGTAAGCCTTTTTGATTGGATTAATGTTATTTTTAATCGAAAAATAAAAATTAATAAACATTTAAAAAAAATGCAGCATACACACACACACACGTCACAATAAAACTAACACGTGAGTACTTACACCCCTCGCGCTCTTCTAAAAATACAGTAAATTATATGAACGACGTTTTCCGAATAGAGAAAATTAAATTTGCTACACAGACACAGTCGTGAGTCGAAACGATAATAATATGCAAATGAGATAATAATATTATATTATATAGGTACGGATTTTTATTAACATTCGTCTCAGACGGTATTCGTCAGGCACCCGTTCCTATTGTATGTTGATTATTATAGCGATCCGCTACGACGATATAATATAATAATATCAAGAGACGATAAAAATAAAAAAATTATCGTTTTAATTTCCGATGCCAAAAATGTTATAGATACAAACATACCTATGTATTAAGTACCCGCCTATACCTATATAATATATACACGAATGATTTATCGACTCCCTCGTCGGATGGATATACTTATATATTATTGCAGCGGACAGGACGGTGTAAAGTAGGGCGTTGTTGCAGTCCACAGCAATAACAAAATATTAAAAGGTGTGTTCGTTTCGGTACCGATGGCAATACATTTTTATATTATATTATCTTTGAGATCGACCAAAACCTTGTATATGCGATATAGGTACGTGTCCTGGCGACCTATACAGTCCTATACCGAGGTAGCAGGTGGAAATGCGCAAAAATGTCCGCGTCCGACGCTATAATATTATATAATATAACAAAGCCCGTGATTTCATATAGTGTTATATTATATTTCGACGCAAAAATATATACCTACACCAATATACCTATATCAATCATCGAATGAATGGCGAATTTCTTTGATACCGACAAAGGTTACACCCCTGTAGCTAGCAGCCGAATCACTATTCTATACGGTGTACGGTACGTTACATTCCGCCACTAATGTAATATAATAATATGTTATATCACCAGAATTACTCCACCTTTTGCTACTCCTCGTTCCAAAAATAATTACTTTTCAAATAGACCGGTGTGACGCCTACCAATATTGTGTAATCAAATTCACAATTTTGATTTTTTTTTTTTCGATTCCTGTCATTAGCTAAAAACTTGTATTTATAATTTAAATATTTAATGTATAATTTAATTGTAAATGTAATGATAGTTTTTATGTTTTCGCATACTATACTCTTACCCATTGGAGTTTTATGTATATTTATACATTTTTTGTTTATATATATATATATATCAGTGATGGATTAAACGATTTGCTGTCAATAGCAAATATTATGTTTTATACGAGTAGAGAGATATTCCCCAACCCTTCATTATCATAAGTTTTAAATTCTGAGTAGAGCGAAGAAGCTTATGGTTTTACAAAGATGTTCATTTTATTTATTTTTTTTTTTATGTGCACAATTTTTCTATCAATTTTTACGTTTAGTAACTTTTCTGAAAGAAACTCGGTGTACGGAGGTCCCTTAAGGAGGTTATTTCTCGATTCCCGTAATAGTTTTCCCAGCAAATATGCAAAGCCCGGAAAGAATATGGGAAAATCGTAGGAAAATCAGGAATTCGGTACAACGTTAAACAAATATGTAATGCCTATTTAATTATTTTACTATAATATAGCATATATATTAATTACAAAGTATCATTATCAACTGAACTCCGCTCAGAATTGATTTTTTCGTTAGCAATGATTGTTTACAGGTATACATTAAATTATCTATAACAGTGGCTGCTCTCGTCCCCATTATTCTAGAACGTTTTTTTTAATACTTTTTTTTTAAACTAAAAACAAAAGTTGAAACATTTAAAAATTGTACATTATATATAGTACTGTAATAACAGGTATGTTTGGTGTGAAACCTGTTATTGTTATTATAATATTTATACTTCAACCGAACTTTGTGCCGTTAGTTTTAATATTAGAATTTATTAGCCTATTATCAAGTTTAAGGAATATTGTCTGTGTATGTACGTTGGTCAATTAAAAAAAAAAAATAACTGTATATAATCATGGATATAAAATATCAAAACAGAACTCTCTGAGAGAACTGTTTATGGTAAAACGAAAAAAAGTTGATTCATTTTTGTCTATAAAATGCCCTAAAATGTTGCCTTTACAATCACAGCTGGTTGTTCTAATTGAAAGCGACGCTGTTACATACCTACTTAACCAGAATCTCGGAAAAAAAAAACAAAAATTTTAAAATTTTGTAGATAATATTTGATTATTACATAAAAAAAAAAAATGAAACCATATTATAACACTAAAACATTGACACTTTAATGATTTTTGATAGGTAATTTCAATGAATGAAAGAAATGATAGATATATTGCAACCACTCAATCATTTTAAATAAACATTTTTTTTTAATTTTCATAATTAAGTAATACATTTAAAATTTTAAAATTGTTCTTTTTCCGTATTTTTTTTTCCTTGGCTTTTTTTACCGATTATCACCTAACCTTTAATGTCCATAAGTCTGCCGGTACATAGTTTTAAATGCGGTGGGTTACTACGCGTTCGTTGGCACATAACAAACCTGATTAAAATCCTTTTAACAAACGCCGAAATTCTTACTAGTATATTATATTTTTTTCTCCGTTGTATCTCTATATATTGTTTAGGTGAGTGATATACCTAACGTTTTATGCACCCAATTATCTAACCTATAAATCGCACAGTCATAATATATAAGTATACTATAACGTTTCATCACGATTCGTCTTACAATTTAGCAATTAAGTAGATATATAGTGTCGAAAACAATTAACGAGCAATTTTCAATGATATTTCGGCCCGATGTTGTACCTATATAGGTATACTATTCATAAATAGATACTTGTCATAAATCATAATTCCATTTGAAATTGATATTAATCGTTCATTATTTAATATTACACTAAGTTGTGGCATGTGATTCGATATCTCGAACCGACGATTATAAACAGTGGTGTATGAAAGAGAAGAGGGGGAGAGGAGCAAAAGGGGCCGTTGCACCAGGCTTCAAATTTTTAATGATTTTAGGAGGTAATTTTTAGAGGAAAGCAGAAGCAAGGTTGGGGTAAGAAAAACGTAGAAAATGTTTTCGATTAAGGTTTTATATTTTACTGTATACTCAAAATGTTACCTCTTACATTGAAGGATACGATATACCTGACCACAAAAGCATGTCAAACGAATTTATAATCGATCATCTCTATTTTTGGCCCAATTGATTCTTTGGTACACTGATTTTGACATTACGTTCCTTTTTATACAATCTTCGCATTTTCCTTCATTCCTAGTCTTCTTAGTGGAATTTTTCGTATATTAGATTCTTACTCTCATTATGAAGTCGCGTTTCGACTCACATATTATGTTTTTTTAATTTAATAAATGCGAATTATACACGAACATAATATAATAATGTAGGTTATCTTACATTATACGCTGAGACTATATTATAATAACAGTGTACTGTTTTTTCTCTACTGTCCAATGATTCGCTTTATCGTAATAATTTGTTTATACGCGTGTAAAACGAATTAAAAAAAATTATTTATAATTTCAGGATTATGTAGGTAATAAATTAAAATAGTTTTTATTTTGTAGACTTAAAGGACTCGCAATTTTAGACGATTTTTCTTAATAAAATAAAATTATAACTACCCCGTAACACGAACCAATACCAAATTACGTTTATTTGTTAATTATTATTATAATATTTTTTCTAAAGAAAAAAAATTTATCGCTGGCGATCTTATATAGTATAATTACAGAAAAAAACATAAAAAATAGTATTGTACTTTCACTGTACTGTCATTTTATTACTGATTATAGATTTTGAAATTCTAACTTATGTTATTTTATTAACATAATTAGTAACTACTATAACTTACACGTATACTCGGCGATTTTATTTAATATTTATCACGATTGAGGTTAGTTTACGAAAAATGATAACATTATATGTTTTATTAATATTAGGAAAAAATAGCTGATCGGCTGTCGGTTGTATTAGTGTTGTAGGAGGGATGTTGGGAAGGTGGGATACATACCAAAAGGTTTTTTATTTACATATATTATGTTTACCTATACACAATGAAATATTAATTTAATAAATATAAATTATATAATTCATTGATAACAAAATATTTTTCTGACTTCTGAGAGAAGTTCAGTTATACATGTTTTGAAACGCGGTTTCTAACAAAATTCGAACTTTAAACACGTATAAAAAAAAATCCCATTACATTAAGCCAACTTTTTTCTTTCGTCATTAATTTAAACTTATAATGAACCTGGTGTATAATTTTCAAGCATGTCTACTATACCAAAAAAATTGTATCCACATAAATCCAAGTAAAAAGTCTCGTAAATATCAAATGCCTATACATTATTTAATTATCGTCAATGTTTTGCGCGTTTTACCACGTCTAGAAAAAACGAATATAATTACTTTGTGAAAACGTCTGCTGCAGGTCTCTGTGATTATTTTTAACCGAATTATTTAAAAAAAAAAGACATCCTAGGGTAATGGGGTCGGTTACAGCCACTGTTATAGATAATTTAATGTATACCTGTAAGCAATGATTAACTATTACTTACGAAAAAAACAAATCTGAGCAGAGTTCAGTTGATAGTGATGCTTTGTTAACAATATATATGCCATTGTATAGTAAAATAATTAAATTGGCTTTATATATTTTCTTTAATAATATTTGTTTTTTATGTTGTATCAATTTTCCCCGTTTTCTTACATTTTCCCCGGTTTTCCCATGTTTTATCCCAGTTTTTTACATTTGTGGGGAAAACTCTTAAAAAAATCGAAAAAGTACCTTCCTAGAAAAGTTATCCACAGAATAAAAAATAATAAAGTAAACATCTTTGTAAAACCATAACCTTTTTCGCTTCACTCAGAATCTAAAATCAAAATCGAATATAATAAACTGAACTGTTTTTTCAGTAAACTTTCCAGTTTTCTCAGATTTTCCCAATTATTAAGAAAACTTTAATAAAACTCTAAAAAATGATATTCTAGACATAATTTCCGGAATTTGAAATGTCAAATTTCTAAATTTCGGACATAGTCATCGACCTATTTATTTCGTTTCTAAATATGCTACGGTTAAGTCAAATCGCACACATACCTACCTGTTCGATTAGTAATTTGGATAACGGTTTGAATAATAAAATCTCTGCTTTACGTGTGCCTATATAATATAGTGAAGGGCGACAAGGTCGATGACAAGTTCATTATTCGAATAGGTATATGGGATGTGGTAGCGTTTCTGTCGGAGCCAAAAATATTATTTTCATATTTTAACATTGACATTCAATATATGTGAGGTCTACGTTCGTTCACCTATATTATCGTATTATATTATATTTTGCATTGACGGGTTATTTGCGGCAATATATTGTGCGCACCTATACACTACACTATAACATTTTAAAATTTAATTTTCTTTGATGATATCAATGTAACATTTGGTATTAATTAAATTTAATTGAAAATCATACGTGTATCTATATTACGCACAACTGCTGTAGTCAGAGCCGTACGGGTTATATCGTTTTTGTGACTAAAGAAATTATAATACAGTAAGATACTTTATTTTTCTACAGGCCACTGTTGTATGAAGGTAGTTTGGAAGGCAAGATAAACAGAGTGATTTAATTTGTGTCCAATATGCATTATGCACCGATAGTTGAAAATGAAATACAATTCTGAGCATAGAAGTATTAGTCATATTTTTCCTTTATATCTTAGGTAACTTGATAAGTAACAGTGTTAAATTAAATAAAACATAGGACCTAGAGGATGAACTGCTAAAAATGTTGATAAATGTTTCAAATAATTTACCACTAAGCAGAAATTCCGCACATTTCACGATACTGCGTGAAACATTCAGAGCAGTTACTTATAACCAATGTTATTACAAAAAACATAAAAATCAATTTGTTTGGAAAAAATATTAGGTATTTTGAGAACAATTTGGAAAAATTCACATATTTTAAGGTATAACGTGGTAAAAATCGGAGCATCTTTTACTAACCGTAAAAGTTTATTCAGAAAAAAAATATGCGATGTATTATTTATAATGAAACGCTACAGTCAGAGTCCAAAAAAAAAACAACTATGTTGTACGTCTGTTTTTTTCTTCTCGTTTATTCGATTATTATTAGACATACGAGTTTTTTTTAAATTATTTAATTGGACTGTTTTTTTCATATTATAATATAACTGTAATAGTTAAAAATATACTATTATACGTGATTTACGAAGAATATTAATAATATAACATTTTTACAGTGTTGCCTATAGTATTATTTTCCCGCGTAGAATTTCGTGGCTATAATACATAATAATATATTAGAACGCTAACCAAACGGAATCCGACGCCGTAACTGTTAATTTACACACGAAACCGGTGATGACTGCAAATTAAACGGTACAGGTTGTGGGCATCCTAGTTTTTTTTATGACGCCGACGACGACGACGACGACGTATAAAATACTATAAGTTACCTTGCAGCTATTCGTTTTTCTCGTATTACAATTAATATATATAATAATTATTAACCACTAAGTATGGGCAGGATAAGACTAACCGACGAAACCGTATGTAACCATAATATAGGTATGGTGTATACGATATATATTATATAATGCTAGGTATGTAGAAGTTATAAGAGTTTGAAGGCAGTATTTAATATAGTTTTTGTTAAGTCATTATATGTACGCTACATGAGTATCATTTTTATAATATATTTTCTAGTACTCAGTGGCATAAAAAAAATGTCGAGGAATGATTAAAATTTGAAATTATCATTATTTTTATGACACACCAGCACTTTTCTTCAGTCTATTATGTATTATGAAAAAATTATTTGAAAAACAATAAATAACTGGAATACTTTAATAATACAATACATTATATTATAGGTACTACGATAATAACATTATTCCGAAAGAATTGGAAAAATTGTAGGGAGTTGAAAGTTGAAACCTCTACATTTTAGAGGTTTCTACTTTCAGTGTACCTTTTATAGTCTAAAAGGAACATTCTTGTTACTAACGCTATGCGTATTAAAGGTTTTTAATGTCGTTTAAAGATTAAAAAAAACACGATCCTCCCGCAACAACACGGCGAAATTCATAGTATTGAAGTTTAACTTCAACCCAACTTTTTCACTGAGATCCGCCTAAAAAACTGTCTCTAATTCCCAAGTTTGAGTTCATTTCGTCCAGAAAGGTTCACTAAAAGTGTACAAAAGTAACAGAAAAAAATATGTATGTACACAATGTAGTCTCTAATGATTTTACCACGACGTGTTTTTTGTTGCAGATTTTTTTCCGAAAATATAGACTATATTGCCTTGTATTTTATTTAGCTGTTTTATATATTTTATTATTATCTTTCGAAACATAACTTTTTAAAATATCATTATGCAGAAAAAATTTACCCATTTCAAGCTTCGTACAAAGTTTTTATTTTAATTCGCCATACAGATAATACTTGAAATGGTTCTAAATAGTGAAAAAACATTAATAAATAAACAAATAAATAAATAAACATAAATAATAATTGTATATATTAACATATTCTTTAATTTAAATGAAATAGAACATTTTTAAAGTTAATTATTGTTTAGTTAAGAAAAGGTTCTCTATCTAATTTTATTCACATTTTGAAAACGAAAAGATCTATCCATATTAACAGTTATGCAAAACAATTATTGATAAAATAATATAGACGAATTCTTTCAAATAGGTTCCATCTCAAAACAGTAATTTTAAAAATTTCTATCCCTACAGTACTTAAAAATAGTTCTCCAATGAAAACCTTTTAAAATACGAAATTATTATCTTTGAAAAACAATATTTCTATAATAAAAAATACATTTTGGGGAAACCTTGACTTTAGTGACGGAGCTGTGCTACTCACTGGTGTTTTTTTGTGGTCTCGGAAAATACTTGTTCAGTTAGTAAAAATGCTCGGATTTGTTCACACGGTATACCTCGAAAGATATGGGATTTTTACTCGGTGCACAGTAGAGCCAATGACATAGAAAGTTGGTAAAAATAGCACTAATCAAATTGAACTATCTAAAATATCATATTATTATGTATAATCGGTAGAGGAGTTCATCCTACATTTGAAATCAATTTCAAACACGCGGTTTGACTTAAATTTATCTGGTTACAAAAATCGTAGCATAAGTCCACTATACATTATAACAATCAAAATAATAACCAAATTGTAAAGGTTTTACTTTTTTTAGTTAAATTTTCGTTATTTTAACACTTATAAACTTCAAACTATCATTGAATCATTAGCAAAAGGTCAGTGACATTTTATAAATTTAACTTTTGTTTTTATCTATTGAATAGATTAACATTTTAAACATAATAGTGAAACTAAGTTATCATTTTCGTTCTTTCATAATAATTATATGTAATTTAAGTTCATTTCTGGGTCAATCCAAGTTTCATTCATTGCAAAATATAATGTCCATTAGAGTATTCTATCACGTCGATGGAAAAAGTTCACTAAAATTTGACCACGTCTAGAAAGGGCCAGCCGAAAATTTGTTCCGATTCATCTAAAAATCAGGTTCGTAATATTTGAACTCGATTGGACCTAATTACTAGGGAGCGATTCAAGCATACAATTTTACGAAAAGGAAAACATTTTGTTTTTTGGCGTATATTACGAAAAACTGTATAGGTGACTCTGCTATAGAACTGGTTGTTTCCTAAATAAAACTGTTTTTCCAATTTTTTCTAAAGTTAATCCTTCCATGATAAATCAAGAAAACCATAACATTTCCTCAATATGGAGATTGTTCAGTTTTTAGTTATTCGCGAATATATCCGCTAAAAACGTACATATAATGCAACATAAATCTTTTATTAATCTTATATTAAACGATTTCCAGAATGTTTCTTTTTTTTTTTTTTTTTGCAATGATAACTGCGTTGTATTCGTCGGAATTCAAGTTAAATTATACACTATATTATACATACATGTATAATATCAATAATTATATATTATTATGCTTGATCATAATCACGATCGCAATATATCAGATTTTTTTCCTCCCCTCCGTTGCAAATGACGGTAATAATAATAAAATACGAGAAGAAAAAGTATATATTTTGTCGGAAATCGAATCGTTCGCGGTTCGATGAAACGGTAGTTAGGCAGATAGGTCGATACCGTATTAACGCGTAATGCAACCGTATAGCTGATGGTTTTAAAATAAGATTATTATAATGCATCACGATTGAAGAATATGTATTATTATATATATATAAAATTCCCTACTACAACGAGTAATTTTTTGATCTGACCAAAATATTTTCAATTTTCCCTTTCGTTTTGCAATTACAATATCTCGGGCGTGATATTTATATTACTTTTATACGGAGAAAAAACCTATTCGTATTTTGATTACTTCGTGCACGACTGGATTCATTCTGTTGCGGATATTATAATAATATTATTTTTAACATACTGTTATCGTATTGTAGGTAGTACTTCATATTATGAGTTATGACGTACTACAGTATTGATTTACTAGTTTAAAAAAAAAATTATTAAAAATGTTTAAAATAAAAAAAAATATTCTTAATTTAAGTCACGTCACTTGTTACTCTCCATTTGTCTCGTTTTATTCCGTTTTTTTTTTCTCTAAAAAATATCCACTCCATAAATTCATTATTTGTATAAACTGGAATAATAGATATTTAGATAATTAATAAATTAAATATAATTATTCCATTTTATTTTCTATAAAAAAATAACTTATTATCTATATGTGTATGATATATGTTTTAATATTAGACATTTTAATTGAAAACCGACTAAACATTTTAATAACAATCTAAATTTGAATCCAATTTAACTTCAAGCGTAGTACTAGTACAAATATAACAAATATCAATCTATATCTAAAGCTTCAAAGGCCATTAAAAATCTTGCTTATCGACCAAATCGCTGTTCCGAACATCCTCATCCTCCATTCTTTTTTATTTGATTGCTGCCACTTCTCGCGAATTATCGGCCCTTTGTTTGGAGTTTACAATTTTGATTAGTAAATCTAGGTTAGACTTTTTCATAATTTGTCCTTAATTATATTATCATAAGTTTATCTGAAATTCACGAACATTAAATAGATATTTTTGTTATACTCATAATGCTTGCTTAAGATTATGTGAATATTATATGACCTGTTGTTGACTTCCCCTTCCAACTGAAATTGTAAACTTAACAAAGTTATGCAACAATAACACAACATTTTTAGTCAGGGTACAAAGAGAGCTATTAGAACAATAAATTCTAAAACAACGAAATATACTCGTAATTATATAAATAACTAGCTGGCCCGGCAATAATTTGCTATAGCTAGATAATAGTGTAAATAATAGTAATACAAATAATAATAATAGTAGTTTTCCTGTCTGTAATAATTATATTGTCATCAATGTTACATTGTTACCAAGGTAACCCATAAATAAACAAACAATTAGATGTTTACCAAAAATACCAAAAATATCTAAAAAAAACCCTCTATTTTACATAGGCATATTAGAATTTTTAAAAATCCTTTCTTAACGGATGCCTACGTCATAATAGCTAACTATATGCCAAATTTCAGCCCACCCGTCCAGTGGTTTGGGCTAGGCTATGATGAACCAATCAGTCAGTCAGGATATATAATTTTATATATTATATATATACAGTGAAACCTCCCTTAACGGACACCTCTAAATAGCGGACGTTTTTTCGGGGACGGATTATTGAATTTATTTATGTGTTAAAAAACATGTTTTCCTCTAAATAGCGGACACCTCTAAATAGCGGACAAAATTTCGGCAACCGAGAGTGTCCGCTATTCAGAGGTTTCACTGTATATATATTTTATATATCCGAACATTTCAAATAAAACATTGTAATATTCTTCGTCTACCTTACCATATTGTTAATGTCATACACAAAATAATACCTAACTATTTACTCATTCATTATCATAATATTTATAGTCTATTCGGTATATGGATACCAATGTAAATGACAGATGTTTAATAAGTATAATACCTGGTTTATTTTCGTTGACTGGATAATAATATTTCATAATTCAGTAGGCAGGTAACTACATATTACATGTGACAATATTAAAGAACATGTCCAATATTATAATCATATTTATTTGAATAGGGTATTTGTTTTCGTTTTGGTACTTAATACTTTCCAACAAATATATTGGTAAATAATAACAATAATTTTTTGTATGCCTAACACGGTTGTTTAATTTCTTATACATGGTGTATAGGGCGTTAATTACAAATGTACAATATATAAATTTGTATAATGGATACCTGCTAAAGGTATTATAAATAAAAGTTTTAAATTATATTATATTACATATTATATTTCACCGGCATTACATATTATTTTGTTTTTCTGGAATCTTATATTGGAGTAATTATTTTACTGCCACAAGGGAGTTACCAAAAAACATCGAAATCTAAAACGTATAGGTATTTTAAACTTCGGCGTTCCTGTGTCTAGCCGACTTATTTTTAATACCTAGGGAACTACCTAATATATGTTTTGATAGCACGTATTATTGAAAATTATTATAATATTCAAAAATAAAAATGTTTTTTTAATATATTAGTACATATATAATTGTATATAATATTAATACCGGCATTACACTTGTTTATAATTTTATTAATACCTATTTTCGTTTGTTTTTTTTTTAGGCACTACTTGTTGAATAGGTATATTACCTATAACTTCCAATAATCTTCGCAAGATCAAAATGCACAAGAAACAAATCAAAAACTTGTAAGTATATATTATATAACTGCAGAAAATTCGGCGTATACCTATTTGATAATACTGCATATTTATTTTTAAGTTATTTAATTATTAATTTATTAGTTTATGCGGGTATGGTCTTCTGAACAAACTGAAAACAACAGATTGCATACAACATTTATTATTTAAAAGTTTAAGGTTGAAAAATGTATATAGTCTATATGATTTAAACCGTCATAACGTTAACATTACAATTGATATAATAGTATAACTGTATCGTAGGTATATAATAATAATAATAATAATAATAATAATATAAAATGCGAAATGTCATAATTTATTAATCTGTAAAATAGATATAGTATGCGTTTGTAAAATGATAGGATTACGACGCAAGAGTCGTGTAATAGATAATAACGGTCTATTTTATAATCTTATTATTATGACTTGAGAAAGTTTCACACGATCAAAAATATTGTATTATAAAAATAAAATGTACTTAATATACGTAAACAAAAAATTATACTCCATAAGAATCCATCTAGGGTATATTCAAAATCAAGCTTATACCTTATAATATTACGTATTTAAAAGGGTTTTCTTAAAAAAAATGTTTTCTGTACTATATCATAATGTATTATTATATAAATATTAAATATATATATTTTTACACCACTTTAACTAATCTAACTGTTATACCTACTATATAACCACACTAATCCTATGTTTAAAATATATTATAGTATAGTAAAATAATATTAGGTTTTTATTATAATGTTTGATACTGTCTACAGATAAGGGTCGAAATATTATCGACTTTTCGTCGATATTTCAAGTATATGTATACAGTATACTGCAAGCACGGATCCAGAACAAAAATCTTGGGGAGGAGCAACAATTTTTTTACAACAAAAATACAATTACAATGTTTATGGTTCCATTTATAGTACTATAATAGTTTAATCCACCACAATCTATTTGTGATTGTCTGGGACCAACTTTAGTAGCGACGTGGCAAACTTTTGTAGAAATTAATACGTAATTACGAAATTACAAAATTGGAATCACAGTCCACAGATATAACGTGTAATTATATGATCATACATTATATCTGTGATTGAAATATATTAATATCAGGATCTATAGAATTGTAAAAAAAATTAGAGAAATAATATACCTTGGCCCCTAGACCCTTTTTCTGGATCCATCCCTGGAGTATAGAAAATACTATAGGTTGTAGGTACCTGGTATTATATTTAACGAACAATTGTCTGAGAAGTATATGCTGCAGCGTGGAAAATGAACATAATTATTTTCGTTTGTTAGATTCTATTATATAGTTTGATGCGATACTTATTTAAATAATAATAATAATAAAAACAAATATTATATAACATAGATGCATTTCGTGGTTACGTAAAAGAGTTAAAAAAAAAAACCCAAAACTGGTCAATGTTGTGTATTTTTTGATCATAATATAATACGCACGTAGGTGGAATGTATCAATAATAATGTAATGTGTTTATTAAAATCTACTATCGCCTAAAGCTAATAATACGCGGTCATTCTGTTAATTTTAGATTTTGAGTGGAACGAAGAAGTTTATGATTTTAAACAAATGTTTATTTTTTATTTTTTATGTGAACATCTTTTTCTACCAGTAAACTTACTCCGATGTATACGCTGTAGATTCTTTTCTGAAAGGATATTGTCTAGGGGTGGTACTAGTGGGGGAGGTTATTTTTCGATTCTACCAAACATTTTTCCAGCAAACGTGAAAAACCGGGAAAATCGGTAAAATGTTAAACAAATATTATTAAAGAAAATATACCATCTCCATTTAATTATTTTACTATAATATGAGGTGTATATTGTTAACAGAACATCACTATCAATTAAATTCCGCTTAGAATCGTTGTTCGTAAACAATGGTTTATCGTTGCTTACAGATAAACATTGAGTTCCCTTCTAAAAATTACTTTTTACTATTTTTGATATCATAGGGCAGGGGCATGTTCATAGAGGGAGGAGGATATCGTATCCCCTTCATAAATTTTTTTTATACATTTGTTTGAAGTTCCTTGGTAGTTTCGGTTTTTTTCTAAAAGAAAAAAAAATAAGTGCATATTTGGTTTTAATTTTTAGTCATGTTAATTATTATCATATACATATAAAATAGGCTTAATAGATACCAATATAGTAATAGCAATTATCCACAGATAATGCGTAAATATTATTAAAAAAAAAAAGGTCCAAATGGACTATCATAATATTTTAGTCCATTATATTCCGATATCTACGTTATAAACGCGACCGTCGACATATTAATATATTGTCATTAGTATTTATAGTTATGGAGTTTTTAGCTCGGTATGCTATAATAAAACGTTTATATTAATACATATGCCTAATTGATTAAATATTTTTAATAATTTCATAACTTTAAGTATGTATGTAAACGATATAAGCTTATTTGTGAACTGTAGATTATCAGATGCTGATGATAAATTTACTATAAGTTTAGACTTTATTTTAGATAAAAAATAATCAGTTCTAAATACCAAATGAACAAAACTTTTGTCTTTTACTGTTTAGGCATTTAAATATGTATGGACACCATTACCAACCATACCGATTTTTCTAATTTTTCTCCGTTTTTCTCATGTTTTTTCCGATTTTTGACATTGGCTGGGAAAACTCTAGGAAAAATCAAAAAATTACCTCCTTAAAATACTTTCCCAATCAGATTTCTTTTCAAAAAAAACGCTATCATTGTAAATCGGAGCGAAATTGCTGGTAGAAAAGTTGGTTACAAGAAAAAAATGTCGTAATACATTTCGTACATTTTCCCGTTTCAACCTATTTATTGAAAAAACATGAGTAAACCGAAATATTACCTACCTGAAGTACCTCCCCAGTCCGATTTTTTTCAGAAAAAGTGTTACACTTCAAATTAGAGCAAAATTTCTGGTATAAAAGTTCGCACAACAAACCGAGAGGTGTTTTTCGATTAAAATGGTCCGAGTGAGAGATAGCTGGGTCTCTAGGTACACCTAAAGTGTATATTTTTCCCCGTTTAGGTAAAAAGGAAAAAATAGTGCAACTAGTGTTTTTTTCGAAACACGGGTTTGAACTCATGAACCTTACAATGAAATCAGATATGAATACCATTCGAGTAGAACAAACATATTCTATGTATGACAATTTACATTTATTTAATGTAACGTATAATATCCGCATAATATCAGAACTTCAAAAAGCTATAATTTCGAATCTTGGTTAGTTCGCTTAATTCTGACGGCATTATCGTTCTTAAATCGGCTATATACATGTGTTCAAAAACTTGAAAAATTAGATTTGTTCCACATATACAAAATATATGTGGAAAAACCCCCTGTTAAATTTTCAAGCATTTCACTATCACTATCACTATTTCACTATCATGAACACCACCTTCGTCTATATCGTAAGTATAAGTACCTATACAAAAATATTATTTTATATGGTTATTGACAGAGAATTATAATAGACAACGGACCTGCACAGGCCTGTTTAGCGAGGGTCTGTAACGTCCTCCTCTCTCCCGCCCATCTACCCACCGTTACAACTAATTTTTGTCAACGACAATGTAATTGTAACCATACAGGTACAAAGGTCGAAAACACGATACTAATTTACACACGCACACATATCTTCCCCCGTCCATGATATACATATAGGCGATCCCTCTCCGAGAACGAAAAGAATGTATACATTATATACATGTAATGTATATATATATATCGACAGTATCGCGCACTGTGTTTCTTACCTGTAAGATCCTGTACGATCCTACATGAGTTGGTCCCTTAGCACCCCCCCCCACCAAATTTGTATACATTTCATCTCGTTAAACTACTCTTATGTGGACGACTAAATCATTATCCGTGTCGCAGTCGTAGAAGCAAGTCGTCGTTGTCCAGTGTTCATTTTTATAACTATAAATTGTTAGTGCTTGAACAATTTTTACAAGTGATTAAATATGTCATTCAAAAAGTACGAATACGTCGCACCGGCATCACCTCCGGATCTTATCGACTGCATTAACTATACTCTGAGCTTCACAGAACGTAAGTTCGTGAATATAGGTGTCGACCTAACAGACACGTTCACCGTCAAAGTTCATATAATAACTCCGTCACGGTACGTCAACCTAACACCGGATGTTCTATCGCAAATATTTTCACCGATAGACGAAATCCTATCAAACATACTCGACACGCCGAAATACATGTTACACGTATTTCTGGAAACAGCAATATTCAAGTTATCGCGTTGTGTATACAAAAAAGAAAACGTTCTTGTAATAGAATCAAAAACCATGACTGGCTGCCGCATCCTATTAAATAGACAGGATTTATTTGCGCTTCAAAATTTGGAATGGTGCATTTTCGAGACGATCGCACGGAAATACGTGGTCAGTTTACCAGTAGTATTAAAACAATTCGATCGGGTTAGTTGTTATATAGAAGAAGAAATCACTAAAATGAGAACACCACCATCAGATATGAACGGAATACGAATGTTCATTAAAAGTCTCAAAGATGAGAAAATCGTCTCTTCCTTACCGAAACATGACGTTAGTTATGTCAGCCAAATTAGGATGTATGCATCAACTCAATTAGCAGAGTGCTGGATGAATATGCAGATTATATCACCGTTATATACAATTTCATATTAGAGAAGAGAAAAAAAATGTATATTATTATAAAGACAATTTTCGCTTGAGACCCCATCCCATTCCTGAAACTGCGGAATCCAATTCTTCTTCTTCATTCATCTCTTCCTTCAGTACCAGTGGTAATGTAATGTGTTGCGGTCCGCACGGGCCGTCGTTGTGGTCGAATCCTCTTACGGCGTAAGTCGGCGAATAGCTCGGTGACGGATAATCGAAAGATTACCCGAGCTCTGCATATTCATCCAGCACTCTGCTAATTGCATGCATCCTAATTTTGCTGACATAACTATCGTCATGTTTCGGTAAGGAGGAGACGATTTTCGATTCTATTACAAGAACGTTTTCTTTTTTGTATACACAACGCGATAACTTGAATATTGCTGTTTCCAGAAATACGTGTAACATGTATTTCGGCGTGTCGTGTATGTTTGATAGGATTTCGTCTATCGGTGAAAATATTTGCGATAGAACATCCGGTGTTAGGTTGACGTACCGTGACGGAGTTATTACATGAACTTTGACGGTGAACGTGTCTGTTAGGTCGACGCACATATTCACGAACCTACGTTCTGTGAAGTTCATAGCATAGTTAATGCAGTCGATAAGATCCGGAGGTGATGCCGGTGCGACGTATTCGTACTTTTTGAACGACATAATTAATCACTTGAAAACATTTTTAAAAAAGTTTATTCGACGGTATGGTAACGCGCACGAAGACACAATTATATATCAACCTTTGTATCGGCAGTCGCTGACATTCTGAGAAACACGATATGCGTTGACCGCCTAATAGGGCGGCCGGGGTATGGTGAGCTCGTTAATAACGATTGCTTATGGTATGTTATCAAAAATATTATTTGGAAAAATAATAATAATAACTTATTAAAATACAGAGGTGGCCAAAAGTCGCGCAACGACTACCGTCTTGTAGGGAACGCGTTTCTCCCTCCACGTCGTTTCCGTTACGTCATATTGCAACTTTTGTCTCGTTATCTTGTTTACGTACAACCACAGCAAGGTTTTTAAAAAAACAACATAACCTATTAGACGCAGTTTCATGTTCGTTATCGTTCGTAACACTGCCGAAATGCAAATTTGTTGCGCGACTTATGGCCACCTCTGTATATACACTATGTAGATGCATATTATATACGGTATACAAATTTGGTGGGGGGGGGTGCTTAGAGATCAACTCATGCAAGATCGTACAGGATCTTACAGGCAAGAAACACAGTGCGCGCTGCTGTTGATATATATATATGTATATATTCTTTTCGTTCTCGGAGAGGGATAGGCTATATGTATATTATAGACGGGGAAGATATGTGTGTGTGTGTGTGTGTGTGTTTGTGTGTGGAGATGGTTGGCGGGTAGGGAAAGGCGATAGTAGTATTTGGTGATAACAGTGTGGAAAACAAAGGGAGGCGTGTTCTAAATAGGTCAAGTACGTGGTGCATGTAGGAAAAAAATGAAAAAAAAAAATCCTTGCACCTGAACCTGGAGTAGAACCGCTATTTTCATACGACTGGGATGCATTGATTACATACACTTTCCATGTTCATACCTACGGTAGAGCAAACGACATTAGAGGCGAAATGGAAGACGATGTTTGGAAGGATAAAAAACAAACATTCCTTTTACAAATGCTTAATATTATTATTATTATCTCCACCATCACGACCGTTTTGACGTACTCTGTGCAGTTATTAATGAACGGTTTACCGTACGATTGAGCCACGTGAAAACCGATAAATTGGCGGAACCCCAAAATATTGGTATAGGTATACCAATATCGATTAGATAGGTATGTTATGTGTCATTTCAGTGTGGGTATACTCGTATTATATTTTTTGGTGACAAATAAATTGACGGAAGACATAATAATATGACGCACATTCCTATAATATAATACAAAATACTATTATCGTAAATATATGTACACGACAACCGATACATTATGGGAAACGAAAAACCGAATAACCGAACAATATCCAGTAGGAATGTTCGAAAAACTCATTTCTCAATACCATTAAACCATGCGCTGAATTTTCCGGCATCACCTATTGATGTGAATTTAGCAACTCCAGTTTGTTTTTTATAATATTTTATTTAAATTGAATACGTTGATTATTATGGATGTACCCAAATATTTGGATTTTCATATTTCTTTCAAATAATTTTGGAAGTGTGATTAAAAATTTGCTCATTCTAAATAGCAAAATACTGACTTCAAAAAATGTTTTACCCATTATTTTGCCCTTTGATAAGTAATACATACATAATATAATAATAATAATATTACGTAATAAAATAGCAAACAAAATGATTATCTGATAATAAGAAATTATTAGTTTTGTCGAATTTATCGTTGAATTCCAAAAAATATACTTTAGGTCCTTTGAATAATAATCGTCGGAAAAATTAAAGAGTTTGGCACGTTGTATAAATGGAACACATTTGATAAAAATGTGAGTGTGCGTATGTATGTGTGTGTGTGTGTGTGTGTGTGTGTAGAATTCAATATGTGACAAAACTGTCTAAATAATAATATTTGATAACGGTTCGACATTTAAGGTTCAGACATTACTTTCGAATACATTCGATCGTGTTGCGTATATGCATGCAAGCACGCAGATTTACAATAATATTACACATGTGTCCAATTTTTTGAATAAACTTATATTATTCCGTTCTCGATCGTTTAATAATATTTATTTATGTATACGTATGACTGTATGAGAGAATATAGTATTGTTGTTATTGGAATGTGTACATTCGATTTTCGTTTTACACTTATCTATGTACCTTTATGAGTATATAAAAAAATACAGCCTTACGATGATAATAATATAATAAAAGTAGGTATACCTATAGTATATAATATGCTTGAGTGCAAATACAACAGCTCTGAAGATGTTTTTTTTTTCTCATCATAAGATCGATCATTATTATCAGTATAATATTATTATTGTGTCGTGTCCATCATCGCGGAAACGGTTTAACGCGCTCTGCTATTGTCGTTTCCGAAACTATTAGTATACGGTACGATGTTTTTTCTCTCTCTCTATTCACGTTTCTCGTACAGTCTCTGCAGAAAATAATCAGAAATCACAAGTCTTTATAGTTAGGTACCTAATAGCATCCTCCTAATAGTCTTAGCGACTTTCTTATTTTTCATTCGTCTCGCGAATACAATATTATAAAGACGGGTTTTCCGGAAGCATTGTCGATATCAAATGGTTTCGTTTGACCAAAATCTATTACAATGTTACTTATAGGTACCTGCTATAGGCTAACCCAGTGCTTCCCAAACTTTTTCGACTCATGGCTCCCTTTTTGAACTAAAGTTTTCTCAGGGCGCCCTTGCGATTCATTGCATTCAAAAACCTATTCTGATTGGAGTAGTATTAGTTTCGGTACTTATCCCATTGTATATCCAAGGTAACAAAGGTAAATATAACTGATATAGCAACAATAATTGTTTAGTCTTTTTTTTTAATTTTACAGAAAAAGTGTTGGGAATTTAGACATTTTTTTTTTAAAATAAAGTACTACTAGGCATCCAAATGTTTCAAGGTAGGTACAATGTGAATATAACTTGAAGCATTTTTACTGACCAAAAAAAAAATCCCAAAAAAAAAACGTATAATTTACTACTTAAAAAAATTAACTGCCGAGTTATTATATCTGCTATAAATGTTGTGTACCAATTTGCCATTCATTGACAAAATCAAGATTTAAAATACTAAACTTATGTTGTAAAATACTAATTAATAATAAATGATAAAAAAAAAAATTGTATTTTAAGTGATAAAATTCGTTGAAAAACGCACATTTGTAATTAATAAATGTATTTATTAATTCTGGTGTTTAAACTACAATTTACAAAAGGGACAGTGAAAATAGGTTATCCTGGCAAGTGTCAATAGGTATTTGATGTAGCTAAATTAAAATTTACTAGTTTATTATATTAATAAATTCACACATTCATTATGGTATAAATCAAAAATTAATATATCTTTATTCATAATATAAATTATTTAGCTAGAAACTGCCACTGATTGTGGCACTTTTTCCAGCATTCACTTTTCGTGAGCTAGAGTATAATACAAAACTCGCCACAGCCACATTCGAACGCTAGCTGTTAATTCAAAAACGAAGAATTTTCGTATAACAACTGATGCTCGTTGCGTATCCTTGGTATCTAAATTCATGGATCCGACATTAAAACTAACAGCGCAAAGTTGTCCCTACTGAACGCAAATTTACTATGTCGTTTACGTTTGTAAGACCACAAATGCACATATCACTTCAAGCTAATATAAAAATAATATATAGATAAATATATTTGTATTAAGTACCCGTTTAATTCTTCAAAAGCATCGGTTTTTTTTTTTTAATCGTAGATTTGGCCGACATTAATAAAAATCACCTTGGTTTGGTTTGCGGATTAACTACTTGGACAATTATATATATATAATATAAAACGTTTTTGCGATAAGTAATGACTGAAATTAAAATACATTGGTAGGTAATATTATAGTTCTGTACCTATCGTTCCACGGATCTGAGTCGGGAGTGTCCGTGTCATTAAAACCAATAATAATAATACTTTAATGACTAAACACTTTGACCACGACTGCTATGGGTACCTAACAATAATATTATTGTAACCTTATTGTAAAAGGAAAATGTACCAGTCTATCACCTAACCTACCTACAATAGCTATGGTACACCTGAATAAATATTTAAGTTTATAGACGAGTTGTCTATATGTGTGTATAGGTATGTACAAACTGTTTTTCTTTTCTTTTCGCTGTAATAAAATATATACAGGTATATACACCTATACAATATAATTTTTTCCTCTTACTCGGCAATCTCTGCAGAATACGCCGCAATAGTACGCGGTCGATTATATTCTAATTTCTATTGGTGCGCATTTATAATATAATATTATATATATTATGGTGTTAGTTATTGGAATATGCGTCTCGCATAATATTTATTTATTTATAAATTATAAGGAAAGTTCTTATCTATTGTCTATAACTACATAGAGTAACAGTAGTGCAGTAGGTATAACACTATGTGCGGCGTATAATATCGGATAATATTATCATGAACAAAAAAAAATTAAAAAATCATTCTATTATCGTGACTGGGTAGTGGGTACCTAGATACTATTATTATAATAGGTACCAACATTAGGTCACGCGCAAACCTAGTTTAAGTTAATCATATATTCAGCATGTAGGTATACCAGCAATTCGTGTATACTTATCTATAATATTCTTCTGGTATAAATAATATGATAATTATAATAAATAAGTTTGTATGTTTTGTACCTACTGCGAACCATTTTTCTGCGCGGCACGTGCGCGATCTAAATTTTTCAACACAGCCCGTGTATGCGTTGGATTACACATACTTGTTTATAATATTAATCATTATTCAAAGACAATAATATTCGATAAAGTAATAAGCAAGGTTAATGCTTTTGACTTTTTAAGTTCCTAGAATATTTTGTACAAAAGAATAGTAGCTTTAACGAGGATATGAAATATAGGATTAAGTGTAGTGGGGTAAAGTGGAGAGAAATATCACGTGCTTTAACTAAAAAGAGGATTCCAATGAGACTATTAAAGGTAAGTTCTACAATAATGTGGTTTGACTCGTTATGTTATATGATTTGGAATTAAGGGCGTTAAATAGAAAAATAGAACAGTGAATGAGTATGGCAGAGATAAGAACGATAATATGATAAATGTATATGGTAATATATTGAATAAGCACTTCAGCCTAATAGAGTTACCCAGAGACACCACGAGGAGGTTGGTTGACAAGTCACTCAAAAATTATCTTCTTTTAGTTTTTTCATATTTTGAAACCATGTTAGGTTAATTTGACAACATTTTTTATTTAAAATATTTTAAGTGGGCATTAGGTTTTAGGATCATCACCATAGTATATATTCTTCACAAATTTATTTTAATTTACACTAAGTAAAAATTTAAAACACATTGTTTTTAAAAACTGATACCTGGTAATGAGAGTATATTTATTCATCACTTCTTTCATAAAAACTTCTTTTTCCCTGTTGGTCTTGGATTTTTTAGTCCCATTGCTCCTGTATTTAATATATGTTTATTATTGCACTTCTAACAGCATATCTATAAATGTATAAATATTTGTGTGTCCATTAAAAGTAACTCTTAAGTTTCGAATGATAACTCTAACGACAATTCGTAGTTCTATTCCATTTATAACAGTGGAGATTTGAGCCCAAATACTTGGTGATACACACAAATAAGGGAATAAAAAGAGATTCATATCAAAAGTTTCATTCTAAGCTGAGCTATACCATCTAAAAATAAAACTACCATTAGTTAAAGGATGTCGGGTGTATATGAAGACGATGTTTAGAATAGGGTCAAGTGAGACTTTAAGACAAGAGTGGCCGATTCCAAATAGTTTGAATGAAGACAAAAGTAAAGATTCATAGACAATAAAATAATATTACAAAACAACTAATATTAGATAGCCGACTCGTAGATCGGACGAGCACACGTACCGACATGATCATAATTTAGACATCATACTTATCTATTTTGTCTTGGGGATATCTAAATAATTTTTAAGCTGAATATTAAGTAGACACATAACTTAGTTGATTTTTAAGCGGTAGTATTGTTCTATCAATATTATAAACGGGGACAAGCTTGACACATCGTCTACTTTGAAATTTTTAATTTGATTTTACATATACAACAAAAAAGTTGAATTAAACGCGACAAAACGAAATCGTTTTTTTAAAATGATAAAAATATATTGTTGAAATAAATATTATTAATATTATGCTCTATTGTAAAATGTTAATAATATTATTATATATGTATTGGGTGGTCACTGCTTTGGAATAAGACCTATAATATTAATATTTTAATAATTATAATAACATTATTATTGATATGATTTAATCGGCAGATGCAACCTATTCGAATACTGATGCATTTGAATTTAGAAATCGTATAATTTAACCGCAATGAAATCTATTCGCTTTAAACGCCCCAAGCAGCAATATTATAGCAGATGAATAGGCAAATCGTATATTACCTAATAACGAATAGATATTTTGTAATATAATACTGCAGTTTTCGCTTTGTAACCGAATCGGACCTTTGAGAAGAGATTATAATTATTTATTATAACGTTAGATATTATAAAACATATAATTAACATTTCTAATTAAAACACACACAGACAATTGTATAGATTATAGAGTATACCTGTTAAGAGTTAAATTATTATACATTACATGGTATTTTGTTTTAGATTCTGAACAGAGCGAGGAATATATTGGTCTTACAATGATATTTATTTATTTATTTTTTTTATTTGTGAACAACTTTTCTATCAATAATTTTGCTCCAATTTACAATGATTACACTTTTTCTGAAGCTAATCTGTCTAATTTGGTACTTTAAAGAGGCCACGTTTTGATTTTCCCGGCTGTTTTCATAATAAATGGGAAAACCCAGGAAAATAGGCGCAATATTAAACTAATATTATAAAATAAATTATTTATTTCATATGTAATTATTTTACCATAATATGACATAGGTATATTGTTGACATAGCAACACTATTAACCGAACTTCACTCAGAATCGTTTTTCGTTAGCAATTATTAATCGTTGCGTACAGATATACATTCAATTTCCCCTTTACCTTTCCGACTTCCCACTAACAACAATGGCACATATATGTGCGAAGTATGTCTTTTTTTTTTATAATTTACCACGCGCGGGATCATAATCACATACGAATAATATTTACCAACGTATAGGTAAATATTTTAAACTAACATCGATTAATTAATATTGTTTTTATTTATATTATATTGTTATATATAATTATAGTAAACGTGTTTTTATAAAATGTGACGCAGTTCGTATATTTACGGTGAATAGTAATTATTTGGTTTCAAAAAAATATATTTATTTTATAATATCAGTGTTTATTAATAATATGTATCTATAGTTTTGTATAATAAATCGATCGGTAGTATATATACAATATTTGAAATGATTTTAGCACTACCGGAATTTATGTACTATATATTATTAATTAAATGAATAATTGTGTAAGTTTAATATAATAATAACATTCGTACTATATTATAATATAGTAATTACAGGATATGTCAAAAATACTGATGTAAGATATTATAGGAAAACATAAAATAATTAGTAAAGTTATTTATTTCAAAAAGTAACGTAATGGTTTGAAGAATATATTTTATATGATTTTTATTTGCTATTTACTATTATACAAGACATAAATATACATAACATAAATTATTTTCGTACCAAAAACCCCGGGTCAACCCCCTTTAGGGCTTGAATTCGTGGGCATACCCTATGTCACCGGGTATAAATGTAGGCTATGTTGCTTTCTACCAGTTTTACCAGCGAAAGAATTTTCAAAATCATATAAGCAGTTCCATGTTTTACAATCGTACATACATACGACTTTTTCATTAGTAGAAATAAGAAAACTTAAAATAAGAAATAAAGAAATAGTTGTTTTCTCTAGTGTTACCAAGGTAACTCTTAAAATTATTATATATAAGAGGTAGGTATTAGTATATATTCTATACTATAAATTGTCTGAATTACTCTAGTTTTTGCATTGTGACGGTTAAAATCAATTTTCCTTTTTAAGTTCAAACGTGCGTATACTTTACGTCTTTATGACCAAATCTTTAAAAATGCAATTGCATCATCACGATGACAATATTATTATCTATCATTAGACATTAGTATAGGCGTTTATCGAGGTTGTTGCAGATAGATTTGCTACAAAAAAATAATTCTTAATACCATAATTTATTATTATTGTTATGAATTATTATAAAATCACCAACTTTATTGCTTATTTACTTACTTATACTTAAAAATATATGGTTTTACATTCTGAGAGGGGCGCCATGAATGCTGCAATTTATTTATGGTTTTATTACATGATTTAGGTTTATTTTCAAGGCTGCAGAGCATTAACGAATTAAAAAGCTTAAAAAGTTAAATGTTAATTTAATTTAAACTTTTAACTTAACTTTTAGCCATTCATTTTATTTTTTATTAACTTAACTTCGAACTAAATTGTTTGCGTTCACTTTAGAGGTTTGAAAAAAATTTTCCAAATTTTTTACAACTTTATAATTGAATTTAGAAATATTAATAATTAGTATTATTATCCTCTATACTCATGCGAAGGTAAATTTAATGAAATGCACGGATAGAGCATGAGTCAGTGTTAAAATAAAAAGAGAGGAAAAAAAAACGGTAAAAGGATATTATTTAGAATGTTTCATTTTATTATTATGCTTGCGAGCCACGCGGCAAGTGCGTGTACCGTTAGAACTTCGTTAGATTCCTCGCAGTTTTAGGTCATTGACTCGCCCGGCTAGGACATACCTGTCCATATCATATGTATAATATAATAATAATATAAGACATACGTGTTTTTATAATAATATTATGTTTTATTTTTATATAATATATTATTTACGAACGTGATATTTGAACTTGACTTATTTTGACGCATTATAATAAGTATCTTTATTGGTCACTGAGTAGAAGTTATGTAGAATTATCAATCAATGTTAATAACAAACTGTAAACATTTAAAATTTGAAAGTTTTAAAATTCGGCTCCGATGCAACATGTTACATGAAAAACTCTCTGGATTGTCAATCATTCATTGTCATCGAGATCAACATGTTTACATAGATAAAGTGATAGATATTTTTTGTAAAAATAAAAGGAAAAAAGATTTTTTTAAACATTTTATTCATTATATTATGTTATATGTATAATAATTATTAATTGGTTAATATTATAAAAAATAAAATAAACTTTTGGTATTTTTAATTAAGACATTTTATAAAGATTAATTAGTTTGTTTTTAAAGAAATATAGCATAATGCATAGTATACAGTATAATGGTGTCTTAAATTGTTAGTAATTTTAGATATTGTAAATTAACACATTTTATATTTTATTCTCACAATTTAATTATCGCTTTACCTTCTACGACTTACGCAATGCCAAAATTCCTCCCTGGGGAGAAATTTCCACCCCAATGGAAAACTTAACCCAACCTAACCTATAATACACACATATTATAATAGGTCATTCAAATTTAACACTTTTGATTTAAACGACGTGAAACTCGCATTTACTATCTCAATGTCTTAGAAACGTTATGTAACAACGTCAATTTTTTTCGATATTTTAATTTTTAAGTGGGATATATGAATATGTGAAATATCACAATTTAATAATACTTATATATTGATAAAATTAAAATATCGAAAAAAACATATGTATTGTTGCTTAGGTAATGTTCTTATCTTTAAGTTTAAGGTTTAGCACTTTAACAGTTCAACTTTAAAACTAACAGCACAAATATGTACCAGCTGAACAATTAGCTTAAGAGGTAAGAGAACGTGATACTCACGTAATTACTGTTTCAGTACAGGTAATAAGCAGCATAGCAAAATTATGTTACTACTGATTTATAAATGGTGACGTTAAGATATAAATTAAGGCACCTAGAACACAGGGGGTATAAGTGACATTTTATCGATTTCGAAAAAATCTAGTTTAAAGTTATTTGAATTTAATATCATTATTATAGAATATTATCATATCATCACTTATATTCTAATGATAAACACAATTTTTAGCCACTTGACAGTAAAGAGATATAAGTGTATCTACAACTGTAGTGGACCCTTGTACCTAAATTTACTTCTAATATGTTATGACATTTTCATTTGAAGACTATTTTGATGAGATCTAGTATCAAATACTAGATCGCAGCACATTCCAAACGATTTTCCTATTTTTTTACCATAAAATAAAATTGAATATTTTTAGTTCAGCTGTGCTCTTAACTCAGATTTTTTAAAAATGTTACTTATATCCCTTGTGTTCTAGGCACCTCAATATCAGAGTTTAAACAGAAATAACACAATATTTAGAATGGAGAACATTTCCGAATAGGGGTCCGTATTCAAAATAATTGAAGAGACTGTAATGGCAGAAATATCAGGAAATTTTAAATTATTGTTCTAAGTATCGTAGAATATGCTGATATGTGATATGTTACTGATCAGCCCCTCCCCCTTCCCCCTCAAAAAAAAATCTCGAACACGATACTGTATCCAAGGGCTGTACATATCTTTTTTCTAAAATATTGTCGTACAAAATAGTTACAGCAATGCCGTTTTGCTTTTTTTAAATAGCTGTATTTTTTCTTGTTGTTGTTGTTCTTATTTTTTTAGAAAAAAGCAACCTTATACTTCCCTCAAAAATATTTTTCTTTTTAAATGTTTTTTGTGGTTAAATCCCAACTTCAATCTAAATGCCTCAATTATACAATTGACGTTCTTAGTAACGCAATTTTGCTATGTAGCCGTTTTATAGTTAGACTGAAACAGTAAATATCTAGGTATCACAATATTATTTTTCTTTTTTTGTGTTGAGTCCCCTCCCCTCTCCAGGTTCATAGAGGTATATTATACAATAATTTTAGAAAATATCAATAAACACCAATAGTTTATAGGCAGGTACTTAATTATTTCGAGTTTTCTCGTTCTTCTTATTTTTACCCGGTTTAACCAACAAAATCATATTTTTTTGTCGGAGGAGAAAATCGACATCAACATGCAATACCCACAATTATTTGTTTTAAATCTAGCTAAACTATAATAACACAGTAGCAACAGATAACATGAAATATATATATGTATAAGCTGTTGTAGCGATGATTGTATACAATATCAACAAGAAAACCACAATATTTAATATTATTATTATTATTATGCGATCTAAAATAATACTTACATTGTTCACTGAACGATATAATCACTGATGCGAATGGCTGCGAGAAAACTGCTACAAGTCGTAGATAAAAAAAAATATTTTTACTATGATTCGATGTGCGTGATAATAATATTAATATGATATCTATATGTTTACATTTTTAGAGAACATTTTAATAAATAATTCCTTATATTTATAGCACCGCGAATAATGTTTCATGGCGAGAATTCTATACGAGATGAATTTAATAAGAACCAGATTTAAATTGATTACCAAGTTTATTAGGTTATGACAAACACAATTATAATATCTATTTTTTTTTTCAGATCTAATATCGATAAAACAAATTAGGGTTGTTTTCTATTTCTATTCTTTATGATAACACATACAAGTTTTGAATTTTTAAAATCGCCCCAACCATAGTAAACTTGTTAATCAATCAAAATCTGTTTGTATAATTAAAATCCAAATCCAGAATTTATATTTTTGTCTGGCTTTTCTGTTTAAAACGTCGTATCCATCGGTTAATCCAGACATGCTTTTATTTTATCATCGTATCATTAAAGGCGGTCATTAAAATGTAAAAAACAATTTTCAAATTTTATAAAATTGGAGACAATTTTGAAAATCGATTCAAATTCTCTAAATTTAATAATTAATTCCGTTATATTAGACATATATTTTTATATATTTTCGACCCAGAGTTTATTTGATGGATTTCTCCCCATATCTGTGCAAGGCCCAAAACGAAAAATCTCTTCGTACAAAAAAATGTCATAAATAACTTAAAAGATTCTTCGATTTGATCAGCAATTTTAAAACAATAACCCGATGATACATAAGTATAGATGTATAAGCGTAAAGTTATATAAATATATTATTACTTTAAAATTAAAAATATAAAAAAATAAATGTTTTAACTATTTTTTAATTGTTCAACGCGTTATAGGTACGTATTGTCGACAGGTACCCAAATTTGTGGAGCCAGATGCATTTTTAATATTTTCCTATTGCTTAATTCGAGTTCTACTAACAGCTAGAATAGGTTTAAATCATGGATCAATCGTTTTAAGGATTTCCTGGGGTAGTTTGAAAAATGAAAAAACTGTTTAGTATATATTATATAGAAAAAAAATAAGCGTTGTAAATTTTGCTCGAAATAGTTCTTTTTTCAATATTTGAATGTATAATTGTGACAATATCGTGTACAAAATACGAGTAATAATATCATATTATACGCCATCGACTCGTGCCACCTAGGCTCTACCGAAACATTAAAAACTGGTCGCATCTAAAGCAAAATACACTTCTTGTTTAAGTATTATAATATCAAAGAAAAATATCAAAATTCAATATATACACGTGTATATAATGACTTGGACTTAATTAGGCGTATGGCCTATATATTTTTAATAATTGGTAAATAAACTGCATTGTGGTATATATAATAATATAATATGTGATAGGATTTGATATTACGTTTTTGTATAGTCGTATATTATACAGGGTGTCTCACGATAATCTTGAAATTACTTTTGTTAGGTATATTCAATATTTTATCCCTACAGTCGGACCTTCGTCAATTATTTTAATGATTTTTATTAAGTATTATGAAAAACCATGAAATATGAAAACATGAAAATATGAGTTGACTTGGTAGGTAAAAAAGTGTATTAGATACAGTTTAATTATATTATAATATCTGCTTTTTATTATTTTCGTGTGTCTCTTTCAACCAAAAATCTTGCTCCCATTTTCAAATAGGGTATAATAAATTTTACGAAAGCAAAATTTGTCTAGTTGGTGCATGGCAGAGATCATTTGTTTTATTTTTTTTTTAGTTTTCTTCTAATACGGCTAGGTATAAGTATACAAATGCATTTTTTGCAATTTAAGTTCATAATATAACGACCGTATTATTAGCAATCCAACAACAATACACACGGTGTATGATAATATGATAATATGTGATGCGTAAACCTGTAAAAAGTGTTATAAGATAATTATAAGATACGGCTGGCTGCTATGTACAAATTGTATACATATATATATATATATATATTATATATTCAGCTAACAGAGCTGAAGAGATACGCGAATCCAAGAAGGCGACGGGTTGGAACCAACCGCATCCATATTACATATTATAATATTATTAAAGTCTCGACTAACATATCATCATATATTATTACACTTGTACGTAAAAAATTATATATTTTACTTGTGTGTAGTCCAGCGTGCGATGGGAGTCGTATTTTTATTATGTTTTTCACATTATAAATGCATCGCCCCCGTTACCCCGTTTTTCGATTTTATTATATTATATTGTTTTGTTATAACTGTTGCAGCGGTAGTAGGTAAGTCGTTCAAACACTTGATCGTCATTGCAATTGTACATTTTAAGTATTCTTTTTTTTTTAATTATTTCCGGCCACCATATGTAGCACATTTTATATTGTATTTTGCGTGTAATATGTATTATGTATAATAATTAACTTATTATTTTTTATTATTTCTTATATATAATTTTAAAATTAACTCTGTCGAACTATAATAATAATTGACACTTGACACTAGTATAATAATTAATACGCACAAGACCACAATACTGTACGATTTATATATTTTATGATAGATCTTTCAAATATTTATATTCTGAGTAGAGTGAAGAAATGTATGGTTTTATAAAGATGTTTATTTTATTTTTCTGTGGACAAATTTTCTACCAGAAGACTTACTCCAATTTTTACGTGTAGCAACTTTTCTGAAAGAAAATCGTTGTGGCAAGGTATCTTAAATTCAAAAACAAATATATCCAATCAACTACCTAAATATCATAGTATAATAAAAGTAATCATTATATGAAATCATATAAATCATTGCTTGTGCGTTTTCTAATTAAAAATGCAAATGTTTTAATTTAATTAAGATTAGGTAGTGAAATTTTAAATGATTGTTATAATAAGCAAATATAATGTCACGCTATGCATACGATGTCGATGAATGTTCTACACAACATTGTTATTTCTAAATTCCTAAAAAAAAAAGTATATAAAATCCAAATTTAGAATTTTCTCTGTTCTTTTAAAATATATTCGCTTGATACCTATTAAAAATGCATTTAGTTGAAACCTATAATCAGATAGTGTTTTAAGTATTTTAGATTCGAATAGTAGCAAAGGATCTAGTGATTTTACTATGATGTTGGGTATTTTTTTTTATGAGTTTTTTAATCAAATGTTGACGAAAATCGTAAATATTATGGCCTTTAAAATATGTATATTCCAACTTCACTCCGAATCGTTCTTCGTTATCAATGGTTTATCGTTGGTTACAAGGTATAGATTATAGGTAAATTAAATAACTTTATATATTACACCTTCCCCACTACTCACCTATAATAGTGATCGCACCAGTCTCCAGTATCAGCTCTTTTTAGATTCTAAGTGTAGCGAAGAATGTATGGGTTTTACAAAGATGGTTTTTATTTTTAATTTTTTTTTTTACTATGTGTATATTTTTACCAAAAATGTTGGAAATCTTTTCTGAAAGGGAAATTTCTTTAGGTAGTACTTTAGGGAGATACATTTTTAACTTTCTTAGGAATTTTCTCAATAAATGGGAAAAAACGGAGGGAAACGAGAAATTGTGCGAAATATAGGTAATAGCTATTACCTATATATATACCTATGAACCATTTCGTACATTTTTTATTATATTAGTTTAAAATTATTACAGTCTTTTTTTTCCTGTGAACCACTTTTCTTTCAACAATTTTGCTCCGGCTTAAAATAATAATACTTTTTCTGAAAGTAAATCTAACTGGAGTAATACTTTAAAAGGGTTATTTTTTTGATTTTCTCAAGAGTTTTCCAGGAAAAACTGGAAAAAAACGGGAAAATAGGTACAATATTAAACAAATATTATTAAAGAAAATATATAATACTTATTTAACTATTTTACCATAATATGATAAAACAGCACTATCAAACGAACTCAGAATCGATTTTTCATTAGCAATGGTTTATCGAGGCTTACAGATTTACTATCGAAATTATAAAGAAAAACAAAAATATCAAATATTTATAGTGACAACCTTGTGGTTTGTTGTATTTAAAATAAATTACAATTTTAATAAATATATTGAATTTTTCAATGCACATATTAAAAAATACTTATCTAAATCATTTATTTTAAAACACTAATTCGTTTATCAATTATTTTTGTTAAATTGTACTTTTCTATCCAACAATATTTTAATTGAAAACAACTACTATATATTATATATATATTACCTGTACATTTATTATTTATACAGTGTCTAGTGTCCACTAACCATTTTACGCTTAGTATACACGAGGGAGGTTTATTTCTCTGTTTTACATTTTCAAGAGGCTTAGCCTTTCAACCCCCCCCAATGTCCGCCTATGGGTATAATACATAGAATAATTTTATTTATATCTGTACGTAACGATAAATCATTGTTTACTAAATTCATTAAGACTGATTCACTGTTCGATACTTGCAAAAGCTGACCATCTAAGTACACAATATTATTATGCCGCAGCAGTTTTTCCAATTCAATTATTTTATAATTTTCGGGTCATCCGGTTTACTAATTTTGACGGCGTCTGTAATCTAATAATATACGGGCGAGTGGTATTTAATTAATAGTGGAAATTATCGTGAAGCGAATACGAATTACGAGTAGATCAACAATTATGGCAATAAATCGACGGAGGCGGCTCTACCGGAACACGTGCTCTCGATGGTGGTAGTAGCCGGGAAGCGGGGTGGGGGGATGGTTCAAGTTAGTCAATAGTTCTTTATTGTATAGGTACATAATTAATAGTCTTTTCAAAGCCCGCTTTGATAGTCTTTTGACAGGAAATTTTTTTTACTTCCCGTTATTAATGTTGCTATGCCAGACGACGTATTAATTAATTTATTAATTAACTAATTTATTTATTTATTTACGAGTATTAATCATTTAATTATTTTTGTTTTAATTTGTTATTTTATTATTTAAATCGTGCATATTACGGCCTTTCAAAACGTAATATATTATCGAACTTCAATCCGAATCGTTTACATTAGAATAGGTTTACCGTTGGTTACAGATATAAATTAAATAACTATATATCCCACCATACTATCTACCCCCTATATGTATAGTGGCTGTACTCGTCCACTATATCAGCACTTTTTCTAAAAGAAAATCTGACTAAAATGGTACTTTAGGGAAGTAATTTTTTTAATTTTTCATAGGAGTTTCCAAAATAAGTCAAAAATGTAGAAAAAACGGAAAAAATTTACGAAATGTATTGTTATTAATCAGTTTTTATGTTGTGATTTAGTTTAAAATATTTATAGAAACTTAAAATTTAGACAGAATACTTATTTAATTTTTTACTTTTTCTAGACATGGTAACATGTTAAAAACATTTAAGCCATTTTTGAGCTATTTATAGAGATTTTAATTTTTGCGAGTTTTTTACGAAATTTGTATTTGGTAAGTACTCTGTGAATAAAATTATTAGACTAAACAGAAATGTTTGAAAATTTAACAAGAGGTTTGTTAGAAGTCGTAATTTATGGTCAAAAAAAATGTTTGTTTAATTTAGTTTTTTTTTTTATATATATATATATGTAAGAATAATTTTAATATCAAATTTTGACAAAAATCTTAAATAATACGGTTTTTTAAAACATATTTATAAATGATCGGATGATCGCGATAAACATTACCAATATTTAAATTTTGTAAATAAGTATACGTTTTTATTTTCTACTATTGACTCTTTGTGTTTAAAGTCGTATTTGTTAGACAATCTGAACTATTTACAATATAACGTGGAAGTCTATTTTGATTGTATTATAATTACTGCATGCATATAATATGCATACAATTCTAAGTTTATTAACGCACTTATTCAACGAATGAAAATAAATAGCTGATTTTTTTTTTCAATTATGTTCAAACGTGTTCATTGTTATGTGTAAGTGCAGTGTTATGAAAACGAAAACCGTATAGTTTTCATTTAATTAAGTAAATTTACGATTCACGAAACACTAATTTTTATTAATTTCGTGTACACCATACGAGACACACTATACATCATGTTTACTGAGTGATAATTGTCAAAAAAAAGTAAATTATTTAATAACATTTAGAGATGTTACATTTTTTTAATAGATATGACACAATAAATACCTGAGATGGGTGCAGCCACTTATGTAGGTGGGTAATTGTAAAGGAGAGAAATATAAATTTATTTTATTTACACCTATAACCCACAGTAAACGCTAACGAAAAACGATTCGGTGCGTATTAATACTTATATATAAAAAATTTTTTAATATACTTCAATGCACACAATTTTTTCTTACCACTAAGTACAGCTTATAATGAAACTTCTATCAAATTTTCAAGCATTTCTGTTAAGTTTAGTCTCTATAGATATTTTTAACTGAATTACAATAAAAAAAAAAATTTTTAAATAGTAAAAGAATTATTTTTTGAAATTTTTCCATTTTCTGTTATTACCAGGATGATAGCGTTTATGGTAAACTATATTCTATAGTGTTATCAGATATTCATGTAAAATAGTTTTTTTTTTTTTTTTGTGAATAATAATTTTTTTATTTAGGTACCTAAGAATATTTTATTTTATTATTATTATAGTCGTCAAGTCTTTCTTAACTGAAGCTATAAAAATATTTTACCCAATTAATTTTCGGTGTCGCTTTCTTCTCTCACTGCTAGTTGCTTTTAATATATATCGCCAAGCCAACTTGAAAAAAAAACAGCATAATAAAGCACGAAAGACACGTAGAAAGCGTTGCATCGGCTCCTTTGTATAACATAAACCGTGTAATTAAAATCGAAATTATCATTCTCTCTATCCTCTTTAAACACCATACCTATACCCGTGTAATAAATCATACCGATAAATATATCTTAAAATTTCTTATTAGGTATGACGATAATAATAATTATAACAATTATTATCATTGTTGTCATCATTGAAAATAGCGCAGTCTTCGAAAAAAATTCAATTTTCTTCAATTCTGTTTTTCGTGAGCACTAATTTATAAATAAATAATTACATAGGTGATATTTTAAATTTTTTAATAAATATAGACACTAGATTATTATTATTATTATTACATATGACATAATAATAATATTCGTATATATTTTATTCATTAAATGTTTTTTTTTTTTCAGAGATTATTTTGGACGATTGTGCTTTTTAGTATGTCTTTACATAAGCAAATCAGAGGCGCAATGCCCATGGCAAGCGGACCAATCGTCTTCAGAACTGCAGTCGTCTTGTATATGTTCCACAAATATAGCTAAACAGTTATCGGTACAGTGCGATCTTGTTAATTACGATGCACTTTTGCAAACGCTTGACAAGTATTCACAGAATATGACATTAGACCTTCTTTACATAAATAATAGTTCGGTAAAACGTATTGACGACTCTACTTTTTCCAATCTTAAAATACATAACTTACAAATGTCTGGTTGCCAAATACAAACAATATCGCCGATGGCGTTTAAAGGACTCGAACCGTATTTAAGACACTTAAGTCTGCAAGATAATAAAATAGAAGAACTACCTATATCCAGCATAGAAGGGCTGATCAACTTGACATTATTGGATCTTTCAAGAAATAGGATTTTTAGAGTTCCTGACGACGCGTTTGTTACCTTAAAAAATATACAAACAATAAAATTAGCGGATAACAATCTCACGCTATCTAAAAATGCATTTAGAGGTCTCGAAAACAGTTTAAAAAACTTAAATTTAAAAGGGACTAACCAGAAATCATTACCAGAATGTATACGGAATTTAAAAAACTTGGCATTTTTAGATTTAGCTCAAAATGTTATGAGTGAGTTACCGGGAATTTCAGGACATATTTTTCAAGGGTTAGGAGCATTAACAGCCCTTAATTTAGAGAGAAACGTTATTCAATCGTTAGGTGAATCTACGTTTGACGGTGTCAAAAATACTCTAAGTTCACTAAGCTTACTTAATAATTTGCTCACTGAATATCCAACTGTAGCCATTAGCAAATTACCAGAACTCAGAGTATTAGACTTAGGTTTTAACCTTATTACAGAAATACCAAACGATGCGTTTCTAGCCAATCCTTCTTTAACCTTATTAGCATTAGATGGAAACCCTATCGAAACGATTCCTAAAAAAGCATTCACACATCTTAATACCACATTACGTGGACTTAGCTTAGGAGGACGATACTTACAATGCGATTGTAGAATCCGATGGGTAATAGAATGGATAAAAAATGGAGATTTGCAAGTAACTAGCAGAGAAAGAAATCCGCAATTTTGTGCCAGTCCCTCATATCTTAAAAACAAACATTTGTATCAAATCGATCCTTTAGGTAATATTTATAAGCTTTTTTATGATACATCGATTTAAACAAAACATACATAGTTTATATTTTAAATTGCAGAAATGGTGTGTGATAACGAATCAAGTCCATCTGATGCGTCAACAATATTAGAAACTAGTATAGACGAAGATGACGTGAATTCTCAACATCCCCTTGGAACTGGCGTTGGTTATGTTAGCCCTACAATCGTTTCAGCTGAAATTCCTACTTCAAACAATAATTATAAAAAAAATCCACCAATTCCGGAAGTGGAAGTTGTAGATCCTTCAAACTCTTCGGAGTTACTTGGACATCTAATGGATACTACAAAAATGGTTTCTTCGACTACGGAGAGTACAACTACAATGAACGCTATTGACACAACAACAAAGTATTTTGTACAAAACACTACAAACGTTAGTAGTGACTTTATATTGACCTCGCATAGCAAAAAGTTTTCGTTGTTGGACATTGTTCTAAAAATGATTGCATTATATTTATGTTTTCAGATTAAACCCACGAGTTCAACCCGTAAAACAAATTTAGTGATAACGCGGCCGCAGTTGGCACAAACTTCTCAGAAACCGCCACTAATACTGGGCAGTTATCCTAAAAAGCAAGCCCAGGAAGTCATTATAAGAAGTGTTCACAGACAAGACAATTCGGTGATAATCCAATGGGATTCTGAAACGGCGAATATCTTGGGATTTCGAGTTGTTTATAGGCTCTTCGGTGATCGCACGTTTAAGCAGGGGCCGCCTCTCGAAACCAGCGAGCGGGAATTTAAAATAAAAAACGTACCATATCAGGTAAATCTTCGCCGATGAAACGTCGCCCTCTGTGTAATCATAAAAAAATATTATTTATAATCGCTTGAATTTCGAAAAACTGGAAATAGGAATGCATCATAGTGTGCGTCATATCTCTAGAGGAGCTAAACATATCACCGGATACGGTGCCGTACAGCCAGTGCCGCGAGATCCGGACGGCGGTGACGATGACGAGCAACATGGACCGCATAACGATCGCGGCCAGCGCGGCTATATGCGGAACCGTGCTGATCGCCGTCGTCGTGTTCATAGCGGCCAGCAAGCGCCGCGCCAAAAAACTCCAAAGCCTGCACAACTCGATGGCATCCTGCCACACGAACAAGGTCGGCGTGCCTGTGGGAACGCTGCCGGTCAACGGCTGCTATAGTGCCAGCGGCGGCCCGAACGCCGGTCCGATGTCCTCGTTGGCGGCCCTCAGCGCGTTTAACGGTCACAAAGACTGGGACCAAGGTTCGGTGTACAGCAACCGCAGCCTGAACCCATCTCGGATGTACAGAGTGGCCGACGGCCGACAAGGTATGACCGTCTTAGTTTTTATTTTATTTTTCAATTGTGATCCGTTCGAGATCCGGACAGTAAAATCTGTTCGAAATTGTTGATTCGCCTTTACTCTTTAGTCGTCACACCGTAAAATATTTTTAGCCGAACATTTACACTACACTAATACATTTTCGTCGAACGTTAAACTATAGTACTTGAGAAACCTCAAGTGCATTTTTGTGAGTTGACTGTGGTTAAACGTAAATTAATTCATTTATAATTCATTTATACTAATGTATTAAATTCCTTTTCAGAAAATAAATAAGTTGCGATAAATATTAAAAAATTATTATTTTAGATTCGGAGCGAATCTATTGGTTTTACTATTGTAACTTACCCAACGCTCTGTGCGTACGCTCTATGTTTATATTTACGAAGTCTCGGGACTTGACCTCGGTGTGTGATACTTTTGTAACAGACCGAGGTAACCTTTGACCACAAAACAAGACACTATTTAAATAATTTATATGATCTTATATTACCAGTATAAATTGTACATCTTGAGGGTGTCCAGTCGAGGGGTAAGTAAAGTTCGTGATAGCGGCCTGTGGTATCCTTCCGATAGCCGTTCCTTCCTAGGATCCTATTATTCACGGGTACGCTCTACCACCCGACTCGTGACACTTTGCTGCATTCCTATCGCTGGTCTCCGGGCGCACACCTAAAACCCATAGCCAGCATTTTGCCCTCCATTCCCCCTCGCCTATGACAAATACACCTAATACTAGCCTCGCATCACCAGTGGGATAATGTGCCTATCGTTACACTATAATGTGTGTTTTTATTTTTGTATCTTTTAACAACTTTTCTCCCAAAAACTTGCTCCGAAATATAGACTAAAGCACATTTTCTGAAAGGAAATTTTCTCTCATTCGTTCGTTGAGGAGGTCATTTATTGATTTTTCAAGAAGTTTTCGAAATAATTTGGAAAAATCCGAAAGAAAATTGTTGGTAAAACGGCAAATATTTACGCCACGTTACTGTTTTCATTAATTTTTTTTATGTTAATACGATGTTTTCTACTAGAAATATTACTTCAATCAAAAAATTACATGAGGTCGGTTTTATACCTTACAATATTTTACCACTGACAGGGTAATTCGTTTTTGATATATTGAAATAGTTTTCTTAATAATTTGGAAAAACCAAAAATGTCGAAATATACGATTTATTTCAAATTACGACACAACGATTACGTTATTTTAAATTTCTATTAAACATTCCTTCAATAGATAAACGACAAGATACCTTTTTTATTTCATTTTTGATCTGATTTATGAGCAAGCTATTCAGTTTTTGATTTTTTAGATAGTTTTTATAATTATTAGGAAAAACCGGAAAGAAACGTAAAATGAAAACAAATTTACGGCGTTACAATTTCATTATTTTACATTTTTACGGCTCATGTTTTCTATCATAAATATTGACCAATAGAAAACCACCAAGAGATCTTTTTCGTTAAATTTTGTATCTTATTGGTGACCAAAGTTTTATTAATAATTGAGTAAAACCGAAAAAAAAATAAATGCAAAAAGTACAGGAAATGTATGAAAATAATTATTTTACTATTTTCAATTTTGTTTTTTTAATGTTATTTAGTTCATTTCAATCATAAAGACTTGACATTTTTACAAAATTCGTATATATGCTTTTTCTAGAAGTGGTAAAATTTTCACAAGACTTGAGTTATTTTCGAGCTATTTATAAATATTTTAACACCTAGGCCATAGGCACTAGGGATAGGTGTACTAATGTTATAAGTGAGAAGTTGGGAAGGTAGGATGAAGTAAGATTAAGTTATTTAATTTTATCTGTAAGCAATGATGAATCATTGCTAACAAAATACTTTTCTCAGTGACGTTCGGTTGTACATGGTTTGTAATGCCGTAATTTTTATGATTTTTGTTAAAATTTGAACTTGTAAAAAAAAACTGTATTACGCCCAAATTATTTTTGGCCCACTAAGTATAACTTAGTAATGAATATCGTATACAATTTTACAAAAATATCCATTAGGCCAAACAATTTTATCCACATAATACCTACCAAATAAGAACTAAAAAAAACTAGAAAATGTCAAATGCTATAAATAGTTAAAACATTCTCCAGAATGTTTTTAAAATTTTACTACATCTAAAAAATGCCAATAAAAGTGTTCTATGAAAATTTCAGGTCTCTACGATTATTTTAAACTAAATTACAATAACAAATAAAATCGAAAATAATGAAACCATAAGTCTGAAATAAAATTATAAATTAAAAACAAAACATTTATTTATTTATTTCTACACATAAATTATTTATATAAAAAATATGACGTAAACTTTTCATATTTCCTACGTTTTTCCCAATTATTAAGAAAACTATACAGAAAATAAAAAAAAATTGCTTATACACCAACTAGATAAAATTTTCTTTCAAAAAAATACTATTCAACAATTCAATTTCGATGTAAGATTTCTGATAGAAAACAAAATTGGAAAAAATGTAAAACAATGAAATCATTATTTCGATACGAAGAACATTCCACGTCAAATCACAAAATTATTGCCATTATTGGGCTGACCCCATATGATTTTGATGAACAATAGATTTTTTGATTTATTTTAGACTGTAATGAGACCTATACTTTTTTGATATTTTTCCATCCATTCTTAAAGCCACCATCGTTAATATTTTAAATCTGAATGAAACATGAAGATAAACATTTATGCATAATTTAGTGCATTGATTTCTACTATATATCATCAGGTTAGGGGAACACAGTGCAATTCTGTCAAATTTTTTTATTTTCCTAAAGTTGTTTAAATTTTTAGTATATCGTCTGTATACAATTTATAGTTGAATACGTTACGACAATATTTTAACAGTAATATCTGGATAAATAATAGAGGATACCTGTTAAAAAAAAAGATCTGATACATAGGGATCAGTGTGCCACTGATGTAGGTGAGAAGTCGTGAAGATACATAAAGTTTAGACATGAAAAATAACAAAAAAAATTAAAACCAATAGATCTCTCGCTACGCTCCAGGGATTTTGACTAGAATCCTTGAAATAAAATCAAATAGAAAACAAAATTTGCTACGAAAGTTGAGTGAAATTATATAATAACTTGTGCTTGATATCCATAATTCAACAGGCAATGAAGATTTACACTCAAACATATCAAACTTCAGTTCAAAACCACCGAAAATGCGTTCGGTAGCTGACGGACAATCGCAGAATAGTTTTTCAAATAACTCAATGCGATATTTAGGCGGTAGCAACGCGTACTCGTCTGATTTGGTGAACTCGAGACCAGGTAAGTTCGCTGCAGATAAGCAGCAAACAGTGACGGATCCAGATGGGGACCCCCCAGACATATTAATTCGCCAATTTTTTTTATAATTCTATAAACCCTGATATTATATTTCAATCACAGATATGGTATGATCATATTTATGATATTTATTACCAGCTAGATTGAAATAGGACGGGAATCACTACTAGTGGTGGCCATTGTACCTGCGTATCACAAAGTTGTGACCATACCTATATATTTATCCATGATAATTTCAAAATCACGAGTTAATTGCTGATACCACGAAAGCGCACCATGTTGCCACCAAATTTGGTCCCGGTCCTCCCAAACAATCACAAATAGATTGTGGTTAATCAAACTATTATTAATGTGGTACTATAATTAGAACCATAGATATTTTAATAGTATTTGTGTTGTAAAAAAATATTTGCTCCTCCTTCAGCTCTTTCCTCTGGATCCTTGCCAGTAGATGGATGATCATGGCTATGTACTCGAATCATTTATTCGGACTTCAGGTGTTGAAAGAAAATTTAAGTAAATTAATTTGGATTTGCTTCTGGTTAATTCAGGTTTTTATATTTTAGATTCTGAGTGGAGCAAAAAATGTATTGGTTTTATAAATATGTTTTTTAATTTTTGTATATAAACACTTTTTCTACCAAAAAGCTTACTGCAATATATACGATGTAGACTCTTTTCTGAAAACAAATTTTCTTGGGATGGTACTTTAGATAGGTAATATTTCGATAGGTTTCTAATCAAATGTGAAAAACCAAAAAAATATCTGTACGCTACGATTAACAATTGTTAACGAAAAGCGATTCTGAGCTGAGTTCTGTTAACTGTGTTGGTATGTCAACAATAGATAGGGTGATTCACTAAGCGTGCTCACCTCAGTTTTTTAGATGAATTTTGCATACATTAAAATTCTGATTTGGAATTTTTAAGTTTAGTTAAAGTAGATATTTTCGAATACATAGATTTAATTAAATGTTGGTGTTAACATGTTTGATTTCCCTCAACCTGTTAACGAGGTATTTCACTTTTCAGTTTTAGGTAGGGAGAGAGTATAGTACCATTTGTGTGGTAACACAGCGTGTGGTATTGTATTAGTGCTAAAATTTAGAATAGATATTTAATATAAAATCGAAAATTTTAACACCAACATTTATTTAAAGTAATACTCCGTCTATTTATCAAATTTTTAATATAGGTTCTCTTATGAAAAACCGATGTTGGTATCGTAAATCGGTGCGAAATTTCTGGTAGAAAAGTTGTCCATAGAAAAAAAATAAACATCATTGTAAAGCCAATACATTTCTCGTTCCGCTCAGAACAAACGGGAATACTTTGCACGATGTGTGAGCCACTGTTATAAGTGAGAAGTTGGGAAATTAGAGAGGAAATTAATGTATATCTGAACACGAAGGTTAATCATTGCTAACGAAAAACGATTCTGAGCGAAGTTAGGTTACTCATCCTTTGAAAGGCCATAATATTTACGATTTCAAAAATAATACATTTTGTCTTTTTTCCCGTTTTTCCTACCATTTTCCCCATTTACTATGAAAAATCCTGGGAAATTAAAAAAATTGCCTTTTTAAAATACCACCCTAGTCCGATTTCCTCTTAAAAAAAGTGCAACCTTTGAAAATCAGAGCAAAATTTATGGTAGAAAAGTTGTTCACGGAAAAAAAAATAAACACCATTGTAATCAATAACCGAAACCAATATATTCCTTGCTCCGTTCAGAATCTAAAAATGTATAACAAACGCGGATGCATCGGTTTTATTTTTTTTTGATCTCTGAGTAATCACTTCTTTCCCCCTTTACACAGAGCTGAGGCAGTCACGACAATCGTTAGCGGTCTCCGAGAGAATGTCACACATCAGTTACCCAGGAAGCGCGCGAACGAACACGTCCAGGAACAAACCACGCCAGCGTTCGAGGACCAGAGAGCAGGGCACGCAAAACAGGCCACCCAGCCGATACAGCCATGGTGGTTCGCATCACAACCTCAACAGCTATGGTGGCGGTGGCGGCCCCGGGGACACGTCCGACAACTGGACCGATCACGATATCGACATATATATGACCAGGAATCCGACGGCTAGAAACGGCGGTCTTGTGCCACTGTAAAATAAAATCGACGATTGGTATATTTTAATACCTTTTCCGCAAATTGTAGCTCAATTTTTGGAATGTATTTATTTTATTATAATTATTCTTTTGTTTTTTTTTTTTTTTTTTTTTTTTTTGATATCTTATATCAACAGTAGGTATTAATGCCAGATAAACATTTACATTTGAATTTGTTTGTATAATATATTATATTATTTTACCTACCTTCTATAAATCCGTTTCGATAATATTTACCATTATAGGCGTTTATTTAAAGGTAAATTTACATGAGTCGAATGTACAAAAATTCTCGATATGGCATCAACGAAATATGTAACTACTCTATGTACAAAATACATATACGATTTAATTTTGATGATCCTGCGGTTGAGTGTCTATATTCAGTAGTTACTCACTAACTTAGCTGACGAATTTTTTTTCATTCACATGTAATTATATAACTATAATAAATTAATACGATAAGTTAAAATTATTTAACACTGCATATAACGTTTATATTTTGTAAATACACTGCGCCCATATAATTATATATTGACAAAACGAATAATATTTACCTTAAATTTACATTACTTGCAACATATTAATTATAACTTTAACGGATACTGTAAAAAACCAAACAAATCACTTTTTTTTAATTTGAGAAAAATATGTTTTTTATTTTATTTTTAAAAAGTAAGCAGTTCGGATTAAGTTAAATTTTGATTTTTACAATATTGTAGACCGAATTAAATTATGTTTGAAATGAATACATAATAACAATCATATTGAAATATAACAGAAATATCGTCAATACTTTATCTAAACTTACTTTTCTAGCTTTCCCTGTATCCTTCATATAAGACTAAAAGGCTTAAGGCTATAAAAGAAAAGTACTTTGATGTATTTATGGTCCTATCGTAGATAATGGAATATACCGAACAAGAATGTTGCAGTTATATCAAAAACTAGATACTAAAGCATTTATCGAGAGTAAAATAGTGATGGGTAGGTGGAGAGATAATGGGATATGTGAACTGGCAACAACGAGAGAAATCAAAAGGGAGAACTTAAAAAAGAGAAAGAGAAAACTTAGTAATGCTACCCCGGACAAAGACATGGCAGACGGATATACGCTGAAGACTGACCTCGAAAAATATACTTAAAAAACGAGAGTGTTGGACTAATTAAAGAGAGTGAGTATATTATGACGTGAAGAACACGTGGATATAGTGGAAACACTGACTGGAAGCGGTGAAACCTTTGAGTGAGCTATAAATATTAATGCTACAAAAGAACAATTATTAATATGATTAAAAAAAAAATAAATGAAAAGTCTTTTTTTTATGTTTTCAAACCATATTTATTCATTGAATAACCAAATTGACTCAAATAAAATTCTATAACATTACATTATACGTTTCTTCGTGTTTTATTAAAATAAAATAACAACAATAATAACTTGACGTTTCCCTCTAACTAATGACTCTAATGACTTTAACAAAATAAATATGTATGATTACAATTTGTTCACTATGCTCATCTTTGAAAAATTAAGCAACTAAACCGAAAAATACTTTTAGAGAATATAGATACATATTATATAATATTTTTTCAGTTTAATCGTATAATAACGTTATATAGTGTTGTATAATACGAGGTAACTATGTATAAGGTGTCGTATTTACGGGTTGAAGACACTGGAGGTTTCTACCTCCCCCATAGAAACCAAACAACTTCTATAATATCAGTGAGTTTAGTCGTTTAAATTGACCCTCCCTCCCTAAAAATCCAAAAAAAATATGAAATACGCTACTAATTGGTAACTATATTTTTCAATATCGTGTTGTGTTCTACCTCATCGTCACTATACTTATTTTATGCGGCTCATGTATTTCAATTTTGATAACGAGTGTGTGTGTGTGTGTGTGTAACATAATTTGAGTATATAGGAGTAGTATAAATTAGTGGATTCTGTTTCGCAACACATAGCAAAACGTGAATTCGGTCTCTTTCAATTTAGTTTTTATATTTTTTTTCGATTATTACATTTTACATATATCTTCTAGGTTTTCTTTATTTCAAATATTTAGTCCTCTTCACGAAATTAATTTAGTTTTAATTTAACTATTTTGTTTAAATTTTAAGTTGGTTTATCAATTTTATTTTTTCAACTGGCATAATATAATTTTAAAGTTATAGTTAAGCACCAGCCATCAAATATACGACCCGTATGTTTAATCAACAAAATATAAATAATTCAGTCCATAATAATATTACGATATTCGTGTTTCTTCATAAAAATCTGTAAATGATTTTGAATCATTGATTTGGTAAAACATCTCCAGTTCAAGTTTTTACATAGATTCTTGGTTTGTAAAATTATAGGTATAATATTTAAATATATTAATAAAACAATGTGTCGTCTTATATAAACTATCACAACAAGACTTATTTTCCAATTAATAATAACCATATACCAAACTGTACTCCAAAATAGTCCTCATCATAAACTCGAACGTCTACAGAATCTAAGCATAATACGCTGATGATAAAATTTGATAAGCCAACATAATTAAATTTAAAAAAATCTCCTGAAAATAACTAAATATTTAAAATAAAGGAAACTGAAAAAAAATTAATAAATATTTAATATGAATAGGAAAAATAAACAAGAACCCCAATTCAATTTCAAAAGTGGCTAAATTACATTTTACTGCGCAGTAGAACCTACAAATCTATACTACTTATAGGCAATATGTTTAATCAAATTTATTATTTATTGTTGTTCAATTTATTTGTGTTGTGTAATGATATTATAATTTGTACTTCTATAAATAAGATGTTAGACATATTATAATATTAATTACTATAATAAATATTATGTTTATTGTTTATTGCATAGGTAATGATAGTATGCAATAAAGTATGCTTAGGTATACAATACTTTCAGCTACCTATACGTATATTGTTTAATAAATAAATCTATGTAAATTATTTTGTAATTAATTAATAAAGATCAATTACTATACTCATTGTAATTTATTAGTAGTTATAAAATACTGTCAAATGCCTAGTAATTACGGTGATCATAACGTATAATAAAGACACTCATTTTCGCAGAAAGTATTAATTTTTTTCGGAATTTGTTTTATAGAAAATCAAAGAAACAAGCAGCAATTTCATACAATTTTTCATCAACTTACAAAATTAATGGATTAAAATTTATTAGAAAAATAAACACCAATAATTTTAAAAAAATGGGGTTACAAAATAATTATTTTGCTTTTTCTACACCAATAGTACACTAAAATTTTAAATTTTGAGATCCAAAAATGAAAAAAAATATTTTAGAACATTATTATTATACCACAATATTTTTATATTTATTTTTTTTTAAAAAAGTGATAAATAATGAATAAAAAAAAATTATTGCATTTGTCAAATAGATCTGGGACACACGGTACAATGAATTATTTATTGATATGTATTTTTAACATTATATTAAACTATGGAGTTGGGGACTTCAAAAAAAATGAAAAATCCAGGAGCCTTTGGTGTACTAGGCCGATATTGAATAGATCCTTCGATACGCTCCGAATCTAAAATACAAATGTACAAAAAAAAAAAAAAAATAGCAAAATCGCATAGCAAAATTAATAGATCACTCAATCGCTACGCTCCGAATCTAAAACAAATTGAGTTCAAATGAAAAATACTAGAACAAAAGCAAACAAAACACTAGTCTCTTCGAGTATTTCAAACTTGGAGTATATTATGGCAGGATTACCAGGTTTTACAGCTGTCAAAATGGGTGAAATAATTTACTTACTTAAGTAAATTTAAAAATGTAAATGGTGAAATTTTTAAAAAAACGCGTGCTTCAATGAACTACCTGCAATTTTTTATAACGATAAAACGTTTTTCACTAACCCTATAACGCATATATTACAAAATTTGGAACTCAAATAGATTGAAATATGCTATCCCTGCTGGTTTTAATTTAGACAGAGATTGATTTGGTAATTTGGTATTGTATCAAACATTCAAGAAATAAAAAAACACAAAAGCTATAACCTTGACATGGTCGTGCTTAATTTGAGATTTTCTGAATGCTAATATATATATATACAGGACAGAGGATTTCAACGTTACTAATACGTATATAGAAGACTAAAAAAATTGTTGTAATTGGTTGTACATTTTTCACGAGGTTCATTATATAAGGCCCGTTCTCACCAAAAACCGATAAACTCCATTATATAATTTTTCCCTCTTTTCTATTTATGTATATTAATTACTTTATAACTTTTAACATATAAACATACAAATACTGTAATTTTATTAATTTTATTATGTAATTGGAATTTTATTTCCGTAAGTAAAGAAAATTAGTATTATATTTTTATTATCGATTTACGAACGGAGATAATTTTTTTATTTACGTAGGTATTATTTCAACTTAAAACAGTAAGTAATTTTAAATAAAAAAATCAGTTTTTGAAAATTGTATGCAAATACATCATTTAACGAAGTTAAATACGAAGTAAACTAATGATTTTCAACACTTTCGGTTAAAAAAAATAAACTTTTAGCTAGCTATTCTCGATTTTAAAATACTGTATAGTGACACCAATGCTGTACATGACGTGCTCTGTCTGTGACATGATCACAAATCACAAAACCAGTGGAAAATTTAACTGTCATTAAGTTGGTAAATGTTAACGGGGTCCCTCGCCTAAACCAAATGCTCATCTAAATTATACAGTTTTTTTTTCGCATTTTTACCACAAAAAATAATAAATACATTTTACCTTTATTGCAAACTGCAACAATACAATAAATTAACCATTGTTTTTAATTATAAATTTAAATATATAGGAATATTTCAAAAAAGGAAACGTTATTAATAAACAAATTTAAAAAAAAAAAAACCAAAAATCCGTACATAAATATAATTTATAGCCTATAGGTAAATATTAAAACCTACCATTAACCACAACTTGAATTAAATTATTATAACATTGCCTATATTAAACTCCTTAAATACCACCTGGTAGTATTCAAATCTCCCTAAGATTGTTTTCCCGATGCATTTAAAGCAATAAAAAAATAATAATTCCATATACCTATACTGTTCACCGTTCAAAATTATTATTGAATATCGTTTTTATAATACATTTCAATGCGATAAATTCGCGATGAACATTTTGTACGAGATATCAAAGTTCTTCGATGTGGTGACTTTATTTAAACACGTTAATCTGCTACTGGTCACAACTGTTTTAATAAATACATTGGTACCTAACGAGCAAAATATTGTCGTCTTGGTAGAAAATTTGATGAGTTTTTGACAAATAATGTTTCCCAGGCGTTTGACGATGTAGACACAGCTTAGTATCGATGTTGTCACATTTTACAATGATTTACGGTACTTCAGTTTGTTTGTCTCGGAAATGCAACACATTCGGCACGGTTTCTTATCATTGAAATATTACACCGTTCCACAGAATAATATATTGTTAATATCCGTTGGAATGACATTGTTGCTATTGTAATAATATTGTTCTTATCGCATTGTTGTTATCGTTTGGCGTCGAAACAACAACTTTCCTACAAATACAACAAAAACTTCACTGTATAGTGTCTACTACCGATACTGTCTGAGCGCAATAAAATAGATTAAAAAAAAAAAAAAAAAACTATATTTATTTATAGTGCATTTTTTTACGGTATGTGTATCCTACAATACTATTTGTAGTTTTTTATCCGTCTTGTTCTACGTTCAGTTCATATAATTGCTGCTGCTGTTATTTTCCGTACAACAACGGTGATTATTTTGTCCAATACTTACCTTCCTATAATTATAATAATAGTGTTTCGGTATATTTCTACTTTCTAGGAGATCTAGTTATATTGAACAATAGATATTTACCTGCCCTGTTAAAATATGAGTAACGAACAAGACGAAGAATTCGAGCTCAGTAAAACCCATTTTGATGCGATCAAACTGTTGGAAGGAGCATTACAAAAAATGGATGGAATAATTATATCTTCAGGTACCTATTATAAATAATGTTTTACAAAATGAATAAGTGTAATAATATTTCTAAACTAACAACTGTTTGTAACAAAAGAATAATTATATTATTATGTTAATCAAAATTACTCTTGAGACTATTATGACTTATAAAACAATTTAGACACCTAATGAGATGAAGACATAGGGTATACTCAGTAGGTAGGCTACAGGTGAAAAATCCAATGTTTGACTGTTGAAGATTCATTGATGTTCAAAAGAAAATTATTCAGTTTAAGCAAAAATTAATATAATGACATATTATACCTATACTGTCTAAAATGGGTGTAACATTGTAGTTTTATTACTGATATTATTAATTATTCTTATACTTCATCATGTTCTTCTTCGCTTTTATCACACACAACAGAATCAACTAGGTGCTTACGATTTGCTAAAATATAAGCTTCATAATGTAATAAGATATTACATACAATTACTATTATTTTGTTTATTTTTTTAGTCTTAATAGATCACATTAAATTATTTTACATTTATTAGATACTCCAAGATATTATTCTTCTTGGCTACTCAATAATACTCCAAGAATAATGATTTGTGAACCAATGAAGCTAAACAGAATTCTAACTTTATGAATTATGTATGATAAAAGGCAAAACTGAAGCCATTTTGGTGAGATCTAGTTAGAATGTTTAATGTAGAGTAATTTTTTAACTTATAATTTTAAAATTTTTAAGTAGTTTGCATATTATCTATATTTTAAAAATATTTAAATAGTAGGTAATAAAATATAATTGCACTGTGTGTAGTTTTATTAATTTAAAATCTTAAACTGAGTCAGTATATTATTTATTAAATGCATAATAAACAAATAATTATTTATCAGATTGATTTGAAAATTATTTACCTACCTATTACTTAACATATTATTTATGTTATTTATCAAAATATAAACTATAATTTTTGTATTTTAATATGGTATGTGGTGCCTACTGTTATAATTATTGAACAAAATTTATTAACTAGACTTTGTGTTTTGTAAAACATATTTATGATAATTAATTAGTATTTATGTAGAGTAAAGGATATTAAAATGTATATTTTGTATGACAAGTTAGAGAAACAAAATTAAATAAATATTAAAACAATTAAATTAACAATGATAATACTATTTAGAACTAGTAGAACATATACAGAGAATATTATAGCTCAGATTTGAACTATATGAAACTATAAATCAATGTTGAGGTTTTTCATCCATTCAACTACATCCTTATTAGCTGAGTGAATATCCTTAGGGGTGGCTTTGAATAGGAAATTCTGGCATTCAGAGTCACTATATGGGAGATTGCTTGTAATTCATATTAAAGATTGCTTTCATGTACTCTGTCTTAGAGAGAGCTAAAGATTTACCATCACCAATTGCTGTACTGTCTTTCTGATCTCATAGCAATAGTAAACAAAATAGAATTTTATGGGTACATAATATTGGTTTATAAGGCCTAATATTGTGTATATTTTAACATTTTATAATGCATATATTAAATTTTTTTAGTGCATCCTTTATTGATAACTGTAAAATTATTTTTTCACATATTCATGTAGATTTTATAATAAGTATGTGATAGTTTTTTTAAAATGTTTTATGTTGTATAAACTGGTATAGATTTACACGCATACTTCCTTGTCTCTATTTTAAAATATTATACAGTATATAAAATCATTTTATTGACATTTTTGAAGATATATATTATTTTATAGATTTTGGTATCTTAGAACCTTATATTTTTTTTTTCAGAATTTGAGACTTATTGCTTATCTTTTTATTTTCTTAAAATGTGTTTCTATTAAATTGTATCTAGGTAATATATATCTATTTTAAAGTGATTTATGAAAGTTTATCTTTAAAAAATGTGTTCAACATTTTATTGGTAGTGTACCATACAATATTATATTTGATAAATGCAGATCATATCAATGTAGACAACTGGGATCTGTTATCTAGCAAAATCCCAGTCAAGGGTATTCCCTTAGGTCTTAGGTCTCATTCTCTGTGTTTTCCTAGATGGATTGGGGAATCTGCTTTATCTCCTGACTAGATAGCACAAGCCTTTTCGTGGCGTTAAATATTAGTAGTGACATGGATTTATTCGCGGTGTAAAGCACACACGTGCAAATTATCATGAGCTAATGAGTGCCTGTGTTTCCCTATTGAGGTTATACCGGCAAGAGTTTGAAACTTCGGTCCCCTAGACCCCTGTACCAGCCATAAACTCGCACTGCATTATGCGGTTGACTTCGAACGAGCTTATGAATTATGTTAAGTCGTGATTAAATTAACCGGGATTACCCACTAGTGGGCATGCGGTTAGGTAAATTTGGTAGCGATTGCTGGGATCGCGCTTTAATGCAATGACATGTATCCAGAGCTTGCACTGAACCTCCGCAACTCATGACTAACAGTCAGTGCTATTATGACAATCCACGGTTGTATCATGCTTCAAATTAAAACCTGGTCGAACTGGTTGTTAATAATTATAATTAATACAATTATTACTAGGTATTATTTATTTTTTTGGTTATATTATATCCGTGTTATGTATTAAATGTTTTATTTTTACCTACCTATTTACTTTGTATTAATTATTAATTATATTTTTTTTTTTTTATAGAGCCAACATTTAATTCAAAATTGCCCAACAACTTAAATGTACTAAACAATTTTATTCAACAAGTAAACTTTCAAAATTATACTTCAATTAAATTTTAAACATTCTATTTGTTATAATTATATTCTTAGAAAAATAATGCTGACCCTAATGATCATTTGGAGTCATTTAAACTTCAAGTTTCCATGTTGAATAATCAAGTGGATACTCTATTAAACAAATTAAATCAGCTAGAAAAATACTTAGTACAACAAAGTGAACTAAGACAAAAAGCTGAAAATAAACTTGAGGAGGTAAATTATTGAAATTATTTTAAATTCATTTTTTTTAATTCCTACCTATGTTATTGTTTTATAGGAACTTATTCTGAAATCAAAATTAGAAACTGAAAAACTTGAAGTAATTGCAATGTTGACTAATTTGAAATTAGTTAACGTAAGGCTGACTAAGGAAAACATAGGACTCAAAGAAATGCTCTTGAATAATCAAAATACACGGGATGCAGTTATTTCGGCTTGTATGCCAGATATAATGGTAAGCCAAATTTTTAATATTTATAATTCATAGGCCAAATGGGTCATTTCCACAACACTCTTCCACTGCTTTGTGGCATCTACCATTTTATTATTTTATCACAGTATTTTTGTTTATTCATGTTGCATAACTAATAAATAAAAAAAATGAACATACATATAACACATATAGATATTAAGGAAAAAGAATAACAATAAGTCATAGATAGAAATAGTAAGTAATAACAATGAAATTGATGATAAAACTATGTAAAATCTTCTACTCTTTTTTTTTTTTATTTCTATTTATTTTCTTAGTATTTACTGTTCATTTTTTTTAATAAATGTGAAATATATTATAATATAATATACTATACTATGGTCTATATAAAAGTGCACCGCCTTGGCGCATACAAATAAATAGTGGAGCGACCTCCGGCTGAGTTTAATTACTCTGCTAATCAGCGATAGTCACACACATATAAACACTACCGGTTATAATGCTATTTTTTCTCTTTACTTGCATATCTATTTTTTTATAGCTACCTTGATACATATTATTATTATATATTTTTTTATAAATAGGATAAGATAAATATAATTAAACAAACAAAGAAGAACATTTGTTGAGTACATAATTTTCTGTATTCATGCACAATATCAATGGCCACCAATTTAAATTTCTAAGAAAATATTCTCTATTCAAATCTGTGTTCAAAATGGGGGGGGGGTTATTTGAAAATCAAAATAATGTACTTATCTAAGGTATTTGGAGTAAGGGTAAAATATTAAAAATTGTTTTAAAATAAAGCTTAAATTATTTTATAATGATTAGAAAAAAACAAAAATCAAATTCACTTAAAATCCTCCTAGAAAATAGCTAGTTCATTATACAAAAAATCACCCTGTGTGTATCAGTATTTTAAAATTATCAGCTGTTGAACTGTTAATTTAAAGACTGACTTAAATATCATAAATTATAGGTTTTCTAATATATAATTCATATCCAGTGTTTTTATCATCAGTTTTCAATAATTAAATGTTGAATAGGTTTGTCTCAAAACATAATTTGGCTAACAAAAATGATCATTTAGTATAATCCTTGCCATGAAAAGAGGCTCGTGACCATTCGAACCAGTAGTTTTATACAATTGACATTATACACGTCACATGGCTGCAATAACCAGTTTAGTTACCCATGGCTTATGGGCTGGATATGCCTTATAGGTCAGTTTTTGTGGCTAGGACTTTAGATACTTTAAGAAATATCAATGATTACAGGACTGCCTACGAATTGATCCTGTAACAACAATTCCTGCCGAAATGTATCCATGTTATTTTTTTGGGTCATACTAAATTGCATTCTGTAAGATGTCTTAAGAAAAACATTGTAGTTGAAAGGAGGAGAGGGTAAGAAATAAATATCTAGGAGGTATATTGGTGTATACAAATCCCATTTAAGTTATAGCTGGTATTGATATTCCATTCTGCTAAGCATTTTTAAACAAATTTATTTATTTATTTGTATTTAAATTCAAATTTGTTACAGCTAGGAAAAATGTTTTAAAATATAAAACATTATGCTTGTTATTTATTCTAATATTTGGGTTTTACTGTGTATTAATAATAATTATTTTGTTTAGAACTCTCAATTTCATCGGTCAAAAAATCATGGATCCCGTTTCTATTGCAGTTTACCTCGACATATTATATCAAAAAAAAAAATTGAAGCAAAAACTCTGAATGCTGAAGCATTAAATGATATTACAGAGTCATGTGTTAATTTAATTAACAGAAGATCACTATTTGATAAATGTTCATCTGCTCCAAATTTAGGTAAATTTAATATTAATAGTACTAATCATTGTAGGATTAAGAAGTTATTTTTTTAGTAATTTCAAGAATTATTCAATTGTAGGATAAAGAAAATGTTTATTTGAACATAAATCATAATAAACATAATATGATAAACACATCAGTAATTTCCAATTTTAGCAATATAAAACACTTTATTAAAAATTTTAAAAAAAAGCAACAATTTTATATTTGATTTTAAATAAAAGGCTATTTTCTTTTCTGTCTAATGATACAATGTAAAATTATGTATTTCAAAACCATATACCTACCTATTAGAAAAAAATCTATCAATGAACTTCCAAATATTTTTCATATTTATATAAGATATTATTTGTCAATTAGCTGATTCAAAAATCAATTATCAAAATAAACAAATAATGGAAAACAATTCTAGTTTTTTTTCTAGTACCAAAATTGATTCATTTCAAAAGTAAGAATTCAAATTTAAATTACCTAAGATTAAAAATTGTATTTTATTATTTCTCTATAAATGTTATAGTAATAATTTACCATTTTGTGAGTGGAATCGCCAACAATTAACTGATTGGTTTGCTGAACAAGGTATTGATTATGTTTTACAAGAATCAACAGTGTGGCCTGCTTCTGGAAAAGACTTGATTTCTTCATCTATCAATGATATTTGTCAAAAATTTAAATTTAAAGTGAGAATAAATATTAACATTTTTAGAGCAATATGGATTATTTTTCTTTGTACATTATACAAAAATTAGTATATTAATATGATTTTTAACAATAATTATATACTATTTTTTGATTGTTTATCACAAATTGCACTTCGATTTATACAAAATTAAAATTTAAGCGCAAATTAAATATTATTTATTTTTTCAGCACTGGTTACATAGAAAAAAACTTATTTTAGCCATTCAATGTGAAAGTGACCAAAATAAATTATTTACTGAAGATAAATATTTATCTAAAGCAAGATATTTAAGTGCAGCTTGGGTATTACAATGGTTAGATGACATTGGACTACCACAATATAAAGATCCATTTTCGCAGGCAACTATTAATGGTGTTCTTTTGCACAGACTCACCAAAGACGATTTTCTAACAATACAAAATGGAAATTCGGATTTACATTTTTCCAGTCTACGATGCGGCATTAAGGCATAAATCTTTTTTTAATCCTTACAAGCCATTTAGATTTTTAGCTGCTAAAATCTATACATATTTCTCTGTCATATGATGTGTTCCAGTTTACCTCTCTAATCTCTAAACTGTCATTGGCATGGACTTCCTTGTGGTTATGTTCCTTTCATCTCATTTCTTATGATCTTTAACAGTCTACTGTCTCTTAATTATACATGTGAGAATAGATTTCCCCTAACTTATATATAGTTGATATTTTGTATTTTTTTTTTTTTTTAAGGTTTGTTAGGAAGTAACACTTATTTGCCACAGAAAATGTTATATTTATTTTAACTGTTCAATGTAACACTCAAGTATTTATATTATGCATAAACATTTTTCTTAGAGGATTTTAAGTTATTTTAATTTTATATCTGGGTTTTTAATCACTGTGGAATCATTTACATTTTATTTCTACTCCTACTTTATATACTTAAATAAGTATATACATTTGGTTTTCTGTCAGGAACCCTCCTTTCTGGACACAGATTCGGATAGAGAATATTTGTTTAGACATTTTGATGTAACACTTATATCAGATTAACGGTGTATGAGTTATAATCATTTAAAGTTTAGACTGGAGGAATAAGAAAGAGTTATCAATTTATAATTTAAAAATAGATATGCTATTTTCTACTCATTCCTACTCCAGTCTAAATTTTAAAGGTTTATTACTAATATATTGTAAATTTAATATTATTATTATGCATTTCAAAATGTCTGAAAAAAATATATTCTATGAGAATCTGTGTCCGATAAGGAAAGCTCTTTTTAGACAGGAACCCCCTCATTCCTGTTTAAATACAAATGTTTATACTTATTTATGATATATGGAGAAGGGATAAAAATTAAAAATGGTTTTAAAAAAGTTTGATTTTATGATTAAACTAAAAAAAATAATGGAAGTTGAATTCCTTAAAATTCTTCAAGAAAATTGCTGATTCATGAAAAAAAAATACTGAAATGTTTATTTTTTTCTTGGCATCATATCATGTACTTTAGGTTTTTCCTTTAAACACTTGGGTCAATGCCTTCTCCTACTTTTATCATTTCCAGCACATTCTTCACTTACAAGTAACATACAATGTAAATATAAAATTATTATTATTATTGATTTATCTCTATACACAAAATAATGGGCCTCACTGAGAAATACATAAAAATATGAATTAAATATTTAAACATCTATATAATGATGCATTTTTAAAAATGTGTTGTTTATTTATTATTACTTAGGTTTTAAGAGATAATAATTTTGATTCTGAATGTTTAATTCGTCGTTCAAATATTAACAAAACCGATGATGATTGTAATTTATCACTTTGGACAACACACAGAGTTATGGAATGGCTTTGTTGTGTTAATTTGGCTGAATATGCTTCTAACTTAAGGGGTTCTGGTAAATATGTTTATATATTTGATTGTTTTGAATTAATTTATAAAATACAACATTTATATTTTAATATTATTTAGGTGTTCATGGAGGTTTAATAGTATATGATGACAGATTTACATCTGATCTTTTGGCTGATATTTTATTTATTCAACAAAGTAAAACTTTATTGAGACGACATTTGAGTATACAGTTCAATCAATTGTTGGGGAAAGATTTAAATAAAAAAAAGAGAGATGCTCAGTGCAAACCAAAGTATAGACCTCTAACAATATCATCTAAAATTAAAGTAAATTAAGTGTGTTTTTATATAATGAAATTATGTATTTTGCTTAACAATATACGTACGATATACGTATATTGTTATAAAATAATTTTATTACCATATTTAAAGAAATATTTTTTTTTTGATGTTATGATTCAGATTCAGAAAAAATCACAATTTTCTTTGAAGCGGAAAAAAAATAACAATGAACTGAATATAGGGGATTTAATTTGTCCAATTGAGGATTAGTTCACTATTAGATATATTTTTACACAATTAAAACCAAAGTTAATATACCTTTAGTACATGACAACAAAGACTTATTGCTTATTATTTTGTTTTTTATTTATTCAGATTTATTTTAATCTTTTTATTATACTTTCTAAAATGTTATGACAATAACTATTCATATTATACTATAAGAATTTAATACCCAAAATTGATTAAACTCTTTTTTGTTGTTAAAGTAAAACATTATTTGTATGTAAACTAATTATTTAAACATAATATTTGTATAAATTGTTACAATACCATTTAAAGCATTGTTTGACAATAAAGGAATTACTTATTAATGCAATCACTGATACTTGTTACGATGCTGTTGTATACAACAATATTAACAATATTTCAGATAAAACGATTCACAATTCCCAGCCATTTACTTGGTTGATTTTATATCTCACTGGCAGTAATTTTGGTCTAATATAAGATATAAGTTACTACTATAATTTGAATATAACAATAGTATTTTTAATTTAAAATCGATTTTTGAAGTTTGCACTTTCATCAGTTGAATGCCAAACAAACTGAGTATTGACAATAATCTATACTAATCGTATCAGGAGTACACTGTCAGTAATGTAAATACTGTCAGTATATTACTGATCGTGCAAAGCCCACTTTAATAATTTGAATAATTTTTTTGGCAGAATGTTCGTAACTTTAAAATAAGCGCTTTTAAGGCATCACAAGAAATGTTTTTCTTTATTAAACGGCAATATTGTAATAGGTGGAATGGTAGGAAGTTGTTCGACCTTATCTTCTAAGATCGTAGTATAAATAGTATAGTATACAATTGATGTCATTATATCAAAACAATAAACATTCTATTATCACGGCCATATATATTCATGATAGTAACTCCAAATAAGATAACTAAATCTTATAGTTCAATGAGTAACTCAGATATAATTCTTTATTATCTATGAATTTTTCAGCTCGAGTCGAGCTTATCATTTATATTTTATTAATACGTATCACAAATTTTAACTCGATACTTTTTTCTCTTGTGTTATTACTTATAAATTCCTATAAATAATACTGTTTAATTTCAGATATTAATAGTGTAAAATAATTATTCTATACAAGTTATTATATTCTTTTCGACGCTGGAATGTTCTCGATTATTGCACCAGGTAAGAAAAAAAGAGTCAGCTATGTCATTTGTTAATTTTCATAAGAACAAATTAATTCCTTATAAGCTAAATTCAATTTCGTTTTGTGTCACCAGAAATTAAATTCTATTTTCGGTTTCATAGCATCTGCATTGCTGGTGTTAAATCACTTTTATGAATATCAACTACAACCATGCAATATAATCCAAAATTGCATTATTGTCAATTGTTATAAATATCAACCCTTGATATCAACTACAACGATAGGTACTTCTATGGAACCGTAGGCGTTTTGTCTGTCACGAAATGAGTTTTTGGACCTTTTGTCCCCGGCAATTAATAAGATAGGAAGTTTGGTCCCCAGCATATTTTGATCATAGTACATTTGGTTATCAGATTTTTTAAATTATTATTATATTTATTAATTTATTCAAAAAGTTCATTATTTCACTAACAATTAATACATTTATTTTTAATAAACAATTATTTAAATGACAAAACTACAAATACAAGTATCATACAATAAAATTATATACCGAATTATTTATTTTTAGGTCAACTGACTTAATGGTTTTTAAATAATATAAAAACATTTCATCATCATTATTATGTTTAAATACTGTATGTCAGTTCAATATGATTGTAATTTCTTTTCCTTTAAACTAATTGTTTTCGGCACCTTTATTATTTAATTTTTTTTTTGTACCAATGCAGTCTTTGCAGACTCATTGTATATCTGTAATAATTTGATAAATATGTATATGCGTTAAGATGTATAATTTTTACAATATTTTAAATTTATTATTGAATCATTTTTACACGTTATTGGTCCAACTATAGCCGTCTGTGACATTGTAAATACTCCACATGTATAGTGAAAATATTGGTGGATATTGTATAAAATATGTTGTACTGTACTCAGTTGTTATGAACTTGTATGTCTTGTTAATGTAAGTTAAATCTAAATATCCTCTAATTCCAACAAAGATTTAAAAGAATTGAATAGTAGTGACATTTCAAAAAAATGTTTGAATACCCAAAGATTACATAATCCAAATTTTAAAGTAGGTACATTAAAACAAATTATAAATTACCTTTTTTTCACAATATTTGTCAGAAGAAATGCTAAGGCTGGAATCTTTTATGAGCACCAAATTTCAAAACTGTTCCTAGTTATTTTATTGTAACTGTTCCATTGTACAAGTCTTTGAGAACACATTTAATTTCACTTTTTTTTGTTCATAATATGAAAAATGATTTTTATTTATTTATTTTTATTATTAAACACTTCATATTTTTACTATATACGTACTACTATACCAACAAAATATAACTCTGTATAGTATGTAGGATTGTAGAAATAGTAAGTACAAAAATATTTTATCAAATCGGTTTATCTTAATAACTTTTAATATACCTACTAAATATTATATAAGTACCTATTTGAAAACCCCTTCATTTAATGTATTAATATAAATTTAGAATTTCATCTCACAAACCTGTTTGGCTGTTTAGTATATGTCAAACTCTTTATAACTTAATCTTTAGCCTATATAGGTAGTTACAACAAAATGTTTGAATACCCAAAGATTATATTATAGTTGTATTAGACATTTAGTTCATTTTTAAAACAATTTTTTTTTTATTAAATTAAATTGTTAGTCAAAAACAAATGTATTAATTTATTGTTAATAAAATAAAGAACTTGAAAAAATCAATATATAATAATGACTTAAAAAACCTGTTTAAATATCCTATAATCAAAATATACCAGGGACTAAACGTCCTATGGCTAATAGCTAATAACTCCTTATGACCAAATGTCTCTATCTTAATAATTTCCGGGGACAAAATGTTAATAAACTAATTTTTTGATGGGGACGAAACATTTGTTTCCCACTTCTATGAAATTCAATGCTATCTGCTTTGATTGTATCATTAGTAAAGAGTGGATGTTCATGCATTTGTATATTTTTTTTCTTTAATAATAAAAGTTGCAGAATAGGATAGAAATTGTTTTTTTATCTATAGAAGACTAAAGCAAAATTGTTATATTGTATATATTTCCATATTTTGATCCATTTTTCTTTCAAAGCATATTTATATTTTATTAATGCGTAATAATACATATTTGGTATCTTTAGATTTTACTTGACATCTAATATTGAATTATTTTCTATTTCGGTTACTATTTTAGAAATTTTATTTTTATCGATTAGAAATACCTGATAGGCAATGGCTAATAGGTACCTATGAGTACTCTGAATTACCGTGACAGTTTATTGTTGTCCATAAACCGATTCGTGACTTCCAGGTACTTTCATTTAGTAGTTTTTGCGAGAAGTTACTTTTTCGTATTTTATAAATATTTATCAATTTTTTTTTAAAAAATTCATTAGTGGCGCAAATATGATCATTTATTTATGAATTTAGTTAACAAGTTTTTTCAACCAACGGAAAGATTTTGTTTTGTAAACCATTTGGGATAAAAATCAATATAATGATGTTTTTGCGCATATTTTTACATTTTTTTAGGCATATAATAACGTTTTATTAAGCATATATTAAAGTTTTTTGAAGCATAAACATCCACCCTTCAATCATTAGTAAGATTGAATTAGTACTATGATATTTGTAACTTGTATTGAATTTTAAAATTCAGAGTAATATATTTGGGTTATTTAGTCGAAATTATTGTATTAACTCTGCACCCTACAAGCTTACCAAATTATCTTGTCTTATTTGTCTTATTGTAATATTAGGCTCATTATAACATTTTTTTCCCCCTCTAATAGGTGTTAAATAATCACTAATCATTGTTATTATTAACACCTTAGTTATCTACATACAATTTCAGGCCTTCAGAAACTTGATATGTCAACTGCTGTATTTATTAGCTGTAACCATAGACTTATAATATATAATATATTATGAGTCTATAGCTGTAATTAATAACAAATTAACAAAATTAAAATTTTTATTTCCATTTTTCTTATGATTTTTCTTCATAATTAGTTCAATGTATATTCCAAATCGTTTCAATCACAATATATTCGACACATATTTTAGGTTTGTTGAATCATTATATCACAAAAATCCATTTATTCTCGCAGGAGATTATAATTTACCTTCAGCTAATTTCTCTAATGCAGTATCATATTTTAACAGTAAATTATCTTATCTCAATTTTTCCTAGTTTAATATAAAAAATAATAAAGATGTAATACTTAATCTCATTATTTTCAACTCTTACCTCAACCTTATAGAAAATATTTGTAGTCTTATTGTTCCTATCGATCCACTGCATCCCCTCATAAATGTACATTTTAAAGTTATTCAAAATGAAATATTACCATTGCAATTGTTACATCAGTTAATGATAAAATTATTAATTGGAATTCTGGTGATTATATCTCTATTATAAATAATTTAGGTTCTATAGCATGGAAAAAACATTTTTAAGATAATAATATCAATGATAATCTAAAATTAATTTTATTTATTTATTCAATACAAATGAACTGTTCTTAAGTTTACTAATTCATATGAGATTTATTGGCATTGCACTATTTGTTTGATCCCTAGTAGTACTTATTTCATACTACTTATAGACAATTTAAATACATCTACTAATACTTAATTTTCTAATTCCTATTCAAACAACTAAAAAGTAGATGTGCGTTGAACATTGGAATGACCAATATTTACAATATAATAACAGTTTATATTATATAAGTAGTGCATATTCTAGTGTCTAGTTATTCTACATCAATAAATTAAATTAAGTCAGTGTGGGCATAAATAAATATATAATTATTATATTAATATAATATTATAATTATAATATAATATACCTGTGACTTTGAACACTGAACAGTGTGAACAAATCACACTAATTATCATACCTCATGTTATCAATATTAGGTAGGTACCTAATCACAGTCTGGTTATTTTCAAATTGTGAACTGTAGTAACAGCTAGAATCTATACAGTTTTCGCGATTGAAAGGAATTATAAGTAGCGCTCTAGTCGACACTAATGATAACGGGAAAATAAGCACTATAATAGCATTGAAATAATAGTAATTTGGCCTAAATGATATATTACTAGTTTTTTTAAAATTTCCTTATGATAACTAATTTTTTTTACAATTTGTAGTAATAAAAGTTTGTAAATTTGTTTAAACATTTTATAATAGAAATTGTCGACATAATTCAATATATGTATGATTTTAGAAGACCTTTTGTCGAAGGTTCAGAAATAGTTAAATACAACCATATTATTGAAATAAGTTAAGGAGGAAAAAAGACGTCCTAGGATAATAGGGACGAGTGCAGTCACTGTTATAGGTAATCTAACGTATACCTATGAGCAATGTATATAATATGTCTTATACTAGTAAAATATTTAAATAGACTTTATATATTTTCTTTAATATTTGTTTGATGTTTTCCGGTTTTTCACATTTGCTGGGAAAATCGGAAAATGACCTGTTAAAAGTACTTCCCTAATCAAATTTCTTTTAGTAAAAATGTTATTATTGTAAATAGGGGGCAAAATTGCTGGTCGAAAAGTTGTGCACAAAAAAAATCTTAATATTTTAGTAATATATTTCGTATGTTTTCCCCAGTTTTTTTCTTTCGGTTTTTCATGTTTGATGAGAAAACTCTTGAGATAATCAATAAATGATAAAAAAAAAAAAATAAAAAATAAACATCTTTGTAAAATCTAAAATGATATATTTATTAAGATTTTAAGACTATGTTTGCAAACCAGTGATCACGGTAAACCTCAAGAATAGGTAGGTACATTTTAAACACTGTACCTATTATATATTATATATTATGTAAGTTTAATATTAGTTTATATTTAATTTATACAGCTAGTATAATAATTATGGTCATCCATAATATCAACAAATAAAGCTATATTTATGATTATTACTTAGAAGTTCAGAAGTCAGTAGTCAGTATGTAATGTCTCAATATATAACGTAATCAAACGTACATCTTCCTTCTTAGAGCAGTTCTAATTCCACCAGGTAGCGACTCTTGCTTTCAATCGCTAATACGGTCACAGTTCAAATTACAATTCAAAAATGACACAAACTACTTTATTAAATTATAAATACAATGTTACTAATTTATTTTTTGAACTGTGAACTGTTAAGTTATAGGTACTGAAACAGTTCAAAATAGTTCATCAAAATGAATAGTTCAAACAGACTTAACATCTTTAATCCCTAAATTAAATATATATAATATCAAATACCCTATTTGGATCAGTAAGGAATTAATTTACACAATAAAACAAAAGAAATATGCTCATGATTAATGCAAAATATCAAACAATTTAAAGTTATACATTGAATTCTCCTAAAAATAACTCAAAATACTTTTAGAAATTTTTGAATACCGGAAAGTTGACTTCTTATTTATCTAACTCAATGTCTTATCTAAAAAAAAGAAGTTTAAAATAGGAATAATATTGTTAACCTATTTAAATCATATTTTTCTAATACATAAAATCCAAATACAATGAATTTACCAAACATAGAATATACCACAAGCATCCTTGGCCCTATTTATTAAATTCAATTGAACTATTTTATTTCAAAATGAACTCAAAATTCTAGACATAAACAACTTTTCTATACATCAACTAAATATAAATATATATTCTTCTTTTTCTAATATTATAATGTCTATAGAAAATTCTGTAAATAAGTAGATTTATTTCACTCTTCACTTAATGATCTTTCTCCATGTATTCATTATCTTTTTCTTTACATACACGGTTTATGTACATGCACCTGATTTGTATTTTTTTTTTTTCTTAACTGTCTTATATATTTAAAATTTAATTCAAATATATTCTATAATAAATAATAAACAATAAATATTAATAATGTCTGAAAGTTTTTTGATAAAGACAAAAAAGATTTCAACCCTACCAATAATCATTGACAGGTATTATAGTTTGAAATAAATTATTTTCATTTGTTAGGTGCATGTTTTATTTTTATTTTAATATCAATGTACATTTATCATCAAATAGTTGTAGTTACTTAATATTCTTTATTGTGAAAGTGTTAAAAATCTAATTATAAAAAACAACATTACATCAATTATTGGCAATTGTATATCAATTTTATTTATTTACTATTTAAGTAGACTTGTTAATATTTTTCAGATTTAAATAGAAAGTAAATAAAACTACTGTTTGTTTTGATTTTAATAATTATGGATAATAACAAATGTCTTCAACTTAATGAAAATCCAATTCAGTTTGATCCTGCAAGTGTTAGCAAAACCACAAATGTGTTCTACGATGAGATAACTGAACAGGTAAATTTAATTTACTTATAAATTTTAATTTAAATATTCTCTTCTTCATACAATGGCCAATTTTGAGTTTAGATAATCACTGTTCACTCTGGAGAGATGACAGAAATTATTATCACATCTAGTAGTTGTTGTAAAGAAAATATGATATTTAAGTTAGAAGATCGAGGACCAGTCTCATCAATAAAAATGTCTTTGGACTGCAAAATTTTAACAATGATGAGAACATCATTATCTGTAGTAAGTTTAAATACTTGGTTTTGTTTATAAACTAAAATTATATTACTTTTATCTAGAATTAATTCAGTGCTAAAAATAATGTCTCAAAAACATTTTACACTTAAAAAATATTTTAAGTGTATTTAATATAAATATTTTATTTTATATTAATAATATTTTAATTAATTATATTTTTATACTGTATCAATGGGGCACAGATTTATATTGTCAAAAAAAGCACTTAAAAATATTTAAAAAAAAAAAAACAAAAGTGGTAGACGAGTTTTAAAGTCCCTACTCTGACTGTTTTCACCCCATTAAATACATTATCTAACACTGACAAATGATTAACTTAAGGTATTTATAACACATAATAATTTATTTGAAAATTATTTCTTTAAAATATACATTTTTTTAGTATTAATAATTATTTTCCATAAATTAAAAACAATAGAGGGAAAAACTTTTAAACTCCTATATCTTTATTAATTGATTTTTAGAGCTTTTTTAATGTTTATATGTGCTTTTTTGTGAATTTTAAATGCATATAAATTCATGCCTTTTATATCAATATTTTATTTATTGATTCGCCAAATGTATTTAGTTTAAAAATTTTAAGTTTTTAAAATACAGTAATGAACTAATACATACAGTTAAATGTTTTAGTAGACAAATAATAATATCCATAATAATGCATATTTATTGTGGTATATAATATATATTATTGAAATGATTATACATTTTTATTGTGTATAATTCTTTATAATTTAATTTAAATTTTCAGGAACTAATGGATATTAAAGATAATTCTTTGCAGAGCCCTTATTTTTTGTACTGCAAGTTCAAAAATGCTAAATTATTGGGATTTATTTGGACTGGTAATAATGAAATATTATTAATTAGTGATAAAGGTGTAGAACTATATCAGGTAAAATAATATAAGTTTCTTTAATACTTGGATGTATACAAATTTACATATTATATACTATATATTTTGTTATTATATAATTTCATTTATGTTTAGGTCGAGGGTCAAAGGCCTAAGCAACGTATAATTTTTTCAAAATCTATAAACATACATGTAAACTGGTTTATTTACTCAAATCATACCAAAATTTTACTATTGTCAATCAATTCCTTTGGAGATTTTCAACCACTCCACATCACACCAGGAAATATAACTAAATTAACTAAATTAGAAGGTAATAAGATTGTAGTTATTGAATAATTTTAGTATTCAGTAACAATAAATTAACTATTTTATTTGTATGTAGTTGATTTAAATATTTCTTCTAATATACCACATCAATCAATTAGTGAACGAAATATTATATTAACACCTGTGTACAACATACTAAGAATATTAGTTTTACCAACAAGTCATAGCCAAAATGAAATAATAGTCTTTACATTAAACAAGTATTGTGTATTATTAGATTATTAATATACATTTATAAAATCAAAATAATATCATCATACTTATGTAAATATTACAGAATGATGGCATTTAAAAAATCTCATATTCTAAAACTAACACATATTGGGAAATTGTTGATTAATATTGTTGATAATTTAATTGTTGTTCATTACCAACATACCAAAGTATATATTTTTAAAACAAATTTATACATTTTGTTATTTCATTCTTTTATATTTATATATTTATGTATTTTTTTTTTTAGTCTTCTTCTGTATTTGACATATACATGGAAGCTGCAAAAGAAGATAATATATCACAATATTTGCCTATTTTAGATGATTTATCAATTCAAAGAACTGTTACTAAAGAAGGAGGATCAAATTATATGTGTGATCTATGTATCCTTTTTATATTTAAAGTTAAAATTTAAACAACTGAGTATATTAAACATTTGAAAATTTTAGTATATTTTCTATTTTATAAATAGAAAACTCAGTATGTTAAAATGAAATAAAAAATAATTCAATTCTATCCTAAAAAAAAAAGCAAAACATGCAAAATTAATAAAATAATTTAAAATAAAAGGTAACTAATTTTAATAAATGACATGGGGTAGTATGTTCAAAAATTAGTTGATTATACACGAACATAATTTTTTTTTGTACACCTCTACTATTTTATCATTCTAGAACGAGGGAGGATGTATAATATTGACACAACATTTTTTTTGAGGATATTTTAAATTTATTGTTGTTTCATAAAAGCATTACTTTTTCGATTATCAGACCCATAACCCTAAATCCAAACTAAATGAATTATTATTGTTATCAAAATATTATTTTTTTTGGCTTAGTAAAACTCCTCTACTTTTATTTTCCCAATTTGTGTACTAATGAAGATCTATATCTTAGATTATATATTAAAAATGAAAACAACCAATTTTACCATAATATTTATTTATTTTCCTATCAAAATATCATTAAATGTTCTGTTAATAAATTTACATATTAGGTAAAAAAAAATTAAAACTTAAATAATTTAATCACACAACTATTGTATGATATTCCTCAGAGAAATTCAATAATAATGAATTTTAATTCTTTGTTCCTGTTTTGCCTTGAAAGATTTGATCTATTGGATTCTGAATTGTTTGGAACTGCCTCATTAATTTGTAACCTCCTGGTTGTTTGAATACTAATCTGTAGACATTTTTGAATAATTTGGTTAGCTCATTAATTAAATATTTACATGTATATATAGTATACATACATAATTAAATACATTCATAGTCTGTTAATAATTAATTATTAATTATGTTATGGTTATTACCATGGTTTAGAAATATTTATTTTGGCAAACTTGCATCAACTATTAAAGCAGCTAGTGACCAAGATTTGAAATAGAAGATGTTATTGAGGTTCATTATGTAGTCTCATGTAGCTGGTTTACTATAAATGTAAATATTCTTAAAGTGTTTTCTTTTGTTGTCGCTAAATAATAATTTTAAAATTTTCTAATCTTCAATTACCTTTGAAATATTAATTTTAAAAAATATGTAGGCTAAATAAGAGTCATTATGAGTATAAAATATAATAATATATTTTAAGTTTCAAATATCCATGAATAGTATTTTTAAACTAAAATTCTTATTCTTTGGTTTAATATCCAATTTCGGAAATGCTTAAAATGTCTATAAAATAAAAATTTGTACAATTTTTAGATTCTTTGGTAACAGTATAGAATGATAATGAGGAAACTTATATTTCATTTTCAAGCTTTCTGACTTGATAAAAAACAGTCTAAAAAAATAAGTGATATATTTTGAACAATGGATGGGCCACTGTTATAGGTGAGAAGTTAGGAAGTAGGATGTAGAGGGTAATTTAATATATATCTGTGCACAAAGATTAATAATCTGAGCTGAGTTCGGTTATTAGTGTTGTTTTGTAAATTTGATTTGTACTTTATTTTGATCTGTCAAAAAATATGGTAATAAAATTCTTATAAAAAAAACTAATGCTTAAACCTCTAAATTAAATTTTATTGTTTTAATAAGGATTGAAATGAAATGTTTACAGAATGACATACTGTTTGGATATGAATATTATGAACTTCTTTCAGTTATTCAACTAATAGAATATTAAGTTAATATTGAAATTAAATAAACTCCAATTGAAATTAATTTAATTTATTATTGTTATTATTAATTTTCTTATTCTATTGTCAGGAAAGATATAATGAGCTTATGATAACTGAATTAGCCATGATACTTTTATTTACATTGTATGTATGTGTGTGTGTTAGCGGTGGAAAAAATCCGAATTTTGAATAGTTCAAGAATCTGAATTCTTGAATTTTAATCTTGACAGATTTAATTTGCTCAAGATACATTATTATCTGAATTCACATAAGTAATGTATATATTTTTGTAATCAAGGAGTAACCTTCATAACATGTTAAAAGTAAAAATTTTAAATGACCAGAATATATCAATGATTGCATTCATAGATATAAAAGAGGGGTTCGACTTGCACCTATATTAAAAATTTCTCAAAATGATTTTCTGATTACATTCACTCGCAGTGTCACTAATGTATGTGAAACAACATGTGTATTAACAACTGATCATGGAATTTTCTTTACATCCAGCCTAGAAATTTTACTCCCAGCGTATATTAATAAGTTAACTTCAAAAACATATATATCATTACACTCAACTTTTTTTAGTTGACCACTAAGTATAACTTATAATGAATCTCATATCAAATTGTCAAGCATTTCTAATTAGGTCTAACAATGTTATCGGCAGAATACCCAACAAATATATAATTGACATGGAAAACTATTATAACTAAATAGCTCAAAAATTGTTCAAATGTTTTAAAAATGTTACCACTTCCATAAAAGTCAAGTATGACGAAAATCCCTTGGAAAATCAAAAAGTAAAATCACTAAAGTATGACCCTGATAAAATTTCCTTTAAGTAAAGGTACTATTACTTGAAAATTAGAAGGAAATTTTTGTTTGAAAAAAAAAAAAGATAAGAAACTTTGTAAAACTAATACATTCCAGCTTTACATATAAATCTATGATTATTGTAACATTTTTTTTTTTTTAAATACATACAGTGAGTGTAAAAAGTACACCTTACATTTTAAAATAATTATACATTTTTCTCCGTGATATCTTAATTTTCTCGATAAATTAACACATGTGCATATTATTCTTTTATGATTTTTAATTATATTAAAAAAAAAAAACCGTGGTAACAGTTTTATTAATAAAAATATTCAATAGTAAACAAAACAATAAATATTTGTACACCTAAGTATTTTATCAAAAAAAATGCCTCTAATTCATTGTTTAGCCCCATTTAATACTTTGTAGGGTACCCTTTGGACTGTATAATAGCCTCCTAAAAGTTAGACATTGAATTAACCAGGTTGTTTCTATTGTGATTTTATTCGATTTCTCTTTTAGAGCTTTTTTTAGAGTTCTCTTGCTTGAAATATTGTGATTTCAAATTTTTCTGTCCAAATAATCCCATAAATTCCTTATAGGTTTAATGTCTGGAAACTGGTAGTGTAACGAGATATTCAGTTAGGTATATTTTTAGACAACTAAGCCTCAATTTTTTTTGCAGTTTTCCTGGGATCATTATCTTGTGTTAATATAAAATCATCTTTGATTCACATTTTTTCAGCACTGTCTTCAAGATTTTTCTTCAAAATATTTAAATAAATATCTTGGTTCATAATTCCTTTAATAAAATGCAAGTTTCCAACACCCTGAGCACTCATACATCCCCAAACCATTGCAGAATCTCCATACTTTACTGTAGACTGTAAATTCATTGGTTCTATTTCTGTATTTACTTTTCTCCATACAAAACATCTTCCATTGGCGCCAAAAATATTAAATTTACTTTCATCTATAAGTATAACTTTGTTTCAAAAGTTAATGGAGTAATGTAAGTTATTATTTGCAAAATCAAATCTCTTTTGTTTATGGTAATTATTATTTTTTAAACAATTTCTAATTTACTATACTTGCACAGACACTACTCCAGAAAAATTTGCAAGATCTTGTGTTATTTTAGGAGCGCTAATTTTTGAATTAAGCTTGACTTTTTGTGTAATTACATTTATCTTGGTCAGAAAGTTTTTTCAGACGACCAGATTGTCGCTTATTTTCGTGACTTTTCCACTCAATGTATTGATTTATCTAATCTTTCACAGTACTATGAGTTCTGTTGACAATTTTTGATACTTGGCATACTGATTGACATTGATTATGCAATTGAAAAATTAGTTCACATTCAGTTTTGTCTCACTTTTTTTTTTTGACTCATCTTGTGATAGATTTTATTTCCACAATATTTCAAAGCTAACTGAATTGGGATAATCTTTTAATGTGACAATTTGTTTATCTTATCAGTTTCTAATAACATTATATTGTGAGTAAACAGGCCATTCCATAACTAAAATAAAAGTATACGAATATTTATTGTTACTATTTCATATTTCATATTTTTTTTTTTTTTTTGTATATTTACTGGAAGAAAAATAAGTGCATGTAAATGCCAACAAAATAAATTAAATTCATGCTCTTCCATATACTTTTCAGATAGTTCTTTTTTTTGATTATGGTACCAGATATTTTAGTCAAAGTAAAAAACAAGCAGAATGGATTATTATTTTTGTTTAGCTTCATTTTTCAATAATTTTGAACATGCATCCTTTCTAACCTATAATCTTTCATATGCTTGATGTTCAAACATAAAGCATCCAAACACATACCATCTTAATAAATACTATTAATTTTTTTTAAAAAATTTAAACAAAATTTTAACATTTATATAATATAAATCAAATCTAAATACATGATATAGAATAATATTAATTAAAAATTATGCTAATGTTTCTTTAATGATCACAATTATAGATTCCAGCATTTGTATTTCATTTCAACCAAACATAATAATAGATGCTAAATTAGGTTATTTATGGTAGGTACTTGTGGTATAATGTAATTGATTATAATTTTTCAATTCTGATTTAATAATTTGAATTTTCAGGCATTTGAAACTAAACTTAACTGCTGTATCCAAGATAATTAGAAATAAATGTTCACTTATTGATTTTCTTCTTTTACGACCGAAATCAAAAGATGCCACTATGCAGGTATTATTATGATTAATATTAACATATTTATAATTGTAGTCATTTACGTAGCACATATAATAATATATATATATTAATAATCATTAATGTGATTGTTATCTAGGCTTTGCAAAATATGATAGTGCACAAAAGCAGTGATTTAATTGAAATTGGAAATGTTTTTGACCATTTGAATATTGTTTACAAGAAACATCTTAATTATCATATCATGAACTCTACTCCTTTATCAAATGATTATATGATTGTTGCTGATTCATTACGATGTAAAGTGGTGATAGAACAGTTGGATGTTTACAAGCATGTCTTTGTTAAACTAGTTGATCAATTAGAAAATACCAAAGGTATATATTCAATTAAATATTTGTCTACAAGTGAGATATGATGTATTTATGTATTTATAAAAATAAAAGCAAGGATAAGATAAGATGACTTTACTTGCATTAGGAGTTATTTCTCATTAAAGAAATAATTAAAATAAAATGGGTTTTTGTTTTAGTATTTTTATTTTTTAGATCCACTTTAAATTAGGTTTGCCAAAAAAAATTGAGATATATGCGCTACTCTTGTAGGTAAAAAAAAACTAATGCATTCTACTCAAATTTGTTTTTTAGACCATTAAATACAACTTATAATACTTGTACCTTTTGTTAAATTTACAAGTATTTCTCTTAAGTCATGTAATTGTAATAACAGTTACCTACCAAATAAAAATACGAAAATATCAAATACCTTTAAAAAGCTTAAAAATAGAATGTTTTTGAAAATTGTATCATGTCAAAAAAAAGACCAATATAAGTATAAGTCAATACAATTATCTTGTCATTTTTAAATTAGAGCAAGATTTCTGATATAAAAGTTGTTTACAGACAAAATAAATACCCGTCATTAAATATATTTATTTTAACATACATCTTGAAAATATTGATTGGATGTACAAAATACTTGTTAATTCATCATGCTATTACTTTTCTAAATTTAAATACCTTGGTACAAAATTAGATAATAAATTTAAATGGATCATAAAATAGATGCATTAACTAATACTACTTACTCTCTACTTAATGTAGATATATGTAACATTATAATATCCTTCAGCAAGTGCAAATCTTTGTAATATAGTTACTCTCTGAATAATACCATACTCCATCCAGTGATTTGCATCAAAGACGTAGGAATCCTCTACAACCCCACCCTAAATTTTGAGTAGCACATTGATGCTACAGTTTGTAAAGCTTTCAAAATATTGGAGTTCATTAAGTGTAACATAACAAATTTTAACTCTGCTAATTGCCTCTGCGCTCTATTTAGCCTTGGTTTTTCAATCTTAGAATATGGTGAGATAGTGTGGCACCCTTATCTTATGAAGGACTAGCCAAGTTTAGAACATGTCCAGAACAAATTTTTGTTTTATGCTTCATTTGTTCTTAAGATTCAGCATTCTCCACACAACTATTCTCTTATACTTGATACACTCAAATTTTCTACTCTACTTATCAGGCACCTCAAAGCAGATTTAAACTTTATTTCTTCCCTTCTTAATGAACTCATAGATTTTCCAGACTTCCTTTCCTTGATTTTCTAATGCAGGGAACACTAGAAATCACCAGCTATTTGCCACACCAACCCACTTAACTTCATATTGCCATAACCACTTATTCATAAAATTCTATGACTAGCCAATCAATTAATAATCTTTTGTTTTTTAGTATGTAAATTTTGTTACCACTATGTATTTGTATTTTATTCTCATCTTATCATTCACCAATTGTTTAAATTATCTAGGCGTTAAAAATTGTAATAAATAAATAAATAATTCAATACTAAATTATTTTATATCTTTAATGATATTAAAAATATATTTAATTTATAAATAAAAAGACTAATATACATAATATTGGTTGTTTAATCAATATTGAATTAAGGGATAATTATATTAGGGTCAGACATATGACTTATATACTAAGTACCAACTTATTGAAATCAACTGTCAATAGCTTAATTAAATTTTTGTTAAATAAACCAAAATATACTAATAATGAATGTATTCACTATAAATTAAAAATATATAATATCAAAGCCTTATATTTTAAAAATATCTTAATTGTATTATATATATATGCAGGTATACTATACCAACCATAAATTATAAATATTGTACTTGGTACAAAAAGGTTTATTTCTTCGGCAATACATTTTTGTTGGGTTCTTAAAATTAATATATTTGACTTTCATAATTTAAAACTATAAATCTAAATATTTTTGAAATTGTATAAACAAAATTTGACTTTTGTGTCTTTGTGAACTCATAAAAAACCTACATGACAAGTTTATAAACTAACTTCATAACTTTATCGGTTTTTTTTTAAAGGCCATTGAGGCCCATTACCACAACACAAACTTGCTTCCATCTGTCTCTATCCTGTGCTATTGTTTCTCTATCTCGTATTTCAATCTCTGCTAAATTCTTCTCCACCTTGTCAATCCACCTTTGTTTTGGCTTGCCAAGTGGTCTTTTTCCCTGGGGTTTCCATTTTAAAACCTCTTTCATAAGACCATTTGACCTCCATACATGACCGGCCCATGCCATTCTCCTATTTTTTAATACTGCTACTATGTCTGGCTCTTTATATAATTTTTGTATTTCTATATTATTTCTTTTCTCATATTGTCGTGTCATGTTATTTATTTTTAACCCAAATATTCTTCTTTCGATTTTGTCTTCATCTCCTTTAGTCATTGGCCATGTTTCAAATGCATATAAAAGGACTGGTCTGATAATGTGTACTTAGTGGTTTATAAAAATATGGTATTTCAGAATATGTCTTACTGAACTTCACTCTGAATCATTTTTTTTTAGTAATGGTTATCTTTGCATACAAATATAAATTAAATAACTTTATGCATCTTACCTTCTCAAAATTTCACCTACAATAGTTGCTGCATCCTAGTATCAACTCTTTTTAAAATAATTTTACAAAACTTTACTTAACACAAAGATATACCTTGAAAACAAGTATTTTCGATGCTTTATTATTTATTAAACATGTTTAAAAAATAAAACCTAACTGCGTGAAAACTAAATTTTGAACAAAAAGGATGGAAATAAGAATACTAAGATAAAAAAAGTTATGAAGAACAACTGTTGAATAGGTGAACATAATAGATAGAAATAATTAAAAATGGGATAGAAAAAGTTGTTGTGTACTGATAACTTCAACTAATCTGACTAAGTTATCTTTCAAGATTTGGAAGATCAAGTTATCCTATTAGTTACTGATTTTTTTTTTTTACCAAATTTCAATTTTCTATCTACTTCGTTCACTATTTTCTCAAGTCTTAATTTGAACTAACAGTATGTAATTAAAAAAAGAAGAACTACCAAGTAACTGAATTATGTTATAAAATATAATAATTGAATATTAAATTTTCTTAATTATTCTTATCACTAATAAGATATTTCAACAAATAGTAATAAAGCAGAACTCTACAACTTCTATAATGCATAACTTCTAACACTTATTATTTTAATATCTTCCAATTCATTTTATTCTCTGAATAATTATTAATTAAATAAAAAGCAAGAATTTGTTATTTTATTGGGAAGTTTATTCATAAAAAAATGATTCCATTGCATTGTTATTAGATGAATAAACTTATATTTTAAAAACCCAGCCTCAGCATTAGTTACTTTATTAAGAATATTCTTGATACTGCCAATAAATATATTTCCCTCTCCTGGCTTTACCTTTTTGGTATTTATTATATTTATTACAGTTTCTTATTGTATTGGATAAACTGATTGTTAATACATTTTTTGATAAATATTAAGCTTTTAACTTTTTTTTTGTTATTTGTCAAGGTTGATGCTGAAAAAGAAATTATTACAAGTATGGCCAGCCTTAAAATTACACTAGAAACCGAAGTTGAGGATCTTGACATACGGAATTCTCTCTTAGAACTAGTAGACGTATGTAGTTAATCCAAAAAAATAAAACTCGATTGATAGCCTATGAAAAACATATTCTAGCGTTCCTTTAAATAGTTGAGTTGTAATATTTCTGAATTGATTTTTTTTTTTTTTTAGGGTAATGTTCAAAGAAGTAATGTTGCAAAAAGCTATTTAGAAGAAATAACTAAACAACTGGCAATAGTTTTCAATTATAAATTAATAATTGATGATATTGTTGATAAATTTAGCCCAAAAGAAATTAAAAAAAAGTATGAAATATAACTTTGCAAACCTTAGCCGGTATATTTGAAATTTATTTAATTATACATTTTTTAAATATTTTTTTGTTTATTCGAAAAAATTGTGTACACCTTATTACGTTTTTGTCTAATTTATTTAAATAAAGTTTTATATTTTTATTAAACTTTGCATATACAATGTAAGATATTGTAATTATTAGATTATATAAAACAATTATAATATATACAAATTTATTATTTTTTAATTTGTGTTTTAAATTTTATTGTTTTTTTTTAATAACTGCATTGGCTTTTAAATTTTTTGAAAGTTAGATGACAAATTGTCACTAGCTATAAAATACTACTTTACTTTATAAAGTAAATCCGCACTTATTGATGCATGTCAAACTTTTACATTCAAGCTGAAAAATTGATCAATAATTATTTGACAAGTTTTGATTTGTCCAATTTAACTTAATCTCTTTGATAAGTAACCATAACTATTTGTTCTAGATGTGTATTGTCAATCTTATGAATTTCACTGCACACATATCCAAGAAATATTTAAGAATTACACCACATACTGTATTTGTTGCAAGTATATTTATGGCGTACTCAAAAAAAAAAATGGTTTTCCAGCTTTGGTAAAAACTATTTTTAAATTGAATCAATGATTAAAATGAAATGTGATATTTAATATATTATGTAATACAATTTTTGATGTTGGTACAAAAATAATTTATAAACTTTAGAACATTTTTTAGTTTTTAAAAAAAGCAAAAATATTTTCAAATTTATTGTTAAATTATTAAATATTCAAATTTTATCTTGACATTTTTCATATTAGATGAATAACATTAATAAAATAAAATTATACTTTTAATTAGTGATGAGTGGAACTTAAATTTTTTCGAACACGGACTTAATTATATGTATGAATTATTGATTAACTTAGATAAATTTTAATTTGCATATTTCTATTTATTACCACAATCATAATTTGTCTTAGGTTAGGTTCACATGGACGCAATCAAAACTGGAATGTTCTAGTCAAAATAAAAACTTAGTACAGTTCAAACTGACATCAAGAATGGATGTAATAGATGCTGTGTATTTGTGGGTCGAATGATGAGAAGGCGCAGACAAAAGAGGGAAAGGAAATATTGGGTTCACCCTATTTTAAAAACAAGGCTTTCTTTAAGTTTCTAAGTCTTTATTTAGTTCTTTTACATTATATCCAAAACTTTGAAAGCACAATGAAAAATTTTTCAACTACTTTAGAATGTCCATTAAATCATTCTTTGACCTATTGGAGATAATTAGACTACTTAGAAGCTAGATGTTCCATATGGCAGGCCTGCATAACATGTTTTCAAAAACTATAGATGAAAATCCAACTGTTGAATGGCCCTATAATAATATATAATATTTCAATCCACGCCGAAATAGAAACTTGTACACATATAAACAATGTATAGGAACACTATTTATCTAAATAGGCATGTCCATGTGAATCTAGCCTTAATGTTATTTAAACTTACCACATTAAAATTCCATGGTGAATATTTGGTAAAATGTGCTATGACACATTTCTCTTAATTGTTATAAGTTCAAAGGATGTCACACCTGCATTTGTTGTCCTTGTATGACAAACACATATTGATAAAATTGGTTTTTGAATTTCTGATTGTGTTAAAACTGTCACCCTTATGTGTGTGATGAAATAATGGTTTTCAATTGACTGTATTGTTCTATAAAAACACTTTTAAAGAATAGTTTTTAATATACAAAGTATCCTATAGTGTTATCCTTATGCTAATAACTACCAATATATATATATTTTTTTAATTTTCTTAATGTAAGTTACATTCAAATGTTTAAAATAATATTTTTTACAAAATGGCTATTAAGGAAATTTTGAATAGGTAGTGATAAAATAGTTATTTTTTTTTTTTTTCAATAATTATGGGATGAAAATAAAAATTAAATTTTTTCTATATATGTGCACTCCTATAAAATTATACAAAACCTGATTAAAAAAAAAATGAATATTGACAGAATTATTAGAATAAAGATAACACTAGGGTACCTGTAAATTTTAAATCTTTAATTATTAGCTAATACATTTTTAAAAAAACCTTAATAATATTTTGAAAAATTATTCACTTCGAGGAATGAAATACGTTAATAGTGCTAATTGTTATCCACACTGTTTTGGAAATATGAAAACCAATGTTATAATTTAGGTGTATAAGGGCAACAAATCTGGATGTGGTATAATTTTATATAATTATAAGCAGATACCTAACAATATATATATTTATATCTACCTTGCAATTATTTTGTTTTCTTGATTTTGAATGCATCTTTATACAGGATTGTAAATGTGAAAAATCAGCTAAAAGACACAGCATCTCGATTGAGTATCTATTCAAAATCATATCAAATTCTCAACAGACTAACCAAATTAATTAATTAGGTACCTATTCTGAATTATGTTTAAGTGTTATCTTATTAATTTAAGTATTACTTATTTGATTTTGATTTTTGTATTCACTTAGGTGCTATTTGATGTTTACGGATTGTGGAATTCTGGTCAATCCTATAAAGATGTTAGTATTACCATTATTATACCATTAAAAGGTATTTGTCAACGATTATAAAGGCACTAATTTATATAAAAAACAAATGCATAACTATTAAACTTTTTTCATATATCTAGGTACCAATAAGATTTATATGATGTATATGACTAATATTTTATATTATATGTATATCAAATAATCATTCATATCTGTCTATGGTTTATAATCCCTTGAATTTTACATAAAATAGGATATAACAACTAGCTTAATTTGTGTACATATAATATTTATAAAATATAATGTATGCAGCGCCAGATCATTGGGGTTGAGGTGGCCATCCAAGGCACCTGCTTTAGGGGCTAATCATAAAAGAATGCAAGTTATTAAGAAAAATAAAGAAAGTGTATAAGAGGTAAATTTTTTGTTGGTAACTTATAGTGAAAATACCTATTATGTTTTTCTTTGTGTACCATAATTTGTAAATCTGACATGACTTGCCCCAAGTGTGTACCAAAAAAAGATATTTCATTCTAGACACCTATACTACAAAACATTTTTATGAAACACAAACATACCATTGGAAATATTATTAATAATTTTTAATTTGAATAACTTTTAGATTCTGAAGGTTTGGTTCTGGGTTTTACTGCAATGTGTGTTTGAAGACTATTTTTCTACCAGTAATTTATTATCATTCAATTTAGGGGCGATTTCTGGTATCAAATTTTTGAAATTTCTAGAAATAGGAACATAATATGATATAACTATTTTTGTTGTTTTTGATTTTGTCTTTTTGTTGTAATTCATAGCTTGGTTTTAATTTTTGTTCATAACTGTATTCTGACACTTGTTTCTATTTCGGATTTCTTCCAGCAGTCAAATTTTTTCTCCCTCCAATTTGAGTCCTAGATCTAGCAGTGGGCTGTGTTTCAATTTATTTGTTACCCATCAATTTTTGTTCATTGAAGTTTGGATTTAAGTCAGTATACAACCCAAATGTTTACATTACAGAAGAAAGACTTACATGGGTTTTTACATTGTTTTAGAATGAATTCACAAATGTTGTAGTGGATGGTAAAAAGTATTCTTTGTTCAAATCAAATGCTTTTTTCATTTTTTCTATAGTATTATTAAAACTGTTTAATTTCTTGATTATAACTTTGAATAATTTGTACATCTCCACTATCATTATATAGAATTTTATTATTTTGTGTTTATTACTGACTAATATCTTTGCTAGTATGCACATTTTAATTTTGAGTATTGTCAGTAACACATTTTATTTCATCATCCACTGAGTAATATCATCCAAATTTGATATCTGTACTTCCATAACCTATAATGTGTATTTTTTTCTTATTTCTTCTGTTGTAGGTAAATAAAGATTTAAATTAAGTTTTAAATCTAAAGTAATACAAATTTGATGCATGATGTGGAAATATGGTGTTACCGTGAAGGCATGAACAAATTACAATATCTAAATCTACATTGCATTCTATATTTGTTTGTTTATTTTTTACTTCAAAAAGTAAGTTAGTTGTATTTATTAGTTTGTTTTCTAAATTATCTTTTTGAGATTTAGAATAATAACATTTTTTTTTTTTTTAGATATTGTGGTGGACTATTGGCTGCTGTATACAAGAATTTCAATTCATAAAATGCTTCTAAATCATTGACTATAAAAATAGAATAATTGAATTAAAGAATATGCTTTAGTTCTTTCTAATATTACACCCTTGATCATTTTCATTCCAGCCTTACTAATGTTATTTGTATTTTGACCTCTAGTTAATAATCCTTTTTGAAAACATAATGCCCACTGTTCTTTTCTATGATATAAATTATTTAAATATGATATACAAATTTAGGATATTCTTTACCAACTGATTTTGAAGTGCATTATCAAATTTATTTGCTGACTTTTCTCTATTTGTTGAATAGACCATACCCTTAACTAATGAGTATAACAATTAACAATAGAAAAGTGATACATTATGGTTTGAATACATTGATACCTCCAAGTAACCTGCACAAAAAATAAAAATACACAATGGAAGGGTAGATTCTGAAAATACTCTATTCTATGCACTTTCAATAGCCTAGACATCTGACATAATGGTCCTTTTATACCTCTACCTGCTAGTACATCAGATAAAAATAATTTTTTTCATAATTCCAAACCTTCCGTAATCGCATTCATTACTCAAAATTATTGTTCCTATAGATAAACCTCCTGCACAACTATTAGTATATATCAAGGGTTTACAACTAAATTTATCAATATTTCCTAAAGCATCTATGAAGATTATCTCTCTGCATTCATCTAATTGATGGCGTATTGGTTTCATTAACAGTGTTTCTATATCCTCAAGTACTTTCATTGCAGCTGTGTTAGATGATTTGCATTTTACATTATACTCCTCAACTGCTTTTTTAAGATGTGTCATCATATGCTCACCATGTGAATAACCTAAGTATTTTTTAAATGTTTTATTATATAGATAATACACCCATTGTGTAAAAGGGTTATCAATTTGTTACCAAACTATGTTTCATTATAATTAATTGTATATGTTTAGTCTTGCATATTTTCTATTAAACTGATTGTATTTTCTTTTTCTTTTTTTTGCTGTTATTATTCAGTCATAGTCATGTTCATTATTGTTTTCATTATACATTTTTTTATATAATATAATACATACAACAATAACCAGATTCTCTGGAATCATAATATGACCTGAATCATTCAACATAAGATGTGAGGCGGGGCCTCTCATGGGGGAGGATATTCAAGCGTTATTTAAATTTCGTGCCATCCAAGGATTCAAGAGAAGCCGCCATCCAGCGATTTCTGAAGCAGTGAACCGATACTCTATGTGTCTATTACGCCTAAACACCCTGAACCCTAGGATCTGTCTATAAATCTTAATATTAGATATTAAATTTTGATTAAATTAGATTTAGAATTTGTGTACAAATAAACTGGTCAAAAATTGAATATTTTAAGAAATACAATTTACTTAAAGTACTTCATTGTTTGTATTACATTAACGTTTATTGTAGATTGTATAATTCAATGTTTTGACACTTTTCACTATTTATTTATAACTTTAATGTTTCTTAGCCAATAATCAGTATATTATAATAAATATTAAATATATAGGAAATAATTGAGTATAAAATGTTTCACTGCTCATGTGGTTTTGCAGAACAAATCTAGGTTTCTTTTCAATTTAAAATTCAAAATCATTTAAGGTTTTGTCATTACTTCTTAAAAAATATTGAAAATCGGCATCGAAAAACATGTCTTTTCGAGAACAAAAAAAATTGAGGGGAGTGGTAATGTGCACTTATACCAAATTGTTTCTCATGTTAACTAAATATCGAAAATCCTTGAATAAATTTAAAAATCCACCGATTCTCGACATTTTCTGTGACCTTTAAAAAATCCCTGGAAAGGAAAAATTCCTGAACCTGGCAACCCTGCTGGATCTGATGATTTGTCATCGGCAATTACTGTATTTAAGTGTAGCTCGGGCGACGTCTTCGGAGGCGGTGACTTCTAGAATGTTCTATTAATGTATGTTGAGTTGCCTACCCGTGAATTTTAAGGTTTTAAACATGTGACTTGTTTGTCATAAGTTTGTAAAAATAATGTTTACAAAGGTAAAACATATTTAACTAATTATAATTATGTGTTTTCCAAATACACTCATTTCCCCTGTTAATTTTATTTATTTAATACCACATAAAAATGTTAAGATCGATGTAGAGGATCTAGAGAAAACAAAAAACTACATAAACGGTAAACTAAGAAATGAGAGCCGTGAGTCTTAGATTTCAAAATTTCAGAATCAAATTTAAATTTATATAACAGCCAAATCAAAATTTAATATAAAACAATATTCTTTTCTACTCCTAGAATAACAAGAACCAAAGGCTGAACTTAAATGAAAGTTAAACCTTTTTAAAAGTCCAACTACCGAATAGACTTTATTTTCTTTCAAAACTTTCAAATTAAATTTTTTATATTGTAGAATTGTCTCAATTTATTAACTTTTTCGTGATTTCCTTGTCCTTGACTCTGACTTTTGAGCTGGGTTGTGAAGGTACAACCAAAAAATGAATATGATGTAATGTTATGCTCACACAACATATATACAAATATTTATATTCATAAACGTGTGACTAAAAGATTTGGATACGGCCGAGTATTTGGTATTAAGTTATTCGAGAAAGAAATACATAATTTTACGATCGTAGTCAAAACATGACAATATGGTTAGAAAAATAAAATTCACATGTCTGCAAACGTTGGCACGTCTGCGAAATTACTACCACCGTAGTATAAACAAAATTATTACTAAATAAAAAAGGAGTTTCATGATCAACGGATCACCACCATTCATCGGCTCCGACACATAAATCTCTTAAATAAAAAAATAACGGTTTTTTCTTGATGTTTCGAATGTGTCTTTACAAATATGTTTATTATTATTATTATATTTTTATGTGAATAATTTTTTTAACAAAAAGCTTTCTCCGATGTATATGATATAGCACTTTTTCTAGAAGGACATTTTTTGTGGTGGTTCTTTAAAGAAATCATTTTTTTGATTTTGGCAGTTTTTCCGAAAAAAGGGAAAAGTAAAAAACGAATGAAAAATAGGAAAATGTACGAAATATATTAGTTAACCGGGAAAAACGTAGAAAAAATGGGAAAATCAGCACAATTATTATTGACAAAGTATCACTATAAACTGAACTCCGCTCAGAATCGTCTTTAATTAGCAATGATTTATTGTTGCATACAGATATACATTAAATTCTCGTCTGTATCCTAATTTCCAGCTTCCCACCTACAACAGTGGCAAACTCGCACCTCTCTCCCCCCATAATCCACCTTCGATTCGTCCTTGTCCCCAGGACCGTCCTTACAATTTGCGGGGCCCGGGGCATAACTCTTTTAGCAGAGCCTCAAAAAAATGTGATGCTTTCCATACAAAAGGCAATTGTATTCCCGTAGGCCGTAACCTCTACCATTTCAAAATTTAAAAATACGTGAGATAGTTTTACTTATTGATTTTATCAATATCTTACCTAACCTACGTTTACATAACCTGTTATATTTATTTTAGCCTTAAATTTGCTATTTATTATGCCAATTTTTAACATTCAAAAACGTATTTTGCATTATGCATGATGCAAAATTACTTCATGATAAAAAGTAATTATAATTATTTAACAGTATACGGGAGTGATATAATAAATTTAAAAAAATCTAAAAATCGAAATAATATCGGATATAATCTGATTCTTCGGAAGATGAACCACGTATTTTATACAGAAAAATGAAACTCATATTTAGATACCAATTAAACTAAAAATTGCCCGCGCATTCACAGCCAATCAATTGAACAGAAGAGAGCGAAATAATAACTTAAAATATAATATTTAATTTGTATTAGATGATATGACGTTCATTTTTTTTTTCTATGGACACCTTTTCTACCAGAAATTTTGTTTCAATTTACAATAATAACAGGGGAGGTATTTTAGGGGGTTATTTTATGATTTTCTTAGAAGTTTCCCAATAAATTAGAAAAAATGGAAAAAACGGGAAAATAGGTACAATATTAAAGAAAATATATAAATAATGCATATGTATTGTAAATGTATCATAATAATATGACACATTATATATTGTTGACAAAGAAACATTATCAACCGAAAAAGTAAAACAGACATCTCCATTTGTATATAATCTCCGTATCTAACGATCGGATTTGTCTGATTGTTGTACTAATTGATGGGATTTTTTTTTTATAGGAATATACAAAAAAGTGCTTTTTGAACAAAACTGAAGATGTCTGGTTGTTGCAACCACGTATTCAATTTGTCTAAAAGGAAATTTGTCTGCGGGGAGGTACTTTAGAGATTTTTTCATTTCCAATTTTCTTAAGAGTTTTCTCATCAAAATGAAAACCGAAAAAAAACTGAGGAATAAAGGAAAAATGTATAAAATATTGTGATTTTTTTCCTGTGAACAACTTTTCTATCAGCAGTTTTGCTTTTATTTATAATGATACCAAAGTTTCTAAAAGTAAATACAACTGGGGAATTACTTTAGAGAGATTATTTTTTGATATTTCTAAGAGTTTTCCCAGTAAATGTGAAAAACCGGGATTAAACATAGAAAAACCGAAAAAATCGGTACAGTATCAAACAAATATTAATAAAGAAAATATATAAAACCTTTTTAATTATTTTAATATAATATGACATATATAGTTGGCAAAGCATCACTATCAACTGAACTGCGCTCAGAATCGTTTTTTTCGTTAGCAATAGTTTATCGTTGCTTACAGATATACATTAAATTACCTATAACAGTGGCTGTACCAGTTTCCATTATCCTAGGTCATATTTTCTCATTTAAAATGTGTCTGGTTAATTTTTTAAAATTAATATTTCGTTACAAGTCAAATGTAATGTGTCGGAATTAAAAATTAAGTTGAATTTTCACAGCTGTTGCGAGTCAACCAAAAATTGAAGTGACTTGTAAAACGTATGTTTTATTTTTAAGTCAGTTTTTGTCAAAAAATTTAATGGGAGGGCTTGTACGGTTTATGAGACGTATGCGACAATATATGTAATTTGTATAACCTATTGAAATTTGTTTAAGCTTAGAATATCATGAAGTATATCAAAATCGTTTCAAGTCACCTTTATTGACGGTATTCAATAAAAAAAAAAAATTTACATTTATATTCATTACCTAGGTAAGTACAGTCTTTTGGGCCGTGAGTTAAATTTACAAGGCGGCAGCAGCGTTTATTAGTACTTTTATTTAAGTAAATTATTAGTTGATCACAGCAGCTGCGAGTGAAACAACAATAATATTTGATTAGATAATATTGTATAGGGATGATAGTCAACCAATAACGTTACCGTCTATTCGAGATGGTCACATAATTTTGTGACCTATTTGTTACTAGTATGACCGGTGAAACCAAACTGATTTTATCTAATTAAAAACATACCTTCTCAATTTTTTTTTTGTTTTTGTATATTATACACAGATATCATAATAATATAATTATTCGTTTTCAAAATTAATTTTAAATTCTGAGTGAAGCGAAGCGAAACCAGTACAGGTTTTATACAAAAATGTTTAATTTTTGATACTGCGTACAAAAATTCTACTAGAAATCTTGCCTGGGTGTATATGATGTAGGCACTTTCCTAAAATAAAATTTTCTTGGGGAGGTATTTTAGGCAGGTCATTTTTTGATTTTTCCAGCAATTTTTCCAATAAAAGAGAAAAAGTGGAGAAAAACGGGAAATTTACGAAAATGATACTTTTATTATTTATTAAATTTTGAATAAATCATTTTTTTAGACATAGTAAATGCTCAAAACATTTGAGCCATTTTTAGGCTTTTTATACAAATGTTAATAATTTTGTTGAAAATCAGTTAATAATATTCATACCGATTTTATGACCTTGAAATTTGGACAAAAACTTATACTTACCTTTTCTATACATGGTATAAAAAACAATCTAAGCCATTTTTTTTAGCTATTTGTAGACATTTTAATTTTACGAGTTTTACAAAATTGTTAAACTAAACAGAAATGCGTGAAAATTTAAAAGGAGGTTCATTAAAAGTTTTATATTGTCGTGATCTAATGATTATTTATGCCTATTATCATCCAAGGGGTCCCAAGTTCAAACCCATGTGTCAAAAAAGAATTGTTTGCATTTTTTTCCCTTTTACCTAAACAAAGAAAAAACAAATATACTTTGGGTGCACTTAGAGACTCAAGCCATCGCTTGCTCGGACTATTTTAATCGCAAAATATCCCTCGATTTGTTGTGCAAACTTTTCTACCAGCAATTTCTTTCCTATTAAAAATTAAAAATTTTTCTGAAAGGAAATCTAACTGGAGAGGTACTTTAAGGAGGTCATTTTTTGATTTTCCGAGCGTTTTCCCAGCAAATGTAAAATACGGAGAAAATACATGGGAAAACCGGGAAAATATACAAAATATTTTAGTGAAATATTACGATTTTTTTTTTCTGTTGATAACTATTCTATCAGCAATTTTACTCAGATTCACAATGATAGCATTTTTTTCTAAAATGAAATCTTACTGAGGAGGTACTTCAGGAAGGTCATTTTTCGATTTTCCTGAGTTTTTTCCGAATTTTTTTACTATGATATAGTATATATATTGTTGATTAAGTAATTACACTCTAAACTAAATTCCACTTAGAATCGTTTTTTCGTTAGCAACAGTTAATCTATGCTAACAGATATACATTAAATTACCTAAAACAGTAGCGGCACCCATCCTCATTATCCTAGAACAGCTTTTTTAAAGTATTAATTTTGATGAAAAACGAAAGAAAATAAAAATATACAAAGGCTGTAAGTACAATAAAGTTTCCAATGCGCTAATGTCGCAAGGAAGGTTTAAACAAAAAATCAGACCACACTGATGTACTTTCCTCCTACAAACTAATACTATTCCGAAATGTCTGTGACGCTTAGTTTCGGTTTTTTAACTGTTCACAATGAAATTTCCACTCAAAATTAGGTTACCACTCGTCCCTCCTGCTAAGTAAGTGACATTCTGCATTTTTTTGTTGTGTGTCAAGACACTTCACCTAAAGAAATTTATCGGCGGTGATAAGAAGTTATGTGTGAAAATTTTAAGTTTAAAAACGGAAGTACAGATCCATGACAAATAGAGTGCCACATATATTTTCTTGGATTACAAAAATGTTTAATCTTATTTTATGGATAGCCCATATCACTATAAGATGTAGGAGGTGATATTAGTGGATTATTAGCAACTTCTAAACATTCTAAATTTGTCATTAACCGCAGCTCAACTGGTAAAGATGCGATTCTGTTCAAACTGACATTTAGTCTTGCTAATTTTATATATGTTAATTCTGTAAAAATTATTTTAAATTCATTCAAATATAATTTATCATTTAAATGATCATCACATTTCATATGGTAGGTTGACAATGTTATAGTTTTAAAATTATACAATAAATTGAACAAAGTTGGTAAAATAAGATATAGTGATCTGACTTACCTCAAGCACAAGTTTTTGGTTTTTTTAAGGGGAGGAGAAGGGGTGTTATATACCTTGTTAACACATGTACTTATACAAGTTTGTATAAATTTATATTTTCTTTTATTATTATTATTATTGTTTCATATGACATATTCATATATTATAATATATTTTATTTATTATTTGGGTAGTGGGCCAATATGTGACCTATATGTGAGTTAACAGTCCAATGTTACCTACCAATCATGGTAATTTAACAGGTGTAAATAAAATGCAATATAAACATTTCATTTCAGATTCTGAGTATAGTTATTCTTGGTTTTACTTAGTGTACACATTTTTTATACAATAGGGATTTTTGTACCATGTTTTTGGGATCTAGTTGGTGTATTGGGACCGTCAGTTTTTGATTTTTCTTGTAGTTCTCTTAATAATTAGGAAAACTAAGAAAATGTAAGATTTCATTATTTTTGATTTTTTTTTTTTTATCTTATTCTGTTTAAATTATTAATATTCATAATGTCCACAGAATAATAAATAGCCTTTCAAAAATTTCAAGCATTCTAGTGATAGTGGTGAGGGGGTAATTTAGATGGTTATGTACAGTACCACCAGTTCATAGAGAAAGCTATATATGCTGGTGTGGTAGCTGTATAGATGGGGTATTGGAATGATACTGCTGTTTTACTACATGGGTTTTGGTGTAACTAGTTTTAAAGAATGACTTAACCAAGCTCTACTCACAATCCTATTCTGTTAGCAATAATTTACCTCTCCAACTTCCCACTGACAAAATTGTCACATTTATAAGCAGTATCAGCTATTTTTTTAAATTAATAATAATGAATCACCATTGTAGGTGAGAAGTCGGGAAGGTAAGATAAATAAAGTTATTTAATTTATACCTCTAAGAAACAACAAATATTTAACTACAATAAAAACATAAAATGATATTAAACAACACAAAATATCCAATTTTCTATATGTGATTGGTTATCTAATTCTTCAAATTTCTATTTATGCATGCAATATACAAGTTACTTATTTTTATCTAATATATAACTTTTTAAAATCATTATTTAATAATTTTTAATTAATTTCTTATATATTGGCAACTATATAAACAAATTAAAAACATAGGTAGGTAATGTAATATGTAGGCATAGTCTAGAAACCTAAAAAAAACACAACATAGCCACATAGTTATTAAAATATAAATATTATTAACCTGGCTTCTTCTTTACTATGGAATATTTTGGAAAATAGCAAGGTTAAGCAGTTTTAGTGATAGTTCTAGCATTATTAACAGTATTAGCATAAGGAACATTACTAACTAAAGCATCGCTATAATCTATATAAAGCATTATTAATATAGCAGTGTACTTAATATTAATATAGATTTTTGATATAATAAAGCAATGCTATAGTCAAATTATGGTTCAAAACAGTGAAAATTGATGTATCGCAGGTTGAAATGTAGCAGGTTTTTAAGATCCACTAGAGAGTGTATATTAAACATACATAAACAGTTGACTCACAAAATAAGTAAAACTAAATGTACCAAAATGCTCAATTTTGATAGTATATCTATCAGGACCACAATTCAAGTCCTACACATATGCCAGAAAACTTGCTTAAATAAACACTACACATATTTTAACAAGTGTCACAGTACAAAACATGATGAAGATGAAATACTTTTACGGACAATTTGACAAAATAATTACTTTAAAACAGAACAGTATTATTATTCCACCATTGCATATTAATGACAATTATTGGATTATTGTTTTTCTAAATTTGTGTAAAAAAGAATGTTACATAATGGATCCTTATAAACCATAGAACAACAAAGATTTCAAATTTTGATAAAAAATTCAATCCAAATAATTTCAGAGATACCCTAAAAAGATATCTCTTAGAGAACTCTGAAGACATGAAAGAGATATGTTTGTACTGTGATAAACATTCTAGAAAACACCAGCCTTAGATAGATGATGATTGTGTTCAGTGGGTAGCATGTTTGTTGTGTAGTCTATGGATATCCCTGAACTGTATTCCTGAGAAAAAAAGAATAAAAGATTATAGCAACAATGACTACTTCTGTTTTTTATGTAGTAAGTAAATGTAATTAAATCTAGGGACCAGTATATGTTTGATGAATTTTGTAATAATTATAAACTTATTATTCTTTCCTAATATGAATAATATAACAATACAAATTAAATGTTTATTAAAAATAAATTTAAAATTACCACCGGATTTTATAATGAATTTATATATTCATGTAAATAAATATATAAATATAAGAAATGTACTACACAAATAAGATATTCTCATGTTTATAATTTATTTTGCATATTAAATTCCATATAAATTAATAATAATCAAAAAGATTGAATATAGTTGGTCTATTATGTTAGTCAAAAACATAAGTTTTAACCATACCAATTTTATCATTTTGAAAAATGTTAAACTAACAGTTCACAGTCTATGTAAAATGGGATGGAAATTTGTGTTTTGAATTCTCATTTATTTTTTAACAGAAACATTTATTTTATGTTTTAAATTAGGTTTGCTGAAAAGGTATAATAAAATGAATTCAATATATAATAATAAATGATTTTTATCTGTTCACGGGTACATGTTGATAGAAAGAAATCTAACTAGCACTATGTCTCAGAAATTTAAGTTTGTTACATAAAGTTTAAATGTTTTAAATGTATAGGTCCTACAAGATTCAATAGTGATAAAAGTAAAAAAAAAAAAAAAAACAATTTACAATAATTTAAATTAAATGATTTTTTCATACCATACAGTTACTAAGAGGTTTATAATTAATTTTGTATAATCCAGTCTATAAACTATATTAACAAGATAGTGTAGTTTACCTATAATACTTACCTATAAATACACAATTTTTAACCATACCAGTTTAAAATTAAAATATTTACTGACAGTCCGAAGTCTGTGTAAAATGAGCAGGAATTTAATGTTTTAAATTGATATTTATTTATTTTAACAGAATAAATTACTAACATTTAATTTTGTATTTATTCTTCAATTTGACTTGTTTAAAATACATATTATTAAGAATTTATAATAATACAAGAGTAATGGACAATATAATTTGTCTCTTTATCTATTTTGAACATTTAGATAGTTTAGTTTGAATACAAATAAGACAATTTTAAGAAGATAAAATTTTGAGAACTTTACGCAATTTATTGTAAAAAAAACTCAACTATTTAAATAAAAAAATTAATGAGTATAACTTTTTTATTTACATTTTTTTAAAAATAAAAGCAACGTAAAGTTTTCAAATGTATTCTTCTAGTTAAATTTTGTTATTTGTGTTTAAATTCTAATTTCTTAAATCTAAACTCCATAATTTATGTTCTGAGTAATGTGATTTGCTATGTTGATTGTTTGTTAAGCTGAAACAGAAGATAAAAAATAAATATACATACTGAGAGTCTTCTTCCATTATAGAACTATCGGTTTAAGTATTTCCTTGAATTTTAAAATGCCCACTGCACTTTTGGTAATACAGCACCATGTTTAGTACTTCTAGAATATTTCTAAACATTTCACACCTTTAACAACAATATATTTTATGTAATATAAGCATTTTAGGGAAACAACTAAATAATATTATAATATACTAATACTTTCTGGCAATTCCTTTCATACAATTCATATAATTTACAATAGTATATTATGTAAAACATCCAATTTAATAAATATAAACACAATTGTCTTGCTTATTAACTATTTTTAAAGTAATCCGTAAACAACTACAAATATTTAAAATGTATATTAATATAATATAAAACATCTAATTATTTCTACATTATAATCAAATATTTATACTACCTATGCTTAAGACAAATAAGATTGTATTATATGACAATGTTATATACCTGAGTAATGTACATTCGATCTTGATCTGACAAGAGGGGATTTAAAAAAAATACACAAAAACTTTCCTTTTATAACTATAATTTTTTTTTAGTAATAAAACACATCGGTATAAGTACTAATAGTTAATATAAAAAAAATAAATACAACATTTTACTAAACATATGGCAGTTAACTATTTTTAAATATGCCAATAGTATAAGACATAGGTACACAAAAAACAAAACGTTTGTAATGGAGGTGGGTAGTTCATGAGTAAGTTGACTCTTTTAGGTGAAAGGAATGAATTGATTCAGTGTGGTATAGTTCAGTGACTCAGTGACTGGTTCAATACAATTCACGAATCACGGATGTGTGTTATCAGTCCGACAATTCGCCTATATAACCTCCTGCTATGCCACAATATACATAATATGAAATTCTATTATTGTGTAATGACAAGTGATGTTATGATAAATTAAATAGGTATGTCAGCAACTTGTGGTGGCAGTGATATTAAAAAGTAAAATGCATAGATATTGGATAATAGTTAATATACTGATATTGAATGATATGAATGTATAATAGTTTTATGTAGTACAAGCACGTTGCAATTGTTGCAAGTCATTTAGTAATTTAATACATTTTGCATTAGTGTTTATTTGGAATAAGTTTCTTTTTTCATGTTTGACAAAACAATATTATCGGAAGCATGAGAAATAGAAGATATTTAACACATTATACAATAGGTATTAAGATACCTATAAGTATTTAGTATATATTATTATTATATACCTACTTAATTAAATTATAAAAGTATACGAAAAAATGTATTGTATTTATATTTTACAACCGAAAATTCAAATATAAACATATTATATTAATATATCATACATTGTAATGAACAATGACATGGAAGAGGATTAGAGCGATAATTATTTTGTTTATTGAAGTATGCATTATCAAATATAAATATTTTGGAAAACAATCTAAAAATAAAAATAATTGCTAGCAAAAAATTGCATAAGACTTCAATTCAAGTACTATAGGCTGTGTAAGTACCAAGTAGGTATAGAGTACCAAGTTGGAAAGACGGGAGTTTAATGCATATCTGTAAGCAAAGATTAACCATTCCTTAAGAAATAAAACAATTTTGAGCAGAGTTCAGTTGATTGCGATGCTGTGTCAACAATATATATATGTCATTTTGTAGTAAATAATTAAATAGGCTTTATATATTTTCTTTAATAAAATTTGATTAATGTACCAATTTTCCTACGATTTTCCAGGTTTTCCCATGTTTTATTCCAGTTTTTCACATTTTTTGGGAAATCTCTTGGGAAAATCAAAAAATGACCTCCCTATAGTACCTCCTTAGTAAAAATTATTTTTAGAAAAATTACTATCATTAAAAGTTGGAGTAAAATTGCTAGTAGAAAAGTTGTCCACAGAAAAAAAATCGTAAGATTATATTTATGTTTCGTAATTTTTCCCGTTTTTTCGACTTTGTTGAGAAAATCGAAAAAAAAAACCTTCTAAGGTACCTTCCCACGCCGATTTCCTTATAAAAAATGTACTACACAAAGAAATTCGAGCAAGACTTCTGGTAGAAAAGTTGCGCACGGATAAAAAGAAAAAAAAACCTATAGTTCTTTGTAGAGCTATAAGCTTCTTTGTTCCACTCGGAATCTAATATATGTCTAGATTCTTTGAATATATAGAATAATTTCCGTAAATTATTATTTACAAAATTAATATACCTGTACCATTTTAGCCTATAATCAATAATTAATCCAAGATATTTAATTTCTAATACTTTTTCGAGATTAATGTATTTAGGATTGCAAGTTAGTTACAATTAGCTATACAGTTTAACGAATCAACTGTTAAATTATTATTTGTAAAAACAACGAATGAATAAAGCTCAAAATGAATAAATTTAGATTTTAATAAATTTAATTTAAATTTATTCTTACAAAACCAAAAATAGACAGTATTTAAAATATTGTTAGACTCATAATATAGATTATTAACTGTTTGGTCAAATATTAAAATGATGTCATCTACAAAGCTAAATAATTCAATATTAATTTTCGTTTTTATTTGTTGAAGATCATTAATAAAAACTATAAATAATAGGGGAGCTAAAACTGTACCTTGAAGAACCCCACAAGATATTTCCAAAGTTTTGTTCAAGGTATCAATAATTTTAACTTTTTAGGTTCTTCCACTTACAAAGGATTTTAATAGATTATTTGACACCCCTCTTATACCAGCTCTATCCAATTTATCTAGTAAAATATCATAGTTTACACAGTCTAAAACTTTATGTACATCAAGGAAAATACTGATTTTGCTTTGTATAATATTATATTAGTTTAAAATATTATTTATAACAACAAAAATAAGCCGTGAATATTCTAGACCATTCTCGTATCTCAGCAAAATAAAATAAAAATTATAAATAACAAATATTGAAATACATAATTTTTTATTTTGACGTTTACAATCTGAGGGGTTTTAAGCCCCCCAAGTCCTCTCTGATATCCGCCCTGGCATATATTATTATACATTATTTATACTTTGAACTTGGATGAACACAATCAATTTCAAACGAATTTACAAAATTTAAATACAATCTGTAAAACTAACACAGGTATAGGTACCATGTATAAATATTATGATCTTTAACAACCATAATCGATATTTTACTCCAAAAAACGGGTGCTTCGTAAGCATTGAACCGAAGAAAACGTGGGAAATAGCGAAAAAGTTGTCAAAAACCGCGAAATACGGCGAGCCGTAGCATAGTATATAGTACACTTAATGATAAAATAACGAATGACGTCACGACTAAACGGAGTGTCACAACGGTAGGCCGGTCTAACGCGTATAGAGCGAAACACGATAACGGAAAATCTTTTCGGAAAACGAAAATCGTCAGTCTGGGAGCCGCGGAAAATATCTAAATACGTTAAAAATTTTATAAAGAGTTTTAACGTAGAAAAAACTTCGAAACAAATTTTCCTAAGACACGTAAACGATATAGCGGACACTGGTCAAAAAATTTACATAACACCGCAGTTGTCATTTTATTATATAAGATGATAATTAAATAGGCTCTACATATTTCCTTTCGTAATATTTGTTAAATGTTTTACCGATTTTCTATATTTTTCCCGGTTTTTCCATGTTTTTTGAGGGAAAACTCCCAAGAAAATCAAAAATATGAGTTCTTTAAAGTACCTTCAGAGTGGGATTTGTTTTTAGAAACATTGGTATCATTATAAATAGGAGAAAACTGCTAGTAGAGAAGTTGTGCATAGAAAAAAATATCGTAATATATTTTAACCCATTCATATATTTTCCTGTTTATCACATTTGTTGAGAGAATTCCGGAGAAAATCGAAAAATGACCTTTCTAAAATACCTCCCCAGAAAATTTCCCTTTTCAAAACTATAAGATTCTTCGCTCAACTCAGAATTGTGTTCCGATTTACAATGACCAAGCCCGGATTAAAATGATTTTGGGCCTGGGGCCAAACAATTTTAAGGGTCCATATACATATTCAAAATATTGATGTTTATACAATACTACCAGCCAAAGCCAAGGGCTCACAATATTACAATATCCAGGAGCCTGTGGCCATAGCCTCCTCTGGCCACCTCTTAATCCGAGCATGACAATGATAGCACTACACATAGTTGATAAAGCATCAACGCGTAGAATAAAAACTTGGCTTCGAACTTCTATGTTGCAGGAAAGGTTCAACACCTCAATATTATAATATTGAAAAAAAAATTTCTAAATCTATTAATACTGAAATAATTGTTAATATATGTGCACAAAAAAATTGATATATACAATTAAAATAAAAATAATTTAGTTGATATTCAATATTTTATTTTTTTATGTTCCTATGAAGTGACTAAAAATATTTGTTTCCTCTAATGAATAAGACAAAAATGTTAAGCCCCCCCACATATGAAACCAAATATCCACCAATAAATATATGTACTAACTACTAATTAGCTATTCTTAAAATTCTTTTTAAATTTCTCATAAATATTCTATCTTCATTGATAGAATGAATCCTAGGAACGTGATGTGGATACCGTTAATCTATTATTTGTCTAACAGTTGGTTTGAAGCTCGCAGTAATAATCTCGCTACTGATGACTTTGTTAAAATGTATCTATCCATTTTAAAATACATGATTAATTACCATTTGTATTCATAGCTATAGGTTTGGTTTTCTTTGTTTTTTTGTTTCATCATTATGTAATCTAGTATATTATTGTAGTCCAAGTTAAAAACATTAGATAATAATTATGTGTAGTGAACAATAGGGTAATACCAAAAATATTTAGTTAACTGAACTTAGTACTCTGGACTTTTTTCTATTGAATATTTTTAAGTTTTTTTTTAATTATTATCACATCTCAGCGCTATAAATTATATATTTATAATCCAAGATAACCATTATATAAATTCATTTTTACAAAAATTGTCTAAAACTATAATATACGTTACATCATTAATTTTTAAACAATTTTTTATTAAAATTTGTAATTATCATAGACATTAGACCTATTAACGAATTGTTATTATTCTGTGGTCCATTTTTAATTATTTTTTAATAAATATGATATTATCATAAACCACATAACACACACCTTCAACAATGAAATGTTTTTTTTTTTTAGTGTTCTATAATATATCCCATTAACCCCCCCCCCACAATATAAATTGATAAGACTTTTAGGATTTCTAACTTTTAATTCTATCCTCAATAAATTTTGTACTCAAATTTCATGTTTCCTCAGAAAATACCGCAAATCAGAAAACATTTTTTTAGAGCTATCACCAGTATTTAATAGTGTCACATGTAGTATTTTAATCAAAGATTAATTTACTTAATAGTTTAAATTAATTGATTTATTATATAAATATTATAATACAATCTTTAAATCATTTATAATAATACAAGACTTTAATATAGTTTCATAATTCAATGCATTTTAGAGAAAACCTCTAGATAACCAAGTCCATTAATTATTTATAAATATTAGTAATAATTAAGGTTTGGACTTCTTGCATTTGCATGTTTTTATATAGTGGTTGTATATTATTCTAGGTAAGCCATAAATTTATTTTATGATATGCCAAAATTAAATACAGTTTGAATTTGCATGTTTTGTCATATTTTAGTAAAAGTACATATTTGAGCAATTTTTACCTTAATTGTGCATATTTCACATTTTTTATTTTTATATAGCTAAAATTGTCCAGAAAATCATATTTGGATAACATTTGAAAATATTTATTTTAATAAAATACTTTGGATAGGTAGGTCGTGTCTCTTATTGATTATTAATAATCAACCTTGTTATTGACAGATAAAGTTGCAGGCCCGGATTAAGGGTTTTGTGGGTCCAATGGCCCATATTAATAAGACAACTTATTCTATTAATATGGAATAATTAAGCAAATAAATAAAGTCATCAAATATTTTATTAAACTCAAACTAAAATTATTATATCCCTTTAATTATTATATCCCTTTAATTATTATATTCCTTTAATTATTATATCCCTTTAATTATTATATTCCTTTAATTATTATGTTCCTTAGAAATATTAATAATATTAAAAATATTATAATATGTTTACAGTAGGTAATGAATACCAGCAATTCCTTTTACTAAAAGGTTACTGCCATTTTCTCGTTTTAATTTTCTTCTCTTGGATGGGTTATCGACACTGTACTGCACATTACGATCGAGATCAATTGTGTATAAAGTGCCACAAATAAGCAAATTAAATTTTTTGTTATTAAGTTGGTAGTTTTGTTCAATTTCTTCAGAAGTTCTTTTTTCATATTGCCACCAGCCTAAAATAAAAATAAAAAACACAGTATTATAAATAGAGTTATATGAAAACCAAAATATACATACCACCACTTCTACATTCATAAAACCATTGGTAACCATCATGGTCAAAATCTTCTTGATTATGTCCCAGGTATTCAAGAAATATAGGGTTTTTATAAAAATTATTTGGTACTGCCTGACGACACATTGGACAAATATTTGATTGTTGTACAACTCCTTTAATGCACAGGAAACAAAAAACGTGACCACATGGAATTAGTATTGGGAACACTGCTGGTCCCAAGCATATGGGGCATTCAATGATTTCACTTTTAGACTTTTCAGTTTTATCTTCTGTAATGAAAGAATTGGTAAAATGCAAATCTTCTAACAATTTGACTAAACAATACACAAATTCATTTTTAGAGAATGTCAACAAATATTTAGGGTAGGCACATACCTATCATAATAAGGAATACAATTACATTTTACCGACTCATACATTATTTTTGAATTTTCAATCATATGAGCACATCCTGGGACATTCTTAACCTCCCCCCCCCCATAAAAAACACCAAAAGTGGTGTAATTTATGTATACAAACAATATTTGTTTATTTAATTCTCCCTAAAATGTTCCAACTATTTGAGTCAATATAAACCAAGTGATCATTTAGAAATTATTTATTGAGATACTGAATGACAATTAATGACACAAAAGTAAACACTTTATGTATCTATACTGGCTGCACTTTTGGTTTGCTAATTAAATTTAAATCTAAGAAATAGCAGTGGTATATCACGAATAACTAACTTTGTTTAACGTATTTATCATATTAGATGTCCACCAAATTCCAATACAAGTATTCTTATTTTATTATTCATCAAAAATAATATAATATTGTAAATAGGTTTTTGTTTTGATATTCTGCATTAAACAAATTTGTTTAAAATTGTTTAATTTTTAAAGTTTGACTAGGTTATTAGTAAGGTGGGTCCATATAGGCATCTTTTGCCAGGAGGTACGAGTGTTACACAAAATTTGTTTCAAGCAGCTTTTTTTGATACCTCGAGGCCTGGTGAGCGATCTAGATCAAAGAAAAGCTGGGTGGGCTGTGCTCAAAAGATGCCCCTTGAGGATATGTCGTCCAGCATAAATGCTTATTTCAAGTAACCATTGAATGTATCCATTGTAAAATATATTTTAATATTATTTTAACCCTTAAACTATCATTATTTTAAAACTTTTAAGTATTTTTTTTTAGATAAGTATTTAGATAGAATTTTTTGTTAAATAAGTTATATAGATGTCATGTAAATATTTTTATACTCATACCTTTCAAGAGTAAAGGGTGGTTGGGACATATGTGTCCCATTGGTCTTCTAACGTACCATTGATATACTAGTAATAAATCTAAAAAAAATCTTTCAACTTATTATGTTATTATATATTTATTTCATAAAATATTATAAAATTAATTTTAATAGAAATATATTATTATTACTATATTAATATTATGATGTATAGTAGGATGTAAAACACTGTGCACAACAGCTAATGTTTATTTAGTAGTAAAGAAATCCAATGGTACACATATTTTTCTCTACGAGACACATGTGTCCAGTTGGTAGTCTATGGATTAATTCTAAAAGTATACATTTTGACACAGTATTTAAATATTTGTAGTTTAAAGTAATTTTTACATACATTTTCATGTGACGTAAAAAAAATTGTCTCGAAATATCTACATGCTGATTCGTTTTGACTTTTATTTCTATGCAAGCATCGGAGGGTAAATTCTCATCGCATATTTTCGGCTGCGACCAGCACTCGTTTTGACAGAGATTTTATTAATAAACAATTTAAGAAATTCCAATCTATCGAAATGATTTGATAAACCACAATAAACATAAGTATATTATACGAATTTTGTAGGGGGGTAGGGCTTCGAGTTATAAAATATCTAATAATAATCGGTCCGACTTTGCACAATACATTTTCAAAATCAGAACTTGACACGTGCAAAAAATTATGGAAAAACCCCGTATTTCATTATTTAATTGATCGTCTTTTATTAAATTAATAATTAGCTGTGTACCACTCACAACTTTTCGGCTGTTCAAACTTTGACGAACCCACCATTTTTTTTTTGGAACGCGAATCTTTATAGCGCTTGTAAGTATATAATAAAGCGAGGGTGCAAACTACATGTCGTTAGACATTTCGATATTTCGAAACAAACTAATGATATTGCCGCGAAAAGCCGTTTGTCATATGGATACGAATACCGCGTGGCACAAAGTCAAACCATACGGCGCCGCAAAATAATGCCCAGTGTGGATCCGCCTAAAAGTCACTCCGAGAAATTAAGATTTATTTTTACATTTGAAACGAAAGAAAAGTCAAAATTCATCGATGATAAAATGCATTTATCTAGGTATTTAAGCGTATAACAATATTATTAATACAGGTGTCTATTCAACGTTTACCTTCCTCTTCGTCATCAGATCTTCTCTGGTATTCAAATCCATTCAGACATTCGGCCATATTTCAAATATCACGCAGTACAGCAGTTTTGACAGCCGGAACGATAAAGTAAGTATAATATTAACAATTAATTAAAATATGATCCCGATAGGAAATTGCTATCAGAGAAAAGCATGGTGAAAAAGTATAAAAATACTGGTCAATTCGGAATAAAAGAAGATATAAATATGAATGTTCTATTAGCAATATTTGATAAGAAACTCCAATGATTCAAAATGCGTGAAAATTATATTGATGGCGTTAGATACGCAATAAATATGCGATAATACACGAAGTGATATCAACAAAAGGTACAAAAAAAAAAAAAAAATGTAAGTAGTAGCATAACGTAACCATCCGAAAAAGTCTTATTTGTAGCCTGATTTAAAATGGATGTTTATTGATTAGAAATAATTTTTCTCACCAAACGATAGGTCGTGAAGTCTACTTTTAGACAGTGTACTCCACTAAGGGTTTCTCTATCTTCCTTTAAAAACCCTATAAGGAGCCCGATTAATAATACTAGTTTTTTTTGATATTAACATATGATATTTCAAATTTTTTTTCTCTGATATTAAATTTATTTATTTATTCATATTAAAAACGGGACTAGCCCAGTTACAAAGACTTACCATAAATAACAAAATTAAAGTACATGCATAATATAGTATGTATATATAATATTATATTTTGACTTAGTATTAAATAAATTATTTTTTAAAATTGAGCATATTGATATTTTTATTTATAAACTGTCTGTATGAAATACTCTTAACTATTTAAATAATTTACATGAATCAGTTATTACATCGGTTATAATAGCTTGGAGTGGTATTCCAACCACTCCAAGCTATTATACTCTATTGAATTATTATTAACATGTAATAATAATTTATCTGATGTATAATATACAAAAACACTTGAACATCAATTGTAAGTATAATTATTAACATTAACCGAACTATGTAATATAATTCAATAGTATATACAGTATTATATTTATAAATAAGTTCTTAAGCTAAACATTGAAAATGGTTTTAACATCTCTTGGTTTACAAAAAAATAAAATCAAAAAATGACTTCCCAAAAGTACCACCTGGATAACATTCCCTTTCAGAAATGGTGCTGAAATCTGAGCAAGATTTATGATAACATTTTTGTACACAGTATAAAAAGAAAAAAATCTTAGTAATACCAATACATTCTTTTCTACACTCAGAACCTAAAATAAAAAACCACTTAAAAAATATTTAATTATTTACATATTTATTTATTTTAAAAATGTAATAAAAAGAAATACAATGGTCTGAAATATCTAATTTATTTTATAATACAGCTCGGCTCATTTTAATCATAATTAGTGAGCAATATTGATCTCCAATTCTTGACCAGTTAGTTTTTTCTGAACACAAACTTCAGTAAATATCTTTTATCATCTGTAGCATGTATATTAAATTTGTACTACTTTGAACAGGTTCTAAAACATCATATACAAACATTTATCAATATAATATGAAAAGACATTTTAGTAAATATGCTAATAAGCATTATAAATAATGTTACTTGAACAATTTTTAATTTTGAGTATACTATTTAAATATTATTTTGTGTTTATTACTTGAAGGTAAATTCTAAATCATCCACAGAATCATTATGTAATAATAATTGTATTCTAATTTATAAAATTATTATTAAATAGACATACAATGAAAATTTAACATGTGATATTTATGAAAAAAAAATAAAACAAATGTTTATATTATTTTTTATTATACAATAATAAATAATTATTATATGATAAATTATCAGCATATTAAGTAAATTAAAAACAATTCATACTTGAATTTCAACAGATCGTTACAGAATTCACCTTTCTTTCGTTTTAGGCATTAGATGATCTGAAAAGGGGAAAATAGTTGGCACATCACATTTTTTGAAACTAACTTCCCACTTATAACTGCTTTATCATATTCAGTTTTAGTAAAATATAGACTGCATAAAAAATAAGTACTACTAGGTTTGAAATTTATTCTTATAATAACATGTATCCATTTTTTTAGCCTTTCATTATCATTGAGTGGAAACCTTAGACCATAAAAATACTAAGTAAAATTATTTATATAAGTACCTACCTACCTATAACGTAAATAATTAGTACAATAAATACAGTTACGAAATAATCAATCACAATTAATATTAATACTAACTTATGAAATATTAATTTCTTTTTTACATCACTTACATTAGTGTAATTAAAGACACTGTCAAAATTAACCATTGTTTAATTGTACCGAAAGAATAAACAATGAAAGAAATTACTATAAATTTTAAAACAATTCTTAAAAAAAACAAACACAAATCTTAAAATAGTTAAAATTGAGTAATGTAAGTAATGAAAAATTAATATGATACAATGTAATATGTATAAACGGTCCACAGATTAGAACAAAGAAGAAAGAAAAAAAAAGAAATAATCATCTTGTAAAATCAATTGCTCCCTTGTTACGCTCTGAATTTAAAAATTATGCAAATTGGTTCGACTTACATAGAATATAGAAATAATTTATTTTATTATACGAGATTATTTAAAATTAGTTATTATTAGATACTTAACACTTATGTTAAGAAATATAAATTATTTGGTTATTATTTATTGTCTAAAATGTATTGATATAAAATATCATTTTTAAAATCGGTTTGAACATTTAAAATATTATTAAAATTATGAATCAAGGGCGGTCTTTTTAATTTTATTTCATAAATGTGTTTTTTATATCTTATTTTAAAATTTCTATTTGTCTTCACCAGGCACGTTTACAGAAAAATAAATTCGGGGGGGGGAGGGGGTTCATAAAAAATGTATAATACCTAACCAATATTTTAAAAAAAAATACGTCTTAGGATAATGGGGACGGGTGCAGCCATTGTTATAGGTATTTTAATGTATACTTGTAAGCAACGATAAACCATTGCTTACAAAAAAACGATTCTGAACGGAGTTCAGTTGATAGTGATACTTTGTCAATAATATATTTGTCATATTATAGTATAATAATTTATACCACTTTATATGTTTTCTTTAATATTTGATTAATGTTGTACCGATTTTCCTAAGTTTTTTCCAGTTTTCCCATATTTTTCCGGTTTTTACATTTACTGAGAAAAGTCCTGACAAAACTAAAAATGACCTTTTTAAAGTACCTCCCTAGTGAAATTTCCTTTTAAAAACTTTGATATCATTATAATTTGGAGCAAAATTGCTGGTAGAAAAGTAATGTACACAAAAAAAGTTCTTAATATATTTTAACTAATACCTACATTTCTTATATTCCCAGGTTTTTTTCTCAATTTTTTAAATTTGATGAGAAAACTCCTGAGAAAATCGAAAAATAACCTTAATGTACCTTTTACACAGATTTCCTTTCATAAAAGATGATACACTTAGAAATCCATGCAAGTCTTCTGGTAGAAAAGTTTTTAACTGAAAAAAAAATTCACATTTTTGTAAAATCATATACTTCTGAAGAATTACACATACACAATGAAATAAATAAAAATAATTTTAATAATATTTTATTTTAATACATTTTAGATAATAAATAATAACCAAATAATTTATACTTCTTAACATACCTATCTATGTCTAATATCTAATTTAAAATAATCTCTCATAATAAAGTAAATTATTTCTATATTCTATGTAAAACGACCAATTTATATAATTTTTTTTTTCTATGTATTCCTTCATTTATTTATTTTATTTGTATACATACATTTTTAATTATATATTTATTTACTAGTATTGACCATTTTGATAATTCTGTTTTTACTTTATTATTTTAGAAAAAAAAATATATTATATCTATTTATTTACTGTATCTATCATAATATGACATAACTATTGTTGACAAAGCATCACTATCAACTGAATTCAGCTCAAAATTATTTTTCCTTCGCAATGGTTTATTGTTGCTTACAGATATACATTAAATTCCCTTCTATAATAGTGTCTGCACCCGACTCCATTATCCCAAAACAGATTTTTAATATTGTTCCTATCAATATTTTAATAAACACACGATTGTATATACAACCGTGATTAAACAGAAGGTTAAACGTAGGTATATCGTCATATAGGTAGATACTTAAAAGTATGTACTAAAACCAATGATAAATAATTACATTCAAATGATGTTCGTTAATATAACATAATATTAAAATAACTCTCTAATTAGTAGGGAATAAAAAAAATATTTAGTTTAACCGAAGTTACTTATTTTTATGTTACAAAGTTTTTAGTTTTTTACACAGTCAGTGACAGTTATGTAAAACTTGTTTATAAGACCGTGATAACAGACGACAGTTATTGTATCTTGTGTAGTTTATTATTACTATAATAGTATAATAGCCCGCAATATCCTCAACAACCCTCTTACACTTTACCAAGCACTCAACGAAGAGAACACGACAGCAATCATCACATTTTTCAAAATCATAAACTTAAGTCATAGATTATAATCTTTTTAAAATATGTCAATACTTACATTATCTCACCATTGTCAAATTTAATTTATTAGTGTGTATATATTTTTATCTAATACTTTGTTAACACTAAATACAGGCTAAAAACCTTTGTCGTTGAAGCCTTAATAAATTTATAAAAAAAAAAAAAATAATATAATAGTGATTATAGTGTTATACATTTTGACCTTTTCCTCGGCACCAGTTAGTAGATAATAAAGAATTATCTATGTCGGCACCGCCTATTTTTTTGTTTATTAGACATTAGTGGTATGTTGATAGTACTTACTTGATATTGAAACTTATTTTATTTATATTATATTTTTTTAATTGTAACTTTTAATCAACTTTATTTAATTACTTTGTATTAATTACCATAATTCATTAAATTAATAATAGAGGTATAATAATTGACTTACATTTGTTTTATCATTTAATGTCTCTAATATTATCAAATTATAATTTAGGAATGAAATATTTGTTTAATATTTATTTTAAAAATTTGATTTTGAATATTTTTATTAATATTGAATGTTTCAAATTTTACATGAAACATTAGCTGCTTAAGTGTTGGATCGCTTTTTTTTCTATTATCTTTATTTGTTCTATGTTTCTGAGATAATCATTTTCTTACATAACATAATGAATTGTACACTCTATTCACATCACAATAATGGCCTAATGACAAGATCATTGGAAAAATTGTTAGAAGACGCTCATTTATGTGGTGAATTGAAACTTGGTGGACGAAAATTAAAGGAATTTCCTATAACAAACAAATATGATTTGTCTGATACAACTATTGCAGGTAAATATAATAAAATTCCTACTACCTATTTATAATTGTTATATGCCTAGTTATCATTTAGTAGTTTAAATGAGATTATGTTATTTATGTTAATTTGTTTTAGATCTCTCAAAAAATTGCTTTACTCACTTTCCTTCCCAAGTAATTCATTTCTGGTCACTAGAATATCTCAACCTTTATCATAATGCCATACGATCAATACCAAATTCTGTCACATCCCTTCAATCATTGGTGCACCTTGATCTCAGGTTAGTGTTTAAAAATTGTTTGTCATTATAATTATCTCATTTTTCTACTCTTTTTTTTATAGTTTATTTTCATATAACTTGTATTTTAATCATATTTAACCACCTGATTTCTGTATAATTTTAATATTTCATAAAAAGTTTTATTTCCCAATAATAATAATACCATGGTAGGTTCATAATTTGTTTGCAAAAATTTGATATATTAAGTACCTATCATTTTTATTAAAAATATTTTATTTGGTTAATATATTGTATTTATTTATTTATTTTTATTTTTAGTCGAAATCATTTAAAATATATTCCTTCAGTTTTGTGTCAGTTACCTCTTGAAGTTTTATTGTTATCGAATAACAAACTTAGTCAATTACCTACCGAAATTGGATTCTGCAAAACCCTTATCGAATTAGATGTGAGCTGTAATGTGCTAACTAATTTACCACCTCAATTGGGTCAACTATCTTCATTAAAATGCTTAAATGCACAAAATAATCTAATTATTGAGTTACCATTAGGTAAGTAAAACATTATATATTTTCTTGTGGCCTTAATTAAACATTTTAACCAATTATATTTGGTAAAAAATATACTAATTCATTTTAAATGATTGCCCTTTCAACAGTTATACCTATTAATAATTTATTTTATTTTGTACCTACCCATACAAATAAGATTGTAACAAAAAAAAGATTGCTAGAATAAGAGAGCTCCATTATTGGTGTCAAATTTTCTTCCAGTTTACTTGTTTTTTACAATATGTATTTAAAATTTTTATAATACATGCTATTAATGTGATAATAATATAATTATCAGGAATTGCGTTTGGTTCCAAACAAACTTATTTTAACACGGGATTCAATAGGACAAATTTTATTTTTGATCTATAAAAATACAAATCTTATAATTGTTAGATGGTATGTTTTGAGTAGCTAAAAATTAAATTAAGATACCGCGGTTTTATCAAAACTGTAATATTTGAGTTTGTTTACCTTTAATTGGTGAAAAAAACATTAACAGAAATAGGTTCTATTCCATTTTTTCCATTTTAGTAGGTACCATCTTATAATTATATATTTATATTGAATATTTTTGTGGATTTACTATTTACTTTTATTATTAATTCTTAGTCATTTTTTTATATACAGTAATTTTACAATACTGTGGTGTTTTATTGTTGAGAGAAGCACAGGAATGCTCAATTAGACCTTTAACTTCTACATAGTTTGATGATATTTCTTTTATTAAATAGAAGTCAATAAGATCAGGTAGTTTATTTGGGTCAGTTGGCCAGTAGGTTGGTTTTTTAGTTTAGATGAATAAAATTGTGCTTTAATTTTATTTACAGATTTACATAAACCACGCACTTTGATGATGATCAATCTCGATTCCCAGAAAATATGTTTGACATTATAAATGCCTCTGGCAATAAATCTACTACCCAGAGTCCGGAAGAATTCAGTTAACTTGTTGTCATCTACTTAATATTGTAGTGGACAATATATAGCAGACATAGTTATTGCCGTCATATTTATACGAACACTTGTTACTTGTAAATATTATTGAGAATGTTTTTCAAGTTCATAGTGTTTGATTGATTCTTTTATTATCACTGCAGTCCCTCCATGAGCAGGATTGCTTGGATGTTCTGTTGTATATATTTGATATCAATGTATCTTTAGACTAGTCTACATTGTAATGTGTTTCTGAAATTAGAGCTATGTCTAATTTTTCATTTTGCATAAGATGTTCAAGTTCTTGTTTTCGCTGTAGAAGCCCGTTAGTATTCCATGTTACAATTCAAAGTGTCCAACTTATTTTGTTATTTTTTTGTATTTTGCTTTTTGATTGGTTATTTTAGGGTGTAATCCACGAATTACCACTAAAAACTTTTTCTTTGTTTTATGTTGGCATCTATGTTACTCAAATTTTTGTTCTTTTAATACTTTTATAGTTCGTCGAAACTGGTGTTCATCGCCTGTTAGTGCCTTAATTTCCCAATTTGTCAAGGTTTTTAATTGTTGTTCGTGTCCTTCAGCTTCGAGTTTCAGATTATTCATTAGTTTTTTAAAATCATTTATACCACATACTATTATTGGAGGTGATTTGTGGATTTTTATAGAAATTCTCGCAATTTTTATCTCATTTTTATTGCATTTTTAGGGAGGCTCAAATTGTCTTTAGGGCTTCTAGTGGTCATTTCAGAAATTTGAAGTTGTAATTTTTCCATTGCTCTATTGCAATTTCGCTATCATTTGTTTCAAGGCCGAATTATCATTTTGAATTTGTGTCCAAATACTTGCATTAAATACAATATTTTGTGGCAATAAAATACATTGTAATTTAATCAGTTTACATTTGACCCACTTAAAATATGTTTGCTTATAAAAACTGTCATTTTCTACATTATAAACATTGACATTAAAAAAATAATAACTGAAACAGTACTATTTTTATTGTAAAAACAAAACATATATGTTGCTTTTTTAGTATACAAATAGCAACTGCTATATTAAACTTATTTTTTAAATTTTTTTTTCTGATCACTAAGTACAAATTATTACTGAGACTGTGGTATGGTAGTGTAACAAGGTATTCTGCTACATTTTTAGAGGACCAAATATTGACTTTTTTTGCACCATGCTTGAAATCATTATCCTGTGTAAATATATAATTGACTTTAATGTTAATTTTATGGACACTAGCTGCAAGATATGTTTGCAAAGTATGTAAATAAATATCCTGGTTCATAATCCTATCAATAAAGTCTAAGTTTCTGAAACTATAATGACTCATATAGCCTTGAACTAATATAGAACTATTATCCATGTTTAACGGTAGGTTGTAAATACTTTGGTTACACATGAAAACTAAGGAGGATGCATTTCTGTTCTGAAAATGACTCATTGTGGCCCCTCAAAATGAAATCCATCAGGGAGCGTAGCATATTTGATTTCGTGTTTTCATTAAGATTAATATGATTTACATTAAAATATTACCTAAAAATCAAGCATAAAAAATTATATATTTTTTAGTAAATTATCATGTACATTCTTGGTATAGTAAACAGTAATAATTATAGTAATAAATTTAGTAATTTTAATTAATAAAATATCTATATATTTGTTGCAATTTATAATATTCTAACAGGTAGGTAGAGGTGCACTATTTTATTAACTAATTAATCATAAGTTGAGGTCTAAGTTTTGGGGATCAATTATCACTTATTTTTTGATAATATGTATATATTATCAAAAAATACTACAATATTAATAATTAAAGCAAATAAATTTTGTGGTTGAATAATTGTATTAAAAAATAAACTATAATAAACTATTCTAAGTATAGTATATATTTAATTTATATTTAAGTTTATATAGCTAGTAATTTATTATTTATGGAATTTTGAAAAACTTTTTTTGTTGTTTTTTGATTTTCAATGTAGTTTTTTAATAATTGAGCAAAGCCTAAAAAAATATAGATAGAACTGGAAAATGTACTAAAATAATGATTTTAAAATTTTTAATTTTGTTTTTTGTTGTAATTAAGTTGAAAATATTTATAGAGACTTAAAATTTGGTGAGAAAACTTTCATTTATTTTTTCTAGACATAGTAAAATTTTCAAAAAATTTAAGCCATTTTTGATCTATTTATAGACATTTTAATTTTGCGAGTTTTGTACATTATTTTTATTCAGTAGGTACTCTATGGTAAAAATGTTAGATTTGAACAGAAGTGCTTGAAAATTTAACAGGAGGTTTATTAAGAGTCTTACTTAGTAGTAAAAAAAAAAAAAAAAAAAAACTAGAATTTAATGTAGATAATACTACATTAATAGTAGTAAGTAATAGTAGTAATATCAAATTTTGATGGTTTTAATAGTGGCTGTACTTGTCTCTATTATCCTAGGACATGTTTTTTTCTTTTTTATAAGAATTGTAGTTAAATATTTGTTGTTTCTTAGAGGTATAAATTAAATAACTTTATATATCTTACCTTCCCGACTTCTCACCTACAATGGTGATTCATTATTATTAATTTAAAAAAATAGCTGATACTGCTTATAAATGTGACAATTTTGTCAGTGGGAAGTTGGAGAGGTAAATTATTGCTAACAGAATAGGATTGTGAGTAGAGCTTGGTTAAGTCATTCTTTAAAACTAGTTACACCAAAACCCATGTAGTAAAACAGCAGTATCATTCCAATACCCCATCTATACAGCTACCACACCAGCATATATAGCTTTCTCTATGAACTGGTGGTACTGTACATAACCATCTAAATTACCCCCTCACCACTATCACTAGAATGCTTGAAATTTTTGAAAGGCTATTTATTATTCTGTGGACATTATGAATATTAATAATTTAAACAGAATAAGATAAAAAAAAAAAAATCAAAAATAATGAAATCTTACATTTTCTTAGTTTTCCTAATTATTAAGAGAACTACAAGAAAAATCAAAAACTGACGGTCCCAATACACCAACTAGATCCCAAAAACATGGTACAAAAATCCCTNTGATTGGTAGGTAACATTGGACTGTTAACTCACATATAGGTCACATATTGGCCCACTACCCAAATAATAAATAAAATATATTATAATATATGAATATGTCATATGAAACAATAATAATAATAATAAAAGAAAATATAAATTTATACAAACTTGTATAAGTACATGTGTTAACAAGGTATATAACACCCCTTCTCCTCCCCTTAAAAAAACCAAAAACTTGTGCTTGAGGTAAGTCAGATCACTATATCTTATTTTACCAACTTTGTTCAATTTATTGTATAATTTTAAAACTATAACATTGTCAACCTACCATATGAAATGTGATGATCATTTAAATGATAAATTATATTTGAATGAATTTAAAATAATTTTTACAGAATTAACATATATAAAATTAGCAAGACTAAATGTCAGTTTGAACAGAATCGCATCTTTACCAGTTGAGCTGCGGTTAATGACAAATTTAGAATGTTTAGAAGTTGCTAATAATCCACTAATATCACCTCCTACATCTGTAAGATTTGCATAATTTTTGTTTTGTTATCCATTGTAAACTATTTTAACCATACTTTAAGTGTATTATGTTATTAAACCATTTTTTGTTTTTAAATATTGTAGATTTGTATTAAAGGCCGCATTCATATATTTAAATGGCTGGAAATTAAAAGCATAAAAGATGGGCGTCATCGAGGATCTTCATGGAAATTCAACTCTCTTAAAAGCTATAGTCAAAGTATAGAGGACAATTTAACTTTATCTGAAACAACTACTGCTCTTCATTCTTCAGACGAGGTTTAGTTTTATTTTTGTAATATATTAATTCAATTATTATAAATAATTGTTATGTGAATTTAATTTAGGGTGTAAATGGAAGCATGGAGTATTTGTATAAGTCTGAAAGAAAATATAAGGAACTTAATGGTTATAATAACACTAGGTTTGTAGTATAATAATATATATTTTTTTTTATGATTTATAAATAAAATAACAGAATATTAAAACTGTTTTTATTTACAGCCCTGAATTTATTAGAGTTGGTAAAAATATTGATAGTACAATTCCAATTAATAATACATCACTAATGCTTAATGATAAACCAATTCATCATACTCAAAGCTATAGGTTTGTCAAGATGATTTATAATTATGAATTGGGCCCAAATTTATATGCACTGCAATTTTTCAACAATTCAAAAATGTTGTGTTAAACATGTTGTTACCACCTATTTGGGATGGTTTATTTTGTTTATTTATTTTATCCCTATATTACTATAGTATTGGTTTCCAGCAACATTCATAAGCTATATTCATAGCTTTACATCATACATTTATTTACTCAATCCATAAAACAAAGCTATTTTGTCCTCATCATTTTTCACTTGATAAAAATAAACATAGATTAATTATATTCAAAATTTTAATAAAAAAAAAAGGAGTGATATCCCAATAAAAACCCTATGTCAACTTCGTATAAAAACCTTTCTAAGAAAAAAAAAATCAAGTTAGAAAAGTTGTAATATCAAAAAGGAAAACAATCTATGCTAAATTCATAAGCATAAGAATTGTTTATAATTGTTTGTATTTGATGAAATGCAATAATAGAATGCAAATAATTTAACTTAGCTTGGTGGCTACTCATAGTATGTACTTAAATAGTGTTATGATAATATTAATAAACTCATAAAATGGGGATGTAAATATTCATGTCGTCATTGTATCTTTATTTGTAGTCACAAATATTAGTAACCGCCAAGCTAAGTTAAATTATTTGTATTAAATTATTGCACTTCATTTCTAGACTAATGAATTTAAGAAATTACTTAGCCCCTTTTTAATATCACAACTTTTTTAATTTGAGTTTTTTTTCTTAGCGAGGTATTTATATGTAGTTTGCCAATGGTTTTTATTGAGATAGGACTTACCAGAAAAAAAAAATGTAAATGCATATAAATCCAAGCCATTATTTATTTATTACAAGCTATTTATTACATATATGTTGTTATTTGTTGTATATTTGTTATAATAGAGAGTACAAAGAGTTTCTTAAACAACAACGTACACAAGAATCTATTTATAAAAATAAAACAAAAACCACTGATAATAATTTCGACCAAAAAGTTTGTAATTTCATATTACTTTATTTTATTTTAAATTTGATTGCAACTTAGGAAATATTTATAAATTATTAACAGGATATCAGTCCATATGTTAAACCAACTACACCTGAAATAATAACAACACCCGTCAATAATCTTTCATTACAAGTACCATTAAATTCTAGTCCAAGCATATGGTCTAAGAATAATACACAAGCTACTAAAAATAAACTTCAATTTACAATGAAACGTGAGTATGAAAGAGCTAAAGAAGAAGCTGAACTTTTAAAACAGTTACGACATGTAAGTACTTATATCTTAATTATTTAATATTCATCTATAAAATAATAATTGTTTATATTTTAGACTATTGAATCACGATTGAAAATGTCTCTGCCAAGTGAATTATCTTCTGCATTGAGTGATGGCGTTGTTCTCTGTTATTTGGCCAACCATGTTAAACCTAGATCTGTTGGTAGTATTCATGTACCTTCACCAGCAGTGGTAAATGTTTTTAAACTATTTTAATTTATGCAATTTTAAAATGTATTTAATAATTATAGCCCAAACTGACAATGGCTAGGTGTAGACGAAATGTAGACAATTTTTTGGAAGCATGTCGTAAAATTGGTGTGAAAGAGGTAAACAATTTATGTATTTATGAATAATGTAATCTATACTAAGACTTTTTTATAAAATGTTTTAGAAATTAATTTGTTGTGCTGTGGATATCTTAGAGGGAAAAGGCATTGTTCAACTGGCGATTACAGTTGGTGAACTTATAAAATTTCATACTCCTAAATCTCCAGTGCAAATTGTTAATGTGCCATCACTTTTAAATATATAATTCTGTGCTTGATAATAGCCTTCAAATGATCAATTATTGACTGATAAAATCATCAACGAAACTCTATTTTAAAATTAAAGACTGTTAATTTCAGTGGTTTAGTATAAGTAAATGAAAAAAAAACCCTCAGGATTTTCATTATGAGGCTGATACTAGATTCATTTAAACATTTTTATAATCAAAACATAATATTTTAAATACCACTAATTTAGAGTACACTACTTACACTACTTATTAATCTTCCTGAGGTGTATATGATAATTTGTATTATTTTTTAAAACTTCCTATAAGCCTGTATTAAAATTTAATATATTGTCATTCCTAAATAAATTGGTTGTTTATTATTTTAAAGACATTTTTTTGGCTGTATTTAGATATTTGAATTATTATATTTTTAATGTAAAACATTTATTATTTATTTAATTTAATTGTACACTATATTTTGTTTTATAAAATATTAGTTAACTTAACTTTAATTTATATACCTACTAATAATAAAAATAAATATTTGTTTTAAAAATTAATTAAAATACTACAAAAAAATTAACATTTAGATATAATTATTTTTAATTTTTCCCAAAAACATATTTTTATTATAGATAATTAATTAATTTTTTTATTATTAGTATAAATATATCATAATTTTTTTAATTTATATTAATTTCTGTTTTCTGTGAATTATGTTTAATTTAAGCACTCATAAATCTTAATGCCTGGTCTTTGATATTGCAATAAAATAATTATTTTAAAACATCTCAATATTGTGCTGTTTTAAATAATTATTTTTGTTCAGATTTATCTATGCAATTTTAGTTTTAGGTTTATGCTTATGTAGTGAAAATGTGTGTAAATTGAAAACTCTCAATATCCTTACACAGAATGGTGCAATTTGAATTTTGTGTTTTTAGTTATTAGACTTAGTAATACACATTTTTACCCACTCAGAATTTTTTACTGTTGATGAAATATGTGGATTCTCAGTACAACTTTTTCTTTAGAAATGGTTACTCCCCACAACTCATAATTTTTCGACGACTGTACAATTTTACATAAAAGTATTTCTTATATATTTTTTTATCAATTATTGACAGGAATAAATAATGTCAACACCAAACTGTAATTAAAGTAATACTCTATCTACTTATGCAGGAAACATATTTTTAACCCACAGTTGTATTTTTTGCCATAAACATTGTGTAAAATGAAAAAAAACGTGTATACATTTCAATATTATTGTATAATCCTTTCAATGATTTTATAAATGCTTTTTAAAAACCAATCATAGATTTTGGTTATACATTTGGTCTGAGTATATCAATTTGATTTATTACTTTAGTTTAGAATAATACTTTCAATTTATTACATGTCTTCTTGGACTCTATGGAAATAATTGATATCCAAAAATACAAATTCTAATTATATTAATTAGCATAATAACTTAAATTCAGTGTATATAACAGCCTAAATCATTTAATCAGTACATTCAACTGGGAATTTGAAATTATTGTTAATCATAAACCAAATGCTGTGTTGGATAAGTTCCTTAAAAAAATAAAAGAATTTATAATTTTCAATTTTAAAACTAAAAAAAAAAAAAATAAAGGTAAACATTTTTTAAAATTAAAACCCTGGATCATTAGAGAATTGATAACTTCAATTAGATTAAGAGAAAAAATACTTTGCTGGGGTTTTTATAGGTATTAATATTTCTGAGAATATAAAAAAAAATAGGTTTTTAAAATTAGATTGAACTAGTACTAATTGATGTATAGGCATTGCCAAAAGTCTATTTATTGGTCCCCTCTTATTGAAAATGAAATAATTCATTTTCTTAAGAATATTAAAAAAAATACCAACCATAAATTTGATTACTAATAAAGTTCTTAGAAATAAATGTGATGTTATAGCATTCCCTTTATGGATTATTTTCAATAAATGTTTTTCATCTAGAATATTCCCTAATATATTTAAGTTATCTATAATTATCCCATTATTTAAAAATGGTGATGTAAAGTTATGTGATAATTACAACAAATTACTTTTACCTTATCAATTAGTAAAATCTTTGAAAAATGTATAAAAAATAGATTAATTACATTTTTAATATAATAGTATATCTTCAAATCTTAAAAGTGATAAAAAATTGATCTATTATCTATTTAAAAAGGTATAAAAAAAAATTGGTTCTAAATTTAAATATCTAGGAGTTTATATTGATAGATTTCAAATGGAACATATATATTAATCAACGACCTCTTTAAAGTACCTCCTTGTGAAATTTCCTTTTAGATCAATTGCCATCATTTTAAGTTGGAGCTAAATTGTTAGTAGAAAAGCTGTACACAGAAAAAAAAAATCGTAATATTATAAAAATATATTTCGTATGTTTTCCCGGGGAAGATTAATTTACCTATCCGGATTTTACTGATCAGACTTAACTACTCCGACCTGTGCTCCTCGTTCTCTGACCGGAATGAAATTTTGAACAATCATCCATAGACACATAGTCGAGTAGTTAACCTTATGTCAAAAAATCAGTTTTCCAATACTATTGGTTGTTTTAAATTAATTATATACATTAATAAATAATAATAGACTCTTTCCATCGATATGCATTATTGCATAATACAAAAGATGTACGTAAAATTACTGTTCTTAAGACTTTCACACGAAGCGAATCTTCACGCAGCAAACGTGATTTAAAATCGCAGCGGTTTTTAATCGCTAATTTCATTTCGGTTTCATTTATATTAAGATATCTTAATATGTCTATGGTTTCATTAGACGATTAATCACTCGATATGAGTGATTAACCTGCAAACATTATTTTCCACCAATTTTCGAACCAAACAATTGATGTTTTATTTTGTATTTAGTCGTGCAATCATCGTGGTTGTGTGAAGTGTTCATTTATAGTCATTCTGTACATACTTTTACATTTTTTTTTTAAATGGAAAAATTTAACATTATTAAACGCGTACGTGTAATTTATTATACTTAGTGTAAGTTTTGAAAACTCACTATTTTATTTTTGTTTTTTAAAGTTAACAGTTTACTAAAACTATTAAAACTATACTAAAATAATATAATATCATCAATATTAATCAACCGATATTGATAGGTGGTGATCGATGTTTGAATGATCGTGACGAACATTCGCGTCGGTTATCAAGCCGTGTGTATCAATTGTCCAACGACTCAGAAGTGATTCTAAACAAGTAGAACTCATTCTTAAAAAAAAAGATAATGAGGACAAGTGCAGCCACCGGTGTAGGTGGGAAGTTGGAGGTAATATGATACAGACGGGAATTTAATGTATATCTGTAAGCAACAATTGATTACGAAAAAAACGATTCTGAGCTAAGTTCAGTAAATAGTGATGCTTTGTCAAGAATATATATGTCATATTATAGTAAAATAATTAAATAGGTTTTATTTATTTTCTTTAATTATATTTGTTTAATATTGTACCGATTTTCCCAGTTTTTCTACGTTTTTCCTAGTTTTCCCATGTTTTATTCCGGTTTTTCACATTTGCTGGGAAAACTTATAAGAAATTTAAAAAATGACCTCTCTAAAATGCATAGAAAATAGAAGGCCTTAATATATTTAAACTAATGCTTACATTTCTTATATTTTCCCGATTTTTTTCTTATTATATTCCTAATGTGATATAAATTACAAAAAATTGAAGGAAAAAATAGGGGGATGGGACGACTGCACCATTCGCAGGACGCGCCTGGTCGGAATAAACAGGACTGACTTAGTTTAAAAATCATAGTTTTTTGAAGATTTAATATTATGCGGAAATTGTTTGTTTTAAATAACTCAATATTGTCATTTCGTAGTATGTATGTCGTAGTCTAATGGTGGTATAAAAATAATAATTTATTCAAAATGGATAATATGTATCTGATTGAAGTTTAAACCTAAAGAGCAGTACAAATTTGTTTGCAAAACCACGTCGGGTAGGTAACTGGGAAAAAACAAAATAATTTTGTTTCAAAAAATCAAATTGAGTGTAATGTAGTATTTTGACGAAAATCGTAATTATTACGGTCTTTCAAAACATGTATAACCGAACTTCGCTCCGAATCGTTTTACGTTATCAATGGTTTATCATTGGTTACAGTCTTAGATTATATACTATGGATAGAGCTACTACATGATAAACGTGTACTATGAGTTGAAGACATCATTATTAACGAGTGCTAAGAGGACTGATATTTATGGCACATGTGTTTCAATACTCGTCGCATATTTATCATTTAATCATTATAATAGCACCAGGCCGTGATGGTAGGTACATCACACTTGATTACGTAAATGCGACCAATGGCGTGATATAAATTTTGGGCATTTGTCCTAACTTCCCTTATTTATGTTTACTTCAAATATTTAGTCAGTAGCTCTATCCATAGTTTATGATCTAAGATTAGATAGGTATAAGTGTTGAATAACTATGTATTCCACCTTTCACACCACCGACCTATAATAGTGGCCGCACTCATCCCCAGTATCGGCTCTTATTTAAATTGTGGCGTAATCACTTATCAATTATGGTTGTAACTGTTACACCACGGTTTTATATATACGGTGTATTCATTATCATTAGAGAAGTGTTGTGTTCTATAATCTATAATTTGCGGCGTCAATTCATATCTGGAGTCTCAGAGTCTCAGGCTAAAGAAAAATTATCTTCTTAATTTTTAATTTAAAATGTTTTCAATTAATTTCGATTCGAATTGTTTGCATATTGTTTTTCATAGTATAATGTTTTGTGTTTACATTTGCTTTGCACAATATATACCATATGTCATGTGACTGATGTATTTTTTAGAACCATGTGTGGAAAAAAGTCAGCCCTTGTATTATATCCTTTAACCAAACTCACTAGTTTGTTGAAAAAGCATATTTCAGAACATGTAAGTTTATTTTGTTTTTGTAACAACGAGTTGATCTTATACAAACTTAGGTTACACCTAGTGCAGCTAATTTCAGAGTGATTTTTGACTTTTATTAACAGAATTATTATAATACAATATCCCGTTAATGTGAATAATCATCAATTATTATTTTAATTTAATGTTTTGATATAAAAAAAAAAGAATGTAATGCAGATATACTTGAAGTTAAAGTTCCATATCAATTTTAACAAAATTCATATCTGATCTTAAACATAATACGGTAATTGTAAAATCAAAAAACTCTGTGCACCTTTAGTTTCAAAGTTATTACCTTTTTAAATTACTGATTTGTATTTATTAAATAGTAACGCAGTAAGGCATGATGGGGGGCAGCCATCAATAAGTACTTAAATATTGAACAAATTGACTAGCACTTCAAAATTTTTACCATTAACTTTTTATGCTTGATTTTATATATTAAAATAGGTGAATAAAAATTAAATTTGCTATTCAAAACTTTATTTTTTTTCTTTCTAAATCATACAAACCTAAAAACATGAGTAAATCTTCAAATAAATAATACAAATTATTTTCATTTTTTAAAATAAACAATAGTCAATGCAAATGTGGATTTCTACTTAGTACTTTAACATGCTTTTATTTTTGATATTAGCAATAAATAAATATGAGTATTATGCATAATACAAACCTTATTTTGTATCTAATAAAAATAAACAAATTGACTAGTTTTTGATTAACAACTAATAAATATGAAATAAATAATATATTTTAACTTTTTAAAACAAAAAAATATACAATTATTTTGAATAGTCTTTTATAATACTTTTTTTAGTAACTATAAGTTAATATAGGTAAATAGTCTTACAAACTTACTAAATTTATTTTTCTGTTTTGAGAAGCAAATTTCTCAAAGTCGGTCTAATTTACTGAACTGTTAAACTGGATCCACAGACTACTTCAGTTTAATAGTAAGTAGTCCTGTACTAGTACTCGAAACTAACAGGTTATTTAAATATGGTAGATTTCATCACATATACAAAGTTTCATAATTTCTGGTCATGTTTTATAGATTTGAGAGCAAATAGGCCTCAGTTCAGCAATTCAGCAAATTAGGCATTGCCAATTTCTTAGTCAGTTCATTTAAATATATAATATTAAGTGAAAATAGCGAAAAATGTTCCCATTACCCCCCCCCCTCTCCCATAAATACACTACTGTTATTAAGTGTATGCTCTACGGCAGCGGTTCTCAACCTTTTTATATCATTCTTTTATAATTTGTAAGTAGATACCAATTGATAATGCCGCACCTAATATATTTGCACCTTTTTCGCTTAGAAAAATGTATAATGTTATTATAATATGTAGGTATTCAATATTTTTAGTTAAAAAACTAGGTACCTACATATAAATTATACAAACATTTACATTTATTACTCAATAAATTAAATTAAGTAGATATTAAATTATTTTTTTATGTACAATTATTTGTATTATTATAATGATTGTAGTTCAAATACTTTAATAAGACTTAGTGTTTGACTTAACAAGGACATAAATATAGGACTCCATATTATATTGATAACTTATAGTCCAGAATCTTTCTCCACGTTCAATTTATTTTTAATGGTATTTAATAAGAGAGATGTTTATTTTTTCATATTTAATATATGAAAAAGTTTATTTTTGCACATATTTATGTTGACATGAAAGCGTTTAGAATCTATAAAGTTTATGCGGACAAGTCTTCAGTCATTAATTTAGTATGTTTTTTCAATATCTATAATAAATAATAACATTTTTTTTTTAAAAAGCGAGATTTCTTTTACTTCTGTTCTATGAATCACTGCTCTACTGCATTTAAAATACGTATGTTTAGGGTAAATTTAACAAAAATACCTTTTTATTTGAAAGAGTGTCAATTATTCTAAATGTATTTTATGTATGTTACATTTTATGGTTACATTTTTTGTTACGAACTCGAAAAACTATTAACATCACCTATAATTTAGTTGATCCGGACACTAGGTTCTAGGGTACACACCCAAAACATTGAAAGGTTGTTGGGTTCTGTTAAATGGGGAAATAAAGAAATGTTCTGGAATTGTACTTGATAGAATTCATATAGAGAAGATAACTTGGAGAATTATGCGTTTGAAATTATCTTAAAAGATGTCTCTGAGATTTGGCCTCTATCCTAATTTAAAATAATTTTTGCTATATCATATATCATTTTTGCTATTATAATATATAATTTAATTAATTTAATAATAATATTTTGTTTACAATTTTACATTTTTAAATACAATTTATTATGTTTTTTACATTTTTCCTAAAATAATATACAATTAATTATGTATACTTTTATTTTTCGTATTGTTTGGTGGGGTGATAGCAAACAAGACTATAGCGGGACAATAAATTTATTATAGCATAGTGGCTGGGCGATAACAAACAAGTATCCATTTTTTTCCATACATTTTGTCCATAAATACTTTATAATTTTTAACTCTGTGGAGTACCTCTCTTTTTTTCTGAAAAATGTTCCCAAAAGAATTCCTATTCTGCTCAACTGAACATTAAATATTTCTTTTTAACTTGTGTTCAACAACATTAATTTGTATCAAATTTACAAAGTGAATATTGAAATATTTATTAAATATAAAATGTTTACTCAGTTAAGTGATGAATGTTTTGTCTTTTTTTTAAAATTCAGAGTTTCCAAGTGTCTATTTCATTGGGTTTTGTTGTCAGTACTACATTATTACTGGTTTTCGGAAGTTATTGGAAAAGAAGAAAATATTCTAAATCAGCACCTGTTATAAAACATTTTTCTTATGACAAACGAAAAGCAAATATTGACATACCATCAGGTATTTGTGTAGGTAGCTATTGATTAAAAACTAATCATTTTTAAAATTTTTATATTTTTTTCAGTATCTAGTTTTAGAATTTTTAGAACTTGTCACAGATCACTAAGCCCTAGTATAAAATCAACTAACCGACAAACATCTGTGATTTCTTCAGTCCAAGATTCCCCTAGTCATTACAAATCATCTGAAGTAAAATATACAGCCCCACAGCAACTAGGCGTTATGGGTGAGAAATATTCATTACATTTTATTATTATTATTATAACAATTTGCAATAATTTCCTTTTTTTGTTTCAGGAATGGAATCGTTAGCTTGTAGTATATCGTTTTGGGAGGATGCATTATTAGCATTCTCTGGTAATAATTCAAATGAATTTTCCAATAGATTAATGTCCACTGAAGATTCACAATTTTGTAAAGAACTTCAATTATTAGTAGACTCTGCTTATTCATTACAAGATCAGTGTCAATTACTTTTCCTAGATCAAGTAAGATTTAAATTGTGCATTTTGTATGAGAAAAAAACAATGTATATTACTTATTCTACATTTTTATTTTACAAACAAATTATATAATCTGCAATTGAAAAAGAAAAGCATTAATATAGGAAAGAAGAGGAATCCCAACGGTATCAATTTGAATATTTGAACCACCTACATGTACTCAGTCCAAAAACATACATAAAGAGTATTGTGTGTGTATATATAAAATCTAAATCTTATATTAGTATTTATTCACAAATAGTTATTTTAGTACTATACAGTGAATGTATATTGTCAATTATTTAATAAAGTTCTCCAAACCAGGTATGTTTTAAAAATGTGGTTTTAATATTTAAGATTCTTTTGGATAAGAAAGCTATGATATTGTGGTCTTGTATAGTTGTTTGTGAGATATCATTGATTTGCAATAGGCTTTGTGTGGTGTTCAAAATGTAGAGGGATCTCTTACCTCCTATAATATCTTTGGTTGAAATTTTTAGAAAATAGGTAAGTGATAAGATTTTATTTTTATTAGACTAGTAAGAAAGACAATTTTGTATAGTGAGTAGATTTGCAATATATTATGTATGTTTTTGAATGAGTTAATATATCTCAGTAAACAGAAATCATTTTGTTTTTGTCTGTATTGATACTTCTGGTACATATGCATTAGACATTCATTTTTAGCAAATACCGTTGGGTTGGTTGTGTGAAAAATATAACTGAAATGTCATTGACCATTTTCTATAATTTATTAATAAAATATTATATAAATAGGTATTTATTTATTTTTTTCAAATTTAGAGATCCGTATTATTTCGTGTTAGGCAAAATGGAAATGAAAATTTGAAATTTGATGACCGTAGATCATCTGTGGACAGTTTCGTATCAGCACGCACAGATGTAAGTAATTTGTTTTAATAAAAATTGAAGTTCAAATACATATAATAGTTTGAATTTGTAAGTGATATAATTTTTTTTAATGCTTATTTTATGGTTTAAACTAGTGATTTTTAAACTGGGGTCCTGGGGTGGCTATATCAGTGGTTCCAGTCTGGGCATAGAATGGTATATGTGCATTAATGAAATTGTGGGGTTTATTTAAAAGTGTATTATTAACTTGATATTTTATCTTATCTTTATTATATTGGCTATGGTGATTAAGTATAATGGGTATAATAGGTACCTAAACCTAATCATTTTATTGTTAGTATTTATTTATCAGTTTGTCTTGTTTATATGAAATGTACAGCATTTCAGTCATATATTTTTACTACCATTAAGTACAGTACTTAATTACTACACAATATTTGTTTAAATCATCTTAAAGGAATTTAAGTTAAAATGGATCACTGGCTAATTTAAAACAAAATAAATAGTTAACAAAACTTTGTAAGTATTATAGTAATTATCTGTCAATGGATTTCACATATACTGGATTTGAAGAACATAAATATCAATGTGTGATATGTTTTGAGGTATTATAAATCGAGGCTTTGAAACCGATAGAACCCACTTGAAGCATAAAGAATATGTTATAAAAACCATTAATTTTTTTAAAAATAAGAGTAAAATTTGATAATTCATCATAAAAAGATATCCTAGGACCTAGGATAATGCGGACAGGTGCAGCTATTGTTACAGATAATTTATACCTATAAGTAAGGATAAATCATTAATTGATTCTGAGTAGAGTTAAGTTGATAGTGATGCTTTGTTAACAATATATGTGTCATTTTATAGTAAAAAAAAACAATTAAATAGGCTTTATATATATTTTTTAATAATAATTGTTTAATATTCTACCGATTTTCCTAGTTTTCTTACTTTTTACTCTGTTTTCTCATGTTTTATCCCGGTTATTTAAATTTGATGAGAAAACTTTTGAGAAAATCTGAAAATGACCTCTTCAATATACCTCCAAAGTGAAATTTATTTTTTGAAACATTGTTATCATTAATAGTTGGAGCAAAATTGCTGGTAGAAAAGTTGTTCGCAAAACAAAAAAAAATAAACATCTTTGTAAAACCATAAAATTCTTCGTTCCACTCAGAATATTAAACTGCAACTGACTGTATAAATGAAAATGCTGTAAAAGCATCTTTGCAGTTTCTTTACTTATTGAGATATCATGATTCAGAATACATATTACCCCATATGAAAGCTATGGTTTCTGTAATGGTTAGTGAAGAATCTGCAAATAGCTTAAATAAAATTGCTGGTTCATCAAGAAATACTAAAGTAATAACAAATCAGTATTACTGTGCTATGTAAGTTAAGAATAAAAAAATATCATTTATATATTTTATTCATAGCCACTGTAGTACACACAATGGTAAAAGAAATATTGTGTAAAATAAATGAGTTCATGATACCATTATGGCATCATTGCTGCATTCATCATGAAGTCAGTGTTTCAAAAAAGATGAATTTGTGAATTTTTAATATGTATGTACTTAGTTAAGTTGAATACAAGGGACATTTTAGCATTGATTATAAATTTACCTATTAGTGTAATAAAAATAATTATAAATGTTTATGTTTCTATTTACCTACTTATGTGATTTGTAATATAAAATAAGTTAAAATATTGATTATAATAAAATGATACAGTTTGTTAAAAAAAAAAAGGTATTCAAAAGAAAATTGGTTTGGGTCCATAATTTCTAAGTCTCTCATTAAGGGTCCTCGTTTTATAAAAGTTTAAAAACCGCTGGTTTAAACCATGGTTTTTTCTAACCATAATTTAGACTAAGCTGTATATTTATTTTTAGTGAAACAAATTTTGTACAATAATTCAAACAACTAATTATTCATTAATAATTAATAAATTATAAAATCATTTTGATAACGAGCTTGGCTTATATAATTATGTTTTAGATGTGATAGATTTCCTCTAACTTGTACTGTTCTTCTCGGAGGAGGTGTCCTCATTGGTATTCAAAAAGATATCCCATCTTTCCTTATTACCGTTCCTGATCTAAATGTTGAACATTTGTTTTCCATTGGGAAAATTAACTACTTACTTTGTTATGTTTATATTACTCAAAAGAAACACTGTTCTACTTCTGATATTCCAAAAACATTAACCCTTAATGGTGCTTGCTATTTTATTGAACAGGATACAGCTGAAATGTTTGCATCATACTTCAAGTCTGTACTCATGTGAAGTAATTAATGATGATTTGAGTAATGCAATTCCATTTTTTGACCTACCAAATAATGTATACTTTAATGTTTTTCAAGGTCTTTCTAGTTTGCGTGGTATCAAAACTATAGGCCCTGATGGTCTTCCAGTAGTTTATCTTTATCAGTTACGCTTTATTATAGCTTATCCCCTTTTTTTAATTTCTTTAGATGACAGACATTTTCCTTCAATTTTAAAATTCAGTTCTGTCACATTCATCCATAAATCTGGTAATAAATCCAATACTATTAACAATAGACCTTTCTTCGTTTAATCTCATTTATTCAAACTATTTGAATTTTTGATCTCGAACAGTATTAAACCATTAGTTATATAATATCCTCATTGAAGAACAATGTTGGTTTGATTGGGTAGATCAACAACTACCTGCAACTTAGTTTTTTCCAATTTTGTGTTTGAATTTTTTATAAACGTTCTCAAGTTGTTTTTAAAATTATCTGGTGTCCACTCAAATACGTTTTCAACAATGTCTGGGGTACAGTAAGGTGGACATTTATCATTGATTTTATTCTCATTTTTTGTCAATAGTGTAAGTATTGCTTTGACTATTATATTTTAGGTGTGAAAATCATAGTTATTGATAATGTAGTTGATCTTTGTTTTAAATTGTCTAGAACCCTAAGTCTAAATCTTCATGTTTCAATGATTTCCAATAGAGTAATTAAAGTTTTAAGGTTCATAATCTTAATACTGTGAAAAATCTAAAATCTTTATACTGTGCTCTAGTTTATCTTATTTCAGAATACGGATTTATACTGTTTATAATTCTGATTAACTCAGATTAACATTTAACAAAGATTTTTGAGATTCGCTTGTTTTGTTTTAGGAATTTCCCATTTACCTCTCAATTATGTCAATATCACTGAACTACTTGACCTACCTACTTTTGTATGAATGAAGAAGAATATTAAATTTAAAATGTATTTGCGGTTTGATAACTAACCAAATTGTTTCTCCATCCTTGCTATCCCAAATCAATTTTAAAGTCTCTTCCCATTCATCATTTTCAAAGAACCTTTCATATTTCTCGCGCCAACTCAAATTATTTATAAATTGAGCCTCTAAGAAGCATTATGTCACTTGCCAATGAGGACCCCTCATTTGATGTTGGTTTGTTTTATGTTAAGATGTATTAATATTTGTACTTTTGTAATTTATATTTATTGTTTAAGAATATCTATAGACCTATAATGTATTATAATATTTGTTGTTGTATGGTTACTTTTATGTAAAAATGGTAACCCTTATATTTATATTTATAAAAATAAGTTGTATATTTATTTTTAATAAACAAATTTTGTACAATAACTTAAACATAACTAATTATTCATTAATAATTAATAAATTATTAAATAATTTATTATTTTGGGGATATTTTGTAATAATATTTTAAATAAAATAATGTGTTACCCTTACATAACTATATATATAATATTTAACATTATCATAACCAGTATAGTTAATTAATATAATGTTTACAGGTAGCCAATTTAAAAGAATTTGAAGATATTAATTTTGACAACTATTATTTGTATCAGGATGCATTAAGATATGTTGAAACTGATGGCATAATATGCAGGTTTATATTAGATATTTATTTATTTTTATAGATAACCTAATACTTTGACATGTTTAATATTTTAGAAGTTATCGTACAACTATGGTTAACTGCATTTCAGACAGAGAATATGTCTGCAAATTGCATTGTATTCGCCAATCATTTGAGCATTTATTTAAGACGGATAACAATTCTACTTGGTTTGCTGATTCTGGCAGACGAATATTAACTAACATATTTTTATTCGCTGAGAAAGTAATGGTTTATTCTCTAAATTATTAATAAAATATTGATTTATATATAACATATATAATATATTGAATCCTAGGATCCAAAAGATTTTCTTTTAGCTTATGAAGAGATGTTATGTTGGGCAAAAATTGATACAAATTGGATTGAAGCAGAATCTGAATTGTCCATGAGAGGTGTAAAAAAAATGACTTTTTATGATATTGTTATGGATTACATTTTAATGGATGCATTTGAAGACTTAGAAACTCCACCTACTTCTGTTATAGCTGTCATTCAAAACCGTTGGTTATCAAAAGGCTTCAAAGAAACTGTACTGCCATATTTTTTTTATTTATATATTTCTTAAAATAATTACTATTTATTTTATTTTTGTTCAGGCTTTATCAACTGCTGTATGGTCAGTACTTCGTGCTAAACGAAGTAAGCTTAAATACCCTAATGGTTTTATGCACCATTTTTACAATATTTCTGAACAAATGTCTCCACTCCTAGCTTGGGGATTTTTAGGCCCTGATGAAGAATTGAAAAATATTTGTTTGTTTTTCAAGGTACATATTTATTTATTTTCTATTTGATTGATTCATTCATTTCTCAAAATTCATTATTTGCTTTCTAACTTTAAATTAAAAATCTAATATATAAAATACATGTTTTAAAAGTTATTAAACATTCAGAGTCTAACAATAAAAATGATATCAGACATCAAATTTTTATATTATTCAAAATATATAACATATGATTTGTTTTTAAAGCAACTGTGTGTTTTGTAATACATTATAAATATTAACTATTTAATTTAATCAATAATTAAATTTAACTCTTATTCTTAAAAATATGTATTTAAAAATGTTTATAAATATTTTGTTTTTAGGATCAAGTAATTGAATTGATGCGTGATATATTTAGCTTTGAAAAATGCCGATATACTACAAAAGAGGATTTGTCAAATGATATGTTTGAACAATTTAAAATACGATCAGAAAATATCTACAGAATGATTGAATCAAAGAACTCTTTAGATATTATTAAGAAATAAATGTTAATATTATATATAATAAGGATTACCATCTAAAGCAAAAAAAGGATTTATTATATAATGATAATATATAATTGTGCAAACTGTTTTATTATTAATATTTTTTTTTTGTAACATTTACAACAATTTATTATAAATTATTTTTATTATAACTTAATATCAACTTATTTATTAAATTTATTTATTATAGAGTTCTAGTTCTCATTATAATTATTATGATTCAAATAAATGTTGAGTTTTTTTTACATTAAATAATGATAGAATTTGTATGGAATTTATTTGAAATAAGCTGAATAAGAAAAAAGTTGAATTTATGAAGTTTTTTTTTTTATACTGTGTACAAAAATGTTACCATAAATCTTGCTCAGATATTATACAAGCGTGGCACCATTTCTGAAAGGGAATGTTATCCAAGTGGTACTTTTGGGAGGTCATTTTTTGATTTTCCAAATAATTTTCATAATATCTGGGAAAAACCCGGATAAAACGTAAGAAAAACGGGAAATGTACAAAATTAATGCTTTTATTATTTTATCAATTTTGTTATTTGTTGTAATTCAGTTAAAAATATTTGTAAATAATTGAAATTTGGAGAGAAAATTTATATTTGCCTTTTCTAGGTGTGGTAAAATTTTCAAAAAATTCAAGCCATTTTTGAACTATTTATAGACATTCTAAGTTTGCGAGTTTTGTACATAATTTTTATTCAATAGATACTTTGTGATAAAATTGTAAGACTTGAACAGAAATGCTTGAAAATTGAATAGGTGGTTCATTAGAAGTCTTACTTTGTGGCCAAAAATTAATGAGTTTAATGTAGTGTTTGTTTTTATAAGGGAATTTTGATACAACATTTTGACAAAAATTGTCTGAGTAAAAAATTATGTGGAAAAAATCTAATTTTTCAATATTTTTTTTTTCAACCATATGTGTGATGCTGATTTAAGTATGACGGTGAAATAAGAATTGAGTAAACTGACTTAATTTTGAAATTAAAGCTTTTGATATTATGAAGTACTGATATTATATGTTGTGTTAAATAACTAAATATTGTCATAGCCGAATGGTTAAACATACCTAGGGTTTATACACAGTGTTTCGAAAAAAATGTTTGCACTTATTTTTTCACTTTTACTTCTAGGTATAACTAGAGACCCGGACTATTTTAAGTGACCAAAATCCCTAGATTTGTTGTGCAAACTTTTAGAAATCTTTCTTCGATGAATCAAATGTTTATTTTCTGAAAGGAAATTTTATCTCCATGATAACTTAAGGAGGTCATTTTTCCCAGGGGTTTACTCAACAAATGTGAAAAACTGAAAAAACAGGGAAATGTACAAAATGTAGGTATTACTTGAAAAATATTTCGGACTTCAATTTTCCCGTAAGCAACTTTTTTATTAGCAATTTTGCTCCGATTTACAATGATACCACTTTTTTTTTAAGAAAATCTGACCAGAAAGGTACTATGGGGAGATCATTTTTTTTCATTTCCATTTTCCCAAGAATTTTCCTAGCATATGTGAAAAACTGGGAAAAAACATAGGAAAACCGGGAAAAACAAAGGAAACACGGGAAAATCGGTACAATATTAAACAAACATTATTAATTATAATATTTAATGACTATTTAATTATTTACCATAATATGACATATTGTTGACAAAGCATCACTATTAACTGAACTGCGTTCAGAATAGTTTTTTCGTTAGCAATGGTTTATCATTACTTACAGATATACATCAAATTACCCATAACAGTAGTTGCACCTGTCTGCATTATCCTAGGAGATCTTTTTTTAATTGAAATTAATTTCTTATTGACTATTGTTATTTATACAAATGTACATTAATTTTTGAACAGAACTTGCAATTTTCTGTGATTTTGGGGTCATCCCTTTCCTTGTCCACGTTGTCCCTTGTTAACGTTTTTTAAAATTATAATACTAAATAATTCGATTTTTTAAGACAGATAGATTAGTTTACTAAATTTTTTTTTGTATGTTTATTTTAAAATATAAATACATAATAGTTGATCAGTTGCATCCGATGTGATTGGTAGTGCTTCGTTAAGTGCGTTCTGCTATCTTATATCTGTTTATAATAATAAATTATTTATAATTAATAATAATTATTATTATAGTATACTGTAGGAATTATTATTTTAAGGTTAATAACTTAACAATGTTTTTCTCAGTGTGTATCGAAGACATATTTTACATCGATGAAATTAAATGCACAAGCTTTAAGGAGTTTTTACGCTAAAAGTAAATTTTCTTGTTCCAAATGTAAAACAAATACGGTGGGAGTCACAAAGCACAAAGACAAAAATATCTTGATTGAAGCAAATGATTCATTATTAATACTAACCCGATACGTTAACTTCCTTAGTAGTCAATTTGATGACTTTGAGAAACAGTTAAGGGAAGTATTAAACAATATTAAAGAACTAAAAAATGAAAATATATTACTCAAAGTAAAAAATTAAGTTCTACACAATGAAATAGATATCTTACCAAGACGGGCAAATACAATGGAACAAAAGTCTATATTAAATTATATTGAAATAATTGGATTACCAAAAAGTAAAAACGAAAATTGTTTAAAGATAGTTGAGAATATTGTACCTAAATTGGATCAAAAAGTTTCAGTAATTACAACCTATCGTATGAATTTAAAATCTAAAAACATATCTACACAAATTGTAGCTGAGATGAGTTCTTTCGACCAAAAAAGTAAATTGATGGAATCCTTGAAAAAGAAAAAAAAAATTAAAGCAAGCTGTGTTAATGAAAGTTGAATGGAATCAGGTACTTTTGTGAATAATTATTTTACTAAATATAATAGTGACCTATTTTATAAAACGAGAATGTTTGCAAAGGAGAATAATTATACATTTGTCTGGTTCAAAGTTTCAACATTTTTTATTAAAAAAATGAAAAATCAAGGGCTTCTATTGTCTATCATCGTCGTCGTGCAAAAAGTGAGTAAGTGAAATATTAACATTGTTGATAAACTACAATTTAATATTCAAAATAGTCTGAAAATTCACAAACTTATTCGATTTTAACAAGTTTTATCTTGAAAAATCCGTGAAAAAGTAAAGAATTTTAACCTAAATTATATAATTTTATAATCTATTATATATATACAATCCAAATACCACTGACTCACTGATCGTTGTATCTAAAAGTACGCACTTAAAATTTGGAATAGTGGTTCTTCTAATACTTTCACTGTGCAATAAGTAGGAATTTTTAAAAATTTAACCCCTAAGGAGGCAAAATAGAGGTTTTTAGGTATATTTGGTACGAATATCTAATTGCTTATTTATTTATTTTTGTTCATTCAAGGGTTACCATGGTGTTACGGAAAAGAAAACTATTATAATAATAATAATAATAATTATTATTATTACTATTATTTGCACTATTAAAATTTCACAATAGAACACATTTAGTCCGCCAAAGGTGGACTAAATGTGCGTGACTCACTTTCCACCTCTTTGTTTTCATTAAATTCTAACACGGCTAAAACCAAAAATTAATATGGGTAAAATAATAATAAAAATTGTTACGGGTAACGCCGGGCGCGAGACAGCTAGTAATTACATATCATCACAGAATCAGCGTGTAATAGTACTAACAATGATAACAGTACCTATAACTGCATTTTTTTGTCAGTATTGCATTGTAATAAAACTAACCAAGGGCACTAGGCCATAATTGAATGTTACACTAAATGTATGTAAAAACTGATTAAATAACTTCGACAATTTTTCCACAGAGAAAAAGCAAATTTTAACACTTGGTCAAAAACAACTATCATAACTTGTAAACTATATTTCTGTAAATTTCACTCAGTCGTTTTTTTCATAGTTATAGGAGGACTATCTATATAAGGACTATTTAGCCATATTATTGCACTTTGACGTTGACAATATCTGATCTATTAAATGTCTAGAAACTTGCACATTTAATTTAACTATCTTTTTTCTTTTTCTATTGATTTGTTTATGTATATTTTGTAATTTAGAAGTATTCAATATTTCAATAACAAATATTATGAATTTTTTTGTAAATTATTTAACGCAGTATTTTAATACCATTACAGAATTCATACAAAGTTTTAATTTTACTAATGTTAATTTTTTTAATGAATTTAGTTGCAATATAAGGAGTGTTAATGCATATTTTTACGAATTATTGTTTTTATTAGAGTATAGGTTTGAAAAGATGCAGGTAATAAGGATTTTGGATGAGCAAAAAAAAGAGTGTTTCCGCTGGTTGTACCCAGAGAAGTGAGGATTTAATGAAAAAGATTTACGCGTCTCGCGTCTTATTCAATATGCGGACCCTTGGCCTTGACCCTCGGACCCTGGTGACTTCCATACGATCGCCGTAGTGGTTACGGGGGGGGGGGCGCAAGTGTATGGCCAATGCGTGTAATTAATTTTGTAATAATTTTATGGTGTACTTATGTGGCAACACTGATATATTTTGTGATGGAACTGGTAATTGTACCTAATACGTCACTTTACTAGTTTATTTTACAAATATTAGATATTTAATGTATTATATTATTTTGATTAGACTTAAATGATTCAACGTAATATTTATTTTTTTATTACATTTGATAGACCAATTTTTGGTTGACTCATGATTATATTTATTTATTTTAGTTTAAGAACCTCTGATTAAAATACATGAATTGCGTCCTGGATTTTTCGGGACGCAATTTGTGTATACCTTTTTTATTGGACGCAACTCATGCGCTCCCCATCTTATAGTAGCCGGTAGATCGCATACTATACCCGACAGCCTACCTGTGTCCTAATCGCCATGTTATATCCAGTCTGCCGAAGACGGATTATCCACCCGCCCCGATTATTCACTTACAAAAAGAATTGACATCTAAACATTATCCAAATCCCTGTATTTTAACTACTTCGATATTCTACCTATTAGTTAGCGGGACAACTAAATTTACAATTTAAGACTTTGCACTTCTTTGACCACAAAGTACGGCTTATAATGTACTTTCTGTTAAATTTTCAAGCATTTCTGTTTGGTCTAATATTTTATCCATAGAGTTCTTACCGAATAAATGTTACCAGGCCCGTCGCGAGAAATTTTTCGCCCTCGGCAAATATAATGTCGCCCCTTCCGTCAAAAGCAAAATATGTGTAGTACATAATTTTAATAAATTATTAATATAATGAATAATAATACTTAAATTTTTGGATTTCTGTAGGTTTCAATACAAATTGTGTGAAACTTCCTATTTGTTTATCAATGTATTTTTAATTAACTCGATTAATATAATAATTAATATAAGAAAATGTTTTTAAATAATGGCCAATCCTAATAATTGTATTAGCCTAAAAATGAACATGAATCCATGATAAATGTGTAATATAGTAAATATGATACAGTGGTGGATCCGGGGAGGGTGCAGGGGGCGCGATACTCCCTAATTTGGTTGAAAAGAGATGTTCCATAAAATAATTGTATAAGAGTATACGACGTTTTTTTATATCTTGAATCGCTGGCCGGCAGCCTGTGAAAGAAGTATGTGTCGTGTGGTCAATTTAAACGTTTATAAATTCCATGAAATTTAATAACTAAATTGAATCTATTGTGATCATTATTTGTGTTAAATCTAAAAATAAATATATTTTTTCGACCATATGCGATTCCGACAAAACACTAGATAGGTTAGGTTAGGCTTAAAAGTGATAGACATAAAATAATAATAATATTATAAAATTGACTATTAGGTAAGATAATAGATACCTACCTACTTAAATCTTTATTGCTCTTACATTACTAGTATTGTTTGGAAATGTGCTATTCATCTTTTGAATTTATTATTGATTGTCAACCAATGATTTGCTGGATTTTGTTTAGTTCATTAGTCGTGAATCTTAATACAACAATTTTTTTACTATAAATAATGCCGCTTTAGTTTCATTGAATATGTTTCCATCTTTAGGAAATGGCTTAACATATTTGTGTCCTAGCGACGAACCTGAATGTTACGTAAACAACTTGCAAAATTCTACACATAGCTCAATAATAGCGCAAATGTTTTGAAAATATGATCACGTTCATAAAAGGCAAATATAAGGATTCCGTCTAAATATAAAATCTACGATTATTTTGAACTGATATTCAACAAAAAAACAAAATTGAAAATAATAAAAGCATTATTTTCGTAAATTTTCCCATTTTGCCTACGCTTTTTTCCGGTTTTTGCCATTTATTATGAAAACTGCTTGAAAAATCCAAAAATGACCTATTTAAGGTAGCATTCAGATAAAATTTCTTTTCAGAAAAGGTACTACACTTGAAAATCAGTGTAAGATTTTTGGTAAATAAGTTATTTAGAGATAAAAATGAACACCACATTGTAAAACTAATACACTACTCGCTTCGCTCAGAATCTAAAATATAAACCATCATTGGGCAACGAAAAAATATATAAAAGTTTATGGTTAAATTCATGAATGAAGAAAATACTGTGGCCCTTGGAGTTTTGTAGCCTGGGGCCACTGCTCTTCCTTAACTAGACATCCCATACGTTCCGTATTCGAACTAAGCGTTCCAGTTGGTGTCCCGACCAAATGTTTTAAACAGTACTATTTTGAATCACCCGTTTCACGTGTCCCTGAATTTCTCTTAATTCATAAATTATATAATTTAAAGTTGTTTTATTAATAATATCTAAAGTTAAATCAATTCATTTTAAATGCAAAATATATTAAGATTAAATAAATTAAGATTAATCGTTATAATTACTTAAAACTTAAGTTTTTTCGTCGTTTCTTTTTGACTGGCACTTAGCACGCCTAGGGCCTAGCAGTAGCCGCGTGTTATCACGAGATTCGGTAATAAGTATCACTGTAACCAAATTACAGTTTTGAAATATGTTAATATATTAATATATCAGTTTGGTTTCAACATTATTTTAGGTACAAAAAAACTACCTAAAAAGTAAAAATAAATTGTTCAATTTGATCGGTTAAATTTTGAGTTACGGATTATATAGTTTTGAAGGCTACGTATATACCATTACCCCCTCCCGACACATTGTTTATTGCAACATAAGTGAATTTTAAGCACCTTTGAAAATGTCCGTATTTATAATAATTGAATCTGGGATCACTATCCTAAACCCCCTCTTAAGCCTTAATCCGAGCTTGATTGTATTGTAGATGTGTAGGTATGTTCACCTACCTACCTAAATAGTCATTGATGTTAATCTTGGTGTAATTGTTATAGCCAATGGTTGTAAAAACTAATGCGCTTTGACTATAAGCGCGTGCTCGTGCGTCGTGTCCGCCGTCGCTGCCCACCGACGAATTAAAACCGTTGGCGTTTATTTTTAACGCTCGCTCGCGACGCATACGTCACGTGTACGCGCAAGAAACGTTTATTTTTATTATTTTTACATTATTATTATTATTATTATTTATACGACGGGCGTGTACGAGCGAATGACGACGTGCTCAAGGATCCCAGAAAATGTAATTCTATACTATATCAGTTGTAGCTAGTGATGTGTCGTCGGTACACATAATAATAATCGGCGGCGGTGTCGGCGGGGCGTGTGTTTCTATTTTTAACGGACCTAGTACAAGGCAGCCGTACAGCCGTCGCGTAGAGATGTTACGACAACAGTGCGTAAGGGAGAAGGCCGGGCGCGCGACCGTCGCCGTATAATATTTAGTAGTGGTATTCGTTTTGTAGATCGGTTTTCCACCGCGGCCGGGGAAAAATTTAGACAAAAAGTCGGACGCGTTTACCGGGCTATCGCTTAATAGTATACATACATTTTAACACCGTGTGCAGTATCATAATATTACGGCATAATACATAATAGAAATACGACCTTCCCCCGCTCCTAACGGACGCATCTGACTGAGACGACCCACGGACACGGTCCGATACCCGTGCAGATCGGCGACCGTTATGGCTCAAAATGAGTGATCTTGCCGACACCATCGACGATCTCATCTGCAGTTTCGAAAGCGATGGTAAAACGATGGACACGCTAATTATGTATTTGTTTTGCTGGGCCCTCGTTGGTTTTGTCGCGTTGGCCGTTGGAAAATTTGCATATAGCCGGGCCGTCGGATACGCGACCCGCAAGTCTGGCAACGCGTCCATAACAACAGCGGCCGCCGCCAACGTTAAAATTGGTGCTGCACTGGACGCGGCTGGTGGCGGCGATCGGAAACAGTCGCACCATCATCGGGTAGTGCCGCCCACACCGCCGGTTGGCCGTAAGCGGTTGGGCTCTAAGACAGGGCGGACTTCAACTGCCGTGGCCAGCGTCGCGGCCGGACTTTCGGCCGTGCCGGCAGCTGCGGCAGCCAACAAGGCGTTTTCACAGGAACAGCAGCAGGCCCACCATCTGCGTCCGCCTCCTGTGGCAACCGGCAACGACCCGGACGCCGTACGCTGGACCAACGACGTGTTCAAGTGGTTGTATAACGCGGCTTCCGGTAATGGAGCCAGTGGCAGTGGTAGTGGTGGTAGTGGCGGCGGCGAACAATCGGTCGTCGATTACCTGCTCTCCGAATGGATTTCTTCGCTCAACGAATACACCAAAAAGTCATTCGCTGAAGTAAGAATTTATACTCATTTCTGGATTTTTAAATACCCGAAATTACTAGAATATTGACTTCTATATTTCACTAGAAACTTCCCGAATCAAATTTCCTGTAGAGGTGTCAAAAAGTGAAAATCGGATAATATGTTTTACAATTCTGAACGCGAAGGGTGTATCCAAGTACATCAGGCACACCCTGCTCACTTTAATACCAATATTAAACGCTTACCTACACATAATATAATAGCGAAGTATTCGAAACTCTCTTTTTTTGGTAGGTATATGTGCTCAAGAAGAATAAACTTACCACTTTATGGGATAGAAATTGATTACCTTGTTTTTATTGTATAACAGTTGCAGTAATATTTACGAAAATATCATGTAACATCTGGTGTGTATAAAACCAGAGGCCTTAAAGTCGTAACGCAAAAACGCAAATCGGCGTGTGCTATAAAAATCCCGATAAAAGTTTATTCTTTCTGGGACAATTAATGTCCTGTGTCCAAAAAATCATTTTGTATATTCAAGACTGTTTACCAATTGTACATTGTACATTATATAAGTACATACTATATACCTATGTGTACATGAGCATTTACATTTCTTCGATCGACGGGGAATATTGTTTATTTTATTTTGTTAACGATAATTTACTAACCTAGGAGTATAGGTATAGACTATTTATGGGGAGGGGGTTCTGATCGTCAATTGTTTGTAATATGATTGAATTTGGAGTAAAATAAAGAATTGACTTCTTGTAGTCAACTCGAAATGGCCCTCTTCTCTTATTTATGTGCTATGTCCCCGTACTAACGTAATGCAAACTGAATTTTTAATTACTCGAAATAGAATAGGTAGTCTTCAATGTGTGAGTTGGGAGTACTTAAAAGAAAAAAAACAGGATTAAAATCTGATGCTAAAAATAGGTATTTCTATTTAAGAAAATTTAAGTTTTACTGCGCACGCGCCCACCGCAAGGCATAACATTTTGATTATTGGCTCAAAATATGTATTTTGGTATCAATGATGTTCAAAAAAAAATGTCGTGTTATAATAATTATTCATGCAGTCCGTCAGTTTATCTATTATAAATACAATTATCATTGTTTAAGCTCATTCAAGTCCAATAATAGGAATATTAAAATCTGATTATTATTTAAACGTATTTATATTAAGTCATTATTTATGTCATAAATATTTTGGCATAGGCCATTTTTGGCACGGCTTACGCTATACTCGTACTTAAACTAAATATGGGCAACTGAACTTCGTTTAGAATCGTTTTTTCGTAAACAATGGTTTATCTATTACCTATAACAGTGGCTGCAACAACCGTCCCCATTATCCTAAGATGTCTTTTAATATTTAACGATATAATTGATTATATTACTCATATATAATATAGCATTAACAATTTTCACAAAGCCAAAAAAAAATTACATTTTTGAGCTTTTGATATAATATCCGTCATTCTAAATATTTATTACAATGAAGGAAAATTGAATAATTTGAATTTTTTCATTAAAATGACATTATGTTTATTCTTTAAAGAGTTATTATTAATTGAAAACAAAATTAAAAAATTAATAATATGAATGCTGATTTTTAAGTTAAAACATTTAATTATTATGTACACCTGTAACCATTGATAAAGAAAAACGATTCAGAGCGAAGTTCGGTTATACAATTATTGAAAGACCGTAATAGTTACGATTTTCGTCAAAATTTGATTTTAAAACTCTTATAAAAATAAAAGGACATACCTCACACGTGGAGTGGCCACTGTCGTAGGTGTAAAGTTGGGAAGGTAGAGGAGAAATTGAATGTATATTTTTACGCAATGATTAACCATCACTAAAGAATAACGATTCTGAGAGGAGTTTGATTAATAGTGTTGCTTTGTCAACAATATATATGTCATGATAAATAATCATTATATATTTTCATTAATAATATTTGTTTGATGTTGTACCGATTTCCCTGGTTTTCTTATGTTTTTTTTCCCTAGTTTTTTATATTTGCTTAGTCAGGTGGCTCAATTCTGACTTCACTGTCGTTCTTAAATCAGCAATATACATATGTTTAAAACAAAAAATTGAAAAATTAAAACGTTTAAACGATTTTCGTTAAAATTTGATATTAAAATTCCTTTATGAAAAATACTATATGAAGCTCAAATTTGTTTTCTTTGACTACAAAGTACGACTTTTAATGAACCTTTTGTCAAATTTCCAAGCATTTCTGTTAAGTCTAACAATTTATCTATTGAGTATCTACCAAAAAAATTACGTAAAAAACCCGTAAAATTAAAATTTCTATGAATAGCTTAAAAATAACTCAAATGTTTTGAAAATTTAAAAAAACGTCTAGAAAATGAAAGTATACATATTATTATATATTTTTGATCAAAATTCCAAGTCTCTACGAATTTATTTTTGTAATATTTCCAGTTATGACTACATTTTTTTTCGGAGATGCTCAATTATTAATAAAACTACAGAGAAAATCAAAAAACTTACTCAAGAACTAGATTAAAATTTCAATAAAAGAGGTCTCTTGTTGTTTATCTATTGGAACAATAGTTATGGTAGAAAACATAAGCTGTACAAATTTAAAATGAAATCGTTGTGTGTAATTTGAAAAAAATCGTATATTTGGTTATTTTTGGTTTTTCCAAATTATTACAAAAAAAACTTTTGATATCGAAAAAGCGATACTTTGACTGTCAACGAAATGTTTTAAAAGAAAAAAATGATGTCTTGTTATTTTTCGAAAAATGTTATATTTCTGGTAGAAAACCTAAGTATAACACAATGAAAACAATGAAAATGGTAACACCGGCGTGCTGTAAATAATTGTTGTCATACCTATGATTTTCTTTCGGTTTTTCCGAATTATTTCGAAAACCCCTTGGAAAATCAAAAAGTGGTCTCCTCAATTAATCAACCAAAGAACATTATCTTCTAGAATAGGGGTTTTAGTCCATATTTCGGAGCAAGTTTTGTGGTAGATTAGTTGTTTAGACGGAAAAAATACAAAATACAAAAACACACTTCATAATATAACAAATAAATCCCTCGCTAGTCGTTACGCTCCGAATCTAAAATGCATTGATGATGGTTCAAGCAAAACATTTTAATTTAATTTAAGAAACTAAAAAATCAGAAAAAAAACGTTGAGCTTGATTTCATAGCACAAACAAAATGTAATCAACCACAAAAGATGGAAACTAAATTTAGAAAATTAGAAGAAAGGTTATTATTTGCAAAAGAAAGGTAGGTATAAAATTTATAAATTCAAATTTGAAATTTGTGAAACCTATATATGCCTTTTCTAGACATTGTAGAATTTTCAAAAATGTATATCCATTTTTACGTATTTATAGAAAATTTAATTGTTTTTTTGAAATTCAGTTTAAAATATTTGAATGAATTTTATGGACTTGAAATTTAGACTTAAAACTTATATTTGCCTTATCTAGACATGGAACATTTTTTAAAAAAAATTTAATTTTAATTTTGTAAGTTTAGTACGTAATTTTTGTTCGGTAGGTATTCGGTGGAAAAAATATTAAGCTTCACAGAAATGCTTCAAAATTGAACAGGAAATTCATTAAAAGTCGTACTTTGTGTTCAAAAAGAAAAGAAATATGAGTTAAATGTAGTATTTTTTTTTAAAAAAGGAATTTTAATATCAAATTTTGACGAAAATCGTGGGAGTAAAAAATTATGTGAAACAAGTCTAGTTACTGGTCCATTCAAATTTTTCATTTTTTTTGTTTTTTGTTTAGAACATAATATGTAATTGCCGATGTAAGAACGATGGTAAAGTGAGAATTGAACGGACTAACTTAGTTTCAAAATCATTTAATTATAACTTTTTGAAATTTTAATATTATGTGGATATTATATTTGTTGTGTTAAATAACTCAATTTTGTCAATTTTATAGTTTATTGGTGGTACGTACCTGTTGCCATTTTAGAGATCACAAGTTCAAATTGTTCTAAAAAATTTTTTTTGCAAAACCACGTTGGGTAGATAACGAGGAAAAAAAATGAAATACAAAATAATATGTTTATTATGAAATTCATTCTATTCAATATATATTTATTTTGTTACAATATGATAATATGACATATTGTAAATTTTGTTAAAAATAAATAGTATTAACTGAGTTCCGCTTAGAATCGTTTTTCGTTAGCAATGGTTAATCTTTGCTTATGTCTATACATTAAATTTCTCTCTATATCCTATCGTTCTAACTTCTCATTGACAACAGTCGTCCACCCATCGTGCGAAGTATGTCCGTATTTTTTTTCATATATTTAGGTAACTTATAAATTATAAATACCTATAATCTAATCTAGTACTCGTATTATCAATTTAATAAATTAAAATAGTTTATAGTCGTATTATTATAATGAATAATAATGTATAGGTATAATAGTATAGTTTAGCCATTAACGTTGAAATATTATTGAAGTGGTGCCAACCAAATAAAGTAACATTAATAAGTATATCATTATTATGTGCACAATCGTTTGTCTGGTAAATTCTTACCAGGTAAATTGAATTAGGCCCCTTTCACATGATGCCACGAGTGTTATGACGGTAACATGACCCTCCAAAGAAGTGTAGAATCAAGACTTTTTTTAAAAATAACTTGTTATACACAATACAAAATTATCAATTGTGAAACATGCATTAGACATATTTGTCAGTCAATTATTATTAATGTTACATAAATGTTTAATAAAATTGTATGATATACATATAGTATTGTATTAATTATGATTTTTTTCTCAATATTTTAACAAATATTCACCCCTCCATATCAAAAAAGAATTCCTAGTTGCGCCACTGCTACAAATACACTAAAATACTACTAAAATACTAATAACATTGCTTCTAAAATCCTTGAAGTAGCCGGATATTCATTTAATTAATAATATCTCTCTAATACAGAATGCTAATGAGATTTTCCGTCACGTATAATATAATGAATCTGCAGAGAACAGAATCAGCTGAAGTCTTACCAGAATTCCATGATAGATATAAGCAATTTATATTCATGGTGAATAACAATTGAAGTTAGCATTAGGTGCATTGTGAAACCGTTTCTATATATTTAAATAAATAGTCTACCGGCAGCGGAACGTTATATATTGTTTATATTTGACCTAAACACACGTAACATTAAAAATAATCTGATAAACAAAAATGGTCGTTATAATAATCTACGAGTACATGCAAATACATGGTAATATCTACGAGAAACTACAAATTCGTTGTGACTATATTTCCCCTCAAAATTGGAATCAGTTACAAAATGATGAAATTCGTTTTGTTTTATCGGTCACACTGATTAAAAGTCGGTCCCAACATTTTGTGACCATAGACGGTGACAATCGGTGACTTTTCATCGCCCCCTCCAGAATTATTATTTTTCCTCGTTAAACCATCGGCGCAGCGTCTAGGATATGTTATCATTATTATTGTAGCCGTTTAAGTTATTGTTGCTGTCGTTGTATCGTTGTCTATCGTACAAAATTAGTCTTTTCTTATTATTATTTTGCAACAGTGGAGGGGGTAAATCATCTAACTACTAACTACTAACAACTAAACATTTTTGACTGGTGACTCAACGAATTTGTAGAAAAAAAATAGTTTGCTATACGCATTATTGTTATATTAACCATTCCCGATTCTTCAGAGTTAAGTAAGATATTTATTATAGTTTTACTATAAAGTTTTCTTTCGTTATATATTTTCTTTAATAATATTTTTTTAATATTGTACCTATTTTCCCGTTTTTTCTACGTTTTTTCCGGTCTCACATGTTTTATCTCGGTTTTTTCCATTTACTGGGAAAAATTCTGAGAAAATGACCTCTTTAAAGTACCTCCCCAGTTAGATTTTCTTTTAAAAAGTGCTATCATTGTAAATCGGATCAAAATTGCTTGTAGAAAAGTTGTTCACGAGAGAAAAAAAGTCGCAATATTTTTTAACAATTTTGTTTTCCCTCCAAATATCAGGATATCCAGATATTGTTGTATTATTACAACAATTACGAAAAAAAAAAACGGACATAATTTACACGTAAGTGGACCACTGTTGTAGGTGAGAAGTTGGGAAGGTAGAGGGGAAATTGTGTGTATATCTGTACGCAACGATTAATGAGTGCTGACGAAAAATGATTTTGAACGGAGTTTGGTTTACATATTTTGAAAGACCGTAATTATATTTATGATTTGAAAAAAATACGTGTCGTAAATTATCCAGTTTTTCCTATTTGTTATGAAAACAGATTGGAAAATCAAACAATGTTAAACCTCCAGTGGCGTACGCAGGGATTTAAGGGACTGAAGCCTCCCTATTAACCATTTTTATACATATAAATGTAGCTTGGTGCAAGAAGGGCTAATGTCAATTTTTTTTAGAAATCAGTTAGAAATAAAAAAAGATACAATTGTTTATTTTATAAATAAAATTTGTTAGTTTTTGTAAAAATTGAAATTACACAAATATTTAATAAAATATACAGAGCCTTATGGGGGAATACAATTTCAAAGCCCATTTCCTAACAATCACAAAATGTGAAATTGGCCCTTCTTGCACCATTCCACAGATATATATATATATATATATATATTATACACACATATTTTTTTTAATTTTCAAGTTTCAGCTGTAATAATAATTAGTAAATAAGGACTTTTTTTTCGTAAAATATAATATTTTCGCAAGTAAATAATCTAATTTACCACCGTTATTTATTAATAACCTAACTATATTATCATAGAATATGACATTATTAGGTTTATAAGATTATTATTTTTGTTTAACTGAAGTGACACTCATTATAAACAATCGAAAAATCAAAAAATGACCCTCATAAAGTACCCTCCCAGTCCGATTTTCTTTCAGAAAAAGTGCTACAGTTGTAAATCGGAGCAAGATTTCTGATAGAAAAGTTGTTCACGAATAGAAAAAAAAAATAAACATTATTGTAAAATTATTGTAAAATTTATTACATTACTCGCTCTACTCAAAATCTAAAAAATGTAATATTTAAAAATATAACGCGACCCACTACTGTAGAGTTTACCAGCTTAAAAATTGTATTTTATATTTTTATAGTTACCTAAATATTTAATTTATTTTTTTATTTTTTGTGTATATTTTGTGTTTTTTGTCAGTCAAAACTAAGAAGACAATTACTTTATTTTTCAAACTTTTGGCAAAACAACTGATTAATTATTATTAATTTTCAAGCCCCTCCCCTCCATATTGAAAAATCCTTTGTAGACTATTGCAAATTTCAGTCAAATTTCTTTTTAGAAAGGCATTACACTTGAAAATTGGAGCAATATATCTGGTAGAAATTGTGTACACAGTATAAAAATAATAAATAAGATTGTACAATTAATACATTCCTCACTATGCTTAGAATTTAAAATTACATAACATACACCGTACAGTATACGGTTAAACACAGATAAAACGAAAATGTGCGTAATAATTCAAGCAAATTACATCTAGATCTATTATATAGTTTTTACTTGAGGTGATTTTGTAAAACATAAATGTGTACAGTAGGAAAAATTGTTTGTACTTAATTGAGGTAGTTATTATTCTTATAGAATTTAACACGACCAATGGGAGAGAGTAGAATTCCCCTTACCCACACCCTCGGTACACTACTGCGATGGGTACATATTATTACCAATGTCTAACTTGAGGTTAAACCTATGATAAAATCAGATTTTGAGCAGCTTTATAGAAGGGGTGGGGATATCAATTCCCTCTATTAGAAAATCAAAATATACGCCATTCTTTATAAAATATGTACATCGCAATAAATAAATCGCATATATCATTGCACACGATTGTTATTGAAAAAATAAGAAAAACGTACTTATTCGTGTAAGTAAATAATGGATTCGTGATAATTTTACTCCTATCTACATTTTAATATAGATAAACTTTTTTACGGGGTTTTATTGTTTTCATGAAAACTATTGTTTAGTTTTCAATTGTGATTAACGTGCTATAAGGTACCCGTTTCATCTATATAATAATACATTATTGACTGGCACGTGAAATAGGAGTTTTGAAGCGTTTTTTTTCGTATTATAAAAAGACTAGAAAAAAGAGTCATTGAATATACGTTGGAATCGTTAGGGATTGTTCATTGCTGTATAGGATTCAATACGCGTATAAACCATAGCGTACGCAGTAATAGTTAGAGTATTTTTATTGGTAAAATTTATAAATTATTAAATTATAGATCTGTCATAGCCGTTCTGTTTTTTTATACGGAAAGTGGTGTATTAAAGTTATTTTCCGTTTATATTACGTTTTAGTAAAAGTTTTTGTAAAGTTTTAGACGAAGTTTATTTGGTGGGTCTGACATTCAAAAATTGAACAATATATATATTTACTATATATAAAGGTATAATATAGCAATCGACGTAGCGGTTAAAAGTACATTAAAGATATTCCGTATTTGTTTTTTTTCCGTGACAGGTTTAAATACAGCTGGGTGAAAATACGACCTGAAATTTAGAACGGTGCAGTGTTTATATCTACCTAATTATCTACTTATATAGGGTAATATCCTTTTATTACGATTATTTCTCTGAAGATTTTTAGTGAATTTGATTTGTTTTTTTTTAATCATTATGGAATCCTGTAAGCTTTAAGAATTGTTTTGGCTCAGATGAGATATTATATTAATGTTTGTAGACACGTAATTGAAATATAATATTACGTTCAAACGAATTGTATTATCAGATGTAGATTAGGTGAATATTATTAGAGATTTTCGCATTGAAATAGGTATTTAATATTAGATATTATTATGTTAAATAAAACAGATATAAATATATTTAAGAGGTTACAATATCATTACGACGGTAATAGTTTTCTAACGGATTTTTTTAAACAAATCAGAAATAAAGAAATTTACCAGTAATTAATTTTTAATGTAGAGCGAAAAACATGTTTTTAGAAAACTTAATTTAAAACCGGAAACAAATATAATCAAAAACCCATTAATGTAAAAAATATTGCAATCATTTATTTAATAAATTAATAATTGTCGTTTAATAGTTGGAAAATCATCAGAAAGCTAAATAAATCGTGTTCTAGGTAATTGTATTATTTTTCGTACTCTTATGTAGGTACCATTTTAATTGGTAGGTTGTCATAAGAATTGGCAGAAATTAGCAAAAATATTCGATCAAAAAATTCTTTTTTGTTTTCGACTATTTAAAACTTTCAAACTTAATTTAATCATTACATATTAGCATTTGCTAATAATTATAGAATACAGATAAAAATATCAGAGTGAGCTTTACATTATTTTCATGTACCAGAGACTCCAAATGTGAAACTTTATATTTCTATTTTTTGCACATTTGAAGTATTTTAGATTTTAGATTCTGAGTGGAGCGAAGAAGCTTATGGTTTTACAAAGAGGTTATTTTTATTTTTTTTTCTATTTATGGACAACCTGTCTACTTTTTCTTCCTCTGATTTTTAAGTGTGGCACCTTTTATGAAAGGAAATCGGACTGGAAAGGTATTTTGGGGAAATCATTTTTCGATTTATTTTTCCAAGAGTTTTCCCAGCAAATGTGAAAAACTGGGAAAAACATGAACACCGGGAAAACCGTATAAAAAACGGGAAAATCTGTACAATATTAATCAAATATTATTAAAAAAAATATATAATGCCATTTAATTATTTTATTATAATATAACATATATATTTTTGACAAAGTATTATTATCATCTAAACTGCACCCAGAATCGTTTTTTGTTAGCAATAGTTTATCGTTACTTACATTTATACATTTAATTATCCTCTGTATCTTATCTTCCCAATTTCCCATCTATAACAGTGACTGCACCTACGTGCGAAGTATGTCAGTCTTTTTGTATTAATATTTTTCAATTTTTGGTCTTTCTTTGGCTAATATATACACTATATAATGATTAATTTTGTATTTTTCATAAATAGTAGAAAAAATCTGTCATTAATGTGAATCCATAAGAAAAATACTTATTTTTTCGTTTCATATTATAATATATTTTCAAGTATCCCGGCGTATTGACCGAACGAACAGTTTACATTTTATATACTTAAAAAAATAAATACATTTCCTTTATTGCCATTTTTAATATTTTTATGGCATTGCATAGTTTATTTTAAGATTTTTTAGGTCATATTATAAAGTATATATATATATATATATATATATAGTCATATATAGTTAATATTATAGTTTTTTCAGTGCTATAAAATCTGAGTCCTGATTATTATAAAATATAAATTCGATATTTAATATTAAGTACCTGATTACTTTATTTTACTGTTTGTCCGTTGTATAGATTCGAATTTCCCAGTTAATATTTAAATATGTAAATAATATTTATGAAATTATTGTTAAAAGATTTTAAAAATTGTTTAATATATTGTAGATATGCGATTTAAACAATACTTGCAAACATTTACGAAATGACCGACAAATAGTGTTTTATCACGTACGTATTATTAAAATATTGTACGCCCCATTTTTTCCAATTTATTAGGAAAAATTCTGGGAAAATCAGTAAATGACCTACAGTGCACCAACTAGAGAAAATTATCTTTCACAAAAAGTGTTAAGATCGGAGCAAGTTATCTGGTAGAAAAGTTGTTCACAAGAAAAAAAATACACATATAATCAAACTAATAGATCCTTCGTTACTCTCTGAATTTAAAAAAAACAAACATCATAGTAAAACCAATAGCTCCTTCACTACGCTTCGAATCTGAACTGTGAACTGTGGATTTTTTGTTATATCGGAAGTATGAAAAGTTGACGTAGTTGATGGGCATGAAGTTTCCATGCTGGAGTTGGTTGTTGAGGATTGGAGATCTGAATCTAAGGTATTTTCCAGAAAGGTTGGTGCGGGCCGTAGTGGAGTAAGGGAGAACGTGAGATGAGAAGAGAAACAGTTGCCGTGGCTTTATGCTTTTTTCGGGCACGAAGTTTTTTTTGGGGAGAGTTTTCGGTTGTGTCGATTAAACTGTAACTGTGGCGCCCGTTTGCCATCTTCTGGTTTCACCTTATCGCAGTTGGAACGTTCCCGGTAGCCCTGAAAAAGGGCTGGATAGACTAAGAGTGAAAGGTAGCAGTTTGGCTGGAGAGGGTTAGGTGGGTAGAATCAGAGGTTAGTATATGGACCGATCTTGTGCCCGCTCGAGCAAGTGGCGTTCTAGTTTCGGTTTTTGTACTTACGTTCTGGTGTGACTTGATAGTTCAAACGGTGATTTGAGCCATCACTATGGTGTTTAGCGGGTGAGTTGGCTCGGTCACTTTGGCGTTCACACAAATATGAGTTGATGGTGATCACATTGAAGAAGTACGCAATGATGAATGATAATTGATAATTTTTTTTTTTTATTATAAAATATAAATATAAATAACATAATCACATAATAAGCTGTTTACAAAAAAATAAAAATATCTATCTCCCTTAAGCGCAATGCTTGTGATGGTGGTAGAGAGTTACATTATATGATAAAAAAAAATACATACTCAAATAAACAAATTAAATTCAAAAGAATGAGATAGAACAAAACAAAATATACAATAAAATTCATAAGATAATTTAAACAATTTAACACACTGTAACATATATTTGATAATTATAATTTAAGTCATTTTATACTATTAGTGAAAATAACCATAAGTTAATGTGTTTTTTTATGCTCACAATTCTAAGATTACCAAATGAGGAAAATATGAATTTTTTTTTTTATAAGTAATGACATAGAATTGATTTTATTTGGACCTAAATAGTCAATGAATTTTTGACCAAAGGATATTTTGTAATAAGTTATTTTAACATCAAATGCCCTTCCTTCCCTTTTTGTTCTTATATTTTCCACATCCAAAAATGATTCATAATTTTTTATTATAAAAAAATAGTTACCTCTTTATATACAATATCGACGGTAACGCATTGAGTAGCCTAAAATTATCTCCAGTAGAACCTACTAATTTATTTTTACCTAAACAGATTCTAATAATTTTCCTTTGTAATATTTTTAGTGGTCTAACCGCATTTATATATAAATATAGATAAATAAATTGTACATATAACTTGCATAGGCAGAAAAGCTCGTGGTTTGCAAAAACTAAACGATAATGTACGTATGCGTATTACGATGTTATTGACATGTAAAGACTATCTCATATTTTTATCAAAAATTAAGTCCAAATATCTTATACTAGAAACCTTGTATATTTTTTGACATAAACTGTCATTACATTTATCTTCACTATTACAAAAACAGAGTTTTAATTCATCATAATTATTCTCATCCTTATTAATTGAAAAATGTCTAAAATTGGTTTTTTTTATAATTTATTGAGAGTTTCCTATGGTTTAGAGAAATAATCACTTTTTTAAATTCATTAGCAGCTTTTAATCGAACTTCATCCCACGTATCCCCGGAAAACAATAGACATGTATTATCAGCATAAGTTATGATTTGCCCATTAATTTTTAAATCACATATGAAATTAATGTATAATATGAACAAGAACGGACCCAAAACACTACCCTGCAGTACCCCACAGTTAGTACTCATTTCATCGCCAGTAGTGTTATTAATTTGCACTATTTGTTTTCGGTTATTTAAATAACTTTTGAACCATTTTAAACTACTATTTTTTAAACCAAAACTAGGTAAAATTTTACAAAGTTCGAGATGGTTGACCATATAAAAGATTTTAGCTGGATCAAAAAAATTGCCATTGATTTTTTGTTATTGTCAAGCAAATTATATATATATTTGCTAGCATTGTACAATGCATTTTCTGATTTTTAGACTACAAATTATTCTTTTCCAAAAACTCTATTAATCTAGACTTTATTATTTTCTCTAATATTTTTGCGAAATTGCTTATCATTGAAATTGGTCTATAGTTATTAATATTAGTTTTATCACCATTTTTAAATAAAGGTTTAATAATTGCTAATTTGAGTTTATCAGGAAATTTACATTCAGAAATACTTAGGTCATAAATATATGTTAAAGGTTCAATAATATTTGCAGATATAGCCTTTAAAGTTTTCACCGATACTCCATCAAAATCAGCCGCAGTATCATCATTTAAAGTATCTATACATTTTGTAATTTATACAAATTAACTTTTTCCTTAAAAAAGAATATCAAATGAGATACTTGTTTTAGATTCAACATAATTCAATGGTGATTTTTTTATTTTACTTGCCAGATTACTACCAATATTGATACAAAAATGAGTTAAACAAATTTGTAGCTCTCACCGGGTCTTCTGAAGGAATTATAAGTTCGTTATTATGCATTAATGAATTAATCGCATCTCCTTTTATATTTTTAGACTTTGTAAACTCTTTTATTAATATCTACGTTAATTTTGGACTGTGTGAGACATTATTGAATTGTTTTTTATAAAAATTATTTTTAGTATTTCTTAAAACTGTAGTAAATATATTATTGTACTTTATATAATATGAACGTAAATTACTATTATTCGGGTGTTTTTTTAACTTTTAAAGATAGAGCATTCTTCCTACGCACTGAACGTAATAGACTCACTGTCATTCATTCTTGGACATGATTATTTTTCGTATTAGATTTATTAATTGTTGTAGCTAAACTTATCGCACGAGCAATTTTATCAAAAAAAAAATATCGAAACATTCATCAACATTCTTGTTGTATATCTCTGACCAGGTTTCTATTTTTAAAAGTTCATTCAAATTATTATAATTAATTGATTTATAAACATTATTAATACGAGCCAAAGATATTGGCATTTATGCTTTTGATATTACAGCAAAAAACACTTATAAACTTATAAATACTAAACTTATACTTATCTATAAATTCAGATAGAGATTCAAAATAACTGTTTAAAACATTAATGTTATCCATGATATAATTTTTTAAAGATTATTACAAACAGACAAATATTGTTAAATTTTATATTTATAAAAGTTTGGATAGACCTAAGTCATCCTGCACTATATAAGATTTAGCGTTTTCATTTTTTTTTATAAATATTTTTAAATCCTTATACCATACAAATTTGAAACCATTCGATTTTGCAAATATTCTGATTTTGAAAAAAAAATATCTATTGAACGCTGACAGCTCATTGTTAATGTAGAGATTTCCATTTTCCCATTTTCCATTTATGTGCTTAGTGTTTAACTTTTTGTTCTTAGCAGACTCCAATAATTATTGCTTGCTTTCTTGCGAGTTCAGCCTAGCAATAATTTTCTTCGGTCTATTACTTAATTTCGAGTACAAACGAAAAGCAATTATTACACTTAAGTTAACACCTAGTTTGGTAGCAATGTTTGCGACAATTTTCACACAATTTTCATTTATTTGTTCAGGCACTCCGACAATCTCCACATTGTTTATTATTGCATTTTGTTCCAAAACATTAATTTTTTTCTTTAGACTTTTAATATCACCATTTAGTTTACAATTACTTTGTTTTAAGCATTTATTTTCTTCTTTTAATACTTTAATATAATTCAGAACATCTATCAATTGTTTACCAAATACATCAAATTGATTGCTCATAAAATTTACTGAATTAGTTAAGTTAGATAAAGTTTCATTGGAGCCCACAAAAGAACCATCATCCCGATTAATACTCGTGTTAGCAACCATTGACTTACATTTTCTGCAGCACCACTTATCTTTATTTACTTTTGCCAGCTTCCTAAAATTGACTTCAGTCATACCAGCACATGAAAAATGCGAAAAATCTTTACATTTTGAACATTTGATATCATCGCCTTGAGAAATGTCATTGTTACAAATCGAGCACAACATACTGAACGACACAATTAATTAAATAGTAGATAAGAGAAGAATTATCGAAATGACTATACACATTGAACGCACAAAGGCAACTGAATTTGATGTGATATGATATGATATATGTTATATATAATATAATAATAGAGAAGTGTAGTACTGAGACGACTGATATCGATAATATACGTAAAGGAAGTTGTAGAACTGTGGCTATAGATAATGATTAATAAATATGTGACCTTCTGTTGCGGTGCACCTTTATTTATACGTCCCGGTAGGCTGAGTGTCATCTTTCATTGGTTGTTTTACTTTTTGACAGGGAAAAGAGACACCCTGGTGCCATGTTAATGGTTAGCCAAGTGGGTTTTTATTATTTTGTTGGTCCTAAAAAGGACCGTTTAATATGTTATGTGCTCCGTTACAATCTGCAGAAATAATTAGTAGAGTATGATTTGTTGAAATTTAAAAAAGAGCTTTAGAAAAGAGTTGCTTATAGGTATATATTATCTATAACAGTGACTGCATCCGGCCTCATTATCCTAAGAAGTCTTTTTTAAGATTAAAAAATAAACTAGAAATACTGTTATAAAAAGATAAATTTTCAAATAAAAAAGTTGATTTAGCAAAATCTGTGAAAGTATCTAACAGTGGTGTAATAATAATTTATAGGTTTACATATTCTTGAATTTCTATGACATTTTTTTAGAAAAGTTATTGTTGTGAAGAGCAAGAGTAAATTGTAACGTTAGGATAATACTTTTTTTTAATATGTATCAAAATTTAAATATAGACGTGTATTTTTTATGTGGATATTAGAAGAATTATTTATACTTGTTTGAGGAATATTTATAGAAACTATTGGAGTAGTTTTTGAAGTTGAAGGTACATCAATATCTAATAAAGAATTAAAGCTTTTTGTTGTGGCTAGAAAATTAATATTATCATTATTTATTGAATCCCTTTGCTCATAAAGGCGGTGTGGAGTAAAATGTCTTTTAAATATTGACCTAAGTGTGAACATTTGTCCACAATCAACACATCAAGTTTTTAACAAAATCACCTTGAGAAGATGATGAGATGTTTATTTTTTCTTTCTTTTTTTTTTAGCCTGTGGATACGTTTATTCCCAATAAAATTGCTCCAATTTTTACTTATAGCAACTTTTCTGAAAGAAACTCAAGTTGTCTGGACTATACTTTAAAAAACTCATTTTTTGATTTTCGATGCTATTTTTTAAATAAAAGTACTTAAGTGAGAAAACGTCAATTTAACGATTTCATTGTTTATAAAAACACGGACGAAGTTTTCTACCAAAAAAAAAAAAAAAAATGGTTTAATTGAAAAGTCACAAGACACCTTTTTTTTTGACTTTTTGATTTAATTTTTTACGGTATCGTAAAGCGTTTTGAAATCAAATTTAAACAAAAATTGCAAATAAAAAAACATACGACACTAAATTATGTATTATCGAATTGCACTCGGAATCATCTTTTGTTAAGCAATGGTTTATCGTTGCTTACAGATGGTTCTCAATGGTCCTTGTTATGTATATAATTTTTTTTGCAGGATATAAATATAAATCTACCAACTCTTTAATGGAGTAAATAAATTTGTGGCAACGAGGCACACTTGTCTTCCCAAAATATGTACTGGGTTTGAACCCAGTAGTGTAGACAAGCCTCTCCTCCATTGGCCATTATCTTATATCATGCTGTTTAAATTTTCAAAAATGTAATTCTCCATACATTTTTTTCATTGACGTCGAATTAGGCGGGCGTGTAATATTGTGCTAAATATTGAGGCCATAGCTAACCCAGATGATTGTGATGTTATGTGTGGTGATAAAAACATAAGATCATTACCAAAACAATTTCAAGTAGAAAAAGTTTTATCGTTAATAGGATTTCGTGTGTTTATTGATACTAATAATAGTTCAAAAATACTCGATTTAAAACCTTTATTAAAATGCAATTTATTTATTTATGCAATAAATACTATAGCTATATCATCAGAATGTGAATGTGTATTCAGTTCTACGAATAACATTATTACTCTGAAAAGAAATGCATCGTCTACTAAAACCATCACATCTATATTATATATACACTGTATTGGTCCTCCTGTAAATTTATTTGAACCGAGCTGTTATGTTACATCTTCGATACACAATGGTAATAAATCAACTGATGAAGAATGTTGTCCATAAAGAAATGTAAACGATGAATAACATACTTAACAAAACATGTGGTCTCTATTGTATTAAAAACAACAATTATGAATTTTGTTATTTATTTTGCATTAGCTGTCCCGATTGGTCTTGTTTATGCTAATTTTTTTTTTACCCATATTCCTTTTTAGTTTTGACCGTTTCAGTAATGAATAAAAGCCAATAGTTGGAAAGTGGGAAGTCCACCTTTGGCGAACTAAAAGTATTCTGTTATGACATGTTTTTTTAATTTTAAATTACTATTTGTCTTAAGCATTAAATATTTCTGGATACACCATGTTAAGTGTATCATCTTCTGAGGCCAGCACAAATATATTTTTATTGCATGTGACATGTGACAGAGCTACGTAAAATTGACCATAGGAAAAACATTGGATGATTAGGTCTAAACCTACAATATTTAATGTTTGACCTTATGCCTTATTGATGGTCATTGAAAAAGATAGTTTTACGAGAAATAGAAGCCGTTTAAACTGGAATCGTAGATTGGTTGGTATCATAGGTATTCTAGGAACCAAAACCGTTTCCTTAACTCCATAGCCAGTGAGAATCATAAACTCAAGCAGAGAGTTTTTTAAAGATTTTATTTGCAATCTTGTGCTGTTGCATAATTTTGGTAGAAATAATTTTCTAGTAATATTATAGGAGAACAAACTTTTAGAATTAATTTATGCGGTAGAGTCCCTGGAAGCATTAAAGAATTTAAAAATTCAATTGGATAATGTACCGCCTCCTCTCTATCAATAACAGTATTAACTGAATAGTAAATTTTTGTTGGTGCATTGAATCTTAACAGTACCATGTCATTTATTTTGTTGAATTGCCCGTTAGTTGATGATAATATTGTTCTTTCTTGAAACCAACTCAAAGTCTTAGTAGATATGTTAGATATTTCTAAAGTCTATAGTTTCTTTTTTTAGAATTTGCCATGTTGCCGCGTCTTATATTAGACTTTTATTTAGGCATGACTAAAATACAAACAATTTTTAAAGACAGTTTATAGTTTCTTTGCATAATACAGCACATAGATCTTTATAATTATTTGTATTAATACTAATTACCATAGATACTATAGATACGTTTTGACTAACCTTTAAATTTGTTTTCATTTCATCCGTGTTACTAAAGTAATCCAAATAAATAAATAATAATAATAATAATATATAAAAACTGAATTTCGGGTGACGGTTTTCAATAGAGAATGGATATAGACTATAGCTTAGACTATAGTTATAGCTATAAACCTTCCTCGGTTAATTGTCTAACCAACAGTGTAAATCACATCGAAACCCATTCAGCCGTTTCGAAGTTTATCCCGAGCAAAAAAAACTACATTAAATTATAATATATCTAATATTGATATTGAATAAACATGTTGATTATTATTCTTTTATTTTCTACTGAAACATGTAGAATGTAGGTATAGCTATCAAAATATATTTGGAATATAAATATTTGTAGCTGAAACGTGCCCCCCATGGGTCTGTGTTAAGTAAATGTGCACTTGAAACGCAGTTTTTAAATCGTTGGATTGAGCGCCTCTACTGGCTCTACTTAATTTTTCCTAATTCGAACACTGTTTGTGCAGTAATATTACTATAAAACTACTTTATTTTAATTTAAAACATCAAATATTATTATAATATGTGTTATAATTAATTATTATTTTTGCAGGTACTATAATATTCATAAATCATTATAAGCTAGTATACTGCAGTGTTTTTATTATAGTACATACAGTTTAGAAACAAAACAAAAAAAGCATACATCATACGAGAGTTTGATTTTAGTTTTAATGGTAATATTTTAGTACAAGTTCATTAGAGGATTTGCCTTTTAGCTGTTGTTTTTAACTTTCATCAAATACGATTCTATTTATTTATATTTTTTTAAATAAGAAAAGAAAAAGATTTGTTTAACTTTTTACAAACGAAACTAAGTCGATTAAAAGAAGTTGTTTTTATTACTTCAAGTATTTCACAAATAAATAATATTATATTAATGTAATTAATGTAATAAATATTAGAATAAATAAATTTAATAATAAATATTAAAATGCATCCAGAAGAAATTCAGTTCAAATCAAAATATTTTTGTTAAGATAAATTTAACAATAATAATACAAAATTAAGTAGATTTGAACTGTAAACGCTAAACGCAAATATTTTAAGTTGGTTTTTAGTTAAACGATAATTTTTACTTAATTGAGTTGAAGTACATATATAATATCATATTATCATTGATAATATGTAATAGTAGTAGGTAGTAGAATAAATTACAAGTGTTGATTTCAGAGTCGCTATAATTATAAGTACTACCTATCTATTACATTGAATATTGGAAACTATATATTATAGAGTTGGGAAAATTACCGACCGATTAATCAATAAACGATTAATGTTTTAGTGTAAGTATGCAATATGCTGTGTCGACGTGGAATACATTAAGTTTTGAATAATAATGCAAATGACTAATGCGTTTCAGTGTAAAAGTCTCTGTGTAACGACGGAGCTTTAACATTTACAATAAATGATTGAAAACTGCATTTAACCACTATAGTTTTGTCACGGAAATGAGGTTCAGTTTTATTGATCATTAAAAAGTTAGTCGTTTATGTTTATTACTTACATTTGAATATACTTATTTAAAAAAATAAGCACAGTCCAAAATGTATTTACTCACAGTGTAGGAATCTCCTTTTAGGTCGAATATCTTTAGATTCTAAACGAAGCGATGAATGTATCGGTTTTAAAAGGATGTTTATTTTAAATTCTGAGTGGAGCTTTTGGTTTAATAAAGATGTTTATTTGTTTTTTTCTCCGATTTCAAGTGTAGCACCTTTTCTGAAAGGAAATCGGTGTAGGGAGGTACTTAAGCGAGATCAATTTTTGATTATCTCAAGAGTTTTCCCAGCAAATGTGAAAAACCGGGAAAGACATGGGAAAACCAGGAAAAACGTAGAAAAAAGGGGAAAATCTATACAACATTAAACAAATATGATTAAAGAAAATATATAATGCGTATTTAATTATTTTACTATAGTATGACCTATAATCGTTTTTTTGTTAGCAATAGTTTATCGTTGCTTACAAGTATACACTAAATTACCTATAACAGTAGCTACATCAGTCTCTCTAGGACACATTTTTTTATTTAAATTTCTTATGTAATTACACATAACTAGATATTTTTAAATTGAAAAACTGCAAAAAAATAAAACCATTAATACCATAAACTTTCCAGTTTTTCTCATTTTTTCTTAATTATTAAGAAAACTTCATGAAAAATAAAAAAAATACTTCTTCACACACCAACAAGACCCAATTTTCTTTCAGAAATGATGCTGCTCTTGACATTTGGAGATTAATACTACATTCTTTTATGGAATTTTTAAAATAGGTTACTATTTCAAAATCAAAAGTAGGTAGTGGTTTTGACTCCAAAAATGAGGAGAACAAAAAATAACACAAATATAAAATTGTAGAATTGCTTATTGTTTCTTAAATGTTTCATGATACAAATTCCGAAAAAATTTTTTTTGGAAACAAAGTGCAATAGCGATAATAATATATTGTAGTGTATAGATTTGTTTGTGTTAATTTTACTTATTCAATACACATGCATAATTATCTATTAATAGGCTATTTAATATTATGAAGTGCCGGTATGAAGGTCAGGCTTCTACATTGTAGTATACTTCACTGCAAACTTTCCACCCGGCAATATTACGGTATTTAACGACGTCATCGGTGGCGTGTCCATCTTTATTCGCATGTATATGTATATTATGTATTATATATTATTATTGTTATAACGAATATCTGTCACGATTTCATAATATATATATATATTCGAGCTGGAGGGAATTAAATGCATAGTTAAATCACCGACAACAACACGCCGACCCTTTTCGATATACTCGTATTATGTTTGCTGGTTATTATAAATCAAATATGTATAGCTAATGATGATAGTTAATCGAAAAATGGTCTGTTGCCAAAATTTATTTGAACAAAAAAAAATATGATGATAAAAACTTCACATCGTGAGTTCGCCACTACAGATGAGTATCCAGGAATTTCCTAACGGGAGGGAGGTGGAATGAAAACATGCAAATTGTTTTTTACATTATCACATTAAATTACTTAGTATATAATTTATGATCTTAAATAGATTTAAAAAGACGTGATACCCGTATGTGCTGTTTTCGTCTTACAAATAACATACATTTTCCAATATTGTACAACCAATGTTATTATATTAAAGTTTGTTAATTGATTAATTTACTCTTATAATTTTAAAACTAACAGTACAATGTTGTCCTTGTTGAACGCAAATTTGTTGTGTACAAAAACAATACATGCGGGTATCATGCCTTCGTAAAAAATGCTCAGAGATAGATAACAATACATGGGTGACATTTAACATTTTTATGGAATGAAAAATCTATACTGAAAATTAAATTCAACTTGAAATTCACTTGTAGTATATGTAAACACAAAATCAATAGATTTCATACTTAATTCTAGCCTTTAATCAACACATATTCAAATTTATAATATAATTCAAAAACGTATTCAAATTAGTTTTAATATTGATTATTTATTTTATATTATCTAAAATACACAAAAAATACATACTTAATTTGTTTATTATTAGAACAAACAATATAATATGTTGTATAGTGTAATAAACATAATAAGTCAAAACCAAATCATATAGGTAGCTTTAAATTGACAATGTCTATAGGTATTTCATATAAGCACAATTTAATTACGAGTGGGTACTTATATCCAGAAATTTAATCAATACAAATCTCAACAGTATTATAAAATACATAAATAATGTAACCATATATTTTATAGTACATTAATGCAAATCTTCTACGATTTAATTTAGTAAAAACTGTCTTAAGTCGTTAATCATGGTAGTCAGTGCTATAATACCAGTATTATATTATTTAAAACAATGTTTATTTATCTCCTGATGAAGTTATAAACAGTGATAACAAAAATTGTTGTTAATATTATCTTATATCTTATCTATTATTATATTATAATTAATATTATTTTAGGACATAAATTATACAAAATGAACTATTTTACACATTTACACATTTTAAGTATGCTAACAAAAATACATGGGATGCATGTGTACATCCAGTGGCGACGAATCCTATCCTATTCTATCCTAATTGTATTCTAATCCATCCTTCATTTATATCAATACTGGCTGTTAACAAATAATTATGAACCACTGTCATCATAGTTCGTGATATCAATCATCTTTGACATCATAATGCTTATAAAATACTAACATTATGTTATGAAATGTATGTAGTTACATATGGCCATGTAATACAATAATATTCATTTTTCACTATTTTATTATTTACCTACAGTGTGACCCACCGTGTTCGACGAATTTTTCTAGCACTGTAAATATTATATTTTTTTACGATTCATTTTTTTTTTTTCAATTGATTTGTGTTCGAGGGGGTCATTGATTTGGAGGAAAATTAAATTTTTATTTTTATCCCCTAAACACACACACAAAAAAAAACGTTAACTTTATTTATTGACTTTAGAAAATTTTCAAAGTAGCCATTTTGTAAAAAATATTATTCTTGAAATTTTAATGTATCATACATTTATATATAATTAATAGTTTTTTAATTAAGTTTTAATTTCTAGAAAATAGGCATGAAAAAAAATAATATTCAATAGAAAGTAAAGAATTACTGTGCTGATTGTGATTCCTTATCGCGTAACGCGTTATTTTATTGAGTATTAATTGTTTTCACGACTATTTTTAGAAATTAAAATAGCTATAACTGAGAAATTATTTATTGGATATGAATGTGTGATAAATTAAATTTGTTTACGAAATGGCTATTTTGAAAATTGTCTAAAGTGAATAAATAAAGTTATTGTTTTTATTGTTTTGTGTGTATTTAAGGGATAAAAATAAAAATTTTATTTTCTTCCAAATCGATGTCTCCCTCGAAAACAAACCGATTGAAAGAAAAAAGAATCGAAAAAAATGTAATATTTACAGTTCTAAAAAAATTTGTCGAACACGATGGGACACACTGTATAATAAATAAACACAGTGAAGGGAGGGGAACACCTACAGAGTAAGCTACATCTACAACTCCTCTCGCTGTACTACTGGGCCACTGCAATACATAATAGGTGAATAGTTCGGTCATCTGTTATATATGAACCTAATAGTTGAATTACCTGCCTCTCATCGATGCCTTTCAAGTCTAATTTAAATTGTTTCTTTTCTCACAAGGAACCTTCTAGGAATACCAGAAATAAAAGTAAGTTAATATATCAAGCCAGCCCCCATATACAAAAATGTTAATTTAAAATTCGGCTTTCGAGATGTTATCGAACTAGCAGCCTATTTGTGTAATTTATTTTACGCTGTATATTTCAAAATAGGAAAAGATTAAAAAAAAAAAAACCCGAGTTTTTGACTTTATAACTTTATAACGTTGGTAACGCATTGTTTTTAACACTTTAATATTGACATAATGACAGTATGATAGTGCGTGCCATTGCACATCGAATTTTATAACTTTCCAAGTAGATTTTAAATGGGTTTATTGCCATTTTGCTATATTATTATGTTGTTTAATTTTTACAATATTTCAAAGAACATAAAATCATAATATTGGGTATACATTGAATTCGCGTATTAAATTTATAATTTGGCAAGATAATGATAACGAAAATATAATGCACCGTAAATGCTTTTCAAATATTTATTTAAATTAAAAGTTCCTACTTATATTGTTCATTATTTAATGTTTAAAATAATTGGTTTCTCTAAGCTCTGAGCAGAAATTCGTATTAATATTATTATCTTATATTTTAAATAAAATCATCAAGAAAATATTTAAATAAGGACCTAAATAATAAACAAATATATATATTTTATTTTTTTGAAAAATTAACTTTTATCTTGGAATATTAACTTGTATCTACTTATTTACGTAATGACATTGAATTATTCATAAATTGTAGGTTGTTAGTTTTGTTTTTGTTTTTGTTTTTTTTATTTGTTATTTTATGTTATAATATATATTTACTTTTTCGTTATGATTTTCTATGCAGATTATTCATTTACAAATTACGATACTGCCATTGATCAACTACGAAGCAATAACTTTGAAGTTTATATTAGTATATAAATTTAAAATAGTATATATTAAATTTATGAAAACAATAAAAAATAACGTAAACTGTTATTGCCAAAATTTTCCCGTGTTTTCTTAATAATTAAGAAAATAACAAATAAAATAAAAAAATAACTATGTAGAAAAAATCTGCTTTTAGAAATAATCCAATCACTTGATAACCAGTGCAAGATTTCTAGAGTGAAAAAAGTATCTGAAAATGTCAGAAAGTGTTTCTGTTTTGTTAACAAAACAGACAAAAAAAAAAAACATATAGTAAAACCAATAGGTACGTATTTCATTATGCTCAGAGTTTATAAAAATGTTAGAAAAAAGACGGAAATACTTCGTACGTGGGCGGGCCACTATTGTAGATGAAAATTTGGGATGATAGAGAAGAATTTAATGTATATCTGTACACAACGATTAATCATTGTTAACGATATACGATTCTGAGCTGAGTTAGGTTAAACACGTTTAAAAGGCAGTAATATTTACGATTTTCGTCAAAATTTGATATTAAAATTCTTACAAAAAAAAAAAAAAATATTACATTAGACTCAAATTTTTCTTGTTGAATTACTATGTACACTTTATAATAAACCTACTGTTAAATTGTCAAGCATTTCTGTTTGACCTAACAATTTTATCCACATAGTAACTATCGAATAAATATTACGTAAAAACTCCCAAAATTAAAATGTCTATAAATAGCTCAAAAATGATTCAAATATTTTGAAAATTGTATTACGCCCAGAAAAAGTAACTATAAGTTTTTGTCTTAATTTCAAGTCCCCCACAAACATTTTAAACTGAATTACCATAAAACAAAATTGAAAAATAATAAAAAGTATTATTTTCGTAAATTTCCCGTTTTTTTTTTACGTTTTACCCCGGGTTTTCTAAATTATTTTGAAACCTGCATGGATAATCAAAAAATAACCTTTTTAAAGTAACAACTAGATAAAATCACAAGGTGAAAGTGCTACACTTGAAAATCGGATCATTATTTTTGGTTAAAATTTTGTATACAGTATAAAAAAAATTAACATCGTTGTAAAAGCAACACATTTCTTGCTTCGCTCAGAATCGAAAATGGAACTGTACGTCACGCAAATTAATATGTATAAATATGTCCATGCGAATGGAAAAAACACATTTTGGTTATGCAATTTTAATCACGCTGGAGCAACCTGATAAGTTTAAATTGGACTTTTAGGAAATTAGAATGATTTTACGTCTTAAGCTATAATATATCTTATTCGACAGCTTTTTAATTAAAAATGCAGATATATAAATCCCATCATCTTGAATATACATTTAAAATTTCTGAATCTTATATCTCATTTGATCATATTGCATGTAACCCGGAAAACGTGTAACTATTCACTATTATTATTGTATGTAGGTACGACGAATCACGTCGTAAAAACGGTTATAGAGCCGTGTATACCACCCCAGATGATTTACATACTTTTATTATTGAAACGTTAAAATGTAAAAATTAAATGACAAAAAACGGCGCAAATTAAAAGTTTTGTTAGGTATATATTTTATGTGTGTAATGAAAGAAATAAAAATTTAACGAAAACATAAATTAAACAGTTTTATGAAGACGGGTTTTCACATGTATCCTGTAAATTAAAATTACGTATTTCAAGCGTTCATAAAGATCCCTGATTATTTAGTTGATTAATTAAATTACATGCATCACACCATAATATTGTTTACACGATATTATACGAATATTTATTAATTTAAAATGGCGGCTAATGAAAATTATATTACCTTACAACTTTAATTAGCAAATTCTTGTAGAAAATCCTGTATACTATATAAATATATAGTACAACACTACAATAAAATGTAAAGGCTGCTTAAGCCGGATATTTATCAGGGAATAATACTTCACTGAAAACATGCATATAAAATATAACATTATTATCAATATGTATAAAAAATTACATTTTCGTATAAATTGTTATTATTCAATACCGACATTTTTTTTTAAATTTTCAGGTATAGGGATTAGGAGGGAGTCAGTGTTCTTTGTGAATAAAAGCCTTATCTAACTAGTATAAGTAACCAGTATAATGAATACAAATTAAGTTAAGTAAAAACATTTTATATTGTTCAATGAAATTAATTTAAAATTACCTACAACCAAATTAATTGCTATTATTTTTATTTCGTTCGAATAATGTTTTTTACAATACAGCAAAATAGAAATCGATATTATCAAAACTGTTAGTATATATAATTCATAATAATTGTATTAGGTCATATATATGTATATTAAAATAAAATAATGTCTGTATCTTTACCTGACTTTAGATTCAGATTATGTAATTATGTTTGCAATTTTGTAATCAAAATATTACCATCGCATTAATTTATACGAATTAAGTGATCTGTACAATGTAATATTTAGATTCTGAGTGTAACGAAGAAGAAGCCATTAGTTTTACAAAGATGTAATTTAACGATGTACGATTAATAAAATTGTTTTCCTATTATAGTATTGTATAATATTTGAAATTGTGTAAACATTTTCTGTAATTCATCCCTTACGTTCTAATTTATGTTAATTTCTGAGTGATCTTGGCAACAAGAGAAAAACACGACTAATATTACTCTGTTCAAAACTGTTTTTTTACAGCAATTATATAAAGTATGTAAACTATAACTATAATTATATTTAAATTACCCGTATATCCTACCTTGTCAGCTAATCACCTACAACAGTGTCCTACTCGTGAGCAGTATCAAAGTTTTTTTTATTTTTAGTTAATTATCATTTGTTTTGAATTTAATGAAATGATAATTCAGTTCATTTTTTTTCACTATTCAAGTATTATTATGATTACATGTGTACAATAATAATATTATGTAGCTTTACACAATTTTCGGTGGACCTTACCGGAATATTATAATCGAAAATCAATTTATTATTTGGCTGTTGGACTGGCAGTGGAGGTGAAAAGGGATAACTGCTGAGGTCGTACTCTGCAGACGCCGATAATTTTTAAGTGATTGAAAACTGACGTTATTTCGGCGAATGCCTTTTTAGTCACGTAAAAACTGAAAGTAGTCAACGAAATTAACGAACGCCAGCTGTATATAATATTATACTCTTTGCAGCTGCATCTAGTTAAAGAAATACCAACGGTAGTGGATGTTATGTTGTACAATATTATTATATTTCTAAAAAACAAGCAGTTACCGTTTTCAAAGATATCGAAAAGGTAAGGTTACAGAAAAAATAGAGCTGATACTTGAGATGGGTGTACCACTGCTGTAAGTTGGGAAATTAGGACACATAAAGGTATTTGATTTACATTCGTAGGCACATAACAATAAACTATTGCTAAGGAAAAAATATTTTGAACGAAATTCAGTTATAGTTTTCGCTTAAAAAGATTTTTTTTATTATTTCTAAAAAAACTATATTAGGCTCAACTTATCTTTTTGAATTCTAAGTACGATAATTTATAATGATCCCCGTATACAATTTTTAAATATTTCTATTTGGTTAAACAAATTTATCCACATATAAAAACAAAAACCTCAAAAATGCTAATAAATACGAGGAAGAGGGTGGCATTCAAATTTTGGAAATGGTCATACAAATTCATAAAAAAAGCGTTTAATGATTTTGCCAAGAAAAAAGTTGAGAATTCCGAATTGGGGTGGTGGGAGACACGGTATTTCAGTAATTATGGAGGAAAGGGTCGCGAAAAAATTTCAAAAATGGTCATACAAATTAATACAAATTGCTTTCTTTAATCGTACAGTATAAAATATATGAATACTTAATTATTTACATAAAGAGGGCTGCAGACATATGTCTTTGAACAAATTCTAAAAACTGTCAAATAAATTAATAAAAATGTCGTATAAAATATTTGAATATGAATTTTCTAGAATTTTCTTGATAGGGAGGGGGCTAAGATTTACTGTTGCCTCCGCCGGATCTGGACGGACGTTGCGCGCAAACGCAACTTTTTGCCGCACCAAAACCACCCCGCGTGCAATCACCCACATCCGTTTCTGGATCATTAATCGCTCGCGGCCGGCGTCACGTGCTTTCTCGTAGGAAAGACTTAATTCGATCTAAGACGCTGGTACTCGTCTAGAGATCCAGCCGTCCGACTCCCATTTAGCAGGCTTACGCAAACTGGTTGGCTATGTTACGTCAGATTTGGTGTCGGAGACTAAGCGTTCCCTTACTTGTCCGCGATACTTTGCACTTATTCGAGCCGTTCCCTTTGAGGGAGTATATAGTCCGCGCGAATCGATCGAGAGCCACGAGTGACCGGGAAGGTGTCGCCAGGTTGGCAACACTCCACGGCCCCCGGATCCCCAAGGCGCACAGGGCCTTAGTGAGTTGCGCTCGTAGCTCAGCATGCTGCGGACAGTGCAAAAGTACATGCCAGTTCTCCATGAGGGACTCGCTACAGTTGCACACTGTACTTACATAAAAATGTAAATATATTAATAAGACACACAATTACCAACACAAATTTGTCGATATTAGAAAAAAGATATAACAAGAAACAGCGCGTCGTCTAAGTAACGCACAGTTTCACCTAAAACCTTTCGAGTTTATAATACATCGTTTATAGTGACATCGACTATAGTTTAACATATTGTTTTCATATAACTAGTTTCCCCGATAGGCTGCGCGTATTTCGAGTTTTCTCTTGGTTTTGGCCGTGTTAGAATTGAATGAAAACAAATAGGTGGAAAGTGGGCAGTCCACCTGCGGCGGCCTAAATGTGTTATATTGTGATATTTAAATAGTGTAAATAATAGTGACAATAAAAATTATAATAGTTTTATTTTATAATGTGTCGGTGACTTGTTGACGGGTCAGTCTTTGTCTCAATGCATTAGCTCGACGGCGTTTATTGTGTTGCTCTTGACTTTCATTAGTACGTGTGATTGCAGCCTGGTTTCTATTTTCATTGTCCGTCAATTGATCTTCTGCCGATCTATTTAACCGACGGTTCTGGACTAATTGTGAATTCCGAGTCCGTCGTCCAATATTTCTTCCTTGTACACGAAGACGTGGCATTGTTTTATGTACGTGACTTTTTAGAAAAATTGATGTTATTTCAAAATAAAGAATAATGAAATTATTATATTATTTGTCTTTCATTTCATACTTTGTTTAATATCCTAATCGCTTGAAATATCATACAGGACAACGTCTGTCGGGTCCGCTAGTGTGAATTTAATACACTTTAATATTCACTGAAATATCAAAAGACAACAAAATTAAAATGTCAAAATAACGAAACACACCTAATATAATACACTCAAATTAAAATGTAGAAAAATAAACGAAATCCTATGCACGTAATTTAATTTAATCGAGTATATTAATGCTTAATATTTATGCAAATGCGATATGAATGAATACATACACAAAATGAATGAAATTAATAAATGAATAAATGACAGACGTTGTCCTGTACGATATTTCAAGCGATTAGGATAAATTTATTTAAGTCGATCCAGTCGTTTAGTTGCATTATAGATAAATATTCCGACGGAACATGCAGTATAGATAAATAACCTAGATACCGACTGCAGCGTCATCTGCCGGGCTGATTTGTTAATCTAAACCATCCAAGGCGTCACCCAAACACATACAAAAAACTTCATTCAAATCGGTCCAGCCGTTTAGAAGGAGTTCAGCGACATACACACGTACAGTAGAATTATATATATATATAAAAATAAACATTAAAAATAACTTGACAATTGATAATAATTTAAGAACAGAATATTCTTAGCGATGGAATAGCAAATAGTTTTAGTATTTTTCTATTTTTCAGAAATTTTATCAATCTGAACTGAATGGTTTTCTATACACCGATTGGTTAGGTATAGCATTAGATAAAACCAAAGTATAACATCATTAACACTTCTTTACTTCATTTTTCGGAAATCTAAATAAAAAAGCGGACATATTTCACACGTGGATGGATGATTATTGTAGGTGAGAATCGGTAAGGTAGAGAGGAAATTGAATGTATTTATGTATCCAACGATTATCCATTGCTAACGAATAAACGATTTTAAGTAGAGTTCGGTAAATAGTGTTGCTTTGTCAATAATATATATGCCATATTATGGTAAAATAATTACATATGTGTTATATATTTTTTTTAATAATATTTGTTTAATATTGTACTTATTTTTCCATTTTTTCTCATTTATTGGTTAAACTGCTGGGAAAATCAAAAAATTACTTCCTTAAAGTACCTTCCCAGTCAGATTTCAAGGAAATTTTATTTGAGTGGTACTTTATTTGAGCTAATTTTTTGATTTTCTAAGCAGTTTTCATAATAATTGAGAAAAACTGGGAAAAAAACGTAGGAAAAACAGGGAAATATATTATTTTCAATTTTGGTTTTTGTTGTAATTCAATAAAAATTATTCGTAGAGACTTAAAATTTGGACAGAAAAATATTATATTTATCTTTTCTAGACCTACAGGTAAAATTTTAAAAATATTTGAGCCATTTGGTACCATGAGTAACATCAGTGGCTCTAGTAGTTACCCGAGATACTAAGATATTACCCTTATAATATAGAACCGCTAATTTCCGAAGCCCGGGCTAGTCTCTGCCACTTTAGCTACTGGCTAAGATCACTCAACGAACAAAAAAAATTTTGTTTAAGTTTGTCCGTTCGATTACAGTTACTCACATATATGTACGGTGATAAAATATGCGGGGATTCAGGTCCAATATATATTTTTAATTTGCAAAAGCTGGTATAAAATTGTGACTTCTGGGGAGAGGCTACAGAGAGACATAATATAATGGTTACCGCCTTTGGCACATCGGACAAAGGGTTAGAAAGTAAAAGTCTTTCGGGATTGCGGTGGTCGAAAATACGTTTTATCAAAACACATTCCACTTGTCCGGGAAAATAATAAGCACCTTCTCCCATGTGTCGTCCGAGAAATATTCTCCCATTCAAATTCAAATTGCGGTATAATAATTATTTTTAATATTAATATATTATAACAGTCATGCTATGAATTCCAGCATTTAAATTTCATTGTCTGCTACGGTGGAAACAGTTTTGTTGGTCTTGTGTCATATACGAAACAACACATTGCACCGCGACGTCGGTTGTGTCCACGTTACAAAGGAAACGGATATGACAATGAACCGTTTTCAAAATACCTATCAGCGACCCGTTAAAAAACATCATACTTTTACAGTACCGTATTGAAAATTGTATACTCACCAAGTAAAATAAAAAAAAAACTAAACGTTAAAAAATACAGGTACCTACAGAAAGATATGTATAACTTCCTACAAAAATGACTTTTTTATCTGTATTTAAAGCATAGTGTAAACTCCTACATAGTCCCTTAGCCTAAATTATATGGTGTAATTTCTTACACAGAACTTTTTACTTTTTAGTTCTGAGTGTAACGAGGAATGTATATTGGTTTTACAATGATGTTTGAGATAATTCTACTTCAGTGAGAAAAAACGTAAGATTTTAAAATTGCATAATTTTAAATAAACACGCACGATGTTTTATACCAGAAATAGTTCTCTAATGGAAAAATGATAAGATACTTTTTTTATTTCATTTTGGATAAATAATCGTAGAAAAAATTTAGTAAATATATTAATATAAGGCATCTTATGAGAAATTCTCGAACATTTCTATAACGTCTACGTTATTTTTATAAATCGGAAATGTAATAATTTCTACTTTTTATTTTTTTAATTAATGATTGATTTTTACTTATTTTAATTTTTACAACTTTACAACTATCTAGTGTAGGAGTTAACATTATATTTTGTAAGAGTTAACATTAGGTTAATAATAGGATATTACCATCCACCAAATTTAGTAGGCGCTATTGAAAATATAAAAATTATTGACAATAACAATAGGTAATCAACAATTAGATAGATGTTCAGAAGAATTTTCAAATTATAATTGCAGTTTAGTAGTTTAGTACATTGACAGCATATAATTATTTTCAATATTTTAAAAATTTTTTTATATTAATAACGACTTTATAATGGAATGGTTTAAAATTAAATCATAAAAAGACAATGATTGTCGAAAAAAATTGTTTAAATCACCTTGACAAAATAGGGCATCAGACAAAATATTATAAATGCATTGACAATTACGGAGGTTGAGCTATTAAAAAAAATAAAATAATGCAGTATTATCTAAAAATCATATTCATCAAACAAATGGAGTTGAGTTTAGTAGTTGTGGTTTTCGAAACAAATTAAAGATAAGTAAAAAACTTAACAATTTGTAATAGGTAGTATTAGATTTTGGGCGTAAAATAATAAAACTGTTAACTCCATAATTTGTAAAATTTGATTTTTCACCCTTTTTGGTTTTCAAAATTATTATGAAATGTATTCTACCTTCTCATCTTTTCAGCTAAAATTTGTATAATTGTTTTAAGATTGAATTTAATAAAAAATTATTGTGTCAACATTTATGTGAAATAATTTTTTATGTAATAATTAAAACAAAAATTACTTTAAGGATGATATTTCTATGTATCCTACAAAATCTGTAATATAAGCTTTAATGAAATGAGGAAAACAATAATGACTTGTGGAATTCAATAAGTTCATCAAAATCTGAAGACACTTTATCAGTATTTTAGTGTAAAAAGTTTAGTACATAGGACAAAAATGAAAAAAGATTGATAGACGATGGAAGAGATTTTCTAATAGGTAAAAATTATTAGGTAACACTTGTCATTAATTATGCAGACACAAACATTGTTTTAAAATTAATTTCGTTAGTTGTAGGATCTGACGGCGATTACGATAAAATTATAATATTTGAAATTGGGAAACCATTATTTTACATACCTACTATTAGTTTGCAGCTAATTTAACATCTCGACCCAGGGGAGGACTACGTCGGTTTGCTGATCGGAAAACGTGGACTGGCTTATCATTCGTATTATAATTTGGTCCGTCGGACAAAAATATATACCTGTTTTTATCATATGATGAGTTTTAAACCTTAAGCACTAAATAATATACGTATACACAGTGAAAATATTATTAACTAATGGACCGATACAGTAATAATTCCGTTATATTTTTGTTATCATCTGAATGCAGAGATAACATTTTCTTTAGTGCCCAGAAAAACGGCAGAAGTACGATTGAGAATGGTCATTATCGTCGATACCATTTTTAAACCCTATAGACTAATTACGATTGAGAATGTTCGATTTTTATAATTCCACGCAACGTTGCCAAATATGTAGTAATCTGAAAATTCAACCAAACAAAAATATAAATATTTATGTATCGTAATCGAGTTTAATGATTACCTATTAGTGTTTGAAATAGCATATTACTGAATCCATCAATAATGATAATCTACATAAATTCAACGATAGCGAATTGTTTGCTGAGAATAATCAAAATATACACATTAATGCATTACTCAATATGCGGTTTCCCGTATTATGTGTTTTATGCGCGAAATATTTTATGTTAATACTTAAATAAAATGGAAAATAACCAAGACTTATATCCTCTGAGCGTGGTGGAAATTTAATTGTTAATAATTTTACTATTTTCATTAATTATTGGTCAAAGTTGAGTTGGAGATTTAAAACTGCGAACTGGCCTGTGATCTAGCCAGTCCATCCCTGGACTTGACCGGACCCTCGGCAAATAATAGGCATGTTACATAATATTTCCGACATTTTTTACTATGTTGCATCATTCGTGCTGCGAAATATAACTTTATAAAAATATTTTTTTTATTTTCATTTGCTTATAGCACAAAATATTCCCGTCAAAAATATTTACTCGATAAGCTTCTCTTGCTGTTACCATTACCGAAATTTATTTTAAAGCGAATAGGACACGCACTGCAGGCTTTTACGCTTGGGAAATAGCCAAATATTAAAATTATGTAAATAATATTGAATTTTCCGAGTTAAATAAAACGTTTCCGAAAAAATATGTATTCATTACATTGTACATTCATAATACCCTTTTACATTATTGTGTTTCACTGTTTTTAGTTGTTTACACCGCACATGTTCGTCGAGTTGACACTGGCACGTTATAATAGGACTATAACTAGTATCAATATTTTGCTAGGTATTTGCTAGATTTTGCTAAAGTATTTTTGGATTTTCCTAAGGCGCCCATCGCATCTGGGAGAGGTTTTAAATTATTATAAGCACCGGCAAGTCGTCTGATTCAAACCAAAATTATATTTTTGTTTGAAACTATTTTCTACTCAAATTTTATTTTTACCACTAAGTACAACTTATAATGAACCCCTTGTTAAATTTTTAAGCATTTTTTTTTGTTCATTCAATTTTATTTACAGAGTATCTACCAAATAAATATTACGTGAAAAAACTGGCTAAATTAAAACGTCTAAAAATAGCTCAATAATGACTTAAATGTTTTGAAAATTTAACCACGTTTACAAAAGGCAGCATTTATAACTAAATTACAACAAAAAACAAAATTTGAAAGTAATGAAAGCATTATTTTTGTAAATTTTCCCGTTCTTTCTTTGTTTTTTTTTCTGTTTTTTTCAAATATTAAAAACACCAATGACATATTTCATATTATGGGTTATAAATGTAATATTAATTTTGTATAAAATATAAATGCACAAAAAAATTACTTACAATATCAATATTATTGTCAATGTTTTTAATCATATAATTCATATAAATGTTGTTTTGTTTCAGCACGGCGTCGGAGTCGAATTCGTTAGATTTTTACCAGAGACGCACCCTCCGGTGCTTTCAAACGTTTTCTGTGAACTTGGTGTCTGCGAAAACATCGTAAGTATTACGACGCGCACGCATACACACACACATACACACACAGGCACATACACGCATAATACACACACACTTTTATGTTTTGTTATTCCTGTCAGATAATGTAAGTATTATAATGATCAGAGTAGTTCAAAGTGGAGAATATTAAAAGCTCAGGGAATGTTATTTTTAATTTGCGTCGCAATAATCGATGTTTTTATAATCGAAACAAAATAAATATGAACCATCTAGAAAATTAAAATCGATTCATTATTAATGTTTACTGATTACAGAGTGATCCATTTACTATTGACCAGTGATTTCTCAGACGGTTTCAAGTGAATTTGATTTCTATTTTTATCAATCAATATGTATAGAATCGTTTAATACTATTTTAAATTTTTATCTTTACTTTGTATACCTATGAGTATATAATTATGATTTTTAAATAGGACGCTGTAAACGCAGATTCGGATAGAGAATATTTTTCTATACGTTTTGATATTCATGACACTTACATTAGATTAACATTAATGAGAACTCATTAAATTTGGGAAGGAAAAGTAGGGAAGGGTAATAAACTTTATATTCAATTTTAGATGATTAATTCAAAATTAATTACCCGAGAATTAATATTCTTCCGGTCTAAACTTCAAACTGTTATAACTTATATTAGTGGTCTATGCATATCAATATTCATAAAAAATATCCTCTATTTCAATCTGAATTTAAAAGGAGGGGGGTCTTACTTAAAAATTAAAAGTGTTAATTCAATCAAGGTATAATGAATGAGGGGAAAAAAATTGAAAATAGTGTTTAAAATAGTTTAAATGATTCCATAATGATTAAAAAAAACAGATCAAAGTTACTTAAAATCTTCAGAGAAAATCGCAAACTTTACTTTATTTTTCTGAGAGAAACACAATAAATTATTTCTTAAAAGAGGAAAAGATTATGCATTTATTTCGTAATTTCGAAATTTAAAATTTAAAATGGGATGAGATGAATATTCTTATGGACAGTTAGAAATTATTAAATAATACGATTATCCGAATAAACACACATAAGATCAATAAACGCGAATAAAAAAAGTAACAGATCAGCTCCTCTCCACTTCGAACACCAAGATCCAAATATAAGGTTAATAGAAAATGTATGAAATTCTGTTTAAGACGATCACGGGTGACTGTGACGCTACGCCGGCGATGCAACTCAAAGCTATGCGACAGAAGGGCGATAAAGTGGAAGTTTCTCATTACCGGGTTAATGTAAACAAATTGCAGGCAAGATTAAACATGTCCTGTGACACCGGCAAGAAACGAGGGCAGATCAAATTCGACGGATGGCCAAAAGTATTTTTTTTTCATGCGTCTTTTTGTTATCTCGAAAGACATTAATTTAAAAAAGACGGACATACTTTGCACGATGTGTGGACCATTCTTGTAGCCTACAACAGTGGTCCACCTATCGTGGTAGTTGGATTCCAACTGCTAGGCCATTTTGCATTTCAAAAACGTTATTCAATGCAGACCTCGGCTTATGGGAGAATAATATAATATACTTGTAGGTAAGAAGTTGAGAAGATAAATGTATATTGTACGCAACGATTAACCATTTCTAACGAAAAACGATTTTGAACGGTGTTCAGTTAATAATGTTGCTTTGTCAACAATATATATGGCATATTATGCATTAAGTATTTTCTTTAATAATATTTGTTTAATATTGTACCTATTTTCCCGTTATCCCATTTATTATGAAAACAGCTGGAAAAATCAAAAAATTACATCCTTAAGGTACCACCCCAGTAACAATTTCTTTCAAAAAATGTGCTACACTTAAAAATCGGAGTAAGATTTCTGGTAAAAAAGTTGCCCACAGATCAAAAAAAAAAAAAAAAATAAAAGAACATCATTGTAAAACCAATACATTCCTCGTTTCGTTCAAAATATATAAAAAAAAAACATATCTCATACATACAAACAAGTAATAATAGTTTTCGTTTTAAACTAATCGTTTGGACCGTACAGAGTATATAAAATATTAGGTAATTTGTATCACGATCTAATAATTTTGGTTTTCACCTTTTGTTATTTATACAATTTTTTTGTGTTCTGGTGAATTACTTGTAAACATGATTTAAAACTAATAATTTAGTAAATCAAATTAATAAAGAATAACAATATTAATTTGTATTAATAAAAAGAAATGTTTTTATGTTCGTTTGATTTTCTATGAATCTATTGCACAAAAAGGTCAGAGAATTTACATGCGTAAGTAGATGAACGTGATGTACCTTAAAGCTCACAAAACATTTTTGATATTCTTAGTACGAATTAATTTTGTTAATTATGGATTCGTGGATCATGGACTGTGGAGTGTCTTTGGTAACATTGATTAAAAAAAAAAAAATTGTTATAAGTTAATTTGATTGCCACTGACAAGAAATTAGGTGCTTTTTGAAAAATAAATTATCGAACAACAATAGCTAACTATGACGGGAATGGACACATGGGGTTTGGAAATTCACGGAGAGATATGTTTATATTTATTAAAATATAAATATATTTGGATACAACTTTACAACTGTACAGGGTAGATTTAAAATAACTGAATAAAAATACGTATTACTTGTTTGTATACATTTCACAATTAATTGTTGTGAAAAATAATCAAATGAAACCGTTAAAAAATATAAAGTACTCATATAGTAAATACTACTACGTAATATATAATATATAATATGATAAATAATTAATATTGAAATAATTAATTTGACTATAGATTAAGTTAAGAAAAAAATATTATATCCTTATAACCAGAAATCCTATTACCGAGTTTAGTATTTATTGGATACGCGTAGATTACTATTGTCTATTATAATATATTAAAGAGTGATCAATATAATGTAAGATACTCATTATCACGGAAAGTATTAACTTATTTAGGGATTTGTTTTTTAGGTAATTTGAGAAATAATAATAAACTTTAAAATATTATAATATTCTTGATTTTGTCACTCTTATTTTAGAGGGTTTAACCAATAACTACTTTTAATTTTTAAAATGGTACTAATATTAAAAACTCTATGAATAGATAGAGTATTAAGTGTCTTTCATACAAGACAAATATTCGCTACGACTACGTATCAGGATCTTTAGTCTAAAATCATTAATTCTCAATTTTTTTAGGACCACGACCCAAATTTTTTTCCAAAAGTCTATCGCGACTATCATGATTTCTCTTTTCAGAAAGAAGTTATAAAAAAACAAAATTTGTTTATCACTCTTATTATTTATTACTTTATAAGTTTATAATTATTATAATTTTACAAATAATGTACTTTTAATAATGAAGTATATGCGAAGTGTGTTTTTTTTTCTGCCATGGTTTATAATAGCGCCGACGTCGACATCAATCTGAGTTATTTTCAAACGCAAGGAGTTTGATAATTGTACCTTGTTTCGATGTTTATTTTTTATGCTTAATATTACCAAAAATCCAACTTCTTACATGTATGAAGATGAGAATAGGAGTAATATTTTTAGAGCTTTGGCTGAAAATATTGGATATGTTTGTTTAGATGACAGTCAAAACTGAATCAAATTATTGCGGCTAAATTTAATTTTTAAAAATGAATTTTTTGATAAATCAATGAGGTTTTCATTGGATTTTGTTGATATTCAATTCGATATAGTATTCTGAAATGGATTAACAACCCAGTTATTTCGTTAATATTTTTCTATGTCTTCAAGAAAGTAAAAATTAAAATTATCTTTCAACGAAATTAAATGTAAATTGATTTAGCATTAGCTACTTTTATAAAATTTTAAATTATAAAAGTTTGAAATGTTTCAAAATGTTTTTTTTTTACCATAAAGTAAATTTTTTCATAAAATCTTTAACTTGAACGGAAAATATATCGGGTCCTTGTGTTCCTTACATATATAGATTTAGTTCGTTAAGTTTCAAAAATATATTAACTTAATACGTGAACATCAGAATAATTCTTCATTTTGCAAAGATTTTACCAAATCAGTTTTTTCATTTAAAAACAATAAAACTTCTTCGTGGAGTTCCATAAGTTATGTTAATAGTTTTCCTCTTGACCTGACGATTCTGAACGGAGTTCAGTTAATAGTGTTGCTTTGTCAACAATATATATTATATGTCATATTGTGGTTAAATAATTACATACACATTATATTATATTTTCTTTAATAATATTTGTTTAATATTATACCTATTTTCCCGTTATTCCTACGTTTTTTCCTAGTTTTTCCCATATGTTATGAAAATAGTTGAGGGAATCAAACAATTATCTCTTAAGATACCACCCCAGTTAAATTTCTTTTCAGAAAAAGAGCTATAATTGAAAATCAGAGCAAAATTGCTAGTATAAAAGTTGTTTTCATATAAAATAAAAAAAAAAATAAAAACTAAGATCATTGTAAAACCAATATATTTCTTGTTCCGCTCAGAATTTTTTTTGGAATCTATGTAATTCAAAACTATTTCTGCGACTCACCAAAAATTGACTCGGGACTCACCAGTGACCAACAGTTTGAGAAACACTGGTCAAAATAAATTTTGGTGTTGAGATTTTTATTTCCGTCATTTGAATGTATGTTTATAAAATCATAAATATATTTATGTTTCATAGGTTAAATATTTGCCAATGAGACTAGGTATCGTTTTCCCGAAATTTCAGCCGAATAATCTGTATTTTTAAGGGCGTCTACCATTTTCCTTTTGATTTATATTGATACGTTTGAAATAAAAAACACGAGGGCTGCTGCTTTTGAACTCAGGTACTATAAATTACTAATACATTTTTTTAATGAACAACTTGAAATTCTATCATCAGTATCTTTATATTCAATAATGCTCTGAATAAATAAAATATTTTGATACGGGGCTTCTGTAGCAATATGCGAACGAAACCATCTTTTATGTAAATAAAAATAATAAGAATACATGTATCACGACATGCAGTTTCTTGTGTAAACGCCATATTGAATTGTTTTCGAAAAATGAAAAGGTAAAACAATAAATTGCCTTGGTCATCCATCGAGCATGATGACAAGCTCCTGATACTCGAAATGATATTCCTCGAATTGAAGATCCACCAAGAAAAATTATTGAAAGTTCTAATAGCTCCCGAATCTTTCCTAAACTGTTTTTCTTTTGACATATTTTGTGCATAATCAAAAATTTGATCATTTACATTAATTAATACTAAATTTACATGTGGATTTTCTATACCAGGATTTAATTTGTCAGTGTCAATTATATTCCAATTATCTTAAAAATATTTGAAGAGTAAAATATTATCACCATCATAATCATTATATAAAAATAGAATACGGAAATTATCATGCTTTCTGTATTTATAACTAATTATATAACATTACATCACGTTTTATTTTATTTTGTTTTCGGGGTGATTTTTATTATTTTATTTTATGATAAGTATAAAATAGTTGATTGTATGCAATTTTTTCTCATACCTTATTTTGTAGGCAATTAAATTTTTTAAATTACATTTTTTTTAAAAAACGTTCTCTCTAATTTTCAAACGTTTATCAAATTTACTTAAATAACTGTAAAAACCACATTTTCCGAACAAAAACGAAATAAATCATGTTTTATTTTTTTCCTTGAATAATAATGATTTTATCAAAAAATATGTAAAACATTATTTATAGGCAGCACAAAGACCTATAAAAAAGTTAATGAACAGTTTTACAAATTTTATCTTGTTGACGATAATGAAACTCATAACGGCCATAACCGATAATAAGTACAATGGTCATACTAATTGGACCTTCCTATCTTATCCCTATCTACCTAACACTATGTGAAGTTCAAGCTGCATCAGCTGTTAAGTATAAAAGTTTATAATTTCATAATTTACCATCATGGTTACATAATTTAGCACTGGTTATTTAATCTTGGTATACGATCTTATCAGTTATGATAACAAAATATTGTAATTTATGATTGATTAATATCAATTAGATAAACTAGATTGCTATATTCCCTATCAAGGTATCTTGGTTACCAGTATTAACGTTTAATAAAAAAACGTTTGATGCCACATATCCGTTATAAGTAGATCATTGGTATCTTATTCTGCCATCATTTTGATAACACAATATCAAGGATATAGTTGATATAAATAAAATTTAAATCATTTAACCATAGATAATATAAGATAATATTAGATAATTTGAAATTACATTATCTAAGCATTTAACAGTCTTTATTTGTAAAGGTAAAACAAATAGCAATGTTAAATATCAAAAAAATAATACTGTAACATGTTGCAAAATAAAATAGTTTTATTAAGCTTTTGTCTTATGCTAGCCACCTTCGTTTTACGTTTTCTCTTTAATTTCTGTGTCGGTGTACAATCTTAATCACCAAGTTGAAAAATAATATTTAAGTTTACAAAATGTCTTTTTAAACTATTTATTTATTCAACTGGAACTAATTGCAGAGTTCATATCATTAAACACAATCATAAATTAGTAATCATGATTCAAATAAAGAAATAAGTTATGATTGTAATTAAATAAATATTTAATGAACATGGTATTTTAATATTAGGTACTATATTATATTAAACACATATTATGCATTTTAAAACAAAATTATTTAACAATTTGTATGTGTTTAAAAAATAATTCATAAATATTCAGATACATATAACTAGGATTTGGGACTTAAAATTTTTTATTTTGGCTTAAGATAAATTCTATAAAAGTGCTATTAATATTAATGTCACGTTATTAAATTTAAAAATGCTTATTATTTATTTTTATAGGGGAGACTGTTTTGAGATTGATATTTTTTGATTATTTTAATTTTTTATAAATGCTTATAATGAGGTTACAAAATATAGTAAGCTCACTTACTAAATATATGTATTCATTGCATTTATATAGTTTAGTGCTACATAAAAACCATAAGCTTATACACTTCTAAAAGTAGTTAAAGGTCTATTCATACATTTTAGAGCGAAGAAGCTTATGGTTTTACAAAGAGGTTTATTTTTATAATTTTTTTCCCTGTGGACAATTTTTCTACCAGAGAACTTACTCCGTTTAAACGTATAGCACCTTTTTTGATAGGAAATTGATGTGGGGAGGTACTTAAAGCATGTCATTTTTTGATTTTCTCCGAAGTTTTCTCAACAAATGTGAAAACTCCACCAAAAAAAGGAAAAACGGGATCCATTTTAGTTTTGAAATTGGAATAATTAGAATTTTACCATAATATAACATATATATTGTTGACAAAATAGCACTATCAACTGAATTCCGCTCAGAAATTTGTTTTCGTAAGTTATGTTTGCCTACAGGTATACATTAAATTATCTATATCAGTGGCTGGACCGATCTCGATTATTCTCGGACGCCTTTTTTTTTTTAGTTTCTAAATGAAGCGAACAATATCTGTGAACAACATATCACCTAAAAATCTTTCACCAATTTTCAAGTGTAGCACCTTTTTGAATTCATTTTGGCTCCAAATGGTGTTTTTGGGAGGGCATTAACATAAAATAACGGGAAAATATTCAAGGTATAGCGATTTTATGATTTTAAATTTTTGTAACAAAGTTAATCTAACAAGTTTTGTTTAAAAAATATACTGTTAACCGAGCTCAGCTCAGAATTGTTTTTCGTTTTCAATGATTAATTGTTGTATACAAATATAAACGAATTCCTCTTTTTATCCAACTTCTCATCTTTAACAAAGGCCCACCCATGAGTACTATCTTACCTTTATATTTTTTTTAGTTCTAAATTTGTATGATGTCCCTCCCATTTAGGGTTTTATTTTCATTAAAAATAAATAATTGATAATCAATCTACACTGAAAAAAAAATGTAGATTTGATAAAGTATTTTGATGACATAAATAAATGACGGGAATTATATAATTAGGATAGTTTTCATTAGTGACAGACAAATTATCTAGATCAGATAGATATTATAATTTTTTTTAACAATTACTTTAGGGAACTCAGTTCTGTCTTATTAATCTGTGGGTTATGGGACCGAAGCTCCTTATACATAGTGCCTACTCGACTTACCATTTATAATAATGTATTTTAACTAATGAGCAAGTATAGTATTCTGGGATATAATTTTTGTATAATGTATAATTTGAATTTTATACCAAAACTATCTTGTGTGTAAATTGACCAAATATGGGCATTAATTTAATACTAAATTATCAAAGGTAATGAACACATTAGTTATCAATAATTTGACTAGAGTATGAACAAATTTTCATAGTGCAAATGTTTGCAGTAATTGATTAAGGTCATAACTAGTAAAAAATATTAACACTTGACATGTCTACAACTCTAGATAATTAATACAAATTAAATAAACATATATACATTAACTCTAGATTACATAACATTTTTGGGACTTTAGATTACATAATATTTTTGGGACTATGGATGTACTATAATATTGGTATTGTGCAACTTTTAAAACATAATTTATTTTTATACTTATTTTTTAAACTAGGTAGTTTTTTAATTAATATTTTATCATTTAGAATTTATTTAACATTGTATAAAAATAATATATTCACATTAAAAAAATGTTAAATTTACTAATTTAGGTTAATAAAAAATCCATAGTCCTACTTACGGAAAATAGTAAATCATTAGCTTAACCTAATTATTTAAATATAAAATTCAATATCAATGTTATCATCCTTAAATTTTACAAACGTAGAAGTAGTTAGACAAGTCTACTACTAAGACGTTAGACACTTTTTTCTTTATTTTAAAGCAATTAAAATAAAAACATCAAATTATTTATGATTGATTTATTTTATAAAAAACAAATATATTTAAACATAATTAATCCATTCTGCAGTCTATTTAAAAATTAAAATTTAATACGGAAATATATTTCATTCCATATTAACTTAAAAAGTTATCAGGTTATCAACGTACTACGTGATTGTATATAAACAAAAATAATAATTTGTGTTTGTTCATCTAATCTAGTTACAGATATTTTAATTATATTGATAGTAATACAACTAACTGCAATTCAAATTTAAAAGAAAACAAAGTTAATTATCTAAAAAATTATGATAAACATTAAGTTATTTATAATATTGAATATATATAAAAATAAATAAATTAATGCGTCGCCTGAAGTATGAAATGTGTATTGTACAACCGGTTTTGAATTTAAAATTCTTCGTCTGGTAAAATCACAAAAATAAAAAATGAAACGCGACTCATTTATTTATTTATTTATTTATTTATTTATACATTTATTTAAAATTATTAACCATTTAATAATTATTTTTAACTTTTGTATTTTATTATCTATAATAATGAATTATTTCATAAAATTAAATATTTGTACTTTCATAATTAATTACTATGTTTGTTTAAAAATTAAAATAAGATATAGAAATATATTTCATTCCATATTATTAATTTATAGAGTCAGATAGGTTCCTATAGCAAACAGTATGAATTTACATCAGTTTACTATTATTTTTTGATTAATTCTACTAATTCTACTAATTTCCACTAAAATTTATGTTGAAATGTATGACCCGTGGTTATTATTTATCAATAATATGTATCATTTAATAAACAAAATTTTTTAATTGCTTAATTTTAGATTAAACTTACTTGTCAATATATTATTCAAATAAAGTTGTTTGTATTGAAGTAATTGGTTTAATAGCTGTAACAATTATGCACCAGACTATAATATTGTCACTTTTATAACTCATTAATAATTTGAATACAAATATATTTTTGAATAATCTATTTTTAGAATACGAGTACAATGACTGTTAATGGGATAATTTTGTATTTAATAAAATATATAGAATTTAGAATTTATTTAAAATATATTCTGTGGTTATACGTTTACATTTTATTGAATAATGAATAGTAATTAATATTTGATAATGATAAATTTACATTTAAGATTAAACACATGTTTTCAGAAACATTTTACCGTTCAAGTTAATTCTCGTTTATCTACAAACATAATTAGTAAAACAATCACTTATATACGTATGTGAAAACCAGATAGCTGACTCCATATACAACTTATTATGATGCCCAGCGCCATTTTTTACTTGGACGAATTCTTTGGTAACCAAACAATATTGTAATATTGTATGTTTACATAATTTATGGTTACTAAATTTATCTGTGATTAGGACAGCATAAAAATGATAAGAATTTGTAAACATAATTGTATACATTGTTGTATATGGAGTCGGCTATCTAGGGTTTATATATATATATCTTTGGATACAACTGGTATAGTTATTGAATATGATAATTAACAATGTTTTGTTATCATGAATATGGCTCGAATATGACTCAAATATAGTTCGGTTATCTGTGATCCATGGACATCTGCTGATAGGTACACATTGGAACATGTCCAGCAAAAATGTTTATTTTTTTGCAAGCTATAAGTTAAATGTCACCAGCCCTCTCCACGATTATAATCCTGTCCTCCTTAAACTCAACCTTGTATCCTTAGTCGATCGTAGATATGATCTTAACATTGTATTCCTCCAATGACTTTTATCTGGTTCTGTCAATTCTCCCACCCTCCTTTCTCTTATTTACTTTAAAATATCAGCCCGAAGCATTTGCAACACAAACTTATTTTTTATCCCTTTTTATACCACTAACTATTTTAGTAATGAACCTATAAGTCACATTATGAAACTCGCCAGTTACGATCCCTTTTTTTTTTTTGATTTCATTTTATGTTTAAAATCTATTTAATTTGCCTTAATATTTGTATTTTTTCTTACGTTTTTATTATATTGTACTCATGCATACTTATATTTTACTAACATAATACTAATATACATTATTCTTACAACATTTTGCTGCTATACCATTGTTGGGCACAAGGTTGTATGCATATTATGAATAAATAAATAAATTATAAGACCGTATACCAAGATTCAGTAACCAGTGCTACATAATGTAACCATGATTACAAATTGTAAAATATTATTTGTATACTCTATAGCTGATACAGCTAAACGCTCAAACAGTGTTAGGTGGGGGGGGGGAGAGATGATTGGGTAGGAAGGTCCAATTAGTATGACTATTTTACTTATTATCAGTTATGGCCGTTATGGGTTATACTATCGTCAACAAGATAAAATTTGGTTTTGACTACTGGTTTTTACTGATGGGTTTAATAAATTGCCCAGTGGCAGTAAATTTAACGAATATTTAAACGTTAATAAGTCGCAAATAATTTATTCAAATTGATTAGTATAAACGTTAAAATAATCTTTTTCAATATATTTATAGATTTTCGTTATCGAAAATAAGTGTTACCATTTGAAAATGTATAGGTCATAGTGTTTTATTAAATAAGGGAGGCAGTTAACATTTTCAAAATTATATCACATTGTAGAACAGGAGAAACTAAAATGTTTAAAAAAAAATTATAGTAAAATTCATAATACTTACAGAGATATTGGCTGGTTAAAAAAATTAACCTGTATAAAAAAAAAAAAGCTATCGTAGGTTAATGAGGACGAGTGCAGCTACTGTTATTGGAAAGGTAGGATATAGAGGAAGAAATTAATTTATATTTTGTAAGTAATGATAAATATAAACTATTGTTTACTAAAAACGATTCTGAGCATAGTTCAGTTGATAATGATGCTTTGTCAATAATATGTATGGCATAATATTTTACTAATATTTTCATACATTTTACCGTTTTTCTCAGTTTTTTAGTTTTTCACATTTGATGAGGAAACTCTTGAGAAAGTTAATGATCTCTCTAATGTACCACCCCAAGAAAATTCATTTTCAGAAAAGGGGTTACATCGTATACATTGGAGTACACTTCCTGGTAGAAAAAGTGTTAACATAAAAAAGAACATTAAAAAAAAAAAAAAAAATATCTTTGTAAAACCAATACATCCTTCGCTAAACCCAAAATCTAAAAAAATGTATCGAATTGAAAAAGGTTATTTTTTAAAATTACAGGTGAAAGTCATATTGGCTCCGGTGGGAAACATTAAAAGCAACACGTTGGACGAAGTGCAACTCCAAGACGTAATCATAGACATTGTGACTGGCGCGATAAGATCGACCGACCTCGATGTTGATTTGTACCGATGGATGGAGTTCCCGACGTTCGTGAAAATTCAACAGCCAATCATCACTTCACCTTTGGATTCGTACACTGATCGAATGGTATATTTCAGGTTTCGATTATAGTTTATCGTAAATTATTGGTATTCTATAATTCCGATAGATATATCAGTCATTAAATTTCATGTTCCAATTCCATTCAAAAAGTTTTACCATCAAAGCAGTTGTAATTCGAATTTGGAGTTTTCACTTTTTTAGGGTTGTGTTTATTTTCGAATTTTTTTTTTGTTAAAATGTGTATTATATTTTATGATATACGATACGACCATAAGACATAAGGACGTTATTATAATATAGTATGATGAGTTTGTTGGCTGAAGAACCTTTTCATGTCATTTATAATAAGCCAACGATATTTTAAAAGCAACACGTGTCTAATAATACCTGTGCCAGATATTTCGGCACCAATGTTAATTAGTGCCAATATACTTGATTATATTGAAAAAAAAAATTGGATAATATACAAAATAGACCCAAATAATATTTTTGAATGTTTTTATAAAGCTGTGTATATTTTGTATGTATGTAATAATGCTACGCGCAAACTGGAATACTGAAAGCTGTATCATTAAAATATACAATTTTAATTGAAATTGGCTAATTCGATAATACGTAGTATAGGTACAATTGAAATAATTTATTATTGGAGTTATTATTATAGATGCTATAAACCATAATAATTAATAAATAATTATTGAAACTAATCGATTTCATTTGTACGCAAAATTGTATATAGTAGGACAATGATATAATTTATTTTAGCCTTACAGTGCCTTACCTACTGGTAATAATATAGTAAATATAAATGAAATAAAAATTATAAAAACATCAATTCGATATTTAAAATCCTAAAAGAGTAATATTATACTTGTAATAAATTATGATATTAATTAAAATATAATAATAAAAATATATTTACGATAAATTGTGTTACAATCAGCAAATTTATTTTGTGCGTCAGTCATAAATAGTAGATAGCAAATTGCAATGTATTGATAATATTGATGCGTAGACAATTTTATTGCAAGTCCCAAAATAGATTTAAAATGGCTGTTTAGTCGTTTTCTAATGTTGATCACTCTGAATTTAAATTTAAAACAATATATTCTAAATAACAGTAAAAATGACAAAATACTAATAAATAACTTATGAACTTGTTGACATTGGAGAATGTTTCCTTTTTTAGGTTTCGGAATTTAACGATATTCGTAATAACACACACACACACACACACACACCGCAAAATATTATAAGATTGACATTTTTAATTGCCGTTTTAATAATGATAAAAAAAATGTGACGGTGATGAGTTTCTACTTTAGAATATTCTAAAAACGTTGTACTGGTTAAACTTTCTGTAGGTATAAAAACATGATTAATAGCTTGTTAAGGCCTTTTCAACGAAAATCTACCACGTTAGTATTAAATTAAGGATAGTTTATAAAAAATAAAAATAAAAAGTATATCAAAATATTATACATTCATTATATAGATTAATCTGAAGACCGAATCAGCAGTCAAGCAAGGAGAAAAAAGATTAATGGTTAAAGTAATAAAAGCAGTTGGATTGGGACTTAAACAAGGTTAGGTTAAATGCCGTTTAGTTTTTAAATTAACATTAGATCAAAGGTTTATTTTATGCTATCGGTAATAGGATGTTTTGAACCGTATTGCGTTATCGAAGTTGATGATCCGTTCCAAAAGAAGCAAACTTCAACTAAGAAGAATACTTCGTCACCACAATGGAACGAGAACTTTATTTTGTAAGTAAATTAATATCCGCCAAATAATAATGTACTTATTGAAATGTGAATTTCGTATTCTAATTTTTGTTTTAAATATCTCTTTGGCTATTTTTATAGCACGTTGAATCTGATGACCGAAGAAATATTGTTTGAAGTTTATGATTGCGATCCGAACGGTGGTAACCACTTCATGGGCTTGGCTATTGTCAGCGTTGAAGAACTGCTCGTGAACCCTTATCAAAGACAAGTCCTATCCCTTCAGACGCGACCTTATCAAGACGATTCAGTTTCCGGTACGCTCACATTAGAAGTGAGTGTATATTATAGATTTTGAATAATTTGTCAACGGATTTCCGATTGAAAATTTGAAAATTTACGACGAAATAGTGTCACTTTTAATAAAACATCGACTGTTTTTGGGTATTTATGGTATCAAAAAAATAAGGGCTTATGTTAATTTTTATCTATAAATTTCGTCATTTTTTGTTGTAATTTTGAAAATCGGAACTATAGATATATTATGGGAGTTAAGTGAGACGAGATTTGATTTTCTATCTCACCGGTTGTATAATATTGCTGTTCGAGTGTTAAACATACCTAATATAATTAAGTTGTGTTCAAAAAACGAAAAAAAAAAACTCAAACAAATAAATAACGATAAGTAGGTACCATACTTATTTAAATAATAAACTACAACAATATACTGTAATATAATCTAGTTCTTTTGTATAATAAAACAGATATAATTTCCGTAAATGTATAAAATTATAGTACATATATTTATATGTCTCGAGCAAGCATATTATAACCAAGAGATTTCGAAGGCAATGTATAAAGCAGAATTGCCCGTGCGACATCAATTCCCCAGGAATTCAAAACAATAGAGCTTTTATGTAACAAGACGTTTAATGCCATTATTTTATGGTGGGTACTGTCTTGCAGTCTTTACTTTTTATAGTCCAATTTGTATTTGGTTATTATTCGTCGTGTTTAACTTTTACTTTAAAATACATTGCGTATTATACAGAGTGATTCTGAAATGAACGACACAAGTTAAGAAATGTGTAGATACTCAGTGGCGTGTCTGGATGATAATATTTTTGGATTTTCATGAAAATTTTTTTTGGTAAACATTTTCAAAAAGTTAAAAATTATGAAAATTGAATAACTTCTTATCAAATCAATCCCTTAATGTTATATAGTTATACCTAGCATATTTAGATTTCATAATTATATTTAAAGCTACGTATTTGTATTACCATTTGGCATTTACCCATTATAGTATTATTCTATTGAACATAATATAGTAAATTTAAAATATAAATAGATTTATCTCCATAATAAATACGCATTTTCATCTATTATTAAAAATGTTGTACTATTACTTCCGAGTAAATATTGAGTCTTTGAGTGTGTAAACATTTTTCAACAATTGTTGATGTTTCCATTTTTTGTTAATTATTGTTTGTCATTACCACAATTTTACACCAACTATTTTTTTGAATACATAGTTATTACTGAATATTGTATCTAATTATAACGCAAGACCACAAGTCTCAAATATTTAACTATATTATAACTGATAAATATGATTTATTTAACATGTAGGTGCTTGTATATTTTAATTTTAGTTTATATTCACAGTCGTTTAGTCACTGTGAAATGTAAAAAGACATCCTAGGGGATGGATGCAGCCACTGTTATAGGTAATTTAATGTATACTTGTAGGCAACGATAAACCATTGCTTACGAAAAAATGATTCGGAGCGGAGTTCAGTTGATGTGATGCTTTATCAACAATATATATATCATATTTTAGTTAAATAATTAAATAGGCTTTATATATTTTCTTTAACAATATTTGTTCAATGTTGTACTGATTTTCCCAATTTTTTTACTTTTTCTCTAATGTTTTTTCCCGATTTTTCAAATTTGATGAGAAAACTCCCGAGAAAATCGAAAAATGACCTGTCTAAAGTACCTCGCCAGTCAGATTTTTTTTAGAAACATTGTAACCATTATAAATTAGATCGAAATTGCTGGTAGAAAAGTTTCGCTAAAAAAAAAAATAAATAACTTTGTAAAACCATAAGCTTCTTCACTCCACTCAGAATATAATATCATTAAAAGTCAAAAGAGTTATATACTTATGACAGTACCTACATAATCATTGTTATTATGTACTTATTATCATTTATATTAGATTCAAGCATTGATACTGAATATAAACAACGGTGATGCAGCGATACCAATTAAACAACTTTAAAAATTAATTACGTTAAGAAAATCCTTTAAAACTAAAATTTTTAAAGAAAATTGAAAATTTTAATCAAAAAAAAAAATTTTTAGATAATAGATAATAGATTTTTCCATTATAAAATCAAAAAATTATCTTCTAGATTCAAAATGAAAAATAAAAGATCTCTTGGCATTTTTTGTTATATTTTTCTGTTAAAAAAATTTTTCTGTGGATACAAAAAAAAAAAAAAACACAAACCACCCATAGTCAAACTAATACATTCTCTGGTCAGAATCTAAAATAGAATTTAATTAAAACTTATAGCTATTTCTCTTAATAAATATTTTATTAATTAATTTAATTATTTTATTAGAATGTAAGTTTTTTTTATTATTATTACTCACTAGTTTATAACTATGATTGCTCAACAATTAAATTTTACAATGATAATAAAATTAAATAATAAGTAAAACAAGTAATACAAAGGTTCTCAAACTTTTCAGGCCAGGCCCCCTCACTTTGGTCAACTCTATACGTGAGTCCCCCTCATAAAAATAATTTTAATAGTCATGTTTAGAGTACTAAAAAGTTAAAAACAAACAACAAATATAGGCTAATATTGATATACACATTATAAATTTATTTTAAAATAAAATTTATTTATTATAAAAGATTTTAATCAATAGGCTACTTTTAATGTGATGGGTGGGCTTGTTTTTTTTTCATCAAACACGAGGTTGGTGAAACGAAGAGAGATATTTGATAAAGCTACCCTCAATTCTTTGCTGACTTCTAGTCTTCCACGGTACTTCGACTTCATTGATGCTAGGGTAGAAAATCCTGTTTCACATAAATACGTAGTTGAAAATGGAACTAGTATTCTCATGGTTTTTTCAAACAATATTGGGCACTTTTCTTTTACACTTATCCATAATCTTGTTAATGAATTGTTTTGTTCAAATGTAGCTTTCGAAAAATCACTGCATTAAAGATCAATGAGCTGTTATTTTTCTGCCAAACTCAATGAACTACTATTCAGCGGTTGAAATGGTTGTCTTATCCAAAGATATAGTTGTAGGTCTTCATAAAAGTATTCTTTACATTTTTCTTTTAAAGTTGACAGACGATTTACAAAAAATGTTGTTAGTTCTTGAAATTTCACAAATCTTTTCCTTTGTCCTACCAATACAATGTTGATTTTTAAAATTTTCTCGTGCCCCTCCTATAAAGCTTTCGCGGCCCCCCGGAGGGTCGCGCTTCACACTTTCAGAACCTCTGAAGTAATACATTAATACAATTAGTACAAATTTGTCTATAAAATGAAGCCGGCCTCTAAAATAAAATTAATCAAAAGTTTGATAGCAGGTACAAATTTAGTCTGTAAAATAGAGAAAAGGTTGAGTGGGATATTTAGTATTTTAAGAGCATAAAATAGTGTAAGTCGTTTGGCCTGTAGGACAGGGAAATTGAATAAAATAGGGGGTCACAGATACATTCATAAGAGTGAAGAGTACAACACGGGGAGTCATTTAAGTCTAGCTTAAATTAATGACTAGGTAATAAATTATGTCCCATTCGTAGACGATTAAATTGGACAATATCTGATCCTTGTAAATTTAAGTTATTAAACCAGGCTTTATTGAAGATATTGGAAGAAATATATCTATATCTCGATATGTTATTCCAGTGAGAAGACCATAGGTTATAAATGTAATGTTTCAAAAAAAGAATTAAGTCAGAAGTGTAAGTTATTTTACTAATTTGTGTATAAAAAATATATAGGATCTACGTATGTTTTAGGTATTTGTTTTCGGTCAAGAATTAGGTATTTTTATAACGTGAACATCATATTATCATACTATCATGTATATAACAAGACGGATTTATTGTGACCTATAGGATAATATATGCACGAGTCTCGTGTATGGTAATTTTTAATTTGATCGGTGTAAACATATATGTGATGAAGTTTTAAGATGAGGACATATTCTTACTTGGTATTGGTATGTCTTTACCATAATAAACCATAGTATTTGATAATGTTGCAATATTATCAAATAATATTTTACGAAAATTATAAAAAGTCGGACTGGATGTACGCATTAACAAGATTCGGAAACTCGATGAAAACAGCAATAAATCACATATCCCGTTTAAAATAATACGATTATATGTTGCTTGTTTTAATATAGTTATATTTTGAAATCAATACGCTCAAAAAAAAGAAAGTGTTCAAATATATTAAATATTTTTTCAACAGATATAGAATATCTTATCTTAACAATATGTTTAATAATTATAATAGTCAAATAACATTATCGATCAATGTTTAAGCACCCACAAAAAAAACTTAATAAATGATATGGGTGTTTACAGTGAAATTCCGATTACATGCACTTATAATTTTCTCGGTGAAATTTTGAAGCCGATGTGTTAGGTATCTAGATTTCAAAAACATGACGGAATACTAATTTGTCAAAGTAGATTTAAAAGCACCTAGTTGAATTTAATGTAGTTAGCCTGTTAAAAATATTGATTCACGACATCGCTTTTATGTTATTTTACTATACAGGTATTATTATATAATTATATATAATAAAGAAATGGATATGGGCCTATGGTTTTATAAAGATGTTAATTTTTTTTTTTTATGCATAACTTTTCAACCAGCAATTTCGCTCCAACTTATAATGATAGCAATGTTTCTAAAAGGAAATTTCCTTATATATTATTGTGTGCCGATAATTGCTGGGGTCCGTAATCGGTAATTAAACGCGTTCCTATAAATATTATAATACTATTGTTATTATTATTATTTATTTTATATACGCTAACTGCGACGAATTAATTTGAACACATTGTAGGCTGCACCGAAGTGTAAAGAAAACTGTGTACGCGCAGAAATCAAAATAATATATGTAAAAATCCCGGCCCTCGGAAGTTTGAATAAAACATTCGGTGTATTCTGCGGCTTACTGTTAGCATCTTGACTGCTGTATACCTAAAGCCGGAGAAAACACGCACGCGCATATAAACACACACACACACATACGATATGAAATTCGTTTGTTATACACAATATTATGGTTTTACCCCCTGTCAAATTGAACTGTCGCACTCGTTTTCTCGGAAAATTTATAAAACGTTATTTGTATACACCCGTGTGTTACAGTTCATTTTCCTTGAAGAAGAAGAACAACAGCAACAACAATGGCATAACGCTATTACGACAAAGGGCACGCCGCGAGACGTTTCAAACGCGATGCGTTCGACGTACAACGATCATTATGCGCAAGGTAAATATACCTCATACTGCCAAATAACATTAAATCAGAAAGTCATTTTTCAAATTTTAATCTGTACATTTTATATAACATTATATGTCTTGAGTGAATATTGCTTTTTGACATTAAAATCATAATATTTTCAATTCCACGCAGATACGAAAATAATAATATTTTTCTAAAAATTGTATTATGCTCAACACTAATATCTGGTATACTACCTATGAGTTTTAACAGTTTAAAATTCAGATCGGGAAAGGTAATAAACGGTAAATTTAATATCAGTGTTTTGTTTATATATAATGACCGTAAAATACCATAATCAATTTTACGAAACATTTTCGTAGACATTAACCGGATCGCAAAAAAAAAAAAAAAAATCAGCCGGTATATTATTATTGTTATTATACACTGACTTCAGTTTTATTTTTTCGGCAGAAACATTCGGCAGCGCTGAACACCAGCCGCGTAAAAATGCGCAAGATGACAGCAAAAACAAACACATTTCGTACAATATAAACACGGTGTTCAATAATAAAGACTACTTGGTACGAATTTTTGTTTGCGCTTTTTTCTATAATGTAACGACAAAACATAAAATTAAACTTTTATATTTTGTGTATTTTTACGAATAGCAAATGCCGTCAGATCACAAAAACCCAGTACAAGACGGTGCAGGTACTGCGAGAGGAGGTTACTATAATAATCCACAACAACAGCGTGAATCCGAAACTGGAATAAGCGTTGACAGACATTACGATATTGGTTACAATAATGGAATACAAGACGGTAAAATATTGATCGATTTGTATAATTTTTAGATGACAACATATTGAATATAACCCCGTTGGCGTTTGGAAATTCTTTGTATACTCACCTCATTATCGAAAGTACAATCTTATTTTACTTTTTTATTTTAAATTTGTTGACTTCCTATTAACATTTCCAAAAACTGTGATAATGTTAAATTTAAAATATTGTCTTTTACTAATTTTAAAACAGGTATTTTATCTTTAAAATCCATTTAAAGGCTATTCCGTTCGCATCGAGTGAATGCATTATTGTAAACATCGATTTTCGAAGTTATAATGACACGAAATAAATACACACCCTGCACTTTCTTTGCCACTGTCGAAAAATCAAAGTAAAGAATATCATTTTTTTTTTTTTTGTAATAATTGATGAGGTTTCTATCAATATTGTAATGAAATTTCCATATGAAAATCAATACTTTGAATAGCCTTGAGTGTTTAATGTATGAAATGTCGATTAATATTGTCAAAGTTTATGTATTAATTGACCTTGGTTTTATTAATTATTTATTCATAAAAATACAATGTATAGGATACTAAATAATTTCAAACATTGATTTGGTTTTTCGTCTTGTTCGAGTTTGTATATACTTCAGCAGTTTAGCGTTTTAGTGAAAGTATGCAATTCATTGTTTTCAAGTGAAATTCTATTCTGTGCGAGAAAACGTGAAACTTTTCAAACAGAACCTTTTTTAAAAAAAAAAGAAAAAAAAATTCGCAGTATATTAATGAAATATATTTATAAACACTCCCTGCTTCCGAAACCAATTCGGAGGCACATGACGATGGTTAACGAATTCGGAATAAAGCCAAAAAAGTAACACACTGCTGTTTGAAAACCTGCCAATCGAAACACTTTGGTACATTACGAAAAAATAAAAGTCAGAAATAATAGTCGTATACTAGGTGTAATAGTTGTTTATTTTTTATAAAAACTGTCTACCGTGTAATCGTAAACCTTAAAAGTTGTTCAATAATTATATATGTCTGATATAATTTTGTAAACAATACAATTTTATCCATTGTACAAGATTTACGTATCTACTGATAAATTATAGGAAATTATAAAAATAGATTTTTAAATGTAAATTTTTAAATTGGTGGTCATTTAAATAATTTTTTTTAAAATATGTATTTATGTACATTTTGGAATTTATTTTACCAATTTTTGATAAAAATAATAACGTATGAAATGGTTGTCAAGGGAGATTTGTGTACACTTTATCTGTATGAATTTAGTCCCGCAAATACAAGAATATGGAACAACATAGTATTTTATAATCTAACTGTAAGATTCTGTAATAAAACTGTATTTTATTAGGTGAAGTAAGGAAATTGCCTAAAATAGGTTAGGATGCGCCTAAACCGCATCTCTTTAATATTATATTTGAATTGCACACTATTTTTGTTTAAATTGGTCAACGATGAACTGTTAAAATAGAATAGAAATATTGATTTAAAAAAAATAACTCAAGTTAGATTTTAAAATTATAATGGGTCGAACTTGCTCCGCTCCACCATTATAATATCTTATAGACGTCCTGCGCGATTTTTGACCAAACTTTTATATATGTAAGTGTATAACCCATAATACATTTACATGAGAAGCATTTTACATGTTTACAATTGTGCAACCAGACGCAAATGTAAAATTTCGAGTACCTAAATATATTCGTTAGGGCCCAAGTGGTGCACACTGCATTAAATATTATTTGGCTCAACTGAAATTTTGGATCACTCGTGACGGATTTTTTACAGTTATTTGCATACATATTGAATGTTGTTTTTTCTTTTTTTTACGCTTTATTTGTTATTCGCCAAGGGCACTTAATTATATTGGGTCGATATACAAAAATATCTTAAATAATGTTTTGGAAAATCGCAGTGGTTATGTTTTATTTTTATGTTCACCATATTATATAATGCATAAACGAAGTTTGCGGCGCGCGGCATTTATCGTTTATTCAAACCAACAACAAACGAACCAACAAACGGAAAATATAATATTGTTAAAACTAACCGTACAGAATTTCTATTCTAAGTATTATTTTTATATGTTCGTACAAAAGCGGTCGTTGGATTTTTGAAATATTATGTCTGCCGAAATTGGTTCATTATATTAGTCGGGTAGATCGCATTATTTCGGGATATAGAATATTAATGATTTATCTTAAACCCTTGCACGCGACTACGGCATACCATTATTTATAGGTAGGTAGGTAGATAAATATATAATAATAACATTTTTCGCGTTTTTTTATTTCAATATTCACAACAGCCCCTAAGTATAATGATGGTTAAAAAAACAAAATACCGAAAAAAAAAAAAAAAAACAAACATATTTATCATTAATAATAAATATAATTATGATCGGGGCCAACACGTGAATCGAGATCCAAATAAAATTATTTGAATTAATAATATATTTATGTTCGATATTTTGCCATCGCTGTTTATTATTATCTAAATATAATACATAATGTAACAGTATTATTAAATAAATTGTGTTTCGTAATTTTTAAAAAAATAACCGTTCGGTAATATATTATTCACACGCACGGAGTATAGAAACAGTTATGGTGTAGACAATGATGGGTTTTCGTTTTAAATTTCATATCAAAATTATCTATGATGGCAATCAGAATTGACCGGAAGCTACAAAAACAGATATTGAAAAACCACAATATTCGTTGATTTGTTTATTTATTTTAATTAATAAAATATTAATGTAAATTATAATATCTCAACAATTAGACTAACAACCAGTGGTGCAACTAGGATTTTTTTTGGAGGGGGTTTTATGAATTTGAAAAAAAAAATCAATTTCGGATGATGTTTGGTGGGCTGGAAGGGGTAAGGTTTAATTAGATTTATGAGTAAAATCTTTAAATTGTGTAACTTTTATTTATAGACAACACACGTTGTAAAACAATTTAGACTCATATTAATTATGTATTTAAATAAACTTTATTCATAAGTACATGGTGAGCCATTTAAACCTTCCGCATGTTTTTTTTGGTAATAATTTAAAAAAAAAAAATTATTAATTTCGTTTATTTTAGACATGGAAATTTGTTCTAAATAATTTTTAAAAATAATATCACGTAAATGATCGCCTTAAGAGCGAATTATGTAATATGCTCGTTTTTTTTTTTGGTATTACCATCACTTTTCGAAGTGTTTCCAGCTAAATAACGGTCATTTATTGTCATATATTATCTTTTAACGCTTCTAGCGTCCTTCTAGCGGCTTCTCAATTTAAATTCCAAACTTAAAAAAGTCCCATAGAAAAAAGTCTGGAGGTATTAAGTTGAGTAATCGTGAAAGCCAGTCGAAATCACCATTTTTCGAAATTAAATGTCCGAAGAAGAAAAAACGCAATAAAGCAATGTTAGTTCAATTTGTATGAGCTATGGTGCCATCTTGTTGAAACAAATAGTCGTTCATGCCGTTATCAGTCAGAAACGGAATAAAAATATCCGTTATCATGGTCCGATAACGCTCTCCATCGATGGATACGGATGCTCCAGCATCTTCTTCAAAAAAGAACGGTCCAATGATTGTTTTCGCAAAATTTCCGGCTAAAAAAGATACGCGTTGATTGTTAAGAGGTTGTTCGTGGATTAATTGAAGATTTTCACTGGCGTAGAACCAACACTTTTGTTCATTTATGGCCCCATTCAACCTTAAACACTTCGAAAAGTGATGGGAAATTGGAACGCAGGGGGACGGAGTACCTCAACTAGTTTTTCAGAAATATAAGCATACCTTTTTACTATTTGTTTAAAGAGGAACGGATGAGATGCAGTAGAGGATACAACATACCAAATCTGGAAAGAGCTGAATATAAGAGACTATAAAAGTATTCAGTAGAATTTCTGATTTTTACGATTATTTTTCATTGAATAAACGAAATGAAATAAAACAGAAGCAGTAAATGTAACAGTTACAAGTTTTCCCGTCGTTTTTTCTATGGATTTGGTAATTAAGAATACTATAAGGGAAAGCAAAAAATAACCTCCTTATTGCACCAACGAGACAACAATTTTTACTAGGAATCATCGCCTCTAAAGTTTATGATTGGAACCAGATTTCTGGTAGAAAAGTTTTTCACATACAGAAAAAGAACAAACACATCATCATAATAGAATCATAGAAGTAACCATCATATTAGAATCTAAAATTAACAATATCTATTATAGTTGGTACTAGAAAAGCAAAAGTTAGCTTGCAGTAGGTAGTGTTTGTTTTCGAAAATAATGAATTACTGAATTATATTAGAAAATTGGTGTGGGAGGTGTGTAAGCCCCCCACGGGTTGGGTTGAGTTCAATAATTGCAAGGGACGCTAATTTTATTTTTATGTCGTATAGTCCCTCTCCTTTTATTTTATCAATTCGAGCACTGCTTCAATGTCTATATATATGTTTAAAGTGGCCATTCCATTAAGTTTCTGCTATTCTGTAGTGTTTCTTAAATACATTTTTAGCTTCCTAAGTGTATGAAATGATCTTTATGATGATAGTTGTTATCACTTATTCATATACGATGTTACAACATTATGTTTCAAATCGGTATGAAAATCAATACAACTGCATACTGCGTGTAAAGCTAACAGACATATTTCGGGGGGAGGGTCACACTTCCAACCTCCCTAGTTGCACCACTGCTAACAGCTCAGTTTCAATACAGTCGGAAATACAGTTATCTACTAATACGTGATTTGTAAGAATAGATTCGTTATCTGTGATATAATTAAACTCTGAGGAGATTATACGCTTATTAGTATTATCAGCGCCGGTATTTCATATATTTAATTGTAAATGCTTTTTGATAATCAACTTTTAAGTTGGAGAGACTGGACTGATAATATTAACACAAATAAATTCAACACAAATTCAATGTGTCTCTCCCGTTTCACTCTTTATTACAGTTAATCGTGGTTGCCCAAAATTTCCTCATTTAAAAAGGGTATTTTTTACTTATTTGTGACGAATTAAATAATAACTGTTTATTTTTTTTTAATCCGTGTCACCAAGGTAACCCATTAATAAAAAAAATAAAATCAATTTTCATTTCCAAAATACAAACAGTCTCGTGACAGTCCCGCTTTAGGGATTAAATTTTGAGATAAAAAGTAGACTGCGTTTTTCTCTTAACAATGTAGCTGTAGACGTAGTACGTCATTAATTCGTGGGCCACACAACATACGGTAGGTAGCGTACGCCGCTACATAACTGCACAGACAATTAATATTTCTAATAACTCTTTAATTAATCAATCGTTAGAACTTTTCTCATTGAATAGCTCATCTACACATCATACTCTTACGTTTGAAAAAAATCACTTCAGCAGAACTTCAGATTGCTATCCAAAAATATCTCCTCACGTTTTCATGATATATACATATTATAACATACCTATGTTTGGTAGGTGACCGTGGCCGGAGCAGAAAGAAGAAACGCGACTTTTTTGGCGCCATGAGGACTCGGTTCAGCAGATCTAAGTTCAGGTCCAAGTCAAATGACCCAAGCCACCAATCACACGACCAGTACGATGGTCTGTACGGTCTGTCGCCGGGTCAGGCACGATCAATATCGGCGGATGGTACGAGAATGTCTTCCGAACCTTCTATTGGTGAGCGTACATATTATAAAAAAAAAAACGTAAGACAAATATATAAACCGTACGATATTCAAATCAATTTCGTTGAAGAATGATGCAGTAATTTAACGAAATTTGTTTTTAAGAGTATAATAATATAAAAACAGGGGAAATTAATTTTAGATTCGATGAAATATTCAAATAGTTCTAATACAAAAAAGTGGTCCTAAGATAATGAAGACGGGTGCACAGTTATAGGTAATTTAATGTACATATACCTGTAAGCAACGATAAACCATTGCTAACAAAAAACGATTCTGAGCGCAGTTCAGTTGATAGTAGTAATTTATCAACAATATGTATGTCTTAATATGGTAAATTAATTAAATAGACATTATATATTTTTTTTCATAATATTTGTTTAATATTGTACTGATTTTTCCTTCTTTTATCCCGGTTTTTCACATTTGCTGAGAAAATTCATGGGGAAATCGAGAAATGGTCTCCTTAAAGTACCTTTCCAGTCAGATCAGAAAAAGTACATCACTGTAAATAAGAGCAAAATTGCTGGTAGAAAATTTGTACACAGAAAAAAAGGCCATATTTTTTATTATGCCTACATTTCGTACAATTTTCGTTTTTTCCGATATTTATCCCTGTTTTCCCAGATATTATGAAAATCGCTTGAAAAATCAAGAATGATCTCCCTAAATTACAACGGAGATAAAATTTCCTTTCAGAAAATAAGCTACACTTGATTCATCGGAGCAAGATTTCTGGTAGAAAAGTTTGCACAACAAATCGAAGCGTATTTTGCGATTAAAATAGTCCGAGTAAGCGATGGCTTGGGTCTCTGGGTACTTCCAAAATGTATTTGTTTTTTTCTTGTTTAGATAAAAGAGGAAAAAGAAAGTTTCGACATACTGGTTTAAGCTCGGAACCCTTAGGATGATAATAGGCATAAATAACCATAAGATCACAACAAGTGCTTTAAGAAAGACAATATATAGAGTTATTTAACATAACATATAATGTTCGCATAATATCACAACTTCAAAAAACTACGATTTTGAAATTTGGAAAGTCTGCTTAATTCTGACTTCACCATCGTTCTCAAATCATCAGTATACAGATGTTCAAAAAAAAAAAAAAAAAAAAAAATAAAAATTAGATTTGTTCCACATAATATTTTACTCAAACGATTTTCGTCAAAATTTGATATTAAAATTCCTTTATAAAAAAAATACTACATTAAACTCAATTTTTTTGTTGACTACAAAGTAAGATTCTTAATGAACCTCCTATTATATTTTGAAACATTTCTAATAAAGTCTAACATTTTATACCACAGAATACCTACCAAAGAAATATCGCGAACAAAATTCTCAAAATTGAAATGTTTATAAATAGTTAGAAATGGCTTAAATTATTTTTAAATTTTACCACGTCTAGAAAATTCAAATAAAAGTTTTCTGTCCAAATTTTAAGTCTAAGAATATTTTCAACTGAATTACAACAAATAATAAATTGAAAAATAATAAAAGCATTATATTCGTAAATTTCCCGTATTTCTTACGTTTTATCCTGGTTTTTCTCAGATATTATGAAAACCTCTTGAAAAATTAAAAAATGACCTCCGAAAATTACCATTTGGACAACATTCCTTTTCAGAAATGGTGTCGCACGTATATATTAGAGCAACATTTTTGGTAGAATTTTTGTACGCAGGATAAAAAATAAAAAAAACATAAACATCTTAGTATAACCCATACATTCTTCGCTACACTCAGAATCTAACATTGTATAGGTTTGATAATTTTGAGAAAAGTTCGGTTTGACCTATTGTAATAATTTAATATTATTGGTAGTATTTTTTTTTCTGTGTCTCGCCACACATGTAAACTTCGCTGCAGGATGCGTGGGAGGGTTTGGTAATTATTTGTTACCGTTATTATTTGACCTGCCGCGTTTCGCCGTATATGCAGGCAAAGAGCGATTTTTAAATTAATAATGACACATATTACTACATATGCATATATCATTATAATATAATATACTATTAGGGGACAGGTAAACATTATAACTCGTATACATAATTATTTATGTACACACGCACATCGTCGAAAAAATATGACCGTATAAAACTTATTTGGACAATAATACAATACGGCTAAACTATTGGCCGAATAATATTGTTGTATAGTTCGGACAGTATTCATTTACCGAGTTTAAAATCCTGCGTTTCTCTGGCCCGGCTATGTGTATTCGAATTTCTCGAATTTTGGTACTAACTATCGAGGAGTGGTGATCGAATTTTGTTAAATGAGTCCCGGATAAAAATGAAATATTTCAACTTTACGTTGACCAACGTGGACACCACGAAGATGCTGGTTGGAATATCATCAAAAGTACCGAAAATAGGGGTTTTTTTAGAAGTAAATATTTAAACATCATTTTAAACGATACAGCAATTAATAAAGTCAAGTTTATAAGAATATAGTATTATTCTTGTATTTCGTCATTATTTGTTATAATCAATTATTATTTTTCGATTTCTCGCTGGTTTATTTTTTTGTTATTAGTATTCGATTGTATTTTTTGAGCATATAAAACAAAATGTATAAATTTAAATAATGGGTATTAAACAAAATAAATTATATGTAAAATGACTAATAATTAATTTGGTGTACGATTTAATGTTGCCAAAAATGCAACCTGAATATTAGGCGAAATAAAGAATCTGATATTCTGATGTTTCAACATTTAAATTCAATTGTACAGGTAGAACTCGATTTGGTACTTTGAGAAAACGATCCATTTATTTAAGACTCGATTTACCTATGCACCCGGGGGAAATCGGGAAATTCAAATATTGTGCAGTCGTAGAAAAACGCACCTTCGACCAAATAGAAAATCGCCATTGTTTACGATACGTGACGTTTTTCAACGGAATATAATATTTTAAACCTCTTGTGTGTAAAGTAATTAGAGCTATTAGTTATACAATGCTGTTTATTTCTTCTTTTTATTTTTAGTCTGTAATCACGTTTTTTCCTAGTAAAATTGCTCTAATTTGTACGCGTACCAATTTATCCGGAAGCTCAAATTGTCTGGATAGTGCTTTAAACAGTTCATTTTTAGATTTTTGACACCATTTTTTAAATAAAAGCACTTAAGTGGGAAACAACGTAGGAAAACGTATAATTTCACGATTTTATTATTTTATAAAAACACGAACGACTTTTTCTAACAGAAAAAATGATTTAATCGAAAAATCATAAAACACTCTTTTTGTTGTCTTTTTGATTTAATTTCTTACGTTATCAATATCCAAACTTTTTAGCCACTAATAAAAAAGGAGCTTTTAAGGAATTTACATTTTTGAGAGTTTTTTTGCTGTAATTCGGTTATAAGTACACGTAGAGACTTGAAACTTGGTAATAATACTCATATTAGATTTACCTAGACGTGGTAAAATTTCTGAAATTATCGGAGGACTTCTCTTTTTAATAAACGTTTTGAAATTAAATTTAAACGAAAATCGTAAAAAAAATTACTGTACTATAAATTAAGTATTACCGAACTGCGCTCGGAATCGTCTTTCGTAAAGCAATGGTTTATCGTTGCTTACAGATATAAATGAAATAACCTTATGTTACCTACCTTTTCTAACTTCTCATCTACAACAGTGATCGCTCTCATCCCCAGTATCGGCTCTTTTTTGTTCTTTTTACCGTTGACAAAAAATGTACCTATATAACGAAATTAATTTTTCCATCCATATATAGGTACACTACGTCGAACGATTTTTGCGAGTTTTGACTATTAAGGGATTTGCACATGTGGAAATGTGTTTGTTAATTTTCACCTATCGACATTATGAAATATTATATTACATCCATCTACAAAAAAATAATTTCCTTCGTAACCGTTTTAGCTTCTCCCCCAGTCCCTCCTATTTGGCCGTCCACAAACTCGTAACGCAGTTACTCGCGATACACGCATCATCGCTCATTGCGCATCATCGAATAGGTAACGTACAATAAATATCGATTGGACCACGGTCAAAATCACATTTGGTTATTATAAATTATCATAGAAAATAAGAAATCTTGTAAATTTTCGAAAAAAAAAAAATGATCTTTGTTTATAAACACATACAAAAAAAGGTCTCCCTCGAAAATCAAGGCTGTCCGCGGTCTTTCGAAAGTTCTATTAAGTTGTCCATACTGTCAACAAGGTTGGAAAACACTGCCCTAAATAGTATACTAATACTAGGTCGAATATATCGTTTGTCGTTGCCTACAACGGTAGTACAATTTCCAATAATATTTTCTTTGTTTTCGTAACGATGATATGGTTTATCGTCGTTATTTTCCCAGCTAATAATATTGTTATATTTTCACGAGACACGTGCGTTTTTCAAACGTATAGGTACGTGCCGAGTTCTCCGTACAAGACAATCATATTGTGAGTTTTTTTTATAAACCTCGTTCCCCGTGTGTTTATACTACAGTTTTCTCGGCTGTTTGCCCTCGTAACGAGGAGCTGTAATGTATATATGTATAATCGGAAATAACAAACTTTTATTTTTTATTTTGAGTCCTCGAGTTATAAAAACAGTAACGATCCGTATAATTGTACATCACGGACGAAAAAAACCAAACGAACCTTCTCGAAATGTTTTTACTCGATTTGTCCAATTTCCCGACCCATCAGTTAGGACCCATCAGTTATAGGTGTATTGCACTTGAGTAACAATATATCAAGCGTATTATTACGTAGTAGGTATATCTGAGGGTTGTTGTCAAAATGTGAATGTCGTAAGTTATTATATATATATATATATATAAAAATAATAAAATAATAAAAAAATAAAAAATACCGCAATAATTGGTTTCAACAGGCTGAATTATATATTATTTTTCAAATGCCTTGTTTTGGAAATTGTGTGTATAGCGTTTTTCATTGCATTGTGTGTTGGGCAACAGTGTCTTACATAATATACGCAAAGAGAATATTGGTAATAATATACAGAGTGTTCCAAATTATATGTTACAGTTTTAAGAGTGAGAGTGGGTAGATGTACAGTGACGATCAAATGATTTTATCAGGATAGGGAGATAAGGATAATGTATAAGAACTATTATTATTTACATAATATTTTGTATAACAATACAGACATACGTATTAATACATCTTTATAGAATACCTGATTGACTGTTTGTCTATGGGGCACAAATTCATAATGAACAATACTTTCAATATCAAAATAAAAACAATCAGCATTGTCTTGACAATTTCACTTGGCGAGCTTTTTTTGGTCGAGGAGAAAATTTAGTTTTCCATTGAGATGACTGTAACTTTGTTTCAGGATCGTACCTATAAACCCATGTCTCGTCTCCTGTGATTTTCCTTTTTCAACAACCGCCGAACGAATTTAGCAGCTACCCTTCTCATCTGTAAATTTTCCGTTAAAATTTCATGACAAGATCAAATTGAAATTGCTGCTTCATTTGCTAACTCTCGAACAGTCAATCTGCGGTCATTTCGCACTTTTTTGTAAATGTTCACCACAACATCATCGTTTCTAGATGTCGACGGTCTTCCAGAACGTGGATCATCTTTAATTGACTGTCGGCCATCCTTGAAACATTTAAACCACTCAAAAGTAACTGAGCGATTTAAAGAATCGTTTCCAAAAGCAGTTTTAATCATTGTGTATGTTTCAGTTGCATTTTTACCAAGTTTCAAGCAAAATTTGATGCATACACGTTGTTCGTTAATTTCGGACATGACGAAAAAGGAGAACGAAACAAACTGAATAGATATGACCACGTATAATATTAAACTGAGATAAGATAGCGACTTCGGGTTCTGTTTAAAATATTCTCTAATATGTTGGGAATACAACTAATTATAATTTAAAACGTTATCATGTATAGATCAGCCGCAATAATATTTGTCCGGGTACTTTTTGAACAGACCTCGTACATATATATATATATATGTGTGTATATATGTAAGTATACATATAATATACATGATGAAATTTAAGCATGTTTAAGCATGCTCACCCCATGTTTATTGTTAAATAATGCAAAAATTCAAATTCTGATTTTTGAAATTTTTAAATGAAATGAATGACGATATTTTTGCATGCCTAGATTTTTCATAACATATATAGAGCACCTTATGGCGATTAAAACGTTTGTTTTTCAAACGAGAACCAACATGTTTTGATGCAAATTACCAATCAAATGATTTTTTTGAAAATGTTGACATATTGTAACTGAAATTTGAACGAAAATTTCTGAGTTATTCTGTTTTAGATACTAAGGATTTTTATAGGGACTAGACACTGACTGTTTCATAGGAATCGAGTATAGACAATTTCGTGTTTTTAATTTTTCAATTATTATCCTTTAGTGTTTTTAGTAAAATCCATCAGAAACTTTTTTTCAAAATGTCCACCGTAATATGTCAACATTTTCAAATTGTCAAAATTTTGTTTTTTTTAACAACACCAAAAAATTCCAAAAATTATAATTAAAATGTGTAACTTAATCATACAACTGAGGTAAGCATTGTTGAAAAAACACCCTGTATATTATTATGCATATTTAAGATAATTGAGGTGATGACAGTGATATATCCCTCTTACCCCCTCCCCCGTTTGACTTCCTGTGAACGTTTATACTTCATACCTACTTCTACTCATAAAAATGTAACACATAATTTTTAAAACCAGTATTTAGAGACCCTGTATATCGTTTGTAACGAGAGAACAGAGTATTATGTCGATTTCTTACAAAGACCTTTTAAATGATAATATTATTATATTCTGCTCATAAAATACGAAGGAATATAAATAATATTATTGTCACCACCGCGACGCATCGAGATTTTCACTAACAAAAAACCACATGTTAATTATTTTATTATTCAAATGATTCGCTATAATATAAACGCTCACCGAAACTTTGTAGATTTTGTCATCGTGTTTTACGAGTATTGCCGCCGTAACTAGAGACGGAAATAAATAAATATTCACGGTCACGGTAGGGATAGCTGGATCACACACACATCACCTTATTTTATTTTGTTTGTATTATCGTTGTAATTATTATGGAATGGTTTGTGTGGTTAGGGAACGCTTATAGTACGCCGCCGTGCCGACTGCGTCAATAATTTTAGCACGGCTGCCGGAGTTGTTATTGTCGTCATTTCGCATTTGCCGTCGCGATACTTACCGTTACGAAATTGTTTGTTTTACGCATCCGCTAATAAAATTTGAAATTTTTGTCGCATTTAATAGCCGGTTATTGCGGATAGTTGGCTCTAATAGCTGTTATTCTGGTCGGAAGGTACATTGGCGAGTGGCTCAAATAGTCCCCCGAAAGTGTATAATTTGGCCAGGCTCTAATATCCATCGTAAAAAAGTTATCAAGGATAGTTACCTATGTAATATATTGTTTTTTATTCTGTTTGTCCGCGTTTGTGTATTTATTTATTTTGATTTAAGCGGCTGGCCGGTCTGCGCTTCGTTGCCGTGAGTTATTTTTTGTATTATTTTTATTCAACATTTGTTAATTTATAGACTAATTGTTATTTTTCTAATAAAGGTCTCATAACTAAATATTTTTGTATAAGCACACACTCTTACAGCTCTAATAGCTGGTTTTTACCATTTTTCTGTTGGGCAAGAAGGGCCGAAAAGTCAAAATTAATCGTGAATAAAATATAATCTGCGATATATAATATTGAGTTACCTTTTTTACTAGTTTAAGGTTTGTAACACACCTACACGTATACACACTTATACACAAATATACATTTATATAGAACACGCATTACGTGACAGTATTTGTCCGGCAAACCTTGACCACTGCTGTTCGAGCTATCACACTACTATACACCCAGCTGTCTCTCCATACCCTTGTACCTACTACCTAGGTGTTAGTGGTCTGCATAAGTAGTTCGGGCGCGCGTAATATCGCTTTACGCTCCCGGCCCTTTCAACGAGTTACTTTCCTCTCCCCACCTATACCGATAACAAACATTTTAATGTCGTTTTGATATTTTAAAGTAGAAAATATTTCCAACAAATTCTAGCACTTTATACTTGCTATAGTAAAATAGATAATTAATGTTAATTATTATTTTAAATTTGAACGTAATAATAGTAAATATTACAAAAAATAGTTGGAAACAAATTCGTTTTCTACTTATTTTTAACAGAAAAATTAAATTTTCTCTTCGACCATTCCTTGTAATATTATCGTCATCCATATTTTATCAGGACTTACAATTTCCGAAGCAAAATCAAAACAAGATAACATTTTTATGTGTCCCGAAAAGTTAAATTACCCCGTGGCCCCCGATCCCCTACTTGAGAATATTATCCATTTAACTCGATACAATTATTGCTGTAACAGTCTTGGAATTTTATGTAAAAATAGACAAAATTTCATAAGCAAATAATAATAATAATAATTATACAAAAAAATGTTTTCACTAAGCTGTACATTAATATATATGTAACTTTTTTTATTTTTTGTGAAAATATTTTCCTATAGTAGATTTTTCTTCAGATTCAAAACGTTTATTAAATGCGATTTAGCCATAATAATGTGATACCGTTATTGCCGTATGCAATTTAACCCTTTATAGGCTATGGTGAGTTACCCGCATAAAATAATCTGTGAATTGCATTAACGTCAACTTATTGTGACCCCGGCTGTTAGTTCTGCTGTCGAGGATTAAACTTTCCCATTACAATATTCGAGTTTTAATTAATACAATAAAGTGCATTTACCCCGATCGGGAATAACTTTAGAACTCACGTTTCGCTCGATATTAAATTATAAATGCATAAATAATAATATAAACAATTACAAAATGCAAATTATAATCACTACTTATATATTATTATATTGACGTTACCAAATAAATTCTAATAATATGTGCTCAATTTAATTTCGTGAAAACTGTCGTTTATTGCTTTTAAATATAGATAATATAATAATATTATTAGACTTACACGTCACACGTAAACATATATTTACAAAAAAAAGAATATACTGACATACTTCGACATAAAAAATGTTTTAATGGCATAAAAATTATAGAAATATATAAAAATAAAACAAATTTGAAATATTACTAATTAAAACTTAATAATCACCGAGTCTAAGGTTAGGTTAGGTTAGGTCACACATTATTGCAAATTTCTTTACGTACAGAGAAATTAAGCTTTTTAATTTGCCTTATAGCATTAAGGTAAAATTATTTAAAATAAATTTAAATTTAAAAACATCTCACGTGCGTGCAGCAACTGTTGTAGGTGAGAAGTTGGGAAGGTAGAGGGAAAATTTAATACATATATATATATATATCTGTACGCAATGATCAACCGTTGTCAACGAAAAACAATTCTTAGTATATATGTCATTCTTAGTATATAAATTGTTCATAATTGTTTATATTTGATGAATTGCGATAATTTAATATAATATATGTATATATATATATATATATATATATATATATATATATATATATAAAATAAATATATATATAAATTAATAAAAATAATTAAAAATAATTATTATACTAATGAATTTAAAAAATTACTTAGCTCCTTTTTACGTAATATCACAACTTTTCTAACTTGAGTTTATTTTTTCTTAGTGAGTTTATTACTTATTACACGTAGTTGACGGAGGGTTTTTGTTAGGATATCACTTATTTTTTTATGGATATAGTTTATATAATTTTGGATATAGTTAACCTATGTGTTTTTTTTATTGAAGAGAAAAATTATGGGGGACAAAATATCTGAATAAATATACGATATATAGTTACAAATATAGTTTATTATAAATATTACTGGAAAATGATACTATAGCAAACAAGTGGTACCAACAATGTACAGCATTATACATAGTTGAATTGTTGAAAAAAATAGTGTTTCGAGTAAAAACTATGCTAATACTTTTGCATATTACTGAGGCTGTAATCATCCGATCAACTTTAAATTTGCATAAGTACTATCTACTTAACATACTGATAAACCTTTGTACATTTCAAAACAATCAGTCTATTAGTATAGGCTACAGAGAGTTTGGACCATTAGTCGTAAAATTACACAGGTTAAATAGGAATTGTCGCTGGTTTATAGTAAATTATTTCTGAGATTGTGTTTCAAAACGTGAAATATTATTTAATAACCAGTAATCACAAAAAAGTGTATAATATGTATACATATTATTATTATTAAAAAATATGTACATATTATTTTAGGGGACATGGAAAAAATGTGAGGGGGCTAAACCTCCCCTGATCTCCACTTATGTCAAGAAGATAGAGGAAAAATTTGTTATATAATAAATAATATATACTACTTGAAGTGTTTACGGACGTATTCCATCAACATTACAATACCGTTTATGTTTTCAACGGGTAATCGGCATCCATTACCGGGGAATTACACGAATGTATTTTACATCAAACTAAAATTTTTATTTCCGTACAGCATTATTATTGGATGTATTTACGAGGATCAACCGTGCAAATACGGTAATTAAAAACCGAGTCGAGCAGGATTAAGTCTAGGAGCTTTTGATCCACCAGCCAGCAATAACATTTAAAATTCATTCTAATTGGCCGTAAATAAATAATAATTTTTTTTTTTTTGTATCGTCGGCGACTGGTTGTAAAAACTCGATTGTGAACATGGCTTATCGTTTTTTTTTTCACTATCCGATTTTAAATACAAATGCGATCAAACAATATATAAGAATACTAAAAAAAAGCCTATACGTCTTACTTCCGATCATAGTTGTGCTATTGTTGTAGGTAAGATTTTTGAAAGGTAGGTTAAAACACGGTCAATTTGCTTTATAATATTATAAATTATTTTTAACAAAAAATGATACTAAGTAAAGTTTGGTTAACCATGATTTGATAAACTGGAATTGTGCATTATTAATTTGTAACTACAACAAAAAAATCAAAATTGTTCATGTTTTCTCGTATTAAATTGTTGAACATTTTTCTGGAGCCAAACAATTTCTTATTTAATTCCTTATCCAATCACCTCTCGTCACTCCACTCATCCGCTTCAGTATTCTCATCTCTGCTACACTCATGATTTGTTCTATTTTTTTGTCTACCACCATAATACATTGATTTCGTAGTCTATACTTTTTTTATGCTTAGATTTCATGTTTTCATAGAAAATACTGAGTTTTAAATTCCCGTACAAACTTATGAAATATTGTAATGAACAATGTTCAACTGGGAAAATATTCGACTTAAGTGACGGGGTTCTGCTGCTTATTTATTTTCACTAAGGTAGAATAATATTCTAATCAACAATTTTATTCCGTTGCCAACGTCTTACGTGCCGAAAATGTTGATATCCGGTCAATAGACATTATTGCAGCTCGCGTAATACGCCCGAATGTCCTGAATAAATGAAGCAATAAATTATTTAAAAGTGTCACAATGGTAGGAACTGCCCAATTTTTGAGTTATTCAAAGTTCAAATTCTAATGGATTCGTAAAAATCACAGTGTTCAAAACATATTTAACCGAAGTCGTTCAGAATTATTTTTTGTTAACGTTACGTACAGAATTATATATTATATAAATTAAATGTCTATATGTATTCTCTCTGACTAGCTTTTCACTTATAACAATGGCACACCCTACAGCAGTATCAGCTATTTTTTCCATTGTTTTTTCTTCTGACAATAATGGTTTATTTTAGATTTACTTGCACCACCCAGGGCCGGCTCTGCCCGGTCGAGCTTAAGCGAGATGTCCGGTGCCAGCGGCACATCCACGGGCACGTATCTTAATGAAGCTTCCACGCTGGTATTAGAGACGATGGAAAACAACGTGAAAAAGTAAGTTAACTCTTACCGTGCATACTGTACAATAATAATGTAATAATTAGAAACAAAATAAAGTCATCACGACGAGTGGCTCTTTAAAAGACGAGAAACTATCCGCCTCCGGTTAGTCGTTGACCTCGATGAGATTGCCATTTCGAAACGAATACTTCGAATTGCGACGGTAACGTTTCTCGGCCAGTTTTATTTGTATACTTTCGCGTTCAGAACACGAATTGTACGAAAATTACAGAACAACGACGCAAAAGTGACGAACATAGGAGTACCATTTTCGGAGTTCCATTAAAAAAAATAAAATATTATTTATTTTTTTTTTTAATGTTAGTGTTCAATTCTATTATGTAACCTACTGTGTTATCCTTATGTTGATAACTGTCAATATTCATATTTGTTTTAATTTTTGTTTTCCAATCGGGTTTTTTAGAAGGGGACGCATATGTAGAGAAAATATTTTTATTTTCATCACTTAATTGTTGAAAACAAAAAATAACATTACTTTACCCCTTTTCAAAATTTTCCAAATAACCATTTTTTAAAAGATGTTATTATAAAAAATTGAATGTAACAAATATTCATATCCGAGCAATAGTTGCATAATAGTAGCCGTTTAAATTAACAGAAAATAAGGAATTATTGTGCTGATTGTGGTTCTTTATCGCGTAATATATTATTTTATTGAAAATTAATTGTTTTCAAGTTAATTGTCTAGAAATTAAAATCGAGTCATTTCTGGAATATGCTTAATTCAATATATACGAACATCGGAGACCACGAAAAGTTAGAGTTAGGTTAGCTAAGGTTAGGTTAGGTTAGGTCAAGTTAGGGACCACACACATAATATTGGATTTTTCAATTAAAACTTATAATTCCGAATTTCCGTTGTCGTATTTTTAATTTAGATTGTTTTATACTAAAATCAGCTATTTTACTGCGTGATAAGAAAATATAGTAAATTTTTAATTATATTAGATTTTTTTTTTTTTTTATTATTTTTTATACAGATACTATTTGGTACCGTTCACCCAGGCCAGAAGAAATAAATGGAGGAGAGCCGGAACTAAATTGCATATATTTAACGATCATACTTTTGTCGCCAAACATTTATCCAAGTAAGAAAGGCAATATTTGGGAAACCTACTTAGAATATTAAAATTAAAAAAAAAAAAAAAAAAAAATTAGATTATATTATTTATTTATATTGTTTATACGATCATATTATTTATAGCCGTCTCAATTGTTTGGTGTGCGGTAAATATTTCCCGAGACGTATCGGTAAACAGGGTTACGAATGCAGAGATTGTCTGATCAAATGCCATAAGGAGTGTCACGTAAAGGTTTCAGCCATGTGCACGAATTCCAAGATTCACAATATTGATCTGTGAGTATACACATAACCTCACGAAAATTTCGTGTGTACAAAGGAGGAAAAAAAATGGCTTAGATTCGATATACGGACATTTATCTCACTGTAAATATCCCCACACACACCCTTCCCTTTCTCTTCATCACAATCGGAAATCAATCCCTACATTGATGGACATTTTCTTCCGCACAAAACACGAACATAACACATATTTTGCGTATAGGTATAATTATTTATAATTTCGTAAAAGTAATTAATTGTTACCTATCAATATATTGTGCATTATTTCGATTTACTATCAATTTTTTAATGGTTTTTCTGTAAATACTTACTTTCGATGTTGATTTTTACTTTTATATATACACGCTATCGTTAAATAATTTATCGATTATAATACTGGATGAATATTATTGGCCCGTATATTATATAATTGGATAATTTGTTTATTTCTTCTTTTTTTTTTTCTAGTCTGTAAACACGTTTTTCCCTAGTAAAATTGCTCTAATTTTTACGCGTACTAACTTATCTGGAAGCACAAATTGTTTGAATAGTACTTCAAACAATTCATTTTTTGATTTTTGACGCCATTTTTTAAATAAAAGCACTTAAGTGGAAAAAACGTAGGAAAACGTACAATTTCACGATTTCATTATTTTATAAAAACACGAACGACTTTTTCTAATAGAAAAAATGATTTAATCGAAAAATCACAAGATACCTTTTTCGTTGCCTTTTCGTTTTACTTTCATACGGTATCATCTCTAAAACTTTAGAGCTTTTAAGGAATTTTAATTTTTGGCTGTAATTCGGTTAAAAATATAAGTAATATAAGACACTTGAAATTTGGTAACTATATTATATTATATTATATTGGACTTACCTAGACGTGGTCAAATTTCCAAAATGATCGGATGACTTTTTTTTTAATAAGCGGTTTGAAATCAAATTTAAAAGAAAATCGCAAAAACATTACGACATTTAAAATTATGTATTACTGAACTTCGCTCGGAATCGTCTTTAGTTAAACAATAGCTTCCCAACTAATTACTTACAACAGTGGCCACTCTCATCCTCAGTATCAGCTCTTTTTACTATTGGTTTTACCATGATGTGTGTGTGTTTTTTTTTAAATCTGTGAGCAACTATTTTACCTGAAAACTTGCTCCGAAGTATCAAGTGTAGCATCTTTTTTTGAAAGGTGATTTTCTCCAGTTTGTGCATTTGGGAGGTCATTTTTTAAGGGATTATCAAAATGATTGGGAAAAACCAAAAAATTATAATCGATTAATATTTACGGCAACGTGGCGTCCTAGTTTAATTATTATAAATTTTGCAACTTATGTTTTCTCCCAGAGATATTGCTCCAATTGAAAAATGATAAAAGATAGATTTGGTTACTTTTAACATATAGCCACTGACAAATAAAGTCGTTTTTTTATATCTCAAATATTTTTTATAATAGTTGAGAAAAACCAAAAAGGACTAAAGTATGATAATTTTCAAATAACAATACAATGAATTCATTATTTAAAACTTGTGTGGTTAATGGTTTCCACCATAAGTATTGTTTCAATAGAAAAACAACAATAATATTTTTTGTTGCATTTTTAATCTAGTTGGCTACCTAGAAAGCCGTTTTTGGATTTTTTTTAAAATTTTTAATAATTTATTAAAACCGAAAAATTAGTACGGGAAAGAACGGGACAATTTATGAAAATAATTCTTTTATTATTTTAAATTATGTTTTATAAATGTAATTTAGCTGAAAATATTCGTAGACTTCAAATTTTGACAGAAAACTTATATTTGCTTTTCTAAACGTGGTAAAACCATTTTTGAGCTATTTATAGACATTTCAATTTTGTTAGTTTTTTACGTAATTTTTATTTGGTAGATACTCTGTGAATAAAATTGTTAGGCTAAAAAGAAATGTTTGAAGATTTCACAGGATGTACATTATAATTCGTACTCAGAGGCCATAAAAAAAAAAAAAATTGAGTGTTTTGTAGTACATTTTTTTTTTATATAAGTTAAAATCAAATGTTGTTGAAAATCGTAAATACTACGGCCTTTCAAAATATGTATAACCAAACTTCGCTCCGAATCTTTTTTCATTAGCAATGGTTTATCGTTGATTATAGGTTTTTAATTAACTAATTTAATTTTAATTAATTAACTTTATGCATACCACCTTCCAAACTACCCACCTATATCAGTAGCCGCACTCGTTCTCATTATCAGCCCTTTTTTTTTATTATTATTATTATTAAAGGGGGAAAATGTCCGGATATCCTAAGAGCCGCCTAACCCTGTCACCCGATCATCGTCACGTGTCACGGTGTTGTGTGTGGTTTTTATTAATATATTTTTTTAATGTTGTAACCACCGGTTTTCAGTAACAATTTGACCGTTTTGCCCTCAATATCGGCGGGAGGACAGTGATGGCTCATCGTATCAACAACCATATGGATATAAACGGATATTATAATAACCCTGAGTATCATTTACAACGACCATCGACCGTGTACACGGTATAATAACATATATTTTTTGATAATATTACATAGTAAATATAGTAACGAAAGGGTTGCGTACACAAATTAATGTCCGTTATTTTAATTATTTTCAAAATATAATAAAACAGAAAAATGTATTATTGCCACGTAAAACTATTAAAAATATAATATATTTTATATCATATTATTGTAATATAACTTTTTTAAAAACTAAAAACAATGTTGAAGTGGAAAAAAATGCATTTGTATCTGCTCCCGTAAGCATAGCAAGTAGCGGACCGGACGAAAACCGTACACCTGGTCGTCGTATGCATAAAAAAAGGGATTAAAAAAAAATAGATTAAACAAAAAAGGAATAAATAAATAACACACGTTTTTGAGTCTATATATCACGCATTGTTATTGGTGGACGACATTTTTTCTCATGTGGTCATCTCAATAAACATCAATCGTGTAGACTGATAAATAACGTTAATTATAATAATATAATAATAATAATAATAATAATTAATAATATTATAGTAATTATATAATGTTAGTTGTAATAATAATAATGTATTATATAATATTATGTATTAAAAAACTAAAGTTAGAATTAAAAAAAATTAATGGTTACATTAAAGCCTGCAGGTCCCCATGGTGATGGTTATTATCATGAACTACCGCCGTGTGAAAAGAGTGATACCTAGTAACTGTTGAATTATTGTGAAAACATCTATCACACATCATGCATGTTTCATAATTGATATTTTCTATAGTTAGACACAGAGTGATAGAAATTATCACCGTGTATATATGCTGTCATTATATTTTACTATCTTGTCGCAATTTCACTAACAAAATCACTCTGACATATCATAGTAAGCATGCTATTTTTGTAATTCATATTTAGTTTCTATCGCGACAGTTTCAGACCAAACTATCATAATAGCAACTATCATCGCGTGGACCAGGTTTTTGATTAATAATATAATTATTACACAAACGGACGCACAAGCAAACGAACACAATTAACTCAACAATCAGCTCGTAGCCGGATTATTATTATTTAAGTTATCGGACCATGGCTGATCTATCTTGCGGGGAAGCCTTATTTTTTATACAAAATTTTAAAAAAAACTGGGATATTATTCAAAAATAAAAACTGTACGTACTTATTTATAAAATTACCTATATTCTTTAAATAATTTGTTATTATTTTAATGTTGTGTATATTTGTTAAGAGACGAAACAGTGTAATTTGCTGCCAACGCCTTTATAACGGGTAATTTAACGAACATTTGTTCACGTAAAACAACCAAAAAGACTATTTCAATCGTTTTACAAATGAAATACCTATTGTACAATTTATGAATATTATTTGATACATACGTGACTATTGGCGCTTTATGATTCTCTAAATATTCAACTTATTATCGAGAATATACAATATATCATATTTTATATTTTATGGAAATAACTGTTAAATAATATGCCGATAAAATTTCCTCCGAAATGTTGTCATTTCAATTTACAAATTTTATCTCTAGAACCAATTTTTAACACATGATCGCTATATTGCCGGTTAGAGAGATAGAGACTCCTGTCTCATAAGTGTTCAAAAACAAAAAAAAATCTAGTTTTTAACAGTACCTCTTTAATTCCAACAACAGGAAAGAACTCTCTTCGCTTCTCCCTTTCCAATTAACTCGGTTCTGTATCAGTGTATGTTTGTGCGTGCGTACGTGATAATATATAAATATAATAAATACATTCAAATTAAATACTTATTTATTATTATAATAATATATTTATATTATATATCTAAACTACTTAATAATTTTGGTGCTTGAAAAACAACATTTATAATTTAATCGGTTATAACACGACATCGTAGTATTGTTTTTTTGTGGTTTCACACTTATTATTATAATGCTATGTTATATTTATTTATTTTTTTTTTGTGTGTTTAATAACCGACAGTATTTGTAATATAATATTTATTTGTCGGGTAAAATAACAACAATAATAATATTATGCTATTTCCCCTGTCTATAGTTTTTAAATATTATCGAATATATAATAATATAATTCATATTTATGTAATATAATGACATGCAATACAATGCAAAAAAAAATGTTATTATAAGTATTATAATAATATGTTGCTAATGTTGTTGTTGGTTTTCCATTATTCTTATACGGTAATGTTTGAAAAAAAAATATCCGATGTATTAGATTATTAAAAATCCTTTGTCTTATTTTTAGAATAATAATAATAATAATCATAATAATCGTAATAATTTTATAATAAGAATAATGAGAAATATTGATCTTTGTGTTGTGTTTATTATTATTCGGGTTTCAATCGGTGCCAGTATTCCACGCTCTGCTTTGGTTTGCTGAGCATGTCTTTCCAGTGCTGCGCCTCCGCTTGCCCAGTCGCGTTTTTATTCGCTGACAAACATAACACACGTCATATTATTACATAAATTATATGAGTATAGCGTTTTATATACTGAGTGGAGTGGAGAAGCTTATAGTTATACAAAGATGTTTATTTATTTTTATTATCTGTGCGCAACTTTTCTACCAACAATTTTGCTCCAACTTTTAATGATAGCAATGTTTCTAAAAGAAAATTTCATTAAGGAGGTACTTTAGAGAGGTCATATTTTTAATTTTCTCAAGAGTTTTCCCAGAAAATGTGGAAAACCGGGATAAAATATGTGAAAACCGGGAAAAATGTAGGGAAACTGGGAAAATCTGTAAAACAAATATTATTAAAGAAAATATATAGGGTCTATTTTATTATAAAATGGCATATATATTGTTGAAAATGCATCACTATCAACTGAACTTCGCTCAGAATCGTTTTTTCGTAAGTAATGTTTTATCGTTATTAACAGGTATACATTAAATTATCTATAACAGTGGCTACACCCGTCCCAATTATCCTAGGTCGTATTTTTTTTAATTTTAAATTTTACAATATATACATATAATATACGTTTCATATATAATATACATATTATATATTCCTACACATATTATAAATACGAAAATTTATTTGGATGTATGGATGTTCGTTAAATCTTAACGCAAAATTGCCGTTGAAACTGGATACCTGTAACTACTTCTAGATCAGGAATAATATATACGCTATTTTTTCATCAAAGTCCAATACCTATAGATGGCTAATCAAGGGTTGTAAGGGTTGTTAACATTTTCGATACGAAAATCTAATTATTTTTGTTGATTTATGAACCATGTTTATTTTCATACCTTGATGATATGGATGAAATAAAAAAAAAAATAAAACAAAAAAATTAATATTTTTTATTTTGGCACGGGAAATGTCGGGCGGGACAGTCAGTATACATAATGTCCTATATATATATAATAGATGCATAAATATTAATAAATTAAATAAGTACAAAACTATTATTGCTACTTAAAACAACTAACTAAATAAACCGTGAAATAGCGAAGGATGGTAGAAGCAAGTTATATGCAAATTAAGTAGGATTTCATAAGGGAATATAATTTTTTAAAATACAAATGACGAATAGCATTGGATTTAACACTAAGAAAAACTTGTTGGAAATATATATGGTATATGGCGTGTATGACAATATACTGGTATGAAATCTGGACGATGAGCGCAATAATGAGGAGAGAACTGTGAAGTATTTGAAATTAAGTAATTCTGTCTTTTTTTTTTCGTGTCAGGCATAAGTATAAATAATAATAAAATACTAAAAAAAAATTATAATGATAAAACAATAAAATAAATAGTAACAGGTTACCTATTATTAAAACCTGTTACTATTAATATAATGTTTAATACATAATAATATAGTCACGGTTTGTTCTGATAATGTCATGGGTGATGATGTGAATGTTAAATAGTCTTCGCCCAGTATTGGGCTACGTCAATGGTTTTTTGATTCTGTATAAGGTCTTCTCCGGAGCATGTATCCGTGCAATCTGGGCATACGAGTAAGCGGGACATGCTTTGCTCTTGGCCACAGGTCATATTTCCATTAGTTAGTAATCCCCAACTTTTCGTATTGGCTTTACAACGTCCTACACCAGTTCTGAGTCTGTTCAATAGTTTCCAAATCGGCAATTTCTTCTCATGATCATGTGGTATGGTTTCACTTGATTGTAGCCATTGGTTATCATGATCACTTTAGCTTTCCATTTTTCTAGTCTAGGCTTACTTGGTGTACTGTTTAGCTTAGAAGTTCCCTTTAAGAAGGTATTCCGTGATTTTAGTCGTTGTTTTGGTATTTGCAATCCATTCATAACATGCCGGGTATCCATTACCATTTTAGTTCATTCCCAGTCTGCTTGTACCAGTCGTCTAATATGAGGTAGAAATATACCAGAAAATATGTATAGTTTTTCGATTGCTATGTTATTTAAACAGCCCGTAATAATACGGCATGTTTCATTCAGAGTTATGTCTAATTTGCATGAGTTGAGTGGCACCATACTGTACTCACATATGGCGTGATAGAGTAAAATGGTAAGAAATTTTAAAGAGAGTTGAGGAAAAAAGACAACTTTAGCAAATCATATCAAAAAATAAAAACGATAATAATATAGTAAATCAAATACAGTACTACTGACGTCATGGTAGTAGATTGGAGCCGATTATTGAAGGTAAAGTTGAAAGAAAAAGCTCAAGAATGGGATATTGACCACAATTCATTAAGGACATGCGAATGGAAAGTTATATCGAGAGTTTAAAGATTTGAGTTTTAATAGAAAAACACGAAGAGCTGCAGTCAACTGATCGAAAGAATTAAGGAAAAGACACGATATATTTTATAATATACACATATGTTATAGAAAAACAAAATTAGTATAATAAGTTAAAATAAGTATAAAATTATTATAATATAAGTTAGTATTTTGTTTTTGAAAAAATAGAAGTAATCTACCAACGACATTCACCCTCCAACGGGCCTGTAATTATGCTAATTACGATTTGTCTAAAAAGAAAAAGCCTTCTGAGAAATTTTTTGAAAAGCTTATAGGTATAGCATGCAAAATATCGAAACAATATATTTTTATTAGAGTTTGCAAATTTTATTTTATTTTAAAATAAAACTATGAAAATTGTCCTTTGGGTACTAAATTGCATTTTTAGTCATCATGAAATGTAATTTGTAATATTATATCAAATACATACTATTGAAAACACTTCTGTTCTTCCCAAAAAAGGACAAGGTATTTTTAATTTAAATAATATAAGTATGTGAAATACAAAATAATATAGACGGCTATAATATTATGTCACATTATAATTTATTGTAAGAGTTATTGTATTGGGACGAACAACTGAAATTGAAGAGGGCGTATGATGCAGAAACCTCAAAAATACGTTTAGACGGAGATAAATCTTTATGGGAAGTATCATTATTAGATAGTGGGGGTTTTAAAATAAAATGTTAAATCAATAAAACAATTTTATTTCAGCGTAAATAAATGTAAGAAAAAAACAAACGGATAGATTTTACACAATTGGTGGGCAACTGTTGCAGGTAAGAAGTTAGAAAGGTTGAGGGGAAATTCAATATGTATATCGGTACGCAACGATTAATCATTGCTAATGAAAAATGATTCAGAACGAAGTTCGGTTACACATATTTTGAAAAGCCGTAGTAATTACGATTTAAAAATAATATATTTCGTAAATTTTCCCGTTTTCCCTACGGTTTTTCACGATTTTTTCCTTATGTTATGAAAACCTATGGGAAAATAAAAAAAAATGACCTCCCCCAGAACCTCTGCTCAGAATCGAAAATAGGTATTTATTATTGAAATACCTATTATGATGATTTTGTTTATTTTTTTAATCGTTTTAAGACGTATCAATACAGTCTTGGGTATTTCTTCTTCTTTAATAAGCAACTTAAAAGTATAAATCCATGTTAGAAGTGAAAACATCTTTCTATTTTGACTTACCAGACGTAGTTTTGCATGACAAATAGAGGGTCGTTTTCGATTAAGTCTCAACATGAGCTCGCTGTACAATATTTGAATATTTGAGGTTATGTTTAATGATATTTTTTCCTTATTAGGTACAGGAGAAGAAATTTAACCTCATCCTATAATTAACATTGAACTGAACAATTTCGATTTGTACTAGTATAACATATTGTTAATACATTTTTTTTTTTCAATAATTATTTATGGTTGGCGTTGGATAGAATTAATAATTTCACCTGACGAAATGCACTTGCATTTAAACTTGCAGTTTAGTAATTACGTCTCAATAAAAATATGATTTGTGAACTCCCAAAATGATCCAATTAATAATAATATTCTATTATCGGTATTATTCATTATTCAGGTGATAAAGGTAATTGTAGGACTTTTTATTATATAATATTTAATGATGGTTGATATCTTAGTTTTGTTCATATCTATTATATAGTTACCCTAATGCCAGTTTTTCAGCAACAGGTTTTTTTTTTTTTTTGGTTGAGGAGGAAAGAGCACGGTTATTCGCAACGAGATTTATTAGTTTAATTTGCAGCTTATTATTTCCAGTGTGGTAATTGATAATTGCTGAAACTAATGAAATAAAAAAAGTAACGGTTACGTGCTATAGTTTCGAAACCATGAAATCATTCCACGTTTTGTGTAATGATATATGGACAGATTTCTAATTTTTACAGGTATATTAGCCAGCTTTAGAAGTTGTGAGGATCGGATAAAAAATATATATTTGAAGATTGAGTGCTAATGTTCCAAATATAGTCGAGGAAACATCCCGTCGCAATATTCACCTAACCGTGAAGAGAGAGAGTTCGAAAAATGTATTGGTTTACAAAAATGTTTATTTTATTTTATTTTAATTTTTTTTTTATACTATGTACAAAAATTCTACCAGAAATCTTGTACTGAAATATCAAGTATAACACCTTTTCTGAAAGGGAATTTTCCCGGTGTGGTACTTTAAAGAGGTTATTTTTTTTATTTACTCAATAAATAGGAATAATATGGTGAAAACCAGGAAAAATCAAGGAAATAGTCACAATATATTAAACAGATAATTAAATTATAAAAGAAAATATATAATGCATGTGTAATTATTTTACTAAAATGTGACATATATGATATATATTGTTGACAAAGAAACACTATTCACCGACTCCACTCAGAATCTTTTTTCGTCAGTAATGGTTAAGCGATATATATTAAATTTTCCCCTCTTTCTTCTCAACTTCTCAACTAAAACATTAGCCCACCCACGTGCGAAATGTGTCCATACTTTTTAGATTCAACGGAATTTAGTCGAACGCGTCGTTGGAAAACACACTTACATGATATTGTTATCTTGCCGATGAGCTCGTTCCGACCGATGTTATCAAAGTCCATAACCATCACCTCCAAAGCTGCTTCCCGAAGCTGTTCCACGGGTAACGTGTACTCAAATTTCTCGTCAAACATCGGGTTCAGATTGCATTTGAACACCATGCTCTTGCGCTTTTCCACTTTTTTGTCACCGACGTGCAGCCACACTTTTACATACGGATCTGAAAAAAATAATACAAATTTATTTATCGATTACCGATTATGTAGGCCGGAAGGTGCACGAGTATAATATTGTTGTAATTCATTTTTTGAATTTTTAAAAATGTATTTATTTATGTAAATTATCTATTGTGGTATAGATTGCTAAGCGTTTTCGGTTTTTTAAATCTGAACTTCTATAGCGCCATTACTATAATATTGTTATACACACTATAATGCGATCGACTATAATAAGTGCTGGCGACCGGATTTCTGTTATTCTGTGATACCACACTGGAGCCATAAAATTCCCGTGAAAGCCACAGTGGCGATGATTAATCGATTTTGCAGTCCCCGGGCCGACGGTTCTTTTGAGACACGGCACGACAGTACGACTAAAATTACATAATATTCCCGCGGGAACTTGATCCCAACCGAGACGAGTGTGTGTGTGGCCACATAGTTTCAATGTAACGAAATTGTCGTTTTGACGTCAAAACTATGGATATTTCGAAACTCGATAGAAACAATAACGATTTCGCTAATATTTTGACTTGGCGTTTTGGTTATTATTTTTGTAAACATTGTATTTGTACACATTTGAATAAGCTAGTATATAGATACTGAACCTAGTTGACAACCTATTATATAATATGCATTTAATTTTTCATGAAAAAATGTTTCGGTTAATAAAAAAGTGAAATCCAATTGTTTTATGCAGGACTAAAGATGTGTGTGTTCACAATTTTAGTTTTTCTACTTGGTTGATTTTTTTCACTAATTGATTAATTGATTTTTGTTTACGTGTAATAACCTTTTTTAGAGTATGGAAATAAACTATTAAAAAAAGAGGTTATACTGTGGTTGGGTGTGGTCAGTTGCATGATATATAATTTTAATTATTTGAGACAATTTTTAAAACGATATCAACCATTATTCTTATTTTTTATCAACCAGAAGACAGTTTTTTATTTTTTTTTGTTCATACAACCTATAGATGAATATATTAATTAGTTACTCAGTACTTTAGACGCTAGGTATCTATATATAAGTAATCGCTGTTCAATAAACGTTAAACTTACATCATTAATAATTTGTATAGAAAATTACTCAATTTACTGATTAAATATAAGTAGCTAAATTTGAAGAATACCATTTTTACAAAATAACCGTAAATAACACTATCGCCATACCACAGGGTGAGCCACTGCTGTGAATGGAAATCTGGGAAGGTAATACGATCAGGAACAACGTACCGTGGAACTTTTTGGCTCTAAGACCTATAAGAGGTAGAAGCCCTATCGAACACAACATTTTAATTATAATATGAAATCAATTTTCCCAAATTTAACTATACATTTCCTAAATTTTCCCGCTTTTCTTAATTCTTCTTAGGAAAACCAATGAGAAATTCATAAAATACCCTCCTAAAGTACCACAGCAGTGAGATTTACTTTCAGAAAAAGTGCTAGACTTGAAAATCGGAGCGAAATTTTTGGTTGAAAAATTGTTTACAGAAAAAAAAAAAGTAAAACTAATAAACATCTATGTAATACCAATACATTCCTCACTCTGCTCAGAATCTAAAATTCACTTTATTACGTCCAACTTTTTTTTCAAGTATTTATTTTTTGAAAAACAATTTTATTCATAAGTATTAACCAAATAAAAACAAAAAAAAATTCGAAAAAATGTCATATTTTTTCTAGTCAGTTTTTCTTAAAAGTTGAAAACCGACAACCCAAAACTTTCTGGAGAAAAAACATGACTAACATTAATTATTAATAACCTTATTTGTTTCTCTCCGAGAATAGGTTTTTGGTTACAATGATTTATTGGGGATATCCTGAATGCGTCCTGTTTTTAATTTTTACCTTTTTTATAGCCCTAATGCGTCATAGTTGTATCGACGCAGCTATAGGTATACAGGAACTCATTTATACCTGATTAAAACTGATAAACTTAATAATTGATAAATTGATTAATGGGAAAATTAATTTTATTTTAACTTCGATAGGAAAACTCAGTAAGACTGTGATGTATGGCTAGTTGTGAATTTCGCTACCATCGCTACTGAAAGAGTGTAGTACCGTAATTTTTCCCATAACCTAGTATTCAAATAGTGCCATAATTTTCAAAATTTTCAGAAAAATATACAAATTCGAATGTTTTCGTGTGCAAAGAAATTTAAATACTAAAAGTACTCTATAAAGACTAAGTATTCTGTATCTATTTTATATAACACTCAATCAACTATAATAAGTGTAATCAATAATAGACAATAATATAACAAAATATTTTTGTGGTCTAACTAAGCCAGTTTACCTCCTCGTGGTGCATAGTGGGTAGCATTAAATTGAGTGGGGTGCATTTGGGTTATGTTAGAAGTATGATATTTTTTATCGGACGCATTCTTGTTTTACCTTATTCCTTGCGCACTCGGAACATTGAAAAAGTGTCATTTCGGGCGCATTTGGGTAACCCTTGATTTATTATTGCTTTCGATATAAAAACAAAATACCCTATATCCTATACTTTTACATTTTTCCCTCACCACAACAGTGGCCTAATCAAAGTGCGAAGTATATGTCCGGCTTTTCGTTGATTTTGTTTTCACCCTTATTATAGCCGCGGAAAAAGTTTTGCGATTTTGACCGAATACCCGCCACCCACGTGCTTCTCAAAAACCAATATTAGCTTAAAAATAAATATGATTATATTATACTGTTTGGTTTTCTGCGTTATTCGTTTAAAATAGAAAACGTTTTTACGGACCTCAACACGAAGCTCCGACGGGCCTTTTCACGCTACTGTCGTTGTTGTTAGCATAGTGCACCCACCGTTAGAAAAAAGTGATATGGTTATTTTTTTTACAAGATAACAAATATTACGTATATATTATAAAATAAATTATATGAAAAATGTAACTATCTTACGAGAGCATCGGATTTTGAATTACAGCCTCACTGTATACACGACGTTATTAATAATTCACGGGTATGTATTATATATTGTGTGTGTGTGTGTGCGTGAGAATTTAAATTTATGTTTTTAAAATAGTTTCTCGTGCCACCGTCAAGATGATTCGGTATTTACATTAAAAAAAATAAAATCCCCTTCATCTCGCTTTGCAGTTTTACAGCAAGCGTGTAATGTTTACAATAATCGTATTTGTTTAGTTTTATTCACGGCTGTTCCCGTACATATTATTATTTCGAGATGCGATTTTTTTCTCTTCGAGAGTAAATTTATAAATCGGACACTATATTCGAACGATGATTTATGTGCTTATACTTATTATAATAACATCAGACCGGAAAATTCGTGGAAAAAAAATATCTGACTTCTAAATAACAAATATACCATCGTCTAATCAAATATCCTAAAATAACGAGTGTCTCGTATGCCGAATGTACTGCAGTCATATCGTGAGAATAGATAGAGATTCCTTTAAAATATTTTAAAAACAAAATTTTGATGAAGCTGATTCGTGACACGGGTCAAAACTCGATATCCTATATTCGTTTGTCTCTCAGGAGATTCGAACGTGATCAAAAATAACCGTTGGATAGCGTGCAGTATATAAGTCCACCCATCCACTTAACCTGTAAACGCATAAAAAGATTTATCGACACTCTTGAGAATTTTCGGGGATGATATTTCTTTAGCGTGTATCAACTTAAGGTACCGCAAATAACTTGAACAATTTTTGTTTAGTTGTAGGTCAAATTTTCCCTAGAATAAAGACTGTTTCATTGTATTGTGTGCGTTATATTTAATATATTATATTACAAATATATATTTTTCCGCTACTTTTGGACATTTTTGGATGCTCCATCTGTATCAATTAATCTGAAACTCGGAAATTAAAATTGTTATGTGAAAATAATGAAAGTACGTTTTGATTGAGTTACAATATGAATTTCACCATGTTATTGTGGGAGGGGGCGGTTTTTTTTAGCTCTGTACACCTCTCAATAGTGGATTAATTGCTACAAAAGAAAGAAATTTGCCTCCTTTTGTTAGCATACGCAAAACAAAAAAATCATTATTATTTATTATTTTAAAATAAATAAAAAGTAGAAAAAATACATTTGATATAAAAAACAATTAATACAAGAACGATGAAATGAAAAAAAAAACGTACACAGTTTAATTACAATTTATTAATATCGTTATCTTAAGAATTCAAAATATTAAATCGAGAAAGAAACATTTCAACATTATAAACAATATACAAAACAAATTATTTTTATATAATATTGTTCTTTGTTAATAAAAAAAATCCTCAATATATTATATAAAATTAAATTAAATTTTAGAACTTGTTAAAATGGCTCAAATTTGTATAGTTTTGACCTATCAATTCTATTTTTGAAATTTAAAATATTTACCTGAGTACAATATTTTCTTTTTATCGATATCATAAAAGATGAATGAGTAAATTACCTTTGGCTAATTTTTGCTGTTTTATGTGAATTTTATGAAAAAATATATAAACCATCGATAAAAGATATCAGAAAAATAAACTCTGAGAAAACAGATCGTAGTAAAAAAAGTTAATCTATTTTTTTTTTTAAGTGGCGAATTTGTCGCCTCTAAAAATACACGGATCTGAATACCTACATTACACCCAACTTTTTTTTTACCACTTAGTATGACATATAATGAACCTCCTGTCAAATTTTCAAGCAGATCTGATTGGTCAAACAGTTATATCTACAATAGTACCCCTACCAAAAAAAAATTTTGTAAAAGACACATAAAATTAAAATGTCTATAAATGGCCTAAAAATGGCTAAAATGTTTTGAAAATTTATTGTCCAACTTTCAAGTCTCTTCGAATATTTTTAACTAAATCATAACAGAAAAACAAAATTAAAAATAATGCATTTCGTAAATTTTCCTGTTTTTCCTACGTTTTTCCTGATGTTCCCAATTATTATTGGGAATTATTAATATGGCCACCTTATTGTACCATCCAGATTAAATATCTTTTCAGAAAAGGTACTATAATTGAAAATTAGAGTAAAATTTTTGGTAGAAAAGTTGTTTACAGTAAAAAAATAAAAAAATTAACATCATTGTAAAGCATACATTCTTCGCTGTGCTCTGAATATAGAATTAAACAAAAAATAAGCATTCTTTACTCCACAAGATACTGTAACAGCGACAAATTGGCAGAGAAAAATTTGACTCAAGTGACTGAGCTCCACGGCTCGCGGGCCCAGGGGACGAACTGTTGTAGTTCGTTTTCGAAAATTTTTCAACAGAACAAATACCTCTATGGACTGCGTGGATTGCATTATTTTTTAATCAGTAAATCCAATATTTTACTTACAATATCATATAAAAACCTTTTTTCATCAAATGAAACTTAATATATTATACGATTTAGTATCAAAGCACCATTATATCATTGAACAACATCAAGTTAGCTATTATCTCAAAATTGAAAAACGGACCAATCCTATAACTTTTTGCCCTTGTGCCCTTCAAACACGCATATTATATTCTTCCTTCCAATTATTTTGGGGCTACAATAAATGATCATAAAATAATAACATTAGATACGACTTCGTTCGAAAACACCACTGGAAAAGTTTCGAATAGTTATATAAAGGGGAAACGACATTTGTTTTCCATCCACGTGCGGTTACAACACGAGTTTACTCAACACTACTGCAGTACTCTCTTTACTGAAAGAGAGAGAGAGAAAGAGAGAGAGAGAGATGGTGATTTCCTGGCTCGCTTTGACAGTTCGGACTTTGCACCGTACACACACACACACACACACACACACACACACACACACACATAAACACAACAGACAGCTGCTGCACATTATGTTATTATTATCATTAGCATTATAATATTAATACACTGGTTACCGTCGACTGTAAAACGGGCCCAACGCGACGGGTCAAAACTCGGCAGCAGAATCGCGTCATGGAATGTCACTGCACGGTCACGGTGACAAAAAGATTCTTGGCGCACTTCGCCGACGCCGCCATATCCTTTATAATGGATGTGTGCGGGCGTTTGCGAAAATTCGCGTGCACGCTTGAGAGCGTTTCCGACCGGCGGCGTGTACGATGCGTTGGAGGGCGGGCATTCTCTTCCGTCGCCATCTCCTATACCGGCGCGCGGATCCAGGGGACGATGTCATTAACTTTGCATGTATGTACATTATTATAACCGATGAAGCCCCAAAGCAGCTGTCAACTCGTTGGGAAACCTTTCGGAAGTTTCCTCCACCGCGTTTTCCTAGTAAGACGCGCACGATAAATTCAATTTTCTTCAGCGCCTATCGCCACGGCTCTTACCGGTAACTCTTTATATATACGTATGTAATATTGTATAATATAATCCTCGTTCCGTCGCCAATCCCTCCACGGCGACAATGATACTCTTCTCCACAGATAAAACACAAACACGCGGCGCTGCCACAATATACTCTTTTTTTTTTCCGCCGGAGTCTTCGGCAATGGCTGTCGAGTCCCGACACGACAATAACAATACATTCGTTCATAAATTTATTTTACGCGGTGACGACGACGAGATAATATATAACGTAAAAAAGAGGCCATCTCTATGGGGACCTATTTAGAATTTTAGCGTCCACCGAGGCTGTTCGAGCGCATCGAACAAGTTCAGCTCTAATAGCCTTTTTAAATTTATTATTTTTACCGTGTTATCGTGTTTATTTTAAGAGTAGTTACCAATTTATTCATAACTTTTCGTTACCTACCTACCTATTTATTTTACTTTTTCATCTTCGTGTTTGTGTATTTTTGTCATTTTTAGGTTTAGGTAAGCGGCTGGCTAGTCTGCACTTCGTAACTATGCGTTTTTTACCATTATTTATTTTGTTGAGCCAGAAGGACCATATACTTACTATTTTATATTGTATTTGATTGATTGTATTTTTACTTGATATTAAATCGTGCACGCTAATCGCCGCGAACTTTATTGTTTAAATATTTTATTGGTTGGGCCTAGAAGACCGTAATACCATTTTTGTGTATCTACCTATTATATTACAATTTATTACCAGCAGAGCAGTCTGATTACCGTTTATTTTTTCCTTTGTTACCATAGTTTTAAGCTACATGCTTACAAATATACACATATACACACCCACCGCACACTAGTACTCAAGGGATTTACTGGGCGATCCCGTCCACTTCTTTTGAGTCCTTCCTTATTTACATATAAACACAACAGATCGACAGATGGTCGGTGGGCAGTGGTGTTGGATATTCGGTTTGGCAACCGGGCACACGTATTATTATTATATGCTTCTGGACCGTACAGAGGCACTTATAGAAAACGCTGCTCCTCTTAAATATAAAATCGTTCGGTCAAGAAAAAATAATTATTCTTTTTTATAAAACGCTTAATAGGTCCTGAACTCAATCAACTCAACCAAAGAGTCACAATTGTCTAAGTGCGAGGTGTATTTGTTGCTATGATATGTGTGAGGATAAACACGTCCGCATAAAATGTGTGCAGTATATTTCTAGTTATAGGTATGGCTAATTTGTGCAACTTTATATTGAAATTACTTTATGGATAATATTAAATTTACTGTCTTTGACAGTATTGTTAATGTTGTTATTGTTATCGTACGTCTTATGCAATTTTCTACGACTGTTATAATTCCAAAATATATCCGATATTTGTATAAGATTTGGATTAAGAAAAATTGTATTGTTAATAAAATAATAATAATAACTTAACTATCTTTCTATATATTATAATATTGTTTGTACATTTTTATGGGGAAATTCCAAAATTAACTGAATTAACTTCCATTTAACTGCTTCTGCATAATGTACTAGGAACAAATATTATGTTGATTAAATTAACAAAACCAGACTTCTATTACAGCGATTCTCAATCTTAGTGTGTTGGCCGCCCAAAATATTTACCTAATTTTTTATTTTTGAAAATAATTCTCAATGAGGGCTACCTACTTTATCCAATCCACTTAATTGTTAAATTTCCATAACTCAAAAAAACTATTACCTTTCATTCATTTTTAAAGTAATATACACGTAATGGGTACCTTGTAAAATTCAAAATAGTGATAATGGATATCAAAATAAATGTGGATTAATAACATATTAAATTTAATCGTATCCATGAATATCAACCGATAAAGTATATTTATCGCATTGAACGACTTTAGTTCAAAATTACAAATTTATACTGTGAAGAAAAATAATTTACGAAATATGTTTCATTAATTATTTTAGATTCATAGCGGAGCAAGGAATGTATTGGTTTTACAATGATGTTTATTTTTTTTCCCGTAGACAACTTTTCTACCAGCAATTTTGCTCCGATTTATAATAATAGTACATTTTCTAAAAGGAAATTTGACTGGGATGGTACTTTAAAAAGGTAATTTTTTGATTTTCATCAAAACGCATTCATTGATTTAATCGCAGAATAAATTTTAGGTAAATATTAAATAATAATATGTATTATTTTAAATATAAAGTTAACCGATTGGTAGACAGTCATTGTACTTGTATTCTAAAAATAGATTATTCCAAAAAAAATAGATTTCCAATATTTGCATACAAATATAATTTTTATTAAAACAAATAATTAATGAGTTATAAAAGTGACAATGGAATTACAGCCTGGTGCATGATTGCTATAGTAGATAAACCTATTACTTCAACGCAAACAACTTTATTTGAATAATTTATTGGTAAGTAAGTTTAATTCAAAATCAAGCAATTAAAAATTGTTTTTTTTTTTATTAAATGATGCATACCTATTATTTATAAATAATAACCTCAGATAAAACATTTTAATTTTATTTCGGCGGAAATTAGTAGAATTGGTATAATTAATCAAAACCAAAAATAAACTATATGACTAGACAGCTCAATTTGGCCAGCATATTTCACGCGACCCCTGAACGTACGGTTTTCGTTTGCCGATTTTTCCGTTTTCTGAAAACGTGTTTTGCTTCATAAGTATTAGACCGGCTGACCACTGTCCATCTATGGTTATATGGTTCTATGTTGTCATTCGTATAATAATAATCATCGCTATGGTATTGAATTAGGTACTACACATTTACTCGCTGTTAATTATTCACTTCGTTATTTAACGCTCGAAAAGCGCCCGTTTTATTTCGGTCGTTTACGCGTAATATTCGTGACTTATATACTCGTAAAGCGTTCGATTTCTTCATCCATGTAATAACTTTTTCGATTTTTTTTCTATTCACCCTATTTTACAGTATATATTAAACACAAAATACTGACATCTAGACATTTCCCGAATCCCTTCATATTTCAATTTCCCCTATATTCTACACGTTATATTGCACCCACCGCCTGTACCCGCTTCCGAGAACACTAACATTTAGATTTTTTCATATCGGAAAAATACTGTCATCTAAACATTCCTCTTATCCTTCTGTATTACCATTTCAATATCTTAACGTCTAGACATACCCCGAATTCCTCTGTATTGCTACTCCTATAGTATATAAATTAGCCTTGTATTTAGCATTATAACGTATTATACGTATTATACTGCATCTAGTCCGCCGAAGGCAGTTTGCCCACCCGCCGACTTTATCCGCTACAGTTTCCTGTATCTTGGAATACTGTACTCTGTATCACAGTAGTACCTAGGGCCTGGGAGTAGAACCATGGAACCCTCTAAAAAACTGATGTTTAGACCTGTTCCCGTATCTCAACTAAATTCTCCCGTATCCTAAATGTATTTCACTTTTCCTGTATCTTACTTACTCCTGTATCATACCCGAAAAGCTTTGACCAGCAAACCGTTTTACTATAAAATGACATACATACTATTGACAAAGCATCATTATCAACTGAATTTCACTCAAAATCGTTTTTTGGTAACCAATGGTTTATTGTTGCTTACAGGTATACATTAAATTATCTATAAAAGCAGTTGCACGCGTCCCTATTATCATAGGACGTCTTTTTTTATTAGTTATGACCTTACTCAAATCCAGCAAAAATTTGCACTACGAAAATTTGTTCATACTCTAGTCAAATTATTAATAACTAATGTGTTCATAACCTTTGATAATTTAATATTTAACTAATGCCAATATTTAGTCTATTCACACACAAGAAAGTTTTTGTATTAAATGCAAATTATACATTATACAAATATTATATCACAGAATGCTAAATTTGCTCATTAGTTAAAAATAATTAGAAATAGGAAGTCATGAATTACGGTACATTCCTATATAATATGGGATACACGGCCGTGGCATCCTTAGTTAAATATAATAATAATTTTGTACATATATTACTGACTCAATGGCAACAATAAGTATCTTAGAATGTTGTAGCCCAAATACAAGTTTAAAAAACTATGGAGTTATGGAGTTTTCATTAAAAAGTAAAATATTTATTGACCAGAAATCACCTTCAACAAAGTATGAAAATTGTGAAAACGTTAGACATAAATATAATTTAATCATAACTTATTTCTTTATTGTCATCTTGATTACCTACTAATTTATGATTGTGTTTAATAATATGAACTCTGTAATTAATTATATTTGATTGAATAAATAGTTTAATAAATCATTTTTAGATTTTGAATGGAGTGAAAAAACTTATGATTTTACAAAGATGTTTATTTTTTTATTCGTTAGCAATGATTTATCGTTGGGTACAGATATAAATTATGTAACGTTATGTATACTACCTTCCCAACTACCTATACAACTATAACAACTATATTTCAGTTATAGATTTGCTTTCGTCGTGTGTGGACGTTGAACAGTGTCGTCCTACTCGCTTATCTATCTTGTTATTATTACGTCTGTGTTTAAAATGATCAGTTTAATTTGTAATGAAGAAATTCTCATTGGAGATGATAAAAAAAGTAATTTATGTCGTGAGTACTTACACTTTGTGTGTGCTGGCTTCAGAGAAGCTATTTTTAGAAAAACATCGGCATCATCGAAAAACGTATGGGTATGCTACTCTTACAAAGCTAAAGATAAGTCAACAGCTAAAAAACAGCTTCAATATGTGGGAAAGGGTAACGTATCCACTTTCTTAAATAACACAATTGAAATCTTAGTAAAGTCTGTTAAATTTATGAACAATTTGATGTTTCTAAAAATCAAATTAAAGACATTTTTTGTTCTTTAAAATAAATTAAATTAGAAGATAAGTCTATTAAAGATCAGAACTTCAAATTATCCGAAGAAGTTTTACACTTTAACAAAAAAATTAACTTATGGAACAAAGGTCCATTGAAGATAATACTGAAGTTGTTGGTGTCCCAGAATCCACTAATGAGCCGTGTGCTGATATAGTCAATAAAATTGCATCAAAGTTAAATGTTAAAATTTCAACATACAACGCGCACAGATTATTCTCTGGTAAAAAAAAATCCTAGAAAAATGGTTGCCATAATAAACTCAAAAGAATCTAGACATCAACTACTAACTCAATCAAAGAAAATGAAAATTAAGGCAAATCAACTGGATCAGAACCGGGAAAATAACATTTTCATCAATGAATAAATGACACAGAAAGTATACAGAAATCTTTTTTACAAGGTGAAAAATATTGTACGAGAGGTAGATGTTTAGATTTTATGGATCAAACATTTTTCATTTTTCATGTTACAGGTATTGATTTTTTTTATAACAATAAAATCCGTTACCTACTTATCAGATTATACCGGTGGTTCTCAATCTTTATTGATTTATGTCACCCTTATCAACAATAATCCAACACTACGTTGCCCTGCCAATGCATAGTCCATTGAAATTATAGGAAATTCTAGCAGTTGTATCGTTGAAAAGTGAGTGATTAGGAGGGAATATTATGATGTTTGAACGGTGTTAGTGGTTAGAAGACGGTGAAAAAAATAATACGATATTATTCTAAACAATTAAAAGTTCTTTAATTTTTTTATTTTCTTCGATGATTTCGTGTCACAGAATACACTGGGTCTATGTCACCCCGGGTGACATATTACCCCAGTTGAGAACTACTGGATTATACGATAATCAGAGTGATTCCTAGGTTATCAGTATAATTAAATGCGTAATCAATGATTGTAATACCAGTCCTAACAGTTTTCCAAACAGTTTAATTTTCGTGAACCCGTTAACGAGTTATACCACTTTTAAATTTAGGTAAAGAGAGAGTAGTGGAGTATAATTTGTATGACGGCATTTATTAGTGCTTCGCTAAATGTTTAATATAGGCTCTCTCTGAAAAACCAAAGTTGGTATCGCCACTCTTTAAATGTCGTAAAAACCCAAATATTCGAAAATATCGATTTTAACCACACTTTAAAATTCTAAAAATCAGAATTTGAATATATGTAAAATTGAAAAAAAAAAAAATGAGGTGAACACGGTTAATGAATCATCCTGTGTAGCATCGATGTTTCACTTTGCACACGTATCGGTGTTATAACTTATAAGAATAAATATTTAAATAATGATGTTGCACATGTTAAAATGAGACGAAAAGCAATAAATCCCTACGGTTTTCCATATATATATATATACACGAGAATTATATTTTAATTTGCGTAAATATCGTTCTTATAATAAAAATTCCGCGAAAACAAATATTTTAGTATTATTCCGACGGTTTTTAATACGAACCTCGTATTATAATATACGCAGTGTAACTATATGATCCGAAACGTTTATAATTCAGAAAGTAATTATCATACGAGTTTTAAATTATGTCTCCGTACATGCGTATTAAAAGTTAAGTACCGTAGTACAGTATATTATTATATACAACACTACAACTCATTGTATATGAAGTATACGCACACACGGTATTACACAAAATCTATATAATATACGCTGTACGGTATTACTAGGGTATTAAACGTCTCTTTAAAACCTAAAAAAACCTTTCGTCGTGCCTATCCACATTATAATCGCGAAATGAATTTGTTCGAAAACATTTTGAAATTTATGTTAAGCCTAACTACGGGGGAGGGGGGGAGGGGGACCACTTTATCGCGTGATGCCGGCCTATACGTGCGTATCGATCGATATTTAACAAAAAAATTCATATGCTCGTACTTGACACAATTTTCGATGCACAACAATTATGGTGACGTAAAAGAAAAAATGGATTTTAAATCGGTTAAATAACGTGATGATGAATACCATTGTTTCCATATTTATACCTGCTTGAGATAATAAATTCGAGATCAAATTAATAAACCCTTTTTTAAAAAAGAACAATAATAATAATGGGTATCTACCCTACGCACTATGGATGATTAATTATATTTATGAATTCCATGAATTCATTATATTATATTATAATCATAGAACTTTCACATTTTTTTTTTTTAAGAGCTTTTTCGTTATGCCTAGGCCAATTGATTGAAATTTCGTAAAACTCAAGTGTGACGTTTAATATGTAAAGTGGTCGTACAAGTTTTAAAATTTACGTATATTTATCAGAAATTAAATAAAAAACGTATATTTCCCCCGTATCAAATTTAAACAATTTTTCTATACAAATTGTAGCACGCAATTTGTATAAATTTGCACGACCGTTTCCGAAATTTCCATGGCTTCGGTTTACCCGGAAAATTCAATTGTCTATGGGTGAGGCAGGAGAAACGTTCCTCAGTCCCATCCAAACGAAAATTGCGCTAATAATAGTTGAAGGCGGTAGAGATTGTACTATAGACCAATGAAACAATTGAGCTGAGGCAGCACATTATAAATAATGTTTAAAAACGCGAGCACCACAGTAACGGGTCAATGCGGGTTTCCGATCGCAACACGTATGTGTGTATACATATTGTTTTCAAGACACCCGTTCTTTTGTAAGTTTTGGTATGTATGGTCGTTTGAGTTATCAAAAAAAAAGTAGAAGTGTACCCTCGACAGATAGGTATAATATTGCAATCTTCTTTTCGTTCGGCCATTTTAAATGCACTCAAATATAGATGCACCTATTAGCTACTATAACTACTATTGACTTCAGTGTAATGATTAATCTATGTAATTTTATTTTATATAGTTCCACATGTATAAAAGGTAATTTATTTTATCATAAACCAGTCAATATCTCAGTAAGTATTAGGATTTTTAAATAATTTTTTTTTTACTTTCTAGGTTTTCCTGTTCTACACTGTAGTATAATTTTGAAAATTTGAACTGTCTCCCTTATTTTATAAAACACTATCAACTAAATGATAACTACTATTTTCTATAACAAAAATCTATAAACATATTGAAAAAATAATTGTAACGTTTACAGTAATTAACTTGGGTAATACGTTTGCGATTTATTAATGTTTAAATATTCGTTAAATAGTCTGCTACTGGGCAATTTAAATTAAAAACCAGTCAAAACGAAATTTTATCTTGTTGGCGATAACGAAATCCATAACGGCCATAATGCCATAACCAATAATAAGTACAATAGTCAGAGTCATACTAATTAGATTTTCTTATCCTATCACCACTCTCCTTTTCTCCCAACACTGTGTGATCGTCAACATGTATCAGCTATAAAGTATAAAAATAACATTTTACAATTTACAATCATTGTTACATAATATAGCACTGGTTACTTAATCTTGGTATACGGTCTTATCACTCATGATAACAAAATACTGTCATTTATCATTATCAATCACATAAACTAGATTGTTAGGTTACCTATCAAGATATCTTGGCTCTCTATATTAACCGTATAAACGTTTGATGCCATTTGATATCCGCTATTAGTATGTCATTTGTATCTTATCCTGTCATAATTTTTATAACACAATTTATCACGGATATATATTTTTTTTTTAACCATTTATTAAATAATATAAATTCATTAAAGGAAACTGAAAAAAAAAATTTGGTTTAATTACCTCCTTTAAACAGTACTTAAGTTGTAGGTAGCTAGTTATTTTATAAGCAATTACCTAGTATATACAAATTACAATAATATAGATTATATAAAATTAGGTTCTTAAGCTTTACAATTTATAAAAAAAACTTGATAAAGATTTATTTTAATTAATATTAGTATTCAATCTAACATGCTTCTTAAAATTATTATCTAGATTATTGAAATAAGTAGGTCCTAAATAGTCCAAAAATTTCTGACCAATACCTTTTTTTGAATAATTGACATTTAGATTATATCGTATATATTCACATTTACTTAAATTCGCATCAAATTTAGAATGATTTTTTAAATTAAATGTTATAGAATATTTATTATATAGTAATTTTAAAGAGAGTACACTTAGTTCTTTATAGTTATCATAAGTAGATCCTACTTTAGCTGTTTTGTTAAGATAGATACAAACAACTCTATTCTGTAATGAAATTAGCGGTTTTAGAGTTTTTTCGGAGGCACCACTCAATATAGTTATGCCATATTGTAGGATAGATTGATAAAGTTTCAAATAAACAATTTTCATAGCATCTGTGGAGGGTAACCTAGAATTGTCCGAAAAATGATCAAACGGACCTTAAAAATACGGAAAAAAAATCATTAATAACATTTATATGGACTCTAAAATTCCGGAATGCATAAATTTGCAAACAAGAAAACAGCGGACTATAAAAATCCGAAAAATGAAACACTGTAAATGTCCGGATTGTAATCGGTAAAAAAATAAATGTTCTGACCAGAATATTTCGGACTATAAAAATCTGGAAAGCATAAAAGCCTATACCAGAAAGTTTCGTACTATAATCTGCAATACAAAAATACGCATACTGTAATGTCCGGAACAAGAATTTTTCGGAATTTAACAAAAAACCACTGATTGATGGCGATGTTTCGCATATACAGTACAAACAGAATAAACGAATTAAGATTAAAAGAAGGTTCATGATATTATGGCTGTTTTCAGAGATGGATAGACATGCCCAGACCTGGTGTCACAAGTATTTGTATTAATAGTGTTTTTGAAATTCCGAATTATTCTTGTGTGTGATATTCCGGAAATTTCTTGTCCGGAACATAACAGTGTGCGTGTTTTTGTATTCAGGGTTACTATAGTCCGGGGCTTCCTGGTTTTGGCATTTATGCTTCACGGATTTTTAAAATCCTGAATACTCTGGTCAGAGCATTTATTTTTCCAGGCAATTACAGTCCGGACATTTATAGTGTTTCATATTCCGGATTTTCACAGTTTGCCGTTTTCTTTTCCGGAATGTAAATTCCGGAATTTTACAGTCCACACGATTATTTTCTCGGATTTTCTAGCCATCCTCTGAAGAGAGGGTTTTATTTAAACAACATAGCTTATAGCACGTAAGTGCATATTGATATTTTGAATATGGAAGTTCTAATTCAAATTACAGTCTAATATTAATCCTAAGTATCTAACTTTTTTTACTCTCTTTATATTAAAATAATTATAACTGTTAGCTTTATGATTAACATTATATATTATTAATTCTTGATTTGATAACTAAGTACACTTATAAATAGAGAACGCCATAAAAACGGATTTTTCATAATTAACAGTAATATTTTTTAAATAAAGATTTCGAATGAATCTATTTAATTCAGATTCTGCTTTATTATACACCAGATCCCATATAACATCAGTAAATATTAAACAGGTATCATTGGTATAGGTAGCAATAGAGCCATTAATATGCATGTTACATAAACTGTTAATATACATAATGAACAAGACTGGACCAAGGACGCTGCTTTGTAGTACGCCACAGTTTATAAAAGATTCATTACCCATATAGTCATTTAATGAAACATATTGAATCCTATTTTTAATATAGCTTGAAAACCATTTAAGATTTTTGTTGGCAATTCCAAAACCCGGCAAAGAAATTAAAAGTTGTTTGTGCTCAACATTATTGAAGGCTTTATCGAAATCCAAAAATACTATAATAATTTTTTGACTGTCATCAAGTGTACTTTAGATACATTTTGATACTTTATAGAGTGCATCAATGGTTCCTAAACCTTTTGTAAAACCGAACTGGTTTTTTGACAACAGATTAATTTCCTCTAAAAATATAATTAGTCTGCATCTTACTATTTTCTCTAATACTTTTAGCGAAAATACAGATTATTGAAAAGGGACTATATTTTCCCAGAGGTTGTTAATCAATATTTTTTAAAATGGGTTTAACAATTGCTACTTTAAACTGAGTTGGAAAAATACCTTCTTTTAAATTTTTATTATAAATAGAAATTTATGGGTTAATTAATAAATTAATAAAATTACATATTTCTTAAAATAAAGAATAGAAAATCTAAAATATATAATTACCGAAAAAATGCGTGAATAATGAAAATTACAAAAAAATATATTAGCTTCTGAGTGTAGCGAAGAATGTATTGGTTTAACAAAGATGTTTATTATTTTATTTTATGTGAACATTTTTTCTACTAGAAAACTTACTACGATGTATACATTGTAGACATTTTTTTGAAAGGAAATTTTCTTGGAGTAGTACTTTAGAGAGATAATTTTTTTTATTTTCTCAGGAGTTTTCTCATCATGTGAAAATCCGAAAACATGGGAAAATATACGAAATATATTAGTAAAATATTACGATTTTAATTTTCTGTTGACAACTCTTGTACCTGTGATTTTGTTCCGATTTACAATAATAGCACTTTTTCTAAAAATGTAATCTGACTTGAGAGGTACAATAAAGAGGTCATTTTTCGATTTTCCCAGAAGTTTTCTCAACAAATGGAAAAACCTAGACAAAACACGAGAAAACCGGGAAAATCGGATCAATATTAAACAAATATTATTAAAGAAAATATATTATGCCTATTTAATTATTTTACCATGATATGACATAAATATTGTTGACAAAGCATCACTATTAACTAAACTTCCCTCAGAATCATTTTTTCGTTAACAATGATTAATTTTTGGTTACAGATATACATCAAATTTCCCTCTATATCCTACTTTCCTAACTTCTCCCAACTTTTCATTTACAGCAATGGTCAACCTATCGTGCGAAGTATATGTCCATAATGTCCGCATATTCTTTTTATCAATAATTTTAATTTAATTTAATTATTTCACCCCCCCCCCCTCCCATAGGTAAGGTCTGGAGACGTCACTGGTATCCACTTAACTTTATGCTTGGTAGATACGATTTGTACTCGTGATATTACGTTTCAAAAGACATGAACTTTTAAAATATTTCGTACAGACTACAAAACAAATGTATTTAAACCGATTATCGCACATTTAATACACTATAAAATAACCAGGATTTGAAAAATATATATTTATATCGTTTATCGTTGCTCACAGATATAGATTAAATTCCCTTCTGTATCCTATTTTCCACCTACAACAGTGGCTGCACCCATTCCCATTATTTTAGGACAGCTTTTTATAATTATAATTAATTTCAAATATAAATAATATAAATGATGTAGGTATATAAAACTAGGATTATTACTTCGGAATAAAACAATGAGCAACAACATATTGTTGAAGGTTGCCTAGTTGAGGATGCTTAGATTTAGATATACGTTGCGTAACTACTTATTTATTGATACTGCCTTTTCACAGCACGGATAGAATAAAATTGCTCCATCACTTTTAATTGTCTGGTTGGAAACTTTTAAATAATAATCCGCTTTCGACTTCATAACTTTCAGAATTTTAAAAACTGGAAATTATATACGTACACGAGACTTAATGCGACTTCGAATATTATCGACTGCGAATATTACGAAAAACGAATGTCAAGTTTCCATATCCACAATAGTGTATACAGAACATGCTACCGTAATCACGTTTCATGTTCAGTAATTGCTGAATTAGTTTTAATCTATAGCGGCTAAGGTAAACACCAATTAGATAACGTAGAATATTTTGATCGTTGTCAAAAATTACTTATCTTGTCGTTTTATACAAAGCAGATAATGTTTGACCTCGTCGAAAATCAATGACAAAATAAGAAATTACTAAAGTATTTACATAATATGTATTTATTTACCAAGTATGTAAAAATATATAAAATTTATTTGGGCCTATTTCATTTATAATGATATAAATCATATACATTTTTTATCAGATTAAAAATATCTCATTCCAATAAAAATATGTATTTACAATAAAATCCGTTCCTTATAGATAATATATTAAACCATAAAAGTTGATAAATAACGGACATTAATTTGTGAAATTGTTATTTTGTGAATTTATTTTATTTTTTCAAAAATATTATAGACGATAAGACAATGAAAAGTAAAAACTTTAGCCTCACTAGTGCACAAAAAAGTGCCTTAATAGGAATACCAAGATGAAAGTTCTTAAATAATTGCATTATGAACCCGAGGGTTATCCATTGAAAAAATAACTTCGGTCCGTCTAGGGAAAGCTACTAATTTAGTAAGTTTGAATAAAGTGTCATCTGAATTACTTCAATAATTATCACCATTGTCAACTTCATGATCTAAATAATAAATATAATTTAAAACATCCATAACCGTGAACAATTAATACGAATTTATCATTTTATAAATAGTAAAAACAGTAACACAAGAGATAAAAAAACAGTTTGCTCAAATTGATAGCGTTAAAATATTGAAAATAGTAAAAAAAAACAACGGACATACTTCTTAACAACAGTGGATGAACCACTGTTGTAGATAGGAAGTTGGGAGGGTAGGATATAGAGGATAATTTAATGTATATCTGTAAGCAGAGATAAATCATTGCTAACATAAAACGATACTGTGCAGAGCTCGATTAATAGTGTTGCTCTTTCAAAAATATATAATATATAATATTCTAGTAAAATAAATATATATTGAAACAATTCGTATGGACCAATAATTAGGTTTATTCGACATAATTTTTTACTAAAACGATTTTCATCACATTTTATATTAAAGTATCTTATATTAAAATCTTATAAAAAATATTACATTAAACTCAATTTTCTTTGTTTTCACTCCCTCTTAAATTTTGAAGCATTTCTGTTAAGTTTAACAATTTTACTACAGATTTTACATACCAAATAAAAATTACGTCCAAAACTCGCAAACTTAAAATGCCTATAAATAGCTCAAAAATAGCTAAATTGTTTATACATTTTATTACGTTTAGAAAAGGCAAATTTAATATTTTTGTAAAGTTGTTGAGTCTATACGGATACTTTCAACTGACTTACAACTAATCATAAAATTGAAAAAAAATAAAAGTATTTTTTTTGTAGATTTCCCCGTTTTTCCGATATTTTATCTCGGTTTTTTTCTAGATGTAACAAAAACTGCTTGGAAAAATTAAAAAATGACCTCTCTGAAGTGTCATATAGAAAGAATTTCCTTTCAAAAAAAATTCTACATTTGGTACATGATAGCAAAATTTCTAGTAGAAATTCAAAGTGAAAAAAAAAAAAAAAAAAATATTTTTGTAAAACTAATACACTTTTTGCTACACCCGAAATCTAAAAATAAACATTTATCCAGCTTCCAATCAAAAGCTTTAACGGACTGTAATAATATTTTAACCAGCTGACATCGGTTAACAACTTAACCGAAACGTAATCTACTCATTTAGCTTTACGAGAGTTTACAATACAGACGTTTCTTCTTTACGGGGCGTTAAATCATAACTATAACAAAATCGATGATTGTATACCGGTCCTTTATATTTCATTTTATACTGTTTGGCCGTGATTTTGACTTGTCTCCGAATCTATAGGTTATTTTATAAAATAAATACAAAAATAAAAATATCTACGTACAATGTACATATTATATTATAATAATCTATGCCTATATTACCGTATATATGTCATGGAGTGTAAAAAAACAAGGAATTTCTTATATTTGTGACATCTCTTGTTTAATTCTCTATGTTACCAATTGTTATTTTTTTTTTCTATATATTCTTTATTTTGTTAATATAAACAGTAGATTTTTATTTTTTGCTTTTTTGTTAATACCTGCCGAAACTATGCAAGCCGAAAAAGCATAATTTATAACCTTAATACCTATTACCAACGGTTTGTTTGTCGTAGAACGACGAAAATTTACACTATAAAATTCCTGTTTATCGAGTCTAACGCGTTGTTACTTAATTGTATACGGAATGGATATTGTTTGCCATTCTGAAAAATTGAAAGTCAACCATTCGGTTACAGAAGGGACAAGTCCTACTACTTGGAGCAGGTACTTAAATGTCGGAGCTGGCCGTTTGAAGAAATGTGCACCAGAAGTATGTGGTATACAAATTTTAAACGGAAATAATAACGAATCATTTATCATACCGTTAACTATCTCGGTGACGTTAAAAAATCAATTGTATACAATTATTAACACGGACGATGAGAATTATTATCAAAAAGAAATAAACGACTTGGCCTCATTTTTTTTGTTAAACGATTTTCTATCGAATGTCAATCAGTTTTGGTGCGGTATTCAGTGGCAGCTGATTAACGGTTTAATTAAGACGCTTATTACGAAGTTCAACAACACTAAACACAATATGGTGTATCTATCGAGTAGTTTGGTTTGTGTGTTCCGCAACATGACTGAAAAATCTCCGATCCCGCCCGACAAAATCAAATCCAAACTGACCCTGTATATTGATGTCGTTAGGAAATTTATAAACCATTTTGACTATGCGTTGTGGAAAAAGTGGTTTTTTTGTCACGGCATGTTTGTGGATTGGGTTTTTTTTATTGCCGGATTCTTTATGCCAGGCGTAAATTTCGTAAGTGCGCACGACACAAATATAATTAACAACGCGATGTCTTATTTTAAAATGATTAAACACCGCCAATATATATTCAACGAAAAAATTATGAAAACGCCCATGTCGGTTAGAAGTAACATATTTGAACTTCCGGAGAGGGATGCCGATACTACAATATTATCCAAAGAATATGATGCCGACCGAATGAAATCGTCAAACAGTCGCAGTAACATAGCACGAGTCCGTGGACGTTTTGTGAAGAAAAATACTGCATCGATAATAATTGTAGCTGGAGATAAAACACGAACAACAAATCGAACGAATAAACGGGCAACGAGAAAAAAAAGGAAATACTAGATATGTACTAACGAATCGCGTAAATTTGTGTACAGTTAAAAACAAGAGTAAACACCAAAAACCAGAAACCAATAATCAAGTAAAAAGTGAAAATGTGCCTGTATATAATATCTATATTTTATAAATTATTAACACTTTCAGCGTGTTAGGTATACACATAATTTAACTTTTATTTAATTTTTTTTTTTTATGATAACGCCAATTTTTGATTCGTTATATTGTTTATAATTATTATTTATTGAATAATTTTTAGGTACGTTACACAATTTGACACTTTTGTGACTTTGATATTTTAATTTGTTAAATAATTATATTTATACATGCAACGTAACACGACTATATATAATATATATGTATATAAATATTTTTTTTGTACACAGCATGTTTTGTTTATCCATCATGATTATAATATGTATAAAGTTTGAAATTAAAATATTTCAAGTTGGTTATTTAAAAATTTCAATGTGTTCATAATACCCAATTTGTTTATAACATGTACAATTTATCATTATCATTATTATTTAATACATTGGTTCATAAATGATATGGGGTATTGCTTATTTATACAAATAAATTAATATTTATATTATGTTTTATTTTTACAGAATCAATCAGGGAAATAATAATATTTTCCGAAAACGAAAAATGTTCGAACGATATTATATTGCAATACAATAGTTTAACCTTAACAAAATTGAGGTCAAATATTATCAGTAGTTGGGTGTAGCGACGATACTTCTTTTGTAGTGGTACTGGTCCCTATGCTGTTATTTTTGGTGTCGTGTATAGTACTACATTTTTCATAGAAAAACAACGCAAATTTTGTGAAAGACTGAGAAAAAACGGGAAAATGTACCAAATACATTAGTCAAATATTACGATTTTTTTTTCTGTAGATAACTTTTCTACCATTAATTTTGTTACCAATTGACAATAATAGCATTTTTTCTAAAAGGAAATCTGACTTGGGAGATACTTTGGAGTGATTATTTTTCGATTTTCCCTAGAGTTTTCCCAGAAAATGTGAAAAACCGGGAAAAAACAGGGGAAAACGCAGGAAAAACGGGAAAATCGGTACCATATTAAGCAAATATTATTAAAGAAAATATATAATGCCTATTTAATTATTTTACCATAATATGACATATATATTGTTGACAAAGCATCACTATTAACTAAACTTCCCTCAGAATCATTTTTTCGTTAACAATGATTAATTTTTGGTTACAGATATACATTAAATTACCTATAACATTGGCTGCTCATATAACCCATGAACCCTTTCTCCACCTAACCCCATAACACCCGACCCATTATACTTGGGCATCTTTTTTTATTCTAGTCTATATTAAAATAAACATTTTTTAACTTAATATTTCATTTAAATTTCAAGAATTAATGTAATCCTATTACGTTGTAAGAATTAATATTTAGATTAGTAAATTTTCTAAGATTGACATAAACATAATGGTTTCCTTTTTAAGTCAATTTTAAGATAATATTAGTGCACTGCTTAAAGAAAGGCGAATTTCTGTAAGGCCCTACATAAATAAGCGGTGACTATACGAAACTTATTTTATTTAAGAAACATAACGATAGTGATAGCGCCACGTTATTGAAAGTTACGATTTTCAACCATTGAATATCATAATACATAAATATGTTTTGTTGAGAATAAACAACAAAAGTTTTCACAATCATTTAATTTGTGCATTCGGTATTTTTTCGACACGATGATAAAACACTGTTTAATATCATAAATATGTTACATTATGACATAATTTAATAATACAAATACATAATGTATCGCTGAACACTAATCCCTCATCTACATGGAATCGAAAACGAGATATTTTTCATCGTGGAAAATCTTTTATTATAATAATACTATTTCCCTGTGCAATCCATACAGTGACTTACCAGATTTCCCGTTAATGTCCATAGCCTTGAGGTTTCTGGCCTCGATAATGCCCAACGTCAGATTGTTGGTCATCGGATTGTAAGACAAAGATGTCAACAAATGGCCACACTTGTCCTTCAGTGGGGCAGTAAGATCCTTCCAAAACACTGGCTTCGCAGTAAAGTCAACCTGCAAGTCACAAAATTGGAAAAAACCATACGTGAATATAGAATTATATGTAAAACAGTATTTATATTAAAATAATAAGTAACGTATAAAGAATAGAAAAATAGAAAAAAAAATATTAAAAACATTTGAGCAGCAGAACTTCGTCACAAGTCGAATTTCCCCCTAGCTGACTTGTTACTGTTACAATACGAGTATTTCATGGGTCTATAAGGTAATTTAAAACCCAGTATTTTCTGTGAAAACATAAAATCTCAGCATACTCATGGTTGAGAGGGGAGGGGTTAAAAGTTTAAACCACCAAAAGGCACATATTTGATACTCATAACATATATAAACAACATTTAATCCTCCTGGCTTAATTTAAAAGAGTTTATAGGAGTGTAAAAAAACAACCATCTTCCCACAACAACATATTGAAGTTCATATTGAAATTCGACTAAAATTCTATAATTTAAATCAATCTATAAAAAAAAATCCTAATTCCCCAATTTTAGCTCTTTTGATCCACAGAGAGCCATTGAGCAAAGCCAATGATCATCACAAAGAGCAATGTCCAAATGTGTTGGGAAAAAAATATATATGTTATATATTATATAACAGACACAATAATCGAGTGTAATAATCTTTATTTTTGAGAAAGATTCGACAAGAATATATTTTCTGCATATTTATTATTTTAGATTTTGAGTGGAGTGAGGAAAGTATTGGTTTAACAATGATGTTTATTTTTAATTTTTTTTTTATGGACAATTTTTCTAACAGCAATATTGCTCCGATTTACAGTGATAGCACTTTTTCTGAAAGAAAATCTGACTAAGGTGGTACTTAAAGGAAGCCATTTTTTGATTTTCCTAAGAGTTTTCCCAATAAATAGAAAAAACCGAGGAAAACTTAGGAAAAATTATTATTTAAATATTTAAATATGATTAAACAAATATGATAAAAGAAAATATATAAGTAAAGTAACACTATCAACTGAATTCCGCTCAAAATTGTTTGTTTTCGTTAGCAATGGTCAATCGTTGCATATTCAGTTACACATTAAATTGTCTCTCTACTACCTACCCAACTTCTCACTTTTACCTGTTGCTCTACCCTTCCCCATTATCCTAGAACAACTTTTTTATCAATTAAAGTCTGCACAGAAATCATTTTTAAATTAGACACCGCTGGGCCAGATAATATTATGGTGATAAGACTTAACGTTGAACGTTCATTAGAGAATATTATTGAATTGAATATTGTTTCGAATGATTTCGAAAATGATGAACATAAAAACGTAACACATATTTTATAATTTTACGCAGAATATTATTAGTTCACTAAACTTAACACAGAATGTTTAAATCATATTATTATTGAACGTAGACTTACGTTGTTGAGTTCAATGTAAGTCTCGCCAATTGAATCGTCTCTGGAAAAACGATCGTAATCAAACACATGTAAGTGTAGAGTCCGGTTATGAAGTTTTTGCATTGTAAAACCTGTAATAAAAATTAAATAAAATACGCTTTTTAGTGTAGGTTTTATTTTCACTACAACGACAAACGTCGTGTAATTTGTAAATGAAAATTAATATATTGTATAAACACAATAAATTTGTATATTGGGAACCATAGACGTGTGCAGAGAATATTGACAAAGTAATTACAAGTAAGTGAGTATACTATGGGGATCTTAATTTTTACAACAATTTTATCTAAAAAATCAATAATTTATTAAAATAAATAACATTGAGAATATAATATATTATTTATTTTCCGATTCCGCTGATATGTTATATTTTTGATTATCCGTGCCACTTAATTATTACTTATATATTTAACGAACTCGTTTCGTATTTAATCGGAACAAATATTTTGGTTTAAACCGTGTTAATAACTAGAGAAAATAAAAAGCATACACCAATAACAAAATGGTCTAAAATTTGCAAAGTATAGTCACTACTCAGACTACCCCGTGCGCACGCTTACGAATATGTTAGGAACATTATACGATCGGTCAAGTGGTGTGAATGTTATGATGCATAGGAATTTAAACGTGACACCTGAATAGAATTGTTTTTATTTTTATTTTTTATATACCTAATTTGTTTTTCGCCATAAAATAATAAAATGCAACAAACCCTGAAAGTAGAGAGTCTCGTTCCAGCGCGGATTTAGAGTCCGGCGTTTCACTTTCGTGTCCAGTCGATGCTTTTTGTCAGGCAGCAATGTTACCCGGACGTACGGGTCGGACGTGCCGCTCAAGTCCATCGCCGGCAAGTCTTTGGCCTGAAACGTGGATGACAAATCGGTTACGAGGGTTTTATACGTGAAACTTTTATCCCTACGTGAAAACCGGAAAAAACCTCAATCAACGGTCTCCGAACAGCTTACAACTTTATCGGGTCGGAACTGTGTGTGTGCGTGTATTTTTTTTAAATCTATCCTATTTTATTTGTATATACGAGGGATCCGTTTATAGTGTCTAGTTTCAGATATACAACCAAAGACACATATTGTTGGCAATGGCGAGTTTCGTAAAACAAAATATTAAGAAAAGCTATTTATACGAGCGTACAAGAAAACAAGTCGTGAATAATCGCGTATGCGTATTAAGAAACTTCACCGAAAAGATTCGTGATCGTTTTAGCATTAATTCAACGCGTATCGAAATGAAACTTTTTTAGACGCTGTAATGTGAATTTGTCTAGTATATCACCAAAATTGAATTATATTATTACAACTGTCGTAATGTTTATATATTTTTATTTGTATTTTTCAGTCAATTTTCTCTGGTAAAAATAAGTAGGAGAATGTTAAGGCTATAATAATTGTAAGGCCTTATTGCAAAATTCAAGTATGTATATTTAAGTCATTGAAATCATGAAAGAAGGTGCCTGTAATATAAAAACGTATTCGAGGGGAGAGGGTGAAATAACGGTGGTAGATTCCTCGGAAATTCTATTTATTTTATTGTTGTAAAATCAAGAGTCACATTTTACATTTTGACTGTGATATACCCGATGATGAATTTTTAATTCGAAACCGGTCGTATAATACACTTATCTCACAAAACTTCAGGCAACGGATTCATTTTTTTATTTATTATTTTTTATTTTTATATATACATTTTTTATTTATATATTTATTTACTATATTTATTGTTACAATTATACCTATTTGTAAATGTATTCCTATATATATAGGTACCTATATAGTTAAAGTGCTAGAACTAAAAAACTTATTAGTTATTCAATTTTACAAAATAATTAATATTCTACCAACAAAATCTCGAAAATTCCATTTTATATTACAAATTATGTTCGTCAATTATTATTTTATTTAACAACATACTTTCTTGTTAAATAAAATACGCTACAACAGATGAGAGAAACCTAACCCTTTATCATTCAAGATTCTCAGCATATTCAGATTTATTGACTATGAGTTAATTACACAATTATGTATATTAGGCTGCCACTTATTTTTGTAGTTGTTAATTTTGAAGAGCGCTGGCCGGGGATTTGTTCCAATGCATCTAAAAATAGTGTTTGAACAGTTTAAGGTTAATGGAACATAGTTAACACGTGGCGACTTAAGGTCAAAGTTTGACTAAAAAATGTTACATGTCACGGTTTGTCGCATAACTACTTAAAATTATATTTGACAAAAAATTATATAGAATCATTATTGTAGTTAAAATTAATTTCTAAAAAAAATGTATCTTTACATTTCATTGTACAGTTCACCCTTACCAATAAAAATAATNAAATATGTTATAAAAATACCTGGTAATATCTAGTTTATACGTTTAAATGTTTACGTTTAATATGTGTGATAAGCAACTTCTCATATAAATATTAAATAACAATATAATAATCAGTTTTAAATCTAAATTTAATCTTTATGTATCTAAACAATGGTAATAGTTGGGTTATTTTATATTTGAATCATACACAACTTAAAATCGATAGAGTACCTAGTATCATTTTAATTAGTTCGTAAACGTACGTCTATCGAGAATATTGAGTAATTAGCGTTGTTATATAGTATTATAGTATTAGTGTTGTTTTTTCTTGAAAAGTGCATTTATTTACATATTTAATATATACCATATCATATTCTTAAAAATGCCTAATCATGAACAAATTTTTCTTCTTGGTAATATGAAACATCAAATAACTGGTTCGAAATTACCGTCAATTAGTGACTATTTACGTTTTATTTTTTAATATGAGGATCTCTAAATTAAATTTGAATGATAGTGCCCTTCTTGTTGTTGATGAGTGTATAGTTTTTTGGAAGAAGGCCATAATTCCTATTAGAGATACTCACAAATGCAAAGATAAGTTAAAAAATATTTATAATAATTGGCGATAACTATTAAAAAACAAAAACAAAAAAAATGACAAATTCAAACAAAGAGAGTTACAGTTTTGTGGTACTTTAAATGATCTTTTTGATATTGCCCATCAAAACGCTTTGAATATTATAAATATTGAAGAAGACAGGCAGTTTTTACTCAGGCAAAGAGAAAAAGGTCGAGTAGGATCCATGCTTGGAATTGATAAAAAATTAACGAATTAACGAAAAAAATTAATCATTTATATTATTTAAATGAAGAGACGGTTGTGTTCTCATTATTTGATGAAAGAGTAAACAATAAAACTAAAATAATGATGACAAAAAAAATATTGAATCAAGTAATTCAAGACGGAGATTCGCAAAACGAAGATGATACACCAAAAAAATTAATATTAAAAAAAGAGATTTTGAAACAGTTTTTAGAAGACGATGATAATAACATTTTAGTTAAGCTTATTGGTGATAAATCAATAAAGTTTTTTGAAAAATTTAAAATTTCAACAGAATTTTTAAAATCNGAAGAGTTTAATGATAAAATTACAAAAGATGAAACCCAAAAACAGTTTATATTAAAGGTAAATATTAAAACCATTTTCTAGATAAGTAATATGTAAACAAAATTAAAGGTAGGTAATTATTTTTTTTATTATAGACCGTTCAAGATTACCGTAAAAAATATCCCAAAAATGCTACATTGGAAGTCATGAAGAAATCATTTAACGATTATTGAACAGTAGTTTGATAAGTATAAATCTAAATTGTATGTTAATATTTTATTTAAAAATATTTAATCATGTACCTATCAATGAAAAATAAAGTATATTTCCAAAATAACATTTTCATAAAACATGAGCTTCAACGTATATGTTTTATTTCACGGTTAAGAATTAATTTTACGAACAAATGTAAAGATACATTATTTTTAGGAAATTAATTGTCCTACAATAATGATTCTATACAATTTTTTTTAAAATAAAATTTTAAGTAGTTATGCAACAAACCGTGACATTTTACGTTTTTTCATAAAACTTTGAGCTTAAGTCGCCATGTGTTAACTATGTTTGATCGAGCTCAAACTTTACAGACTCTAATAATAGATGTATTGGAACAAATTTCCCGCCGGCGCCCTTCAAAATTTGACAAATAAATATCTTTCTATATAATTAACTGGCACCCTAATGTATATATTATTATAAGATAATAACATATAAGATAAGAAGTCTTTTTTATTTTGCTGCTCATTATATCCTGCATATAGCACTATAATAGGTACATCCTCTGCTTTTTTCACGACTACAGCACTGACTGAATTAAATTGAAATTGACGGATCTAAATATCGCATTCCTGGCGTCAAGCGTCATTTTCGTATACATTACGATAATTATTAGTGGCAAAGGGTGTTAGATTAAACGACCCACGGGTAGTATCATTGTAACGTTCGCGTCATCGTTTGTCAACATCGTACTAAACGACTGTTTTGTCGATGTGTTTTATTGGTGAGACAAAAAAACCAAAGAAAACAACCAGCGACGCGTGTATGTTATTTGCACGCGACTATCATAACAATACATAACATTATTATAATACCCGTACCTATTATGTATAATAATATTATTATGGGCAAAACCTGCATGAAAGGGATTATCGATATCAACGAAGACGGTTTGCAACAATACGTATATACGATTATAAAACAGAAAACGAAAATCTTTACATTTAAGTCAGTAGACAGAGGTAAACATATTTTTTTTTTAACCTATTATCACAGTTATCTGTGCCTAATATTAAAAATATGTTCCGTTGTTTCCAAATCGAGTTGTTTAACACCATCAAAGTTATTGTCGCCTGGCTTATTTAAACAATTTAAAAGTTATTTTTAATCTGTTTAAGTTTCATTTTTTAGATTCTGAGTGTAGCGAAGAATATATTGATTTTACAAAGATGTTTATTTTTTTTTTTTTTGAAAGGAAATTTTCTTGGGGTGGTAATTAAACAAATCATTTTTTTGATTTCCCTGGCAGTTTTTCTAATAAAAGAGAAAAAGTGGGGAAAAAAACGTAAGAAAAACAGGAAATTTAAGAAAATAATGCTTTTATTATTTGTTCAATTTTATAATTTGTTGTAATTTAGTACAAAATATTTGTACAGATTTAAAATTTAGAGATAAAACTTATGTTTGCCTTTTCTAGACATGGTGAAATTTTCAAAAAATTTGAGCAATTTTTAGGCTTTTTATAAAAACATTAATGTTTTTGTTGAAATTCAGTTAAAAATATTTTTATCGATTTATAGACTTGAAATTCAGACAAAAACTTATATTTACCTTTTCTAGACGTAGGAAAATTTTCAACAAATTTAAGCCATTTTTGAGCTATTTATGGACATTTGTGTTTTGTGAGTTTTATGCGTAATTTTTATTCAGTAGGTATTGTGTGGAAAAATTGTTAGGCTTAACAGAAATGCGTGAAAATTTAACAAGAGGTTCATTAAAAGTCTTACGTTGTGGTCAAAACAAAAAATGTAGTATTTTTTTTTATAGAGTAATTTTAGTATTCAATTTTGACGAAAATCATTAAAAGTAAAAGTTATGTGAAACAAATCTAATTTTTCAATGTTTTGTTATGAACATATGTATAGTGCCGATTAAAGAACGATGGTGAAATCAGAATTATGTAGACTAACTTTCAAAATTATAGCTTTTTAAAAATCTGATATCATGCGGCTATAATATTAAATAACTCTATATTGTCTTATAAAGAATATTTGTCGTAATTTAATGGTTGTACATGCCTATTACTATTCTACGGATCCTGAGTTTGACTCCGGGTTTTCGAACAAAATTGTTTGCATTTTTCAATGTTTGTATTAGACTTGGTGATTATTAAGTTTTGATTAGTGATATTTCTTACTTTTGTGTAATTTAAAATTTTTTTTTATTTTCTTTTGTATTTTTATATTCGACATTTTAATTATTTAAGAGTTAAAATTGTTAGTATTTTAAATAAATCAACTGTACAATAATTTTGATTAGAATTCTCTACATTAAGTAGTCCCAATATATTTTTGTAAACAGAATCCCACATAATTAGACCATATGATAGTATACATTTTATTATCGTCTATAATTAGGTATGTTATTCTAATTGTCTTTAGTATTGATGTCTAGAATAATTCGTAGTTCTCTAAATACATAAAAACATTTCCTTATAGTTTTATTACATTATCAATACGTGGAGCACATTTTTTAATGAATGTCAAAAATTATGCCTAAATATTTAATTGAATGTATTGTATTACAATACACAAATAGTTTATACTGTTTTCATGTAAACATTTATATATGTGAGATTTTCGAATAATTTCAATGGCAGAATTTAAATTAGTTAAGGAGAATTGGATAAGAACAGATTTATTATTATTTAACGATAAACTATTATTTGAAAACCGTTATTTATTATTACTAATCCTAAATTCGTCTTATTCATCTCAATTTTTTCGTTTAAAAAATAAAAATGTGTGATCTACAGCATTATTTGTCTGTTTGTCGGTTTTCTACCTGCAATATATAGTAGCTATAGTCTGTATATGTTAATTCCTAAATCTGTTCTGCTTCAATGTTTTTAAATTATATCACCTTATATTATTTATCGAATCTAACTGTAATCAACCCGTTTTTAATGTAATACGATCGTCAAGCCAATGTTACCTTTAAATGGAAACGGTGTGCGTATGTATTTTTAAATAGGAATAAATCCTTCAGTGAAAACGTTGTATAAGTGTGGTCTTTTATCTGATGAAACCATTTCTGTTTCGAGTCTATAGGAATCAGATTATTGTATGAAATTCGAAAATACATAAAAAGTATATTCTTTATTGTCGTAAAGACAGAGACGGTAAATTACAGTAATGTTCTCAGTGAAAAGTTATAAAACGGTAAAACGTTATAAATTTAAAAAGAAAACCTTTAAAGTAAAACGATATTATTGCTGTGATCGAAAACTTAAGGACCAGCGGCGTGGCAGGGCGGGACGGCTGAGTATTAAATCAGAGAAACGGTTCACCACGACTATACCTACTATTAATAAGCCGTATTCGTCTAAGTCCTTTGTTCGACTTGCTTTCACTTATTATTAAACTATTTTAAGTAACCGTAATCCTTTTAGCGAATTAAAAACACCTGAATATTTATCAAGATGGAAAAGTAAATAAATGCACGTCTTCGTGGGATATTTACTTTCCCAAGATGTATTCGTATTACATTAACTGCGGATTCCATTACGGCTCAATTTAACTCACGAATGACATTACAGCAATCGACAAATAAATAAAATCAATTTTAATTACATACCCATAACCAGTGGCATATCCGAGGAGGGGCTAAGGGGACTATAGCCTCCCTACGGACCGTATTTTCATAAAACACTGTAACGATACGTACATTATCCCACTGGTGGTGCGAGGCTAGTATTAGGTATACAGTCATAGGCGAGGAGGAATGGACGGTGAAATACTGACTATGGGTTTTAGGTGAGCGCCCGGAGGCCGGCGATAGGAACACGACAGTGAGTGTCACGAGTCGAGCAGTATAGTGCGTACTGTTGAGAACATTATCCTAAGGAGAAGCGGCCATCATTTGGATATCACAGGCCGCCATCACGGACTTCAGTTATCCCTCGACTAAACATCCTCTCAAGGTGTACTTGTACAAACTAGTAATATAAGATCATTAAAATTATTTAAATATTGTCTTGTTTTGTGGTAACACCACAAGAGTTACCTAGGTCCGTTACATAATTATCACACACCGAGATCGAGTCCCCGAGACTTCGTAAATATAAACAGAGCATTAAGTACAGAGCACCGGGAGGACGTTACAACACCACTTATATTTTACGACTTAAGTATTAACAATAATTGAACAATTATATTGTCATATTTATCACTTAACAATAGACATTAGACATTTTATTAGCATATCTCAAACTTATCATTATTTTTTACATAATATTTTCTTGTGGATTTTGTGTCACATATTATTAAAATCGTGAATATCACTATCTTTATTAATTAATGTTGTATGTAGTTTATTGTGTTAACCGATGAATTTAAAATTTGAATATGAACTATATTAAAATATTTCTGCAATTGTTTTCTGTGTTGCTAGTTATTTTCTTCCACTTCAGATAGAACATTTACATAAGAATATGATGAAAACTTAGTTAAGGGGAGAACCATATTTAAATCAACTAATTGGATAAGCTTTGGCTAATATTATTAGAAAAATATGAATGAAAAAGAAATAATAACAGCATTTGCTAAAAATTCTCCAAGGAGAATGCAGTTCTCCTAAGTGGAGCAAGTAAATATTGTTATTATCTATTATATTTATCATTTTATAAAAATATTATTATTATTAAAAACAAATTTTGACTGCATATTGACGAAAATATGCTTGTATAATTGTATGTATGGGGAAAGGGGGGATGAACTTAATTAAAAATTGTTTAACCCCTCCAATAAAAAATCAACACTGTGACTACATATAATACGACTATATATATATATAATATTTTGAACGTCACGTCGTGTGTTACAATCAATTTTATCAACGGAATTCAAAATTAAAGACCCATGCGTTCAGATTTCTACCTCCACGGTTTTTACTCGTATACCCTGTGTAGAAATACACCTGAGTATTTTAATTGAGCGGTTGAGTCCATTCGTTACCATTTTTCACATATTATAGGCAACTACAAGTGTTTCACTTAAATGGCCACATGAAATATTTCAGCCGAATGAACTTTGATGAATACCTACAATTTGTTTTCTACCTCACAAATTGATGGAATACAGCTATTTCAATCTTATTAATAAAAAAAAAATGATTATTTATTGAGTTTTTAAAAATTAAAAACGCGTGATTTTTCAAAAATTGAAGAAATTCGACAAGAGTGTCATAGAAAAAAATTATATGTAAAAATAATGTATATACGTTTTAAATATTTTGAAAAGTCTAAAAGAATTCGTATCGAGGGTTAAAATATTGAAATCAGTCTCAAAATGTGTTATTTAGAACCACCATGATCACTTTAAATAACCAACATTTCTTAATTTAAGGCCACCCGGTTGAATGGATTTCGTGTTTAATCGAAACGCGCTGTATAATACACGACCAAAATTATACGCTTTCTGTCAGAGATGATACGTGCTTTTTTTCCCCACACGCAAATCGTATGCAAATACAATACCTATTATAATAATATATGTGTATATTGTATATTATATATACTGCCAACACGCCGGCACATTTTGAATTGTACTCACGTATCATAATTTTTTAACATTTTCGTTTTTATACATATTTTTTTTTAGTCGCTCGAGGAAAACCGATACTATATAATATTACTTAACCGTTCGCGTATTGCGGTAAAAATCGAGTGCGTGCAATAAAATATATCAGGTGTCCCACGGTGATATGATCAATGCAACATCCAGTGGCGTAACTGCGGAAAAATCTAGGGGGGCAAACAAATTTATTTGCCATGATCGAAACCCTGAGTTTCCTCAGTTTAAATATATTTTTATTGTGTGTTATACACAGTATACCTAATTGTTTGGTTTTACACAAGTTTTAAAATTCATTTGATGGTTTAAAATGTAGATAGAAACAAATTGTATATAGTAGGTACTAGGAACCAATATTGTTCAGAGTGTAATTTGTTATTGATCTAAAAATAACCACCGATTCCTGTAGTCATAATCACGATTTCAAGATAATAATATTGTATTCATACAATGTAATATTATTATTGGATTATTTTTGTTCCTAACCCAACTAATGTGATTGTCGCAATAATATATAAAACAAAAGAAACCCAAAATAAATGTTAACTTCTATGAAAAATTTGAGGTAAAAATATTTTAATCTGATAAGTCCATATTATGTTATATTATATTCTTTCTCAACTTATGATGATTCGAATATTTGTTCTGTCGGATTATCAGAGTAGGGGGAGGGCAAAATGATACCTTTGTTCCACACAACATTTTTAGGGGAGGAAGTGCCCCACTTGCGCCCCACAATTACTTCTCTGGCGATATCTTAGAATATATTCACTTTTTTAGAATTTTTTTCTACAATTTATGAATAAGTAGTTTTAAAATGTAACAATACCATTATTTTTTGTCATTCTTATTTTTAACGGTATATATATATATATAAGCATATGGCTTCGGCATAATTAAATAAATAAATAAACAAAACAGGATAAATAAATAGATAAATAGATAAATAAATAAATAATAATAGCAATAATAAATAAATTTTTAACGGTAATAACCGAATACTTAATTTTGATTTTCAAATGTACTAAAAATGTCATGAATAAATTAAACTATAAAATCATTTTTGATTTCAGTCAACTCGTTGATAAGATGTTCAACTTTTAAGTTGAGGTGGAAAGGGAATAGTAGAGCATCAATTGTGTGGTAACACTGTTTGCGGTATTTGAATAGTTTCACAACAATATGTATTTAAACTGAATGCACCGTATAAGTATCGATCAAAAGTAGGTTCACCCTCAAAAATTAAGGCGAAAAATAATAATGGTAGTGTAACACATATTTAAGAGCTACTCGTTTCTTAAATTATAAAAAAAAAAATTACGAAAAAAGTTAATATTTTCCATGAGATTCCCAATAATCATTAACCCTCGTGAGATACCCTGTATGGCTGTATACGAATATACGACGTATAGAATATAGCGTTAATATCCTGCGAACGGCGAATGGCTGAAAATGTTCATTGTAAAAGTTTATATGAGGCGCCGCCAAGTTCACACCGTATTATAATTCACTTCTGTCGAAGTAATTATAACACCGCGTCTTTGATAAAACTTTCTTATAGGCCGGTATGATGCGAACAATGAAAGGAGAGATTCGCGCCGAAAATTATTTATATATATAATATAATAATACCTACATGAAACAGTGCAATACGATATTATTATAGAATAATGTTGTGTAATACAATTATTATTTTAATTATTATTGCATGCGTTTATGTGACGGGAATTATAGTTGTGTGTATGGTAATATAATGAGGATCTAAAGAAAAAAATATCTTATACTGCTGATGGGCATGCCACTGTTGAAGGTTAGTAGTTGGGAAGGCTAGATACATAAATTTATATTTTATTTTATACACCTGTAAACAATAATAAACCGTTACTCACGAAAAACTATTCAGTGCGAATTTCGAGTATACGTGTTTTGAAAGACCGTAATATTTACGTTTTTCGTCAAAATTTGATTTTGAAACTCATAAAAAAATAAATATATTTTACATAATAATAGTATTTTATACTACATTATACACATTTTTTTTGTTGAGCACTAAGCACGGCTAATTATAATGAATATTCTGTCATATTTTCTAGGATTTCTGTTTAGTCTAACAAATGTATCCACAGATTACCTACCAATAAAAAATTATGTAAGAACTAGCAAAATTAAAATATCCGTAAGTAGCTCAAAAATGGCACAAATGCTTTGAACATTTCACCAAAAAAATAAACATCATTGTAAAATGTATGCGTTCCTCGCAAGAATTCGAATCTAAAACACATATATCAAGTAAAACTAATACAGATAATATACCTATATTTCAAAAAATTGAATATTATATGTTTTTTAAAACTATAATTGTTTCAGTAGGCATAACGATAACTAAAGTGGTTTTGCTGTTTACCAAGTATCATACACATTTTCACTTTGCCTCAGTCATGAAAAAAAAACCTATTATAATCTTGACCTATGAAACCACATTACATTTGTTATTAATTGGTGTTAAGTTAAATTAGGTTTAAAGTAGTTATTATGTATATTATGATTAGTCAAACATGAAGTTGTCAACTTTACCCTACATTACCATACATTTAATATGGTAATGTGAGGCGCTTTTCACGTCTATATTTTACATAAATTAGTGGTAAACACTCAGTTAGTAATAATTGTGGTACTAATTTTTTAGAGGAATTTATTGGTTTTACAATGGTGTTTATTATTTATTTTTTTCTGTGGTCGACTTTTCTACTAGCAATTTTACAATGATACCACTTTTTCTGAAAGGAAATCTAACCGGAGAGGTACTTTAAAGTGATCATTTTTTTGATTTTCTCATGAGTTTTCCCAATAAACAGGAAAAACCGGAGAAAAACCATTAGTAAACCGGAAAAAAACCTAGGAAAAACGAGAAAATAGGTAAAATATTAAACAAATATTATTAAAGAAAATATATAATGCATATATAATTATTTTACCATAATATTACCATAGATCCCTTACATATAAAAAGCACTGCGAAAATGTGAAATCAGCGCATGAAAAACTTACTTAGAAAACTTGTAGGATCAAATTAAGGAGCAAATACCGATGTCCTCCGTACTTACATACTTCTCCATAGGAGAGTATGCAAGCCCTATATGGTATAGATCCAACCACATGAAAAAGTTGGTCCATTCAGTGACGTGCCACTGAATGAATCCTGCCATTTGATCACTGAAGAGTACACCTTCCCACAAAGTCTTCCCAATCGCAGTTATCACACCTCCAAACATCCGACGTACAATTAATACATACATAGAAAAATCCAAACTCGATGGATTGCTAGAAACTAACAGTAGGTCATATTGAAGAAGATCAGATTATACCAGTAGAACACCTTTTTGCAGGATATAACCTCAATTGGCCAGCCTGGAGAACACTTAATAGATTAAGAACGGGAGTAGGTAGATCAAAAGTAAATTCAAAGAAGTAGGGCGAAATACAAGGAGACACAAAATGTGACTGTGGAGATGAACATACCATGATCCTATTGATATAAGCCACCTATTAATTTGCCCAAACTGTCCTACAACATTCACCACTGCGGATCTCCCAAAAGTGACAAAAGATGAAATTAGAGTGGTGAAACATTGGGAAAATGAAATTTAATAGTTAGCAACCAACACAACCAAATATCACCTTATTTACATACCTAGTATTAGAATAGCCAACGTATTTGTGATTTATATATATTTTATTTTATTTTTAACTAATTTTGACTTCATTATGACTCATGTTTATGTTTATATTTATATGAAAACTTGTGTTTATATAAAATACCTATATTTGTATAAAAATGTGGTTGTTTGACAAGAATATAATAATAACCATAATATGACACATATATTGTGATAAAGCAACACTATCAACCGAATTTCGCTCAGAATCATTTCTTCGTTAACAATGGATAATCGTTGCGTACAGCTATATTTAGTTTCCTTTCTACTACCTTCCAAAATTCTCACCTACAACAGCGACCCACCAACGTGTGGATTATGTCTGTCTTTATAAATTCTGAGAGTGGCGAAAAATGTATTGGTCTTACTAAAATGTTCATTTTTTTTTTTACTCTGGGTACAAAAATTCGATCATAAATCTTGCTCAAACATATACGCGCGGTACTATTTTTGAAAGGGAATGTTGTCTAGATGGTACTCTTTTTTGATTTTCTAAGCGATTTTCATAATTCCTGGAAAAAACCAGAATAAAACGGGAAATTTAAGAAAGTAATGCTTTTATTTTTTTTTCAATTTTGTTATTTGTTGTAAGTTAGAAATATTCGTAAAAACTTGAAATTTTAACAAAACATTTTCTAAACGTGGTAAAATGTTCAACAAATTTAAGCCATTTTCGAGCTATATATAGACATTTTAATTTTACGAGTTTTGTACGTAATTTTTATTCGGTAGGTAGTCTGTAGAAATAATGTTCGACTTAACCGTAATGATTGAAAATTTCACAATAGGTTTATTAAATCTTACTTTGTGGTAAAAAAAAAAAAATTGAGTTAAATGTAGTATTTGTTTTTATGAAGGAATTTTGATACTACATTTTGACGAAAATTGTTTGAGTAAAAAATTATGTGGAATAAATTTAATTTTTCAATTTTTTGTCGAATATATGTGTATTTCCGATTGAGAAAGAATGGTAAAGTCAGAACTAAACGGACTGACTAAATTTCGAAATTATATCTTTTTGAAGTTCAGATATTATACAGATATTACATGTCTATGTACAATAATTCTGTATTGACTTCTTTACTATACGTTTATTGTAGTAGAATGGTCATTAATACGTATTATCATACTAAGGGTCGCGGCTTCTCGAACTCGGGGTTTGGAAGGAAATTTTTGCATTTTATTTCCCCTTTTACTTAAATAGGGAAAAAACAAATGCATTTTAAGTTTACCTAGAGACCTAGCTATCGCTCGCTTGGACGATTATAATCGAAAAATACCCCTCGATTTGTTGTGCAAACTTTTCTACCAGAAACCTTGCTCCCAGGTGTAGCTTATTTTCTGAAAGAAAATTTTATATCCGTAGTTTAGGGTGGTCTTTTTTATGATTTTTTAATCGGTTTTTATAATAACTGAAAAAAACCGGAATAAAATGTCGGAAAAACGGAAAATGTACGAAATGTAAATATTAGTAAAAACATATTATGGCCTTCTTTTTCCGTGTACAATTTTTCTACTAGCAATTTTGCTCAGATTTACAATAATAGCACTTTTTCTTAAAGTAAATCTAACTGGGAAGGTACTTTAGGGAGGACATTTTTCGATTTTTTTAAGAGTTTTCTAAACAAATGTGATAACCCGGGAAAAAACATGGGAAAATCGATATAATATAAAACAAATATTATTAAAGAAAATATATAATGTCTATTTAATTATTTTACCAAAATATGACACATATATTGTTAACAAAGTATCACATCAACTGAACTGCGTTTGAAATCGTTTTTTCGTTAGCAATGGTTTATCGTTGCTTACAAATATAAATTAAATTATTTATAAGAGAAGCTGCACCCATCTACATTAACCCTAGGACATTTTTTTTTTCATTATTTCATATTTACCGAAAGCATCTGCCTCGTGCTTAATAATGTATATAATTATTGTTGTTATTTACTAGACAGGATTTTGAGGATTGTATGCAACAGTCAAATTTTCCATGAAATATTTATTTGTTCAAATAATGACTCATGGAAAAGTTTTTCAGTATCATAACATATTCTAAAATATTACACTATCCTTATTCTGTTTACCCTTAATTATGAGAGTGAAACCACTATCTAATTTTGATTTTCAAATAGAAACCTATTTTTAAAAGTCCATAAATAGATTGAGTTAAAATAAATTTTGGTATTGAAATTTTTAATTTTTGTCAAGCCGTTAACGAGATATACTATATTTAATTTTAGGTTGGAGGACAGTAGTGATGTATTATTAACATGCCGCGCGCCGTACAACCATACTAATGATACTCCACTACTCTCCTACAACCTAAACTTAAAATTGAAATTTCTCATCAACGGATCAATGGAAATCAAAAATGTCAACAAAAAATGTATTTTAACTAATACTACATCTATTTATGGAATTTATAATATAGGTTGCCATTTTAAAATCAAAAGTAGGTAGTGGTTTTACCCCCGAAAATAAGGGTGACAAAAAATAACACAAATATAAAATTATGGAGCAGCTTGTTTCTTAAATTTTCTAGAAAACAAATTCCGGAAAAAGTTAATACTTTCCGAAATAATGAGTGTATCCACTTAAATGAATCACCTAGTACTTTGTTATTATGATCATATATAAGTAGGTTTACTCGAAAAAATATTTTTACAAAGATTTATTATTATTTACTTTTTAGTAAATTATAACGCTTACGAATTCACTCCAATAAACTTGAAGTTAAAAAGAATTCACATTGTGGTGATGTGAGACTGTGGTGGTTTCTTTCGTGTCAACTTAACTTGGTTCTAATTTTTAAATGCTAAAACCATTTGATTTTACCGGTTTTGATGGTTTTTTTTTTTTTTATTATTATTGCGATAAAGAAACTTCGAAATATGTATAAACTGACCATGTAACATGTAAATATATATTCGATTTTGCACGTATTCTGATTCCGAGAATTCAATATACAACTTTTTTAATACTGACCTAAACATTTTTTTTTTTAAACCTCGAGGGATTTTGCCCTCTACCTTTTTCAAGATTATAGTTTAAACGGTGATATATATATTTTACTCGATCTGTAATATAGTCACTATATTATAATACCAAAAATATCTTATTTATTATTTCTCCCTTGAATACATATTGTACCATAGTAGATACTTAAGTTAAAGGCGTTTAAATATATATTATTTTAGTTTTTTTTGTTTCTTTTTCATATATCGCACCTAAGCAGATTTAAAAGAATATTGAAATCGTTTGAATAGGTAGCTATTGAACTATTGATACAACTGCAACAGACACGATACGAATAACTATAGTCTCTTATGCCTTTCGTCGTACCATATTATATTCATATCATATTAAAGAATAATGTTATTTAAAATTTAAACGTATACGCGGTTTTCAGGAGTATTTTTTTTTTTTGGAGCGGTACATTCCACCCATTCTCTATAATCTTTTTGTTTCGTATAGCATTTTTCATATTCAAGACGTTGCGCACGAAATTCTTTATTTAACGCAATGTAACACCAGACACGTTGAACCCGGTGTATGTGCAAAACAGTATATTATTATTATATTGTTGTCCCGCAAACTATATATTATTTTATTTCACGCGCATATACAGTATTCATGTTATAAACAATAATACTTGTGTAGCTGTCTTGAGAAAATATATATCGATTCGATTAGATATTACACCGTATATGGATTACAAAAATCTAATAACCTAACAATCACAAAAAGATGAGAAAAAAAATCCTTAACATAATGATTAGAAAATGGCACATTCTCCAACACTTCAAAAGACGAAATGAAAAGCCATTATAATATAATCATATATCTTATATTTAACCTTATCACCGAAAAAATTCAACTCAGATACAGCGATAATCGTAACACTAATATAACCATTCAACACATAATTTAAGAATGTCTATAACATCAAAATATAATAAACAACTCGATATTTTCTTAGAATTCATACTGAAAGAATTTATCCAGAATAGGGAAATTTTATCAAATCTGGCAACGCTGATATTGAAATGGTAAAGCGTTTTCCCCTGTCATCTCAGAGAAATCATACGTATTTATCGTTATAAAATTCGGTGTTTTTAAAACTACATGAATCGGACGTAATATACTATTATCTTATGTACAAATAATATTACACGCAGTGGTGTATTGCTAAAATAAACCGTACGTATACGGTTTATTAAGGTTAAGGTATACCTTATTCACGTATATAGATAGATATATATATATATGGATATATAAAGGTAGGGTTCAAAAAATGTTTTTTCGCCTCGCTCGGACAATGGTTCTTTTAATTTCTAAGTGGAGCAAAGAAGCTTATGGTTTTACAAACATATGTATTGATTTATTTTTTTTTATCTATGCACAACTTTTTTACCAAAAATCTTGTTCCGATTTACAATGGTAGCATATTTTCTGAAAGAAAATCGGACTGGGGAGGTATTCTATGGAGATCATTTTTCAATTTTCTCATCAAATGAGAAAAACCGAAAAAAATCGAAGAAAAACAGGAAAATGTACGAAATATATTATTAAAATATTAAGTATAATATTATCATCATTTAACACTCAATGCGTTATCACAATAATAATACAAAATTATATTAAATATTATGATAAATGACAGAAGGTCAACCGAAGTTCTCCCAACAACAAATTACTTTATGGATTATTTGATTATAAATGCTTGATATAAGACTGATAACAAAACCTTAATTTCTAAATTATAATATTTTTTCGTAAAAAAAAAAAATTAATTTTCGTGTTACGTGTTATGTCCTTGTATTATAATTCGTGCTCATCAAAATTTATTTTACAATAATTTATATAAATATATAATTGGTATTTATAATTGCCATATAGGATACATGGCAGATATGGCTGTGTACCCGCACACCATCAATTTGTCATAAGCTATACTCCATAGATAAAAATAGCGTATTGGATATACGCCGTATAACCCCGTATACTCCCCAAATACACCACTGTAATTCTTTTAACTCAAAAGACGTCTGTTACATTGTAGTATGAATGCTACATGCGATATATCTATGATCTATCCTGATAAAATGCGCATGATGAAAATTATATAACAATACAATTCGTAACCCGTCGACATTTCCTTAATAGTTAAAATATATTGTAATTGTACGCTGGTACTTTTGATACTTGTTTAGTTATATATAGGTACTCTGGTTATAACGTTAACTTTTAAAATATATAAATAATCGGGTGATCGGTATTCGGTATACGAGTATAATATAGGTATAATACATATAGTAATGGTGAATTGAAAATATTGAATATAAAAAAAAAACAAATTGTGTAAAATTTAAAGACTCAGGACAAAAAAAAAACGTCCTAGGATAATAGAGACAGGTGCAGCCACTGTTATAGGTAATTTAATGCATATCTGTAAGCAACGATAAACCATTGCTAACAAAAAAAGGATTCTGAGCGCAGTTCAGTTGATAGTAATGCTTTGTCAACAATATATATGTAATATTATAGTTAAATAATTGAATAGGTATTTTTTCTTTATCAATGTTTGTTTAAATATTATACCGATTTTCCCGTTTTCCTTGCGTTGTTCCCGGTTTTTTACATTTGCTAGGAAAACTCTTGGGAAAATCGAAAAATGACCTCCCTAAGGAATACCTTTCCAGTCAGATTTCCTTTAAGAAAAAGTGCTATCATTTTAAATTGAAAAGAAATTGCAGGTACAAAATATTGCACAACAAATCTAGGGGTATTTTACGATTAAAATAGTTCAAGTGATTGATGGCTTGGATCTCTAAGTACACCCAAAATTTATTTATTTTTTCTTGTTTAGATAAAAGGGAAAAAAATATTTTGCATTTTTGGTCGAAACACTGGTTTGAACTCGAAAGCCTTAGGATGAAAATAGGCATAAATAACCATTAAATCACGACAAATATGCTTGAAAATATACAATATAGAGTTATTTAACAAAGTATATAATATCCGCATAATATCAGAGATTCAGAAAGTTATAATCTTGAAACTAAGTCAGTCCGCTTAATTCTAATTTTTTCATTGTTTTTAAATCGACAATATACATGTGTTCAAAAAAAAAATTAATTAGAATGTTTTACTCAACGATTTTTGTCAAAATTTTATATTAAAATTCCCTTATAAAAAAAAATACTGCATTAAATTAAATTTTTTTTGACCATAAAGTAAAACTCATAATGAACTTCCCATTAAATTTTCTAGCATTTCTGTTCAAGTCTAATAATTTTTTTACAGTATAACTATCGAATAAAAATTATGTACATAACTTGCAAAATTAAAAATTGTATAAAAAGCTTAAAAATGGCTCAAATGTTTTCAAAGTTTGGCCACATCTAGAAAAGGCAAATATAAGTTTTATGTCCAAATTTCAAGTTTCTATGAATATTTTTAACTGAATTACAATAAATAATAAAACTGAAAAAAAAAATAAAAGCATTATTTTCTTTAATTTCCCGTTTTTCTTACGTTTATTTAGGTTTTTCCCAGATATTATGAAAACTGTTTGGAAAATCAAAAAATGTAGGCCCAAAAGTATCATCTGGACAACATTCCCTTTTAGAAATGGTGCCGTGCGTATATATCTGAGCAAGATCTTTGGTCGAATTTTTGTACACAGTTTAATATTGTAACGTAACGCAATGAAAATATACTCAGAGAAATATACAGGGAGGATCACGTTTCACGATGTAAACCCAAATCAACTCGAAATCAAAAAATTATCTCCCTTTTTCCTTTTAGAAAATGTATTATTATTGTAATCATAGTCAAATTTTAAGTAGAAAAGTTTTTCACAAGCAAAAAAAAGCCGTAATATTTTTTAACTAATACCTACATTTTATATATTTTCCCGTTTTTTTTCCGGTTTTCCGAAATATATTTGCTCACTCGGAATCTAAAATAAACATCTTTGTAAAAACAATACATTCCTCATTCCGCTTAGAATCTAAAATCTAAAATGAAATATTTTAACGACTACATTTCAGCTGGGGGAAATTCTATTTTAGTGACGGAGCTTTATTATTCAAGAGTGACTTTTTTGTTTTTTAAGTACTCTCAATAGTTTTATATTTTTTTTAAAATTCCCGGATAGGCGTGGGTGGACAACTTCCCCGAGTATAGTTATGTGTTACAGATTTTTGTAAAATGTCAAATTAGAAAATAAAGAGTGGAATAAAATAACTTATGAGTTAGGTTTCAACCTTCGAAAAGTCGCCAATACTAATACTTATAGCGTTATACAATCAAACTAACTTAGGTGACAATAGCGTTTTCGAATGACATCTGATTATTATCGCGCTATTTTCTATTACAGTTCTATCTATTGTATCAATGCTATATTCCTAATGTGTCAAACAAGTGAATTATATTATCAACCTACTTATATATTTGTTTAAAACTTACCGTATCCATCAATATTATTATCGACTTAAACTATTGAACCGTACAGGAACTCTGAGCACTTAATATTGCAGTTATTTATCTAATCGTTATGTAATACGAAAATCAATGTGTAGTGCTTTTCTATATTATTATAATACGCGAATCACTATAGTTTACGAAGAAACCATTGAAACTGTATAAATCGCATCGAAATAACGATTCATTTATCGTCGAGACCTGTCTAAAGTGAGTCGGCGTTTCTAATACATCATCTAGGTATATTATTATAATAGCGTGAAACTTCGGACGAAGGCCATTCTGTCACACAAAAGTTTCACTGTATGTAGTGCATATACCAGCTTGATGTAAAAAGAAACGCCCTCAAAGCTTAAAAATATCTTCGAAAAAAAAAGAAAAAAGAAAACATGTTCGTAAGGTATACGGGCTTTGTATTTCTCATCTTGATAATATTAAGAACCGATGCGTAAAGGTACTAACGCGTGATTGATCCGTCAGAAACGTTCCTATATTTAGGTTATATAACGTGAGTTGAAAAAAAATTGAATATTTTATTTTATTTTTAAATTCTGAGCTCCGGAATTAAGATTTAAAATAAAAAAAATCCATACATATTATATTAAATATGTTAGAGAACATAAACCGTATAAATTTGAAATAATGAAATCGTAACCCCGTAAATTTGGAAAACGTTGTATATTTCGTCTTTTTTTGATTTTTCTCAATTATTATAAAAAATACTTTAGATATCAAAAATCAACTTTCTTTATGTTCTTCTTTTCCAGTGGCTATGTGTTAAAAGAAACAAATTCGATCGCTTGTCATTAAATAATTAAACCAGAATGCTGCGTTGCCGTAATTATTTATCAATTTAACTTTTTTCGTTTTTCCCAAATATTAGGAAAACGACTTTGAATATCAAAAAACGACTTTTTCTGCCAGCGGCACAATTTTATAAAAAAAACAAAATTGACATACTGTCATTTTTGGATTGGAGCAATATTTCTGATAGAAAAATCGTGTTAACATAATAAAAACAATGAAAACAGTAACGTCACGTTATGACGAGCCGTAAATATTTTCCATTTTACCTATAATTTTCATTAGGTTTTTCTCGATTATTTCAAAAACCCCTTGGAAAATCAAAAAATGACCTATTAATGAATCGATGAGAGAAAATTATCTACCAGAAAAGGTGTTATAGTATATACTTTGGAGCAACTTTTCTATTAGAAAAGTTGTTCTCAGACAAAAAAAAAACCACACACGTCATATCAAAACTAATAGATCCTTCCGAATCTATATAAAATAAACAAACATCATTGTAAAACCTGTTATCTACACATGTATTTTACACTTGTATCAATCCATACAGATATGAATATTGTAAATCAATATTATTATAATAATGTTTTGTATAATATATATAATATTATGGAGTTATGATAGTGTCTATAAACGCGGTCGTAAGCATTATTATATAGGGTTAGGTTAGGTTAGGTTAGATGCAAATGACCTCCCCAAGTTACCATGAAGATTAAATTTACTATAAGAAAATAAGCTACACTTAATACATCGGAACAAGATTGTTAGAAAAGTTTGCACAACAAATCGAGGGGTAATTTGCAATTAAAATAGTCCGATTGAGCAATGGCTTGGGTCTCTAGGTATACCCAAAATGCATTTGTTTTTCCTGTTTAGGTAAAATGGGAAAAATGAAAAAAATTTTTATTTTTTTTGAAGCACGGGTTCGAACTAGTGAACTCTAGGGTTGAAATAGATAGGTATAAACATTACGACATATATATATTATCACGACAAATATACTTTAAAAGAGATAATATTTCGTTATTTTACATAACATAATATCCGCATAATATCAGAACTTTAAAAAGCTATAATTTCGAAACTTTAAATCGACAATATACATATGTTCAAAAAAAAAAAAAAAATTGAAAAATTAGATTTATTCCACATAATGTTTTACTAAACATTTTTGTCAAAATTTGATATTAAAATTCCTCTATAAAAATAATCCTACATAAAACTCAATTTTTCTTTATTTGACTACAAATTAAGAGTTTTAAAAAATATCTGGTTAAATTTTCGGGCATTTCTATTAAGTCTATTTTATTACAGAGTACCTACCGAATAAAAATTACATACAAAACTCTCAAAATTTAAATGTCTATGAATAGCTCAAAAATGTCTTAAATTTTTTGAAAATTTTACTACATCTAGAAAAAGCAAATATAAGTTTTCTGTTCAAATTTTAAGTCCCTACGAATATTTTTTACTGAATTACAACAAATAACAAAATTTAAAAATAATAAAAGCATTATTTTCATGAACTTTCGTTTTTCTTACGTTTTATCCTGGTTTTTCCCAGACATTATGAAAACCACATGGAAAATTAATTAATGAACTCTCAAAAGTACCACCTGGACAACATTCCCTTTCAGAAATAGTGACGCACTGTTTCCTATTATAAATGTATGAACAAGATTTCTGGTCGAATTTTCGTACATAATATAAAAAAAGAAACATCTTAGTAAAACCCATACATTATTCGCTACATTCAGAATCTAAAACTATATTTATGTGTAACAACTAGTATAAATTAAAATTAAGTGAAGTGAATGCAACAGCGAAGTGTATCAAATCTAAACAAGTATCATAAATTATACATTAATAGATTAGGGCAGAAAATCAGAGGGAGCATTATTATGGAAAATCAGCATTCGGTGTAAAGGATGGTTAAAACCATAAATGGTAGAGTGAGGAGGAATATAGAAAAGAACATGGTTTCTAGTACTATGAGAGGGGACACGTAGTTTTATATCAGATAAAATTTCTGGAACATCAAGGGAGCAATTTAGAACAGCGAACCAGTACTGAATGAGTACACGAATTTTTCTATCTATAATACTGGTAAAAATATATTGAGCAAAAATTTACCGTGTTGTACAATATAATATTTATTGTGCGTTTGAATACACTTTGAAAGTATAACATCATTCACTGTTTAATGAATCGTTTATTTTGAGTTATTGATCATTAAATTGTATAAAATAAGTAAAATACGAGAAGGTAAAAACGCTTTTGCTTTTATATTTTCATGCACACACTTGACATAAGGTAGGTACCCTAAATCGTAAACCACTCGTTAAAAATTTAAAAAGAACATAGCATACGTTGTAAGTAACAGATATTACAATATTATTTCAAATCAAACGACTGTACAAATGTACAAAGGGATTCTTTTATAATAAACCAGCAATTTTCTAAGAAGATTTTAAGTGACTTTGCTTTCTGTTTTAGATTCTGAGCAGAGTGAGGAATGTGTTGGTTTTTTGCGTGCCAATTTTAGTAATGCGAAACAAATAATTTAATAAATAGAAACTTAAATGTAGTTTATGAATAAATGATTTTATTGCAATTTACTTTAGTCAAATTAAATATAACTATTAATTATATTGAAGTTCTATAATAAAACGCGTGGTGTTTACATCCAGCGTGAAAGTGTTTGCTTAAAACTAAGTCCGACACGTCTACTGAGAGTCCATTTCAGACTCCCTTTTATGTGGCTTAATCGTCATGATCGACTAACTATTAGTGACTTTGTAATTTACCGGATTCGTCTAGAATTAGGTTTATCACCCGGGTCAATTAAGCATCACGCGATTGTTCATGCGTGCAACCCTATAAAATAATGCTTACGACCGCGTTTATAGACACTATCATAACTCCATAATATTATATATATTATACAAAACGTTATTATATGAATATTGATTTACAATATTCATATCTGCATGGATTGGCACAAGTGTAAAATACATGTGTAGATAAGAATATGCACCATACGTAACAGGTTTTACAATGATGTTTGTTTATTTTATATAGATTCGGAAGGATCCATTAGTTTTGCTATGACATGTGTGGGTTTTTTTTTCTGTCTGAGAACAACTTTTCTATCAGAAAAGTTACTTCGAAGTATATACAATAACACCTTTTCTGGCAGATAATTTTCTCTCATCGGTTCATTAAGAAGTCATATTTTGATTTTCCAAGGAGTTTTCCCAGCAAATGTGAAAAACGCAAGGAAAATGGGAAAATCGGTACAATATTAAACAAATATTATTAAAGAAAAAATATAATGCCTATTTACTATAATATGACATATATATTGTTGACAAAACATCACTATCAACTGAACCGTGCTCAGAATCGTTTTTTCATTAACAGTGGTTTTTCGTTAATTACAGATATACATTAAATTACCAATAACAGTGGCTGCACCCGACCCCATTATCCTGGAGCGCCTTTTTTGTATTTGTATTTACCTACACAATTGGCGCTTGGCGTTAATTCAATAAATAAATAAATATAACTGTTGTTCAGAGGGTTTAAAAACAAATCTAATTTACTTCTTGATTTTGTATATTATACAAATGTACGGGTTTATGTATCGCGATGGCGAACATTATTCGACTACATAAATGTTTATCAACCTGGTGACGTGATTCATGGAAAACGATACCGCGCGCGTAACTGCGCGTATAATTTTATAAGAAGATACACGCACCTAATACCTACTAACTGTATTGCGAACAACATTGCAAACCGGACGCGGCACGAAGAATAATAATAGCGGTTTGTGTGTACAACAATAGCCGGATTAAAATTTACGGGCGAAATTCGGTATATTTATGAGGCAAAACTGCAGGATCTGGCGGCCGGGTCCCGTGTTCCGCGGGACCTCTTGTTCTGCAGGCGTAAATGCCGAATCTAACAAAATAATGCCATTGATTCGGCAGAGGGTCACCGGTATGTGTGAGTGTGAGTGTTTCTGCGCGTATTGACACGTGTGTGTTTGCGTGCGTCGTGACTTGTAGCGGTAATATGAATAAAATAGACTAGAGAAAATAATACCGCCGTCGTCGTCCATTAGGATTTGGTGTATACCGTCACGTGCATTATTCATCGACAACGACGTAAGCAAATGCCGGATTCGGTACCTACCATTATCGGCCTCGGGCGGCAAATATATACTATTTCTATAATAATATATCGTCGTAATATAATATATTAGAAGTATAGGGATTTTTTTCACCCCGACTCGTTTTCTCGCAAAACACGATAAAACACTCGTGTATCTCGACACCGTATATTCGGAACCGACGGTGGCTATGCAGTGACGCTATTGTCTTCTCCTCGCTATTCGCTTTTATCCCCGGCTGCGATCCGGGGTCGGTTATTCTCTTTTTAGTCTTCCGCTTTTCCACATCCATCACCATTACCCTGATCCGTGACACCAGCCCTCGTAACTTGCCTAATCAAACCCCTGGCCATCGATGCGATGCATATATACGATGGATCGCCCCTAACTGTGCATCGGGCCATAGATATTTACAATCGTTACCTATACGAATCGAGTGAAATTAAAATACAATGGCGAATAATGTCGATTCGGTAAACGTTATTTAACAAGCTGATTTATGATTTATATTTGTGGTTTTTTTTTTTTTTACGAGTGATTAAACGAAATAACTTAAAAACAATATTAACGAACAAAATCCTTGTTCCTCTTATTCGTTATTATTATTTTTTGATTATGTTAGTTAAAACGTGTCTGAAGGTTTGGTGTAAAACAGAAATGTAATCGTTTTATATATGTATCTACAATAGCGTGGCGTAAGGTTAGATGAAAAGTTTAATCAGAACTCAAGTTTTAAACTCTTACATAATTTAAAACAAATATTTACTCAAGCACTGCATAAAATATTTAACGTTAAAATTACAAAAGCTCTTTTAAGAAATAATAATTATTGTTCTAATCCGATTTTTTTTTTACAAAATTCGCTCAATGGCTTTTATACTGGGCTTACGGTGCCGACCGAGTGCATCTCCTGTTACAAACTCATAGGTATTGTTGTATACGGAAATCGTTAAGTGGACATCGATAATGCGATCGTGTCATTAATGTAGTTTTATATTTGTATACGCTTGTCGCTACGTCCATAATACATGGACTAAAATTCGAAAATGTTGCCTGACCGATCTCATGTTCGATTCACGTTAAATTCAAATGTTCGCCGAAATCATATTGCTTTTGGTACATCGCGTATCGGTTGGACTGATTGCCGGAAAATTGGTCTAAATTACTATGGTGCAGCTTACGCGTTAGACAAAAAAAAATAAATATTTGTATAAATTGCCTTAATTCCATAGTTTTTTAGATTCCGAGCGGAATAAGGAGTGTATTGGTTTTACAATGTTTTTTTTTCTTTTTATACGTGAACAATCGATTTTCAACTATAGTACTTTTTCTGAAAGAAAAGCTGATTAGGATGGTATTTTAAAGAGGTCATTTTCCCAGCTGTTTTTATCATAATAAATGGGGAAAACAGAGAAAAACATCGGCCAAATGGGAAAATAGGTACAATATTAAACAAATATTATTAAAGAAAATATAAACTGCTTATGCAATTATTTTACCATAGTGTAACATATGATTATAAATTGTTGACAAAGCAATACTATCAACCGAAGTCCGCTTAGAATCATTTATCGTTAGAAATGGTTAATCGTTGCTTACAGATATACATTAAATTTCCTTATTTTATTTTTTACGGAATTCAGTAAAAAAAAAAAATCGTAGATATTTGACATTTTCACTGTATAATTATGTTAACATATTTTACTTTTTAGAAGTATAATCATTTTTAAAATACATTTATGTTTTTGAATTATTATTTATACTAAGTTATTATTTTGAGCTATTTGAAGTGTCGTAACTTATTTTTATTAGAATATTTAATCCAAATGTATGATAAAATTCGGTAAAACACGAACATAATTTAATTTTAATTACAATTGAATACAAATTTAAATTGATTAAAAATTAATGAATTTTCGTTTGCAATGATTTATCGTTGCATACAACGTTGAAACTAAATTACTCTTACTTTCCAAGTTCTCGCCTACAACCATAGTGGCCTACTTGCAAACACTTTTCTGAACGAATTTTTTTTTTTAGATTTTAACGGATCAAATATATAGGAGTCGCTATTGGTTTAGACAACGTCGTGTTTTTGTTCAGAAAATAGCTTCTTTGTACGTTATAAATAACTATAGTACCGAATTTTCCGCGTATAGAAAATTGAATAGCACAGATGGTGTTTTATAGAAATCATTTTTAAATATTCCCCAGTAGGTTCGAAAACCACACAGTATCGAGATATATTATATTGCGCATTTATTGATGTTGAATTGTATGGCGGGTCATCCGTTTTTAACAAAAAGTAGTAGGTTTTTTAATAAACCGAGACGACTTACACAAATGCACACGACCACTCGTTTGTTGATAACCATCATTATTTTTCTATATTAATATAATACAATCAGAATACAAAAACCGCTTTTCGCGGAGGTATGTAAAACGAGAAGATGGAACGCAACACGATTCAGTGGCGTCTGCCAACTGCAATATATTTGTCGTTATAATTTTCGAAGCAAAACCGTCTGTATAAAGAGTACCTAGTATATAAAATATTAAGCGTTGTAGCGCTACTGTAAGAGAAATGTATTCGGTTTAGTCATTGCGCACACGCCAAGGGTGCGTTTATTTAGTTGTTTTTTTTTTTTTTTTTGTAGAATTTACCTGTAATTATTATATAGGTCCTATATACAATATATCGGGTTACGATATACGAGTATAATATTAGCTGCGAGCTAACGAGAACGAGAATTTCGAGAATACATCTGTATGTAATTTATTATCGCCGTATTCGTTTCGTTATCTAGTATAATATTATCGATTGTATTATATTTGTATAGAAATCGTCTTGTTATATGCTGCAGCTATACTGGCGACAGTCACCGATATAAAACCGTGCAGATTTTTTCTATTTGAAAAATAGAAAAACATTTTCATAAAAACACCTAGCTTCGTAAAAAGTGAATGAAATTCCCAAAAAAAAGTTAACACTTTCCGAGATAATTAATATTTCACGTTATATTGATCACCCTATATATATGTTGTTACAACTAGAGTAAACAATATTTAGGAAACATTTCTAATTTCTAATTGGACTATGCAGAATTTTTCAGCCTCTTTCTCATTTGGAGGACAGTGACATCGTAGATTAAAATATATGGCTGGCATTTATTTTTGAGATTTAAAATCGAGACATTCAATTTTAAGGGATAATTTACCATTCCAATTATCACATTAAGACTCATACGGCTTATACCTATTTTGATAATCTAAATTATTAATGCACAGTATCTATTCTTGTGGAAATAAAATTTTCTCCGTTTTCATTACTTACTCATTAAATTTTTTACATTTTTTATAAAATTTTAACTTAGAATTCGTATTACATTATTATTGTTATTATTATATAATTTATACATAATACTATATAATATATTTATTTACGTCCAATAAGGGCAACAGTGTGCATGTAAAAATACAATAAGTTATAATTTAACTTACGAAAAGAATTGATATATAGAAAGAAAAAAAATAACAATAATAATAATGAAAAAAAAATAAAAAAATAAACATACATAAAAATGATAGTAAATTTATCTTATACAACTAATTATCATATTTTCTAAATATCTAATAAAACTTATCGTTATATTATTCAAAATCTATACGTAAATTTCGAAATTACGAATCCAAATCATAATTAAAATCGACGGATTACAAATTGTTGACTTATACTCCAAATTAGAACGAACGAGAGAACAAAATAGCATTTTTAGACACTGAATGTTATTGAAATCCGAGCATTGACGGCTGATAAATCCTATCATGCGCATCGCTTTGCCATAAATAAAAGAAGTATAATCAGAAAATGAGAGATCAGTTGATAGAATAATACCTAAATCTTTAATAAAGAAGATTAGCTTTAGCACTTGGTCATTAATAGAATAATTACACATGAATGGATTTTTATGTCTAGTAAAGGATAGTTGTGCACTCTCATTTACATTTATCTTTAAACGGTTTGCTTCACACCAATTTGAAAAATGAGCCAAATCATCTTGCAACTTCATACAGTCCTTAAGGAAATTCACTTTAAAATAAATTTTAAGTCGTCGGTAAAAGCGAAATTTTAGAGAAACTTAACATGCTGTTTAAATTATTGATAAACAACAAAAAAAGCAAGGGTGATAGATGTCCGTCTTGTGAGACGCCGGATAGGACACTAAAAGAGGAAAATACATCTAGTCCAAAATTTTGACTTGTTAGGTTCTACCCGATAAAAAGGAATTTAACTACGATAAAAGGACCACCAATACATAGAGAACTAAGCTTATTTAAAAGCAGAGCATAATCTATTGTATAGATTTACTTAGGTCTGTATAAATAGTGTCAATTTGTCTTTTTTTTCCCACGGCTCTAAACAGATTAGTAATAAAAACTAACAAATTAGTGCAAGTTGATATACGATTCATACTGTTTATTTACAATAACACTATTAAACAAATTATTAGATTAGGCTCTATTAACTTTTCTAAAAGTTTGGGTAACGAACTTAATTTAAAGTTTGGACGATAATTACTTACTATGTTACGATTACAAGACTTAAATATGGGTATTACAAAACTAGACTTCCACAGATGAGGAACAAATACCAAAAGCAAGGGACATATTAAATAAAGTAAAAACCGGACGAACAAGAGCATAACAACAATTAAAAAAAACTATAAGATGCAATCCATCCGGTCCGTAAGCGTAGTCTTGGCCCATACTAGCGAAACCTTCAAAAACCTCAGATAACGTTACATCTAAAAATGAAACGTTTAGAACATTTTCAAATAACCATTTTGGCGACTGACGATCATTCAACGATTGAGAATGTACGCAAACCGAGGAAAAGTAATCGGCAAATGCATTAGATATGGCTTTTCTATTATCAAAAGTTGAATGATCATTTGACATAGAAGAGGCGATTAAATTGTTTTTACGATACTAATTTACAAAGCGCCAAAAATGCTTAGGATTTGTAAGAAGTTTATCTTAAATATTACGCAGGTATTGTACACGGTACTTTTGTAAAAATATTTACATTTGACGTGAAGTTCCGAGAAATTTAGTTAACTCAACGGGTTAGGATATTTTTTGTGATGTTTGAGCGCTTAGCTTTTTCCTTTATCAACCTAAGTAAGTTACCGTCAAACCATCGAGGGAACTTATTATCAAATATGCTGTAGATAGGCACAAACTCGTCTAAAATAGAGTTTACTGTAAAATAAAATTGTTTCACGGCCGCTTTGATATTAAAGTTGGAAAATAAATCATATTAATATTATTCAAAGCCAAGGAAATGCCTAAAAAGTCTAATTTTTTAAAATGTTTACGAAGTATAGGTAGTTAAGGTGAAGCCTTAATTCCAATAACTCACAATTTATACTTTTATACAATTTATAACAGAGGATGTGGTCTATCAACCGGAATTAGTGGACTAGTGCAAAATCCACCGACAATAGATTGTAATCAGCGAAAACTAGATCAAGAGTGTTACCATAAGGATAACGTAACGAGTTGTATTGAGATAAATTATTAACTGAAAAAAAATCAAAAACGATACTAACTACCGCGGACATATTGCCGCTGACTACTAAACCGGTATTGCCATGAGAAAATGTAGTTCTACGAAAATTATAGTCACCACAAATAATTATGTCTAGATTATCGCCGAAACACTCAAATAACCAATAAACCGTGTCTACGTGGGTTTTATACACAGACAAGGGACTGACCTCCGGAATATAACAAGCTCCCGAAATAAGTTTTATTATGTAATTAACTTTTAACGATACGAAAACCTGTTCTACCGAATTATGAGGAATTGTGATAAGTTCACATACATAACTATTATGCACAACAATAAATGTTCCACCACTACGACTACGAATATTTGTCAAGCCACTTATATCACATCTAAATATATTGCATTTATAAAAACCTAATTCGGAATCTAAAACATTGGCAGTTAACCGGGTTTTCGTTAAAATTAAAAAATCGTAAATATTACAAGGAACATTACACATTAAATATTTTAGCTTGTTAATGAGGCTTCTAACATTTTGATAATTCTCTAACAAATACTATGAGATATATTTACAATATTATGATATGGTGTAGCTATATCAACAGCTACTTTTCTAAATTTTTTTCAGTAGGTGGAAGCAGCATCGATGAACTTAATAAACTAACCGTCGTCACCCGATCGTTTTTTATCTTATAATTGACATTTAATATCATTGTAATGTGCGCGTTGTATTATTGTTAAGTCAGCGCCCATAAATAAGTGTTTAAATAGATCGATTGAACGTAATTTCCGTTTCGCTTTTAAAACCCATACCATTTGGGTTTTGGTTCCGAGTTATACAGGTATTCTACAGTTATACAGGTAATTCTACAGTATTATGCGAATGATAAAAACTCTATCAATGTTAAGTATTTTTTTCAATCGAGTTTTGTACCAGAGGGACTCAAATGGAAAGAAAAATTACATTTTTTTTTTCATCCCTTCACACTAAAAAAAATAACTTTTTAATCTGTTCAAAATAACCGATTTGTAAAATATATTATTCCAAACGTTTTAATGTACCATATTTTCATACTCGTTTAATATTTTCTTAGTAGTAGCTGTATTCATTTCTAGAAAATTGATGTAAAAACAATTTCCAATAGAATAACACGTTAGGTATGCGATAAGGAATCACAATAAACACGGTAATTCCTTATCTTCTATTGAATGTTAATTGTTTTAACGCCTATTTTCCACACAATCCGCTATAACTAAGAAACTATTGGTAGAATATAAAAGTATGGTATATTTGAAAATGTATAGAATAATATATTTTACAAGTTGACTATTTTAAAAATTTTAAAAATCGAAAAAAATTAAGTTTTTTTTTTTTATTGGCTAAGGGGTAAAAATAAAAATTTAATTTTTTTCTACATTTGTGTCCCTCTAACATAAAATCCAATTGTTTTTATGAAAATGAATATTGACAGAGTTATTAGCACTAGGATAACACTGTAAGGCATTTTGTATTTATTATACTCAATATAGGGGAGGTGCATGTAATTAAAAAATGAAAATATGCAAACTGAAATAATCTATAAACCCTTTTTTTTTTTTCTTTGAACAATTATTCTACTTGAAATTTTACTTAAATTTTCATGTGTAGCACATTTTCTGAAAGGAAATTTTTACGAAGTGGTGATACCTCAAGAAGTTAATTTTTTATTTTCAAAGAGGTTTTCATAATTGATATGAAAACCCAGAAAAAACGAAGAAAAACAGGAAAATGTACGAAATGTATTATTTTCAAATTGTAAATATTACGATTTTTTTAAACACGTATAACCAAATTCCGTTCAAAATCGTTTTTCGTTAGCAATGATTACACTTTGGGTACAGATATACATTAAAGTTCCTCTCTATACGTTCCCAACTTCTCACCTACAACAGTGGGTCTTTTAATTTTATTCTGCACAGTGCATGGTACAACTGCGGACCGTCGTATTAGCTTTAAAAGCTAGTAACGAGCCACGGAGGTTCAGGGCAAGCCCCGGATGCATATTAATGCATCAAAACGCGGTCCTAACAACCGCTACTCGATTCGCCTAATCGTCTGCTCATGGATCAGTCGCCGTCGGGTGGGTGACCCCCGGCTCATTAACTACCTAACGGAACTCATAAGCCCGTTTGAATCCTACCGCATGACGCCGACCGCAGACCGAACCTATAGCCAACACCGGGGCGCAAAAGACACCCGAACTACATTTCAAAAATGTCAAAAGTAGAACATATTTCGATACCCAGCAACCAACGGGACGAACAATCGGTCCGTACCGGGGGCAGCCAGAAATCTACCGCCACGCGTTTGATAACACAATCTCCGTTGTCAGAGATAGGTAGACAAACTGAAGGATTTGCTCGCGATGCGACCCGAAGGTCAGAGCGCGAAAAGATCCCCGATCGAAAACGCGAAGAAAAGAGTCCGTAATCCTGATACGACCTCGGTCGGGAAGTACGCACTCGCTGCTACACGAAAATTGTCATGTATCAGTTTCGCTTCGCGAATAAATCCGTGATGGTACTTATATCTAGTGCCAAGAAAAGGCTCGTGCAGTTTAGACGAAGTGGCCAATGAAGCAGGTCGACCACCCTACCCAAGAAACCATCGGGAACGTGCGCAGCTAGTTTGCCAAGCCCGTCCCCTTAGCTATGGTTTTTCTAGATCTTAATGACCCACCCATCATGCAAAGGATTTTCATTTGTTTTTTTTTATTTGTATTTGTAGGGACATATAAAAAATTAAAATTTTCATTTAGAAAACTATATTTTTAAATTATTTTCCTTAGAAATTTAATAAAAAAAAAAAACAATAATAATAAAAGAATACAGTCGTACAATATAATAAGTTTAAAAAGTTTATAAATGTTCACCCCGTAGGCATAACACGATAATTTAAACCGTCAGAAACTTAATAGAAAATGATTACAGTTGTATATGGAAATTTAAATACGGAATAGAATAAAATATACATATAAGTCCGGTGACTTGGTTTATAAGTGATAGGTAACTATTATAGGTATTATTATAAAACTATTATTATAGTTCCAATGTTATAAGCGTTTTATTTTTATTTCGACGGGAAGTTTTGTAAACTATAATGCATATTCGTGTCACGTATAAAATATATAGGTGCGTGATATTTTAGGCACGAAATCGTATTTTGTTCAGGTTTACATAACTAAACTCACTTCTCTTTAGTTATTTAAATACCCTTTTTGAATTAGGTATTTTTAATTTTAATTTTTTAAATTAATAATCTATCCTGTACCCGAGTATCGGGTGAATTATTTTACCCAACCAACATTTTGAATTCATTAATTATGTATTATTTTTTTTAAATATTCTCGTCGAACGATAATCCAGTTTTATAGAATACGTTCCTCGTTATATAAGCTATCGATCCAATAAAAATTATTATGTTAGGCACAATGATATAAGAGATATGTATTGTATTTTTTACTTTTCACTACGGAAAAAAATATCATGTATTTCTATTGGTTTTGGATACATTCGTATATATATAGATATATATTTTTTTTTTATATTATATTATATTGTTTTAGGGTTTCTGTGCCATAAAACATTACACAGCCGTGTGTTCCGTTTTCACGTAATATGTTGCTATGATATTGATATTATATATAATATTAATGTAACTTTTTTTTTCGAAATGTGTTTGTTCAAAAAATTATTTAATATTAAACAAAAATGGTTTATGTATCCCTTGTTTTGTATTATAAATGAATATTTTGTAAAAAAAAAAAAAAAATACACATTTATCCACCTATAAAAATATATAGATGCCCAGATACTATTATTATTGATAATTGAACCTCTTAAATGAAATATTAAGATAGTCGAATAGAGTAGGTAACTATTTCGAAAAATAAAATGAGCACGCTAATCTTTTCCTGTATTGTTTTTATTTATTTATTTTTGAATTTTCCTATAAATGTTTGAAAAAATAAAATCTGTCTGAAATTTAGTATCGAGTAGATGCATCTACGATAAAGAAAATCCGTTTCGTATACAATAAATACCATACATTATCCAGTATTCAATTTACTAGGGTCTCTTTAAACTGTGTTCATTCCACTCGGTGTTTGCAAATACAAAAATCGTTTTCGAAGTGTCCCTTTTCAAGATTACGAGCGATTTCTCATGTTGTTGATCATGAGTGACTATGAAATAATTTTGTACATACAAAAAATACGAGTGATTTCGATTGTTAGGGAACAAAACGGAGCAATTAGTTCAACAAAACTTGGTACATTGTATCAACCAATAAATACAGAAATTGTATGTTTACATTTTAAAATTGTTCAAGAAAGACAAATAAAAAAAACGCCTTAATCGCATAATTTTAAATTTGTCAAAAATACTGGAGAAACGTGCAAATGGTATCTAACCCTATAAATAGTGATAAACATAAAGTTTATTTTCAATTTTTAATTAAGTATTTTCATCTTTTTTAGCAAAGTTTAAAATTTGAACACATGTCCTTTGTGTATTTAGTGATTGATATATGGTTTTGAAAAAATATTGTATGAGTAGAACGTCTTTACATACCATTATGGGGTGGTAATGAAGAGACACCAAAATTTCTAAAGTGCAGTATTATTAAAATTTTTATTAATTTGTACTGAAATAATGAAAATAAAAAGCAACTATATATTTTTAGCTTTTTGTAGTTTAATAGAAACGGTTTTATGCGATTGCCTAGGAGAAAATCTGATGTATAAGTTAATGAATTTTGATAAACATCATTGGATACTCATAAGAGTGTCAGAGAAAGTAAAAAACCTATCTGCTTAAAAAGTGCACAAACAAAATTAAATAGAAAAAAGACGGACGTACTTCGTACGTGGATGCAGCCACTATTGTAGATCGGAAATTGGAAACGAGTAGGTAGGATACAGAAAGGAATTTAATGTACATCTAAACGCAACAATAAAACATTGCTAACAAAAAAAAAAAAACGATTCTGAGCGGAGTTCATTTGATAGTGATGATTTGTTAACAATATATGTCATATTATGGTCAAATAATTAAATAGGCATTATATATTTTCTTTGATAATATTTTTTAATATTGTACAGATTTTCCGGTTTTTTCTACGTTTTTCCCAAGTCTTTTCCCGGTTTTTCACATTTGCTGGAAAAATTCTTGGAAAATCGAAAAATGGCCTCCCCAAAAGTACCTTCCCAGTTAGATTTATTTTCAGAAGAAGTGCTATCACTGTAAATTATGCTCCACTACTCTCCCCAGAGCCATACTTGAAAATGGAATATTTCGTCAACGGATTGGCGTAAGTCAAATATTTTAACATCAAAATTTGTTCTAACTAAAAATTTATCTATTTATGGAATTTTTAATTTAGGTTTCTAATTGAAAATCAAAAGTAGACAGTGGTTTCACCCTTAAAAATAAGGGTGACAAAAATAACATAAATATAAAATTGTAGAGCTGCTTTTTTCTTAAATGCTCTTTAAAACGAATTCCGAAAAAATTTAATATTTTCCGAGATAATTAGTGATATACATATTATGTTTGTCAACGTGTTTACGATCTCTTGCCCTAAATTCGAAGATATATTTACTGTATTACTGTTCTATCGATCAAAGTTTGTATAATAACTGCAGTTTTTATAACTCGATTAGGTACTATATTGTACTAGGATTATTTTATTAAATACTTATCGTGCTCTGTATTGTTAATTTTCTTTTTAAAAAAGTAAGTTTAAAAAAATGGACCGGATATGGATGAGGCTATATAGAGGTGTTGCGTCGTCTCACTATTCTGTTTGGTCGACGAGAGACAGTGGTGTATTATTGTCTTAAATTTGACAGTGACGATAAATTATTATCGCATCACGCGAAAGATGGATCTGGCTATGCTCAGTTTATTATTAAAAGGTTTATGTAGTTTTTTTTCTTTTTAAATATCCCCACAAACACCGAAAATGAAAATGTTCCAAAACGATTAAATAAATGGAAAACGTGATACGAAAAACGTTCGGTTATTAATACGTCACGTCACTGAAATTTCAATTGAATATAAATTATAATATAATATATTATATGAAAACCAATCATAATACTATATACCGAGAAACTTAATACGTCACGTCACTGAAATTTCAATTGAATATAAATTATAACATAATATATTATATGAACACCAATCATAATACTATATACTGGGAAACATAGTATTATTTAAGTATAAATGTTAGTTTAAGCGTTTTTACAAAAATACATTTTTCAAATATGACATTTATTATAGTTGATTAGAATACATTTTTTATTGATTTAAGGCACAAATAATTTTAAAATCGAAAATTAGTATCAGATTACCAAAAGTATTGATATAGAGGCTGAATAATTAAAGTTTTTTTAAATTTTCCACCAGTAAAATTGTTGCCACTTGAAACAATAAAATTAATCCTTGCTGAACTAAATACGGATTTGACGTTAGGTATTAGAGGCATATGTAAAATCTAAGTTAAATTTGTGGGGGCACAAGCTGTGGTAAAACTGAAAATCTATTAGATATATAAAAGAAAGCACTTTATCCCACTTTCCAGGTGTATTTCTTCCAATATAGAAACCAGTATTATAGTTATTAGATAGTAAGAGTAAAATATTATGAAACAAAAATTATAAAAGTACCAACAGTAAAAACGTACAGGTAGATATTATCTAATAATAAAAGTAATAAAAAAAGACGTACACAAAAAGCAGTGATAAATAAATAAATATAATATAAAATACAAATACGTTTTAATGATTTAGAAATGTTGACTTGATTAACAGTTTTAATAGTTTTATAATAATGGAAAGCGTTTTAATAATTTAAATATTAGAAAGACGGACAAAATTCACACGACGGGTGAGCCACTGTTGTAGGTGAAAAGTTGAGAAGAAAGATAAAATAAACAGGGAAATTGAATGTATATCTATACACAACGATTAAACATTGCTAACCAAAAACAAATTCTGAGCGGAGTTTCGTTAAATATATTTTAAAAGGCCGTAAAAATAGTAATAATTACGGTTTTCGTCAAAATTTGATATTAGAATTCTTATAAAAAAAATTGTATACTACATTCAATTTTTTTTTTAAACCACAAAGTTTACATTTACGATAAATTTCTTGTTAAATATTTAAGTATTTTTATGCGGTCAAACAGTTTTACCCACAGAGTATCTACAACCTAATGAATAAAAATTGCGTAAAAAACTAGTAAAATTCAAATGCCAATAAATAGCTCTAAAAGGACTAATAACTAAAATGTTTTGAATATTTTACCATGACCTAGAAAAGGCAAATATAAATGTTTTATCTAAATTGCATATCTCTACAAATACTTAAAAATGAATTTAAAATTGAAATAATACATTTTGTAAATTTTCCCGTTTATTCTCGGTTTTTCCCGTTGGAAAACCATTAACATTCCTAATTTATAATGCCTATTTAACTATCTTACCATAATATGACATATACCTATATTTTTGACAAAGCAATACTACCAACTGAACTCCGCTCAGAATCGTTTTTTTGTTAGCGATGGTTTTTTTATCGTCACTTACAGATATAATATACCTACCTAAATTCCTGTCTGTATCCAACCTTTTCAACTTCATACGTACAACACTGCCTGCATCCACGTGTGAATGTCCAATCTTTTTTTTATTTTTTATTTTAACTTATAACGGCGTAGGCTAAAGTTGGTCTTCCTTGTCAATTATCTGGAGAGAACAGTTAGTCCCTCTTGCCCATCCCTAGAGTATTCGTATACTTACAGGTATTGTTTATTGAATCATGGTTTTAGGTGTACTTTTAACTATTTTAGATTCTGAGAGGAGCGAGGAATGCATTGGTTTTACAATTATGTACAATTATAGCTATTAAATGATTGATATATTTCTTTCTTGATTAGAATACTGTTTGGTCCTTCACAATTTACAAGATCAGTTATTTTCACAAGCATTATATTATCGCAAAATAGACCTGTTATATGAGAAAGAGTATTTGTATCCAGCAATTCCTCTACTTCTATGTAGTTAATATGTCCAACATCAGAAAATAGATTGTTATTGGTTAAAATTTTCTGTTAGCAACAATAATCCAAACCGCTCGTTCGTTGGTTTCATTCGATTTCCCAAAACCTGGGATAAACTGCAGATTTTTGTAGAGTTTATGTTCACTGTTTAAACTACTGTCGATGACTAAAGTAAGAAATAATTTTCTTTATATATTAGAAGTAGAGACCGAATTTATATGTTCTTAAAATCTACAAAAAACCACTTGAAAACGTCAAAAGCCTTGGAAAAATCAGTTATAAAATGTATAAAAACGCAAAAATAATAAAAAGGGAGTGGGAAAATATATGTCGACGAAGAGGTGGAAAATTCGGAAGACCATGTAAAAGTATAGCACCCCTCGAAAAACTGTGAATAAGTATAGCTTCCAAGAGGAGCCATGTTATAGAAAACTATCAATCAATTTTAATAAAACAAATTTTATAAATTTATTGATTTTTAAGGATAATAAAAGTTTTGATAACTTAAAATTTCATACTTATGATAATTTGGATTCATTTAATGTGCTAAAATGTCAAAAAATATTTAGTCTCTAGGTTAAGATACTTGGGTTTAACATTTGATAAAAATATGAAATGGAACTTACATGTAAATAATACTGTGATGCGTATGCGTTGATTATCGTTTAGCTATCATAAATTACGGTCGTTTCTACCAATGCGAACTATGCGCATAATTTACTTATCACTATTTCAAACACTACTCCAATAGGTTTATTGATTTGGGGGGGGGCTTAATCAAAATGCATCTAGACCACTATAACTTTTATAAAAAAAAATTATTGGGATATGTTTAAGAAAAAAAATTTTAATAGGTTTAACTAAAGACAATTTTAGTAATCCAATTTGTAATGCATATATTGGTAAAATATATATTAGCAATAAATAATCTGTATAATATAGAGATATTTTATGTTTTTCATACTTTATTGTTTAATTGTACATAATATTTTATTTAACTCGTTAAGTATTACTTAACTATGTAGTATAACCTAATTGTTTATTAATAATTATATATTATGTTATGTAATTTAATCATGTATACTATAACTCCTAATACCACCACAAACTTTGCTTTAAGGTTTAGATTATATTTTTCATTATTTATTTAATACTTTGTAATTTATTTTATAAAGTATTGATTTAATAATAAAAATCTGTTAAAAAAAACCAACAAAAAATAGGTATAGCACCCATTGATTTAAAACCGCTCTTTTCTTCCTACTTCCCGTCTGTATCTTATCTTCCCAATTTTCCACCTACAACAGCAGCTGCAACCACGTGTGAAGTATGTCCGTCCCCCCTTTTTTTTTTGTATTTCAAATGTCATTAAAATATTATAAATAACATTGTGTTCGTCGACAAAAAATGATGATTTTTTTTTTAAGCTGCGAATTTGAACGAAATATTTGGTACGAAATCACCGGGCGTGATGAAAATAATTATACTGCAGCGATCGATTAATCCTTTGCAAAGTACTCGGCAATGCATATGTAAAATAATATATTAGCACAGATTATACGACAAAACCGTAGATTTTAGCTAGCAATCTTGTTGCTACCGGGTTAAACTTGATTATTACAGTCTTATATTGTATAATTCAATATATTGCACGATCTGCACGATTGGTTTAATACTATTAAGTATTAGATTAAAATGACTTACCGCGATTATGCGCAGGATCAGCGTGTTTTGCTGATAGTCATATTCGAGGCCGAAATTGATTTGGCCGACCTTCTCGGACGGCACGGCTGGCGGCTCCTTATTCAACTCGGTAAGCGATTGGCAGCGATCGTGCTAGATACAATATAAAAAAATAATTGACGTGATATATTATTATGTGATATCGACTTAGGTGCAAATAGTCCAAATATTAACACTCCTCTTATTAATATTGATTATGTATACTTAAGGTTAACTTGTTAAGAACTTAAGTTTTTTTGGGGGGAGGAGGGGGACAAAGCGCCTTTAAACCAACTTTATTTGGGCTTATGACGACATGACGAAAACAATCAGACGTATATCAGACATGATGCTAACAAAAAAATTTAAAATACTAACATATTTCGCAGCATGAGTAGGTATATTAGGTATATTAGGTATATTAAGTATATTAAGTATATTAGGTATATTAGGTGTATTAGGTCATGGTTGTAGGCGAAAAGTGTTTAAGGTATTGGACATTTATAGAGTAATTTTATTTGCTAGATTATGCCATTTTGCCTCTTTGGATTTTAAAACTTATAACTTGTTTGAAAGCAACGTTAGAATACACCGTTATTTAATACATATTTGTGTAGTAACATTGGTTAATAAGACAATGTGCCAAATTAAGATCTAGCAAATTATTAGAAATTTGTTGACACTACTTTCGAGCCGATTGAAAAATATGCAGGTGCTGAGCCATTTTACAATTTTCCAGAAAAACTGAATTGTAGCAAATTCCAAAAATGATCTACCAAAATTTAGCAAATTACCAGCAATTCTTTGGTATTAGTTATATAGGCTTAGCATAATGTGCCGGTGCCAACTTGATGAACGTCAATTGTAACCGACCGAAACAAAATCCCGAGTAGAGCTCAGTAAGGGTTTTAAATTTGTATGTACACTCGAATGTGACGTTTTCCCACTTATTATAGGCAACACAGAAACCAGTAAAAATAAAATCATTTGTCGTTAGTTAATGAATTGTTTTATAAAAAACTGACAAGGAATTTTAAATTACGACAAGAAAAAAATCGGAGCATTTTCACTAACCAAAACAATGTTTTCTGATAAAGCAAAATACATGTTAGGAAAACTATAATAGGTTCTTATTTACATTGAATAATTAAACAAATTCTTGGCAGGTCCTCTGTTCGCATTATCTATCAACTATATAGAAAATAAACAAATAACAATCCATACGCATCAAGTAAATATTTTTAATTTTGACCGGAGCGAGATGATACGAGTGATACTTCAGCACTAGCTCCAAATAAAATCTTTATGCATAGTTACAGAAGTATGGATCTTGTAAACAAATCTAATCATTTTTTCTTTTTTCTTTTTGTAATTTAGTTCAAAATTAGAAATAATTGCCATGGCCCGGAACGTTCACCAAGTACATTTAAATTTACATTTTCTATTTTTCCAGGCGCTGTGCTGTATATAATATCCAAAATATGTTGGCTCTTTCTGAGTAGCAAGCTATATTTAAATTTATTCGGTTTGTTAAAAAAACACGAAAATTCACAGGTTTGTTACTAATTATAATATTATATATAATATATATTTCGTTATTAGTTTCTGATCCAAAATATGAATAATATATAGGATAATATTTAATTTAATAATAATATTTATTAAAGTTATTGGAACTAATGTTTTTATATGTATCATATACACATAATAAACGTTATTTCAAAATATTATATACAAAGTACCTCAAAATAAAGTTTATTACAGTAAATTTACAACGTTATCTGGAGATGTTGTATGATTTTTTGTTACCTAAACTGCAAATGTTTTCTAGTTACAATGAATATGGTTTCAGCTAGACGGAACTATATCGTATGTGATGTGGCTTCAATACGTCTCTGCCATGAATTCGTAAAAATTTTTCCTCGCAAATTGATCTGCAGGAGAAGTAACATAAATTGGTCACCACACAATCCTGAGCCTAAAGCCTAAAGGACTTTTTCTCATAGGGATATTTTAAATCTAAAGTGTACAACAAAATAATTTCTTGGGTACATTTAAGTGAAAATATCTATGACGAAATAGCAGTTATCACGGAGTCTGCATGCAGAGCTGTCGTAAATACATTTTGCTGTTCGTTTAAATAATAACGAAGTAACAAAACTGTTATCAACAAATGTCAACCTTCCTTTTGTATTCATACATACAATTTTTTTTGAAAGATTCTGTACCGTATTTAATAATCAAAAACAAAAATGTATAATATTGTTTTTCGATTTTATTTTAAATATCCTATATCCTATGATATTTCATGCGATTTTAAGATATTTTAATAATATAATATAAAATATACTTATTTTAATACTTTTTTTTTTTTTTTGGATATATCTGATTTTTAAATTAAAATAACCCTAAAAAGAGCTGATACTGGGGACGGGTGCAGTCACTATTTTGGGTAGGTAATTGGGAAGGTAGGATATATAAAGTTATATAATTAATATCTGTACTTAACGATAAATCATTGCTAACGAAATCCGATTCTGAGTGAAGTTTTGTTAAACACGTTTTGAAATGACGTGATTTTTGCGATTTCCGTTGAAATTTGATCTTAAAATGCTTATTAAAAAACTATTATATTATGTTCCACTTTTTTTTTAACCACTTAGATTAAGTATAACTTATAATATGTAAAATTTTCAAGCATTTCTGTTTGGCCAAAGAAATGTATACACATAAAACCAATTAAAAACTAAAAAACCTCGAAAATGTAAAATGCCTATAAATATCTCAAAAATCACCAGAATGTTTTGAAATTTGATTTTTCTAGAAAAAGCTAATATAATTATTCTGTGAAAATTTAAGATTTCTTCGATTATTTTCAACCTAAATACAATTAAAAACAAAATCGAAAAAATGAATCCATTATTTTCGTAAATTTTTCTACGTTTCCTCAAGTTTTACCCATTTATTAAAAAAACTACAAATAACATTTTAAAATGAATGTTTTACATACTAACTAAACAACATTTTGTTTCAGAAATTATGTATCGCTTAACATTCGGTGTCAAACTCTTCGTAATTAAACAAAATTTACATTAAAGACATTTTTATTGTCATTTATTTATCAGTTTTCCTAAACGGTTTTTTCCATTTATTATTAAAACTCCAAAGAAATCTAAAATATGAGCCCCTTAATACACCATTTAGAATAAAAATGTTACAAAAAAACTTTAGTCCACTAAAGGTGGACTAAATGTGTTCTATTATAAAATTTAAATAGTGTAGATAATAGTAATAATAATAATTATAATAGCTTTCTTTTCTGTGACAACCCTTGAATAAACAAAAATCTTATATATTTAAAACAAAGTCGGGTTAGTTACACCATTTGTAACTCAAAAACGGCTGGACCGATCAAATGATATTTTCCGACTAATTTCTAATAAAAATTAATCACCATTTCTTTTTTTAATCCCCGTTACCAGGGTAACACAAATCAACAAAAAATATTGTATTTATTATATAATATATATATATATTAGGGTGGTCCTTATTATTTTTTTATAAAATTTGATCGGACTACCCATGAAATTTGTTTGAAACCATAAAAAAATCATTTATGTATATTATTATTTAAATATTATTTGTGTTTAATTTGAATTACATATGTATAACATAATATATAAAATATAGGTACGCAATACGGCATATTATATTTATTAGTTATTTAATACTAAAAACTAGTTTTTTTTTTTTTTTTTGGGGGGGGGGGTGAATAAAAAAGTACAAGTAACATTGTATATGGTATATTTAATTTAAAAAATATTTTATTCATATACTTTTTTGCCTATCTTAATTATTTTAGACTAAAATTACAAAAATCTAAAAATCACCCTTATTTTAACTTTAACCCTCTTGAGGCACGCCTTAAGGTTTACCGATTATTACGAAATTTTACAAAATACATTTCTTTGTGAGTTTGAACAAATTTCAGTGGTAGCCCAATCAAAAATCGAAAAAAAATTTTCTTCATCTATAGTCTAAGGACCACCCTAATATATATTCAAAAATATCAAAATCGCGATAAAAAATAGTAGGTGGTAGTAGGAGGGAAAAAAATACTGTATGACCTATTCTCAGACCTACCAAATATACACAACAAACTTCATGAAAATCGGTCAAGTCGTTTTGGAGAAATGCGACCACAAACACGTGATACGAGAATTTTATATATATACGATTTATTTATGTACATCGGTATGGACCATGTCCAATTAAAATAAAATGTATAAAAAAAAATAACAACGATAGAAATAATATTATTCTAATACAACCAAAACCGTGCACCCGTTAAATTAAGATTAATTAAAAACCGTATACCATCCCTATATTTTTGATTTCCAATAGTTCAGCATTTTAGTTCAACGTTTGATTGTATTTGTTTTTATATTTTGTTATTTATTTGTTTCCGACGACCGTTATAATCGAAATAACTAATCACCACTCGTCTCAACCATTCACCGTACATTTTACTATAACGGGAATAACAATACACTTTATAATAAAACGTGTACCATTATTACTATTATAATAAATGTATATAATAGATGGGTTGACGTTTCATCGCCGAGAATAAGGGTGACCAGAAATAATGATGAAGTAACATTTTAGAGCTGCTTGTTTTTTAAATTTTCAAAACAAAAATTCCGAAAAAGTTAATACTTTCCGGGATACCTATCACAACGGGTATCTAAGATATCTTCGAGGGACACTCTGTATTAGCCTCGATCAAAATCGTTGCAAGTTTCAATAATAGGAAAGCATAACATTATTACAGTTATAGATTTTTAAAATAAATATTGCCTAAAACTATTTTTAGTCATTATTAAATTGTAACATGAGTTCAAAAAATAAATACTAATATTTGTGTCCCTAATCAATAGCATTTAGTATTAAATATTCAATTTCCCGTCTAAATTGAATATGTATAATCTATAGTTTTAAAAGCATTTAAGGACAAATTAAGCGTTGTACCCTTTTCGGTTGATTGATTTCGTCAGCGGTATGGGGTTCCCATATAATTGATCTATACTCTAAAATAGAGCTTGCCAAAGAACAAAACAGAGTTTCAATAATTTAAGGTAAACGTAATTCAGTGGCCATTCGTCAGATGAAACCGAGTATTTTGAGAGCTTTATTACAAATTGAATTGTTGTGTAACCGCGGTAACAAATTATAGCCGTCTTAATTATTATGACAACTGCAAGGAATATCGAAAACCTATGCATTTTCTTCACTACACTCAGTTTCTAAAATGCCCCGGAGTTAAATATGGCGATTCGGATATTTGTTTACGAATGAAAAATATGTCACCCGGCTGAACATCGAAAGTTCCAAGGGCGTCTAAAAGGTCGGGTGGGAGGAGACGGTGGATGGAATAAGAGAATATACTAATACAGTCGGGATCGTAAATTCTTAATTTACCGCCCGGTTTTCTCATTAATCACATAGCGTCACCTTCGACCGCCGATAAAACCTATTTTGTGTTATCGCCGGAAACGAATTAATAGTTCCATCAGAAAACTGGCCGCCGCGCTGCCGGTAAATGCGTGCACGTCATCGCCGTCGATTTACCGCGACGAGTTAAATATCAGAAATTTGTCACGAACGAACGGCTGCCGTCCACCCGGCTTTTGATCCCGGGCGCGAATAAAAACCCGCAACTTTCATCTGTGTATAAGATATGTATGTACGCACTCCGTTTATACACGCGATTTTCTATGGTACAACACGCGGTGTATTGCGCCTTCGACATCGGTTCGCGATTAATTACACGTTCCGCGCCGGGGAGGAGTGGCGGGATTCGCGCGGAAAGGACGAATAATCGTTTTCGGACTAAAGGCTGCATAGAAGTATTGTATATATATATATATACATGCGATAAATACGAACGCAGTTAATATGTTCGGGGGACCACCACTCGATTATTTAACAGAGACGTTTCGGTCGGCTGCCTCGTCTTGTATCCCCGAAAACGTTAATCGTTACCGCCCAGTTCTACGGTATACTCGTATACATATATATATATATATAACATAATGTTCCGGCTCTCCCCGAGAAACGATATATCCGACCACTTTAATATTATAGGCACCTGACCAGCCCTCTGCGGTACATTATCCGTACATTATGCGCGCGTAGATGTACGATTATTTCGATGATTTTTTAGATTCAGAGTGAAGCGAAATATCTATTGCAGGTTTTACTATGATGTGCATTATTTATTTTTTCTGCCTATAATCAACTTTTCTCCAAGAAATGTTGCCCCAATTAAAACGTGACACGTACAAGACCTATTTTGTTTTGGCTCTAGTTGATACTTTAGAAAGATCATATTTTAGAATTCTCATTCATATTCGAGATAATGAGCAAAATATTACTTATTAGGTACTAATAAATAACTAAAACATATGAATTGTTAACATTTGTATCCTATAGCAAATTATAATACACTTGTTCAATTTTTATGATCATAATTATTATTCATAATAAATTTTACAATAATAAAACACACATGAATGTATTTAGTGTATATTGTATATGTTTAAATTAGTGAGAGTAGCATAATATGTAATTTGTTGGCTCAATTTCCTGTGGACCAAAATTATACATAACAAAATAGTTATACCTTACATTTTAAGAAATAGCATTTTTCATGAGGTGGTGGGGTTAGGGGCGGTGGAAATATGTTGCCACGGCGGGGTTCGTTTTAAAAGGTTCGTAACGAATCCGATTCCAATAGATATCATATTCATATTATCATTTAAACATTATCTGTGTAAACAATTTTTAAAACATTGTATTCCATTTTGATAGTATTAGATATGCATTATGCATACAATATATATATGTACACGAAAATCAATCGTTGCGTCAGCTTGTTTGCTATACCGATAAAAATCTATCCGTCATTATTTTTGTGGCCTTATTTATTTTTTTAAAGACGAACCGGATTAGTAACGGATATCTGAATAATAATACGGATAAAACGTTTTCAACAGTTTCGGGTAAATCAGAAAAAAAATCTATCTTCCTCAATCGCTGAAAATCCTTCACTCGCGAGTATCGCAATACAAAATATAACGTAAAAAATCTATCGTGGCAAACAATTTTTAGATTCTGAGTGGAGCAAGGAATTAATTGGTTTTACAATGATGTTTATTTTATTTTTTCTGTGGTAAAACAGTAGCCACACTCATCACGATCGAATGCAATCAATTTCGCGTCACTCTAATATTTGTTATTTGGTCTTGCATTTATTTGTGAACTATTTGGACTTCGAGTATGTTTGATGTTTTGAATTGTATTATTGGTCATAGTTTATTTGTGAAGAATGATTTATTAGACTTGTAATATTTTTGAGTGAAATATTAATTATTTGTAAACTCGAGTTGGAGTTTTAATTTATTTATTTATTTTTCTCGTCCGAGTCCTATTCCTACGTTGGGCCCGTTACACTTATTACCAGCGATTTTTTTTTTTGAACATTTTGGATTCCAAAAGAAGCAGAGAATGTATTGATTTTACTATTACTGTTTTTTTTCGTATTTGCATACAACTTTTCTACTAGCAATTTCGCTTCGATTTACAACGAAAGCACTTTTTATGAAAGGAAATTAGACTGGGGAGGTAATTTAAGAAGGTAATTTAAGATCTCTTGTTGTGCTCCAAATCTAAAAGTTCATAACCTCTATATCTGTACACTCACGCTGTCTTCCTCGGCCTTGACGTTCATCAACGATTTGGTTACATTCCATCCACCCTGCGCCACTGCCGCAATGTCCTTGTGCAAAAGATGCTCCGCTGCGCTCACGGCCGACGAGCTGCCACCACTGCTGGGTCCGCCACAACCGCCGCTGTGATGACCACCGACCGCAGTCGAAACGTCGTCGGCACTGGCCGCGTGGCCGGGCTTGGAAGACCCTCCGCCGCCGAACGAGGGCGAACTGAAAATACACCGTCACCACGTATTTTAAAAAAGTGTAATTTTTTGGAGAAGAGAAATGATCGTACACAATTTAGAAAACCTAACTAACGCTACAATACAATCGGTTGTTTGTGTGGCCTGCTGATGAGGTATAGCAGAGCGCCCTAGTGGTAAATGCGCGCACTGGTTGTGTTGTAGAGTTGGTTGTAGTGGAGGAAGATCTGTCGGCTGAAATACGGTTCGGATAGAATACGTCTCGGCTAAATTACGGTTCAGCTGAAATATTTTCGGCTTTTTTACTAGCTCCCGAGCTAAGGAGTATAATGGATGGGTATACTTCAGGTCGTGTGATATTATATAGAGTATTTCAGAAACCGGTACGAATTTAAAAACGTCATAAAAGTAACAAATTTGATTAAAAACGGAATTTTATTTTACATTCAGGTCAGAAAACATCTCCCATTTATGTATGAAAAATAACCCCACCTATGGAGTCACGGCATTGATTTATGCGGGCAAGAAAATTTGCGATGACTTGCTTACAAACAGTTGGCTCGACTTCGCGAATCATTCTTTGAATTTCGGTCTTCAAATACGAGATGTCTCGTAGTTTATTCTCGTAAACCTTGGATTTAACGTAACCCGATAAAAGAAAAGTCACATGAGATTAGATCACATGGAGATTCTGGAGATGATGCGTTGAGGGAATCGTTCGTTCAATAATACAACCGTTTGACGGAAGGTGTGACAAGTTGCTCTTTCCTGTTGAAACCAAACATCGTCATTGAGTCTTATCTGTTTCTAAACTACAGGGCATCCCGTATTTGAAGGCCGAAATTCAAAGAATGATCCGCTAAGTCGAGCCAACTGTTTGTGGGCAAGTCATCGCAAATTTCATTGACTGCATAAATCAATGCCGCGACTCCATGAACATATTATACCGGAGGTTATTTTTAATACATAAATGGGAGATGTACTCTGAGCTGTGTATGAACAATTTTTTATTTTTAACAAAATTTGTAACTTTTATGAAGTTTTTAAATTCGTACCGATTTCTAAAACATTTTATGTAACAATATAATACATAATATATAATGTATCATATTATTCGGTAACGTATTGTTAAAATACCTTAATTTTTCCCCAAAAAGTGTGCCTAACGAGTAAATTTGATTGTATTAATTTGAACGTCATAACTTCATGAATATAATCTTGCCCACTATTATACTCATTGAGATGTGGTAAATTTACCGGTCTATACTGTAAATTTACGTACATTTCACTGATGTTTTTTTATCTTTCTTAAAACTGAGTAACCCCTCATTTTAAACGAGTTTACAGGCTTAATAACAATTATTCATGTTTTTCGATATCTATGCATACTGTATTAATTGGATTTTATGAAAATTGGCTTCTATCGTGTATGGTAAAACCGATCCAAGCGATTTTGAGTTTTTACATCCATTAATCTTATATAGTCATCTAATCGTCAACAGATACTAGTTATGTATATATATACATGTACAATATACATATAATACGTTCCTAACCTTGTATACTCAATTTTAACGCTCTATTATTATTATTAGTCAGTAGACAATATTTTGTTGTTTATTATACAATTTATGCATCGATAGTAATTTTGGTAAAAAAATAACCAATCAATAATAGTCATATTTATTTTATACTCGTGTTAGGCTATAGGCACAGTAGCGCCGACATCAATGACACAAAATTGTCATTCGTGTATTATTTTCGCTTTTTTCAATAATACATATTTAATAGCAGAACATTTTTAAATACAAAAATGAGGGGACATCCGTTTTATAAATTATAAACTGCACTCATTGCATTAAAATGAACAATTTTATCGGCTAACGTCTAAGTAACTGAGTTCTGAAACCATCCTATACGCCGACGTCTGACTAATATTATCGGACGACATTGGTACCATTGTGATTATAGCCTTAATATGTGTGTTACATATTATAATATGTTAATTTTTGTATTCTAATAAAAAATTCACCTGATTTACTGAAATATTCAGTATATTTTACCGGTATTACTCACATCTTTACTCGTATACCTATATTATATTTAAATAAACGTCATGAAATACTCTAAACAAATTAATCTGTTTAAAATGTAATTAATAGGTGAATAATAATTCTGCAATGTTTTTGAAAAAAATTATTTTTTTATTAAATTGAATATTATTGTCAAACACTTAGTATTTCGGTTTTTTAATGTACAGTATAATTGCCTACATCATTTACGATAAAATACGACATTGACACAATGAAAATTAATTAAACGGGTATTATTTACAAAGATCGTTTGTCATCTTTATGGTCAGACGTGTTTGTCCATCCCATTTCTCGATAAAATACTCAATGCGGGACAACTGCCAATTCCAGATAAGTTCTAAGAGCAGATAGGCCTGTACGGTTATACCCGATAAAAACTACGATAAGTCCAATAAAAATGTAGCGAAAAATAATGTCTTATCCTTCGCGTTTTCATAAAATTCAAGAGTTTCTATATAGTCAAAATAATTATTAAAATACCGTCTCTATAGATTTTAACTTCTGAGAGGAGGGGAATTATATTTGTTTCGCAACAAATGACAACATTGAGCGAGAGAAAATATTAATAGTGATTATTAGTGATTTTATTATATATCTAACTAAACAAATTATTTTTACGAACGCGATAATTGCATTTAACACGTCGTTATCCTTTCGTAAACACAGCAAAGTCGTGGACCTGTAGAATACCAAAAAACCCAACAATTTTCTAAAAAGTTTGTAGACAGGACCCGCTATTTAAGAGGATGGTATACTCGCATCTACTGTCTCAGTACAACTACCGAGTAACATGCAAAAACAATGCTTACGCAGAACAAGTAAAACTAGTTTAATTTTGATCTAAGAGTAAAAGTAATTATCATGAAATTTATAGAGAACAATATTTTGAAATGAATGTCAAAGGTGTTTTTTAAATTATTAAAACTATTAAAAAAGTTAGTTATTTAAAAAGAAAAAAGAAAAGTTTTTAAATCCATTAAATCGAGCTATATATTTTTAATTCTACAAAAACTCTATGGAATTCCCTTCAAAATAATGTCCTCTATAAATTTAATAATAGACATTTTCACTCTAAAATCAAAATTAAGCTAGTTTTACTTATTTTGCGTAAGCATTGTTTTGCATGTTACCTAGTAGTTGGACAGAGTCATTAAGATACGAGTAGATGCGGGTTTACGTCCTCTTAAGCATAAATTATAAAATTACGGATTTTTATTTATTTTTATTTTTTTGACAATTTAAAATCATCAATTAATACTTATATACTAGACATAATTAATACAATTTAATAATATATACAAAAATACACGGTTGTGAATCTGTTTCCATGATCCACGCTTGTTTTATTATTATTGTTTTTTTTATTTTAAGACGTTTTTGGAAATATCGAATGTATACAATATTATCGCTTTTTATTTTTAAATTTTAGGCCCCGTCCCGCATTAATATAAAAATGTTAATCTAGATAAAAGATAAAAATGTAAATTATCATTACCCTATTATAATCGTCATATCAAAATTTATAATGTTGTCTCAACGACCTCCATACGCTGATTATAATACTCTAATTAACATATTATTTTATTTTCATCCGCGTCGGACGTATTATAACAGATTTTCCTCAGTGTAATATTAACCGTTTAATAATCGGATTATTCATTAAACGGAGTAGCGACGCTTAAATACCCGTGTAAATATTTACATATAAGACGTTTATGTAATTTTAATAGTATACGTATTTTATACGTCGTGATATTATTATGATAATATTGTAAATATGATAAACACGTTCGCGTTCGTCGAACCGGACGACAGATTATTATTTGAAATATTTTCGCTTCTTAATAATATCATTTTACACTGTCGTCGTCCTTGTAATAATCCACCGTATTCAAATTTATTAATATTCCAGACAATACACAGATATAATAGACGTACACAATATACCTCTCTACATTATAAATTATCATAATATTTTAAAATTACTCCGGTGGCCCCGAGTGAAATATTATGTAAGTACCTGTATAATATAATATACCCACTAATTTTTCATTATATAACTTTTATATTCAACGTAGATTAATTAGTTAAACTATATTCGTATTTTTTTTTTCTTAACTATATATTCATATGGGGAATTTCAACTAATAATAAATAGAGCTCGGAAATATTAGCACTTGAACTGTCCCCAAAAAAGTGCTTAAAAATGTCAAAAAAGCCTTTAAAAATCAAAAACGATAGAGGGGTTTAAAAGTAAATATTTTTATAATACTTAGATTTTATTTAAGAAATATTCCTTTCTATCAACCATTTTTGTAATGTTATAAAATTGTGTTGAATAAGTTAGAGGCTTTATTGAGGGAACTTTTAAAATGTTTTGATTTTTAAAATATTTTTAAATCCTCTTTTCATAGATTTTTTTACGTTTTAAGTGGTTTTTGTGTAGATTTTAAGTGTTAAAAGTTCCAAGCCCATGATTACTATTATTGTAATACTGATATCATACTGTAATAATTTAATTTGGAGAATTTTATAATATAGCGTGTTTATTATAATTGTTTATTGGAATTATATAACAATATAATAAAAGTTATTATTATACGCCAAAAACGTTGGGCAAGTCTCTCAAAATGTCCAACTTGTCAAGTATGTGATTATAAAAAAGCCAATGAAATAAGATTGGAAGTTGGTTTAATGAGTATAAAACTTAGTTTAAATAAAAGTTTTGTCGAAAATAATAACTCGAGTTAGACAAAAATATTAAGTCAAGTCATACAATTCTTGTCACTCTAACTTGAAAATGTATTCGTTAAAAAAAAAATTAAATTAAATTGTTGAATCAAATTGCAAACGAGCGTAACTAATTTCTTTTAAAATTATCTATTTTTCTTTTTATAGCAATATTATTTATTGGATAATATAAATCGAAAAGGATAAAAGACAATTATTTTTCTCTGTGGACAACTTTTCTACCGGAAATTTTTCTCAGATTTACAATAATAGCACTTTTTCTAAAAGGAAATTTGACTGGGAAGGTACTTTAAGGAGGCCATTTTTTGATTTTCTCAGAAGTTTCCCTAAAAAGTGGGAAAACCCGGGGAAAAACGGGAAAATATACGAAATATAAGCATAAGTAAAAAAATATTACGACCTTTATCTTCTTTTAAGCAACTTTTCTATCGGAAATTTTGCTCCGATTTCCAATGATAGCACTTTTTCAGAAAGGATTACTAATTTTTATATTTTTATATATACTTTCTAGTCATTCTTTTTCTGAATTTTTATTCTTTGTAAACGTACTCTCAAGCCTTTTGTTTTTCAGAACATAAATATAATCATATATACAGGATGTTTAAACATTGAATTTTCCGGATTTCTGTGATATCGATTAATTTTTAAAAGCCGGTAGTTACGTATATTTCTTTATACATTATTTGTATTCAAATGATCATTAATTTACTTACTGAAGTAAAAATGACGATGC